ATAGTATTCTTATAAGATAAGAAGGAGTACTATAAGCATATCTACTTTATAATAGCTTAACTCTAATAAATAGAACTATTTATAAAGCTAAGTAAGTATCTTTTTATAGTAAAGAGAATTAACTTCTTAGGCTATATAATTATACTAGAAGGTCTAGAAATAGAACCTTTATAGATTAATATTATTATAGAATAGCTTTAACTAGAATCTATAAAGGAGATCCTAGTATTCCTAGGGTTTACTAACTAGTATAGAAGGTTTATTAAGGAGTATTTATACTTTTTAGTATATCTCTTAAATCTTCTATAAAAACCTAGCCTAGAGAGTAAGAGAAGAACTTTAGAGAAGGAGTTCTTAATCCTAGAAGTAGTAAATATTTTTAATAAATTAAAGAAAGTATTTATAGAGTAGATTATTCTTACCTATTTTTATAAGAAGTACTACTTATAGATAGAAATAGATATATCTAGATATACTATCTATAGGATATTATTATAGCTAAGTAAGGAGGGTTATTAGTAGCTAATAGCCTTCTTCTTATAGAAGATATAACCTATAGAGAAGAACTATAATATTTATAATTAGGAACTCCTTATAATAATAAAATCCTTTAGGGAGTAGTGCTACTACCTAGAGAATTTATAGAAAGTTATTAAAATTATTACTAATTATAATAGTCTTTATTACTTTAGGATTATACCCTAACTATTATAAAGATAAATAAGATAGTTATAAATACTTATAGTATTTAATTTTAAGATAGTCTTCTATACTAGAAAAAAGAACCCTATAAATAGACTCTTATAAAGAGCTAATTATAAGAGAGAGGCTATAAAGACTAATATCTAGAACTAAGAAGATAGAGACCCTAATATACTAAGATAATAATTAATACTTTATAAAAGGGAATCTACTAAAGTAAATACTCTAAAAAATATAAAATAAAAGATTTATATAGTACTAGTCTATAGGATAGTAAACTTATAAGAGGGAGTAGCTTAGGGAGCTAGTATTTATAAGAGTATCTAGAGATTAAGCCCTTATATAAGAAATCTCTCTATAGAAATTTAGGCTTTACTACTAAGATTACTTATATAAGATAGACTTATAAAGAAGATTTATATAGTATAGATAGAAGCTATAAAGAAATTATTATAGCCTTATTATATAAAGAATAAATTATTATATTAGATAAGCTATAAAGGGCTCCTCTATTATAAGAGCTTACTTTATATTTTAGATTATTATAGCTTAAGATTAAGTATTCTTATAAAACTCTATAATAACTTCTTTATAGACTACTTTATAGAATAAATAATAAAAGAGTTAGTCCTAAGATACTTCTAGTAGCTAGAAGTAAATAACTTTATCTATAAATATTATATAGCTTATAGGGTATACTAAGGATTATAATAGACCTAAGATAAGTAATAAAACTTACTAGAGCCTATACCTATTCTTATAGATATCTAGATCTAAATTATTATAAATCTAATTATAGATCTCCCTATAAGTACTTCTATAGTAAATTTATAAGAAGCTTTTAATAGTATCTTAGTAATAGTAGATTAATTTAGTAAGATAAGTTATTTTATACCTATCTAGACTACCCTTAGTAGGGAGAAGTTAGTAATAACTCTTATTTATAAAGTCTTCTAACTTTATAAAATCCTAGAAAAGGTTATTATAGATTAGGGTTCTATCTTTATAAAAGATTTCTAGATAGGTTTTATATTTTATCTCCTAATTTATAAGGGCCTTTCTATAGCCTACTACTTATAAATAAATAGTTAGATAGAATACCTAAATAGTATGCTAGAATAGTATTTATAAGCTTATATTAACTTTAGTTAAAAAGACTAGATTAATTATCTCCCTATTATAGAGTTTATCTATAATAATATATACTAGGTATCTATTAAGAATATATCTTTCTATATAGTTATAGGTATTAATCCTTATATAATAATAATAGATTTTATAAACTAACTAAAGGGTAAGGTTACAGAAGAGTTAGTTATAAAAAGATTAACTAAACTAAAATATATTTATAAATATATAAAAGAGGCTCTAATAAGGGCCTAAGCCTACTAAAAGAAATACTATAATAAGGAATATATTATAAAGATATTTTAAGTAAGAGACTAAGTCTAGATCTCTACTAAGAATATATTATAGATTAGACTAACTATAAAGTTAGATTAGTTAAATACTAGTCTAGTATAAATTATAGAATATATAAGTAATCTAGTCTACTATATAAATCTACTACCAGACCTTAAGATATATAATATATTTTTTATCTTTATACTCTATAAATATAAAGAGATAGAAGAGATAAACTTATAGGAATATTTTCTTATCTATAAAGTTATAAAAGAGGACTATAAATACTACCTAGAGGTAATCTTAGACTTATAAGAGGATAGGTAATCTATAGAGTATTATATCTAATAGAAGAGATATACTAAGGAAGATAATACTTAGAAACCTATAAAAGACCTATACTATTTATAGATCTATAAAGACTATATAAGGAACTTTATAAGGAGGGGAAACTTATCTTTATTAAGAAAAAGATAAAATAATAAATAAAAGAAATATAAAAAAAAAAAAAATCACTAACTCCTAAACCTACTATTATAAAAGTACCTAATATTAAGCATAAGTATAATATAGTTTATAGGGCTAGGAAGGTAACTACTAGACCTAAGGATACTTAAAAGAGTAGTTCTTATAGCTATAGTAGAGGTAGTTATTATACTTTCTAGCTAGCCTACTAGAAATGTATATTATAAATACTAAGCTTATACTTAGGTTATAATAAATATTATACTCTTAGTTAGTAGGAGGTCTTACCCTAGCTCTAGTTATAAGAATAATCTTATAAAGCTAGATATAGACTTCTAGCTAACTAGGTATACTAAAGTTATATTAGTTAATAGAGTAGAGTAGGGTCTTAGTAACCTATACTTATTTTTAGTTTAATAGGAATTATAATCCTATCTAGGATAGGAGCCCTATAACTACTACTAGATTCTTCTATAAGTAGGAGAGGAACTAGGTATCTAGGGGTAGCTCTATTATTAGATTAGAAGCCTAAGTAGTAATATTATTAATAATAGATATAGAGGTATCCTAGTTAGCCCTAAGAGTATCTACTAAAGATAGTAATAGCCTAAAGATAGAGGCTCCCCTTATGATAGGGGCTGGCTATACTCTTATTAAATTAATAAAAAAAGGCCTATATATAACCCTATATAGGGGGAGGAAGGCCCCTATAGGAATAAGAGAAAGAGAGATAGGAGGAGCCATAGTAGTAGTAGTAGTAGTAGTAATAATAATAGTAGGGGTAGTAGTAGTAGTAGGCCTAGTAGGGGTAGTAGTAGTAATAGGCATAGGGGGGAGAGATATAATAAATAATAATAATAGTATAAAGGCTGCCTCCTCCTCCTTTTATAAGAACTATTAATAGGAATATTATAGACTTATAAGTCTTTACTTACCTCTAAGAGATTAGAGAGAATAGGTAAGAGTAAAGATATAGAAAAGAAGATATAAAAAGATATTTTTTTATAAAATATCTTATAATATATTAACTACCTCTTTCTAAATATTATAAATTATAGAAGATCTCTTATTAAAACTTTTATAATAAAAACTAAAAAAATATAAAAGATAAAGAGAAGAAGAGCTTATATACTCTATAAAAATTATTATTATCTTAAATCCTACTCTATAGAAATTTTATATAATAAGGCTATTAAGGGATTTATAGAAGTATTATAAGAATAAATAATATAAATCTAAAATATATTATAAGAAGATTTTAATAATAATAAAAATATTATAATTAAAGAGGTCTATCTATAACTAAGCCTTTATAAGAAGATAAATAAATATAAATTTATAAAAGAAAAAAATAATAAATCTTTTTTATTATTTATAATTTTCTCTTTATAAAAAAATATTTTTATTAAATAAAGATTTTTACTAGTGCACCCTATTATAAATAAGGAATCTTAAATAAATCTTAGAGATTAAGATCTTTTAAGAGAGGAGATAGTTATAAAAATTATAAAGATTTATTATATATTATATTAAAGTTATTTTTATAAAGAAACCTAATAATAAGAAGACTCCTTATAAGAGATTATATAAATAATTATATAACCTATAAAGATATAAATCCTACCTATAACTACTAAACTTTAGAGTTTAGTAATAATCTCTTTAAATAAGGATACCTATATTTAAATCTATTTATAATCATTCTTCTTTCACACTAGTTTCTAATTCTCATGGATCATAGATCCTTATACTCTGGCATGGCCTAGCTAAGTGCTGAAACAGAGTAAGGAACAAATCAATCAATCAATTAATCAACCGGTCAATCATAGTATTTTATACATAATTTTAATATTATATCTAGTCCTATGAATTTGGCTATATTGTATATATAACTACTAATACAGAGTTAGGTTTTATCATATTATTATTTTTTAAATATTAATAATACTAAATAGCTCTGCTACTTTGGCTGCTTTATGATATAAAAATTAGAAAGGGACTTAGGATCCTAGGCCTATATAACATTAGTAATATTATAATTACTTCATAGCATTAAATAAGATATGAACAAAACTAAAATTTATTAAGGATTTATACTATAGAATAGATAGTCAGCAAGAGGTAGGAGGTATAAATAAAGATAAAGATTAGGGTGAATGTGTGAATTTAAGGTTACCCAAGGCCTTTTCACAAATGAACCCCCAAGTTGAAAATATATGTAAAGGTGATACCAGACACGCAAGAGGTAGAAAAAAGGAATATTATATTGATCACTAAGTCATAATGTGAGCTATCTATCTATTGATTCAATCACTGTAAGTTCCCCACCAGTCTCCAGAGAGGGTATATCCCGATACACCAAATCATCGCAAATTCATTTTCGGTCGACAACGCAAAAACCAAGTAACGACCATTGATAACTGACAAGCTCACTGAGCCTTCTTGGTTGTTGTGGTACTTTTGACCTCTCTGCGACGTCGAAGGGCCTCAGGTGTGTACTCAGTGTCAAGCACATAATCCCACCAGCGAAAGCTACTCGAATAGTTGCCAATGAACTTCTCATGGTGAAGATCATGGTGATCTGCTCCTGCCCAAAAAGGCAGGAAATGGTGCAGACTCCAAGGAAACTCATAGCCGCTGTGTGCATCAATGGCCTGAAAAAGCCGCAAGACGATCCAAATGTACATGGTGAAGATATGGAGATCACCAGTCAATGCACACCAAAGGATAGGACAACCAACAGTCCCAAAGCCTAAGATCATGACTTCAATCGGCGACGCATATTCGGCAGCCATACCGAAAGGCGCCGAATACTGATGGTGAATCTTATGGATGGCCCGGTACAATGGACCCCAGTGGAGTGCACGATGTGAAAAGTAATGCCATGTATCCTCTAAAACGAAGAATATCGCGATCTGGTATGCCATGGTCCAGACAGAAGGGAAAGGGACTGATGTCGATAGACCGAAAAACTGGGCCATCGGATGAAAGAGCCTGTTGCCGGAGATTTAGCATTCAGCAAAACTGTGACTGAGTCGCACCAATTACCATATCTGAGGGAGTTCCACAGTAAAGTGGCTGAGAAGAACAAATTTGGCACAATCCCATTGCTCCCGTAGTGAGGGAGTTTTGTTCTGCAACATCAGTCAAACCAGTGACACAGATGAGAAAAAGGGACCTAAACCTACATTCTGGATCTTGTAGGATTTCAGCAAACCCAGGCTATCAATGAATATCCAGGGAAGAGAACGGCCAAAGTAGACAATCTCATGCATCATAAACGACATTATTCCTGTTGCCAGGACGTCATTCTGCATCCACGCATACCACGCAGTCCATAGCCTTTCCACTGTGTTCAAATGGCCATTGTATCTCGAGATCTCCTCATATTGCTCCCAATACGTGCCGGGAGAGGTGGCGAATAATGTTGAATTCCTTTGAAACAGTCAGGATAAGTAGATCTGGACGAAGTGGATGACTGACATTATGTGTATATACCGTGTCCCTTTGGTGTGATTGATGAGACTCCCCAGATTAAGATCTAAGAATTTCCATTGACAGATGTAATGCACAGGAACAGAGAAAGAGAAAAGAAGGAGAAAAGATATGGAAGTTTGCTGTTGGATTGTTGTGGAGAGAGGAAGTTAGTGCAAAGTATATAGTGCGGACAGGGACTCAGGAGATCTAGTCCCGGGGTGGCGCGACTTTCTCTTGACTTTTTCTATATCTCCTTTTTTCGCCGTTCTTCCTATCTTAGCCAAGCGGGCCCCACTCTAGCCTCTGCCCCTGAAATGATTCCCAATTGCCAAATGCCAATAGTCACTTGCAGTGACTCTACTAGACTACTAACTAGTAACTAGTGAGTCGAGTAAGATGATAGACATAAACACAGCCAATGTTTCACTTTTCATGAAATTACTTTCCTACATGTTCATTGTATGCAAGGTAGGTATCTAGATGCCCCTCGGCGTGTACTCAATATTTTGCTTTGTATAACCCATAGGCTATTTATTAGGCATCCCTGCCCGGGGTTCAACTCCATACTTTCGTATATATGGACTACTGTAGATACTAGCTAGTCACATACATACTTACCTGTGACCTGATCTGTCTTTACGACTTGCTAGCCTGCTCTGCAGTCTACACAGTTCTGTAGCTATACGGTGTACATAAACTGGTGTTACAGTTTGCATCGTTTGCCGCTTTCCGTATAACCCGTCTGGGAGCCAATCGCCTAACCAGGTATAGCACCTAGCTTGCAGGCCAGCCAAAGCCCATAGAAGCATCCTCGATATCCATTGGGACAACCCGCAACCAAACTGCCTACTCAACTTATTTTATACCTGTCTTGACTTGTCAGCTTTACCTCACCTCGCAGTCACTACTTTCAATCAGACATAACCTTTATAAAATGGGCAGTTTGGTTGATAAATCTAAGCCATGATTGTCATAAATAAGTATTTAATCTGTGCTTCTTGGTCAATAAGCGTAATAAGCTGACAACCAGCAGTCATATCCACTCCATAGACACAGAGCTCGATAAGGTTCAACACCATATCTATAACGATCTGAACTCGAATTCAGTGGGCTCCCATGACCAGTCTGATGGGGCTTCTAACCCGTTAGCGGAAGTAGCAAATCTGCATGACTTGATCAAGTCTTTCTCAGCGAGGTCTACTTCCCAGCCGTTACTTCACGCAGACCGGGTTAAGTTCCTGATCTCCAATTTCCCGCCTACCATTCATGAAAAGCTGCAACTTTCAAGCAAAGCAACCACCTATGTCTCGGATCTCTCATGGTTGGTGGCTGCGAAAGCGCTTGTGCAAGTTTTAGGTATAACCATGAATGTTTTCCATGACAACGTGCAAGATATTAGCGAAGAAGTGCTGTACTGGGATGACGTGTTGGGTTCGAATTGGTACACTGGCCTATACGCATTACAAACGTCTCCCGATCGGATTTGGTCTTGCATCAACTGTTGTCTCTTGCACAGAGAGAAGCAGCGTACTCAACGAGGATGGGGTGTTATCCCGCAAGTCTCGTGGGTGCAGTTCTACAATGTAGTACATAGATGTCTCAAACCAACCAAGATGCGCCCACTGCATAACCTTATTCTGTCACCTTTTGTTTCGTGCAGGTCTGAAATCAGACAAAAGAGGAAAGCGTTGATGGCAATGAAACTTGAGAGCGCGAGCAGTCTTGGTCTTATCATGGAACAATGCCTGAGTTTCGAAACTGAGGGTGTACATGGAGAGTACGCCGTCAATGATCATCTGCGGGATACTATATGCAGATCTGTCACCATGTTGGAAAGCCTCCTGAAGAGGATGCCTCAAATATCCGGTAGTACTCACCTCGAGGCTGGGTATCTTAATATCATTGATCATGATATCGCTCGGCTACCATCTGACTTGGGCATTTCCGAGCAAAACCCGGGGTTGGTCATCAAACAACTTTCCCGTATACTCGGAGCACTCTTACCCAGCCATATGGAGAAATCTAGAAAAGCCATCAAAGCTCACGGGCGCCCCTCATATCTGGTTCGCTGCTGGCTTCCGCTTTTAGTGGCACTTCTTTCGGGAAGCACGTTCTTGAAGATATTGACTAGTCGATGGCATGAGATCCTTAGATGGATTACTGATATCGGATCGACAACGTTCGAATTCTGGTCCAACTGGGTGGTTGAACCTTTACGTAAACTAATAGGTACCATTAGGCACGACGAAAGAAGTGAGATCGCATTGATGAGCAAGAATAGTCTCGAGGCGGATAGGGCCAGCTTAGAGAGGATGGTACTTGACTTTGTTCTCGATCGCGGTGAATTGGGTCATGAACAATTGGCCGCCCAGCAGATTCAATCGATCACCGCCAAAATCAGAGAAGGTGATCTGACGCCAGTATTGAGAGCATACGAGAATGACCTTCGCAAACCGTTTGTTGGCACTATACGTGGTGACCTGATTCGTGCGCTTCTGATTCAAATCCAAAAGACGAAAGTAGATGTTGAGATAGCGATTGGCGGCATTGATTCTTTACTAAAGAGTCAGGAGTTGGTCTTTGGGTACGTGTCGTCCTCTATGTTTAGTATTGTACGAGCAGTTAACATTTCCAAGGTTTGTCGGCTTGACGCCGGGAATAATGGTTACATATGCATTTCTGCGATGGCTTCTTGGTCTCTTTGGAAATCGCAAAGGGTTGCAGATAGGCAGGCGACAGCATGAAATGAGACATGCGCTGCGGTAAGTCTTGTGCAAAAGCCCCATTTGATTAGGGACTGACGAGGAATCCAGGAATGTTGACCGAACTTTGACTCTATCAACGCCCACCGACAGCGGTACTCTAACTTTCAAAGACTATGGCCTCTTGCTGTGTGATGCAGAGGCTCTCCTCCGAACAGCAGTAACTGTCCTGAAGGGGGTAGACCTTCGGGAGTTTCACGAGGACATTAATGACCTTTTGGACATACGAAATGGAGTGTCTAGACAACTCCAGGTTGTGAACAGAATCAGTTGGACTTACTCGAGGTGGATCAGATGAAAAACAAAATCTTTGGGCCTCCACCCAGGCCCCACGATTCGGAACCGAGATACATATTGATACAGTGATAATCACACCCAAGGCTTTCTGGGCAGGTGCCTATGTAATAGACTTGAAAGATTTAGTTCCTGTACCTTCCCTGCATATGTTATAGAAAGTTGGAGACACTGATAAGACTACATGAAAGTCTGAGGTCATGATACTGTATCTTAGACCCGAGAGAAGAAATAGAGATATGCATATTTCTTCATCTCTTGAATATCATCAACCTTCACAACCTTCTCATCATTGAACATGACCCATGATGAAGCATCTTCGCCTGGCAGAACTTTCCGAACAAATGCGACATAGTGACTGGTTTTTTATTGTCAGCAAAGAATGATCGCCAGCCAGAGAATTTACTCACCCTGCATGAACTGAAGATCCTTTATGGCAAACAATGGCACGAAGTTGATACATAGCTGGGGTATCAAAAGACCCAGGTGTTCGGCCATGGCTACCAAGCCGAGATCCTGACTGAGACTCGGAAGTATGACTGTCAGAAGCATCATCCGGATGACTGAAAACCCAGTCAATGGCCCTATTCACATCACCATCCGAAGCAGCCAAGGCCTTCCTGGCGCGCTTTTCATCGATGCCCATCTCGCTCAATTGAGCCACCGCCTGTGGATCTTGCTGGTCCATGTGGGCTCCCGCAGAGACCTGGTCCCGTACAACGGGTTCATCAATATCAGGATCGTCCACATGGGCAAAAAGCCAGTTCATTGCATCCTCAGCATTGGAGTTGCCTGTCGAATAAAGTGCCCTTTCACACCTGATCCGAGGAAAGCCCATGGCAAGAAGCTGGTCAAGAGCATCATGATCAGGCAAGAACACACTGTTCGAGATGTCCTCGTCTGGGAGAGATTCCTCGCCATGTTCCCGATCGCTGCTTAGATACGGGGTGAAATCCAATGGCGCATCGCTGACGTCTACCGGAATATCTAATTTGGTGGGAACCCAATTAACAACCTCAAATCGTCGGGCGTTGATTACCAATTCCTGTGGGAAAGTCTTGAATGAAGATCGTTTCGAGAATCCATCCTTGCTTCCGCAGGCAGGGCAACTGAGCTCAACGGTTTCGCTCGCAGTGAAAGCAGCCAGGCACTCGAATAGCGTCACCGTCCCGAATTGAGCCACAGAGGTCGTATCACCACTAACAGGGAGTCGACGGACAGGGACGGGAATGGAGACGTTGTCTTGCTCATCCAATCGGTAGCGGACTTTCCTACAGGACTGGCACTGAAGACGTTGCTCAAGAGCGAACTGAAAACATTCGATAGGATTCTTTCCCTCCTCGGGACATTGCATCCTTTGAAGCAGTTTGAATAGGTGGAGGAGAAATTCAAACGCATCCTGCTGCCTCATCGTCGAGAACTCCTCATGACCACTCCCCACAAGAAATTTGAACATTGATGGCAACAGCCCTTTCTGGGGAGGAACTTCCGCTGAATCGGGCGAGGCAAACACATCCACGTTGGGTTTTGAATAACGACCGGAAAGAATGCCATCAGCAAGTTTCTCCATCTGAGTCTCTAGATCCTCGGCCGGTTTAGCGGTCAATGGTGGCTCGTCGCCACCACGATAGTATCTTTGCTGAAATTCCGGGAGAGAAAATAAGCACTGAATGACGCTTGAGAGATAGCAACTATTTCCAAGATTGGCCAACCCTGTGAAACCAGGGCCGAAAATTGGCGTGAGCTCGTGGCCATCCTCAGTTGTCATCGAGAACTCCCATCGCAAATTGTGCTCGACCTGCATTTCCATTAGACTTTTCTCGGTTTTTTCACGACCGCTCAGGTTGACCCCCCAGTGAGCGAGATGAGTCGCAAGAGCTGGATCTGTCCTTTCTTCAGTACATTTGTAACAGTAAATGTCAGCATTCCCATCTGCAGTTATCGAGCCAAGCTTGACGGCTACGGCATGGGATGTCGAGTCCGCATGTGCAAGTGCATGTGAATTGCCTCCCATCCCACCAAATTGGCTGCGTCCGCACCCGAGATTGCCACATTCCAAGCAAAGCCACAGATTTTCCTTGAGAGGGCACATTGAGCACTGACTGAGTTCTGCGTTTTCTGGTCAGAAGGGACGGACATTTCAAGGGGATTGAGCAATTGGGGCAGACCTTGGGATTCAATCCGTTTGGAGTCTTGCTGGACCAAACAGAGTGTATGCTCACAGGGAACAAACTCTTGCTCCCAGGCTTTGATCTCTTCTCTCTTCGAGAACGTCAAGGCCTTCATGACACCCCCGATCACATCTGGAAGGTTGCCACTTGATGGATCAATCCGATCGGAGTGACATTGATAGCAAACGACGTAAGTTGCTGTGTCGTAACGATCTTCATCTGTTTCTGCTGCGATTGCGAGTTTTGAGATCTTGGGTGGAGGTTCGTCGCGCTACTTTTGTTAAATTACTATGATAGTAGAGAATGATCAGACACCAACACACCTGTACCTTCTTTCGCGATCTTTTCATGTTGAGAGCCAAAGGGTGACCGAAGCGCTTGTAGTGTAGCTCAGCATGATTGCGATCGCCCGCACAGCCTCCATTGAAGCAAGAGAGACAAACATTCAACCCAGCGTCGTCATCCTCCAATCAATCAAAATTAGCCATAGGGTAACAATGAGCGACAAGAGGGATACAGCAACAAACCACGGAGTCAAAACATTGTGTACAATCTTCACGATAGACAGCTTGGGATTCCGAGGGTGGATGAAGAGCTATCAAACCAAGTATCAACCATGGATTACTTCTCAAGGGTGAGGATGGGAGAAGATCACCAACAAACCTTGTAGATTAACATGTGGACAAGAAGCCATATTGATGGGATTATGATGGATATGTGATAGAACTTGACTGGTGATAAAAGCAGTAGACTTTAGGTCACCAATGAGATGGTGGAAAGCGCGGATGGGCTGATTAAAGACGGACGAGTATACCAAAGAAGTAAGCCGGTAAGTTTCGGGATAGAAAAAGCGATATGTAGATGTCAAATGGTAGATGGGTAGAGAGCTGCTTCAAGATGTAGTATCTAGTAGTTATTTCCAATGTAGCGGCAAAGAGCAGTTCAACTTATCAATGAGGGGAGCTTAAAAAGATAGTGGGGTAATGGCCGTCTTTTGGCTTTTGGTGTGGCCAACTGCCTACGGAGTACGTTGTGGACATGAGAGATAAACCAACTTCTGACTGTACTCTTACTCTTAGCTTGCTTGATAGGAGAGACCGTTTATATCTCTGAAATAATTGTATTTGAGCAGGGACCTACAAATTCTGCCCAGAGCTTGGGCGCCTACGTAGGAGCAGTAGGAAGGCGTTTCGGACCGCTCATGGAGTACTACGACGTAGGACTTTACTTTGTACTCCGTACTAGTAGTACCTCGTAAGTATTGTGGATACTTAGTAATAACTGGCAGGAAGTTAGGTACTATCTACGGAGTACTCCGTAGTACTAGATACTTACTCCGGAGTAGTTGTTCCATGTAGAAAGAAGTGGGGAGGGTAAGAACGCGTCGTCGCGTCAATGTAGCGCGTGTTCCATTAGTACTGAAGGTAATATCCATTCTCCATCACTACCATCATACCGATCTTCTTTCAAGCTCAAGAGCGAGGCACTCTCTTGCCGCCTTTTTGATCCATCCTTCTCAACACACTACAAAGTGCTCATGGTTGAATGTGAGCAAGTCGGCAGCATCTTCAGACTTTGAGATCTGGTCATTTCATTCTACTAAAACAACGATCCCCTCTTCTCCGAGCTACCTTTATTTTCTCTCTTTTTTTCTATTAAACTTCCCTTTTAAACAACTCGCCTTGAGTCCCGTCATGGCTTTAGATGCTGCTTCCCAAGTCTCAGTTGGGGCACTCAGGTATGTTATCCTCCTTGCTACTTCCTGAAGCACCCGCTATATCTTAATCTGTATCACCTTTGAAAGGAAGAAACACGCGGAGAGATCTGCTGACACTTAAACAGTGCCATTTTTGACGAAAGGAATCCGCAGGTTCAGGAACCGATCGTTCAGTGTGTCCAGATCAAGCCATTGCCTCCCCAGCCGAACCATCCAGAGCGCTACAGGGCTGTGTTTAGTGATATCACGAACTATGTTCAAACTATGCTCGCAACCCGTGAGTGATAATGGCCGTACTTTGGGAAAACTTATCTTAATGATATTCCATCTCCAGAAGCAAATCACTTTGTGACCAGTGGCATGCTTAAAAAGGGGTGTTTTGTCCGGTTGAAGTCATTTCAAGCAAACTCTGTTAAAGGGAAAAAGTCTGGACCCAAAAATCTTAAATATGGAATTCAACTAACAGACATACAGGATTCTCATCATCTTAGATCTCGAAGTTTTGCAAGAATTAGGTGAGGCAGAGAAGATTGGGGAACCGAAGCCACTGGAAAATAAATCGGACGTGGAGGAGAAGCCTCAACCCACTACAATATCTAGCAATGGATTTTACGGCTCTAAGATCCAACCGCAACGAGTGGAATCTGGAGTACAGCCTACACGTTCTCCGTTGGCTTCAACTCATGCGACCATATACCCAATCGAGTACATTTCGCCTTTCTCAAACAAGTGGACGATCAAGGCGCGATGCACAAGCAAATCGACCATCAAAACTTGGCATAATAGGAACTCGGAGGGGAGACTATTCAGCGTTAACTTACTTGATGATAGTGGCGAAATTCGGGCAACAGGCTTCAATGAACAGTGCGACATGTTATACGACGTTTTCCAGGAAGGCGGTGTGTATTACATATCAACCCCTTGCAGGGTCCAGATCGCCAAGAAGCAGTTTACCAACTTGAACAATGACTATGAAATCACATTTGAAAGGGGCACCGTTGTTGAAAAGGTCAGCAAACGCACGATTGGAGTTTTAGCAGTTTGACTCACACCTCAATCTAGGCAGAGGACCAAAGTGATGTTCCTCAAGTTCGTTTCAATTTCACAACTGTTGGTGATCTGCAATCTGTGGAGAAAGATACGACCATCGACGTTGTTGGTGTGCTGAAAGAGGTTGGAGAGATTTCCCAAATCGTGTCAAAATCGACCAATAAACCGTACGACAAGCGCGAGCTCACACTAGTCGACAGCTCGGGGTTCTCCGTTCGATTGACTGTATGGGGTACGACGGCTCTGAATTTCAGCGCCACTCCTGAGTCCGTTATCGCTTTTAAAGGCGTGAAGGTATCTGATTTTGGAGGGAGAAGCCTGAGTCTTTTAAGCTCCGGGTCCATGACAATTGATCCAGACATAGAAGAGGCCCATCGACTCAAAGGCTGGTATGACGCTCAAGGCAGACATGAGACATTCTCTTCACATGCCTCAATGTCCAGTGCGTCATCGTCCGCAGGTAAATTGGACCGTTTCAAGACAGTTGCACAAATACGCGAGGAGCAACTAGGGATGTCTGATGAGGCAGCATATTTCTCGTGCAGAGCAACTGTCATCTACATAAAACAGGATACCATCTGCTATCCCGCTTGTCTTTCCCAGGGGTGCAATAAAAAGGTCACAGAACTTGATCCCGGACAGTGGCGGTGTGAAAGTTGCGACAAAACCCATCTCCGCCCAGAGTATCGTTACATTATGCTCATCAATGTCAGCGATCACACTGGTCAGCTCTGGCTCAGCTGCTTTGATGAGGTTGGAAGGCAATTGCTAGGTATATCTGCGGATGAATTGATGGACATGCGCCAAAGCGAGAGCAACCTTGCTGGTGAAGTTTTCCAGGAAGCCAATTGCCGAACGTGGAATTTTAGATGTCGTGCTAAGCTTGATCACTATGGAGATCAACCACGGTAAGATTCAGATCACAAGTTGAGGCGTGGAATGTCTACAAGGCTAACGAGGTTTTCTGGTCAGCATCCGTTATCAGGTGTCATCGGCGAAAGCCATCAATTATTCGGAAGAGGCGTCTCGTCTTATGAATCTGATACAATCGTATAACCTCTCTTGACAGTGCTCTAATGGAGTTTAGATTGCCATTCTGCTGGCGGCCCTTGTTTTTACATTGACTTGAATTCTGTCTCAAGTATGATAGATTGCAAATCTTGACAATCAAAGGCTCGTTAATGATAAGGGACAGCCATGATGGCGATTCCAACACTTCCGTTCCCCCATTATCCTTGGCCTGGTGAATGAATATGAGTCTTTTAGACATTAGACATGTTAGCTTGGAGAAAGGCCAACCCGATGTGTATTTTAGGAGGTCAATATTGGCATGACAGATTTGAGGGAGAGGCTGGTTGTCGGGACCTTTGGATGTTGGAGTGATCCTTTCAATGCCGGCCTAAGTACCATCCAATTCCTGAAGATGTATATTGTACTTATAGTGGCTCTAACTCGTTCCAACCTAGCGGAAGTAGAGAACTACATATATCCAGATAGTTCGATGGTTCCCCAACTAGTTGTTTGTCGAGCCCATAGAGTTTCTCCTGCATCTCATCTCTCCAGATGCTACACAAATCTATGTACCCCTTTCTAGAGAAAATAGCTCGGTTGACTACGATTACCAGCTAATACTTATGGAGTTTTTTTTATTTAAACAGCAAGCGGTTGGCATGATAAGGAGTTCTGGGAGGAGCATGGCATCTAAGAGATCATCCGGTTCTTTCTGTATGGAACTTTGTTTTTCATTCCATGATTTCTATTACTCTAGCCAGGTGGGCGCCCTGCTGGTTATGGCTAGCTTCAGGATTTTATGTACATATCGTATTTTACATTCATGGACAATATCTAGCTTAGGTAATAGGCTGTGTATCATGCTGTATTAGGTATCAAATCCATGGGTACTTATGTCCATAACGGAATACACTCTGTACCTGTACTGTGTAAGGCTGTAACTTATAGGTTAATTCTATCCGTAAATAAGTCATTTTTAACTTTTCACTTAACTTTTTTTTTTGTTTTCTTTCTCTCTCTCTCTCTCTCTCTCTTTTTTTTTTCCCCTTTGTGGTTCAAGTGGTTCACCTTTCACTCTTGAAGTCTCTCATCATCTCATCCTTGCTCTTCAAACCCAGTTTAAATCTCTTATTATCCGACATCTCCTCAAGGAAAGGTAAAATAGCCTAGTTGAAGCTTTACACCGATTATTTACTGCTCCACTGCTTTATCGACAAGCCTCAGAGTTCAAGAAACAAGCGAAGACGTCATGGGCAAGCGCGTCAGCCACAATGAAGGCGCTGATCGGCGGCCAAAGAAGAAGGCAAAGAATGAGAAGCCCGAAAAAGAAACCATGGAATCTCCTGCGGCAGATGTGACAGTTGATTTTGGCTCGAAATCAGACGCTACATATGTCCAGTCGCAAGTTTTGAGCGATATGCCTCAATCAGAGATAGATCAATTCCTCGCGACACATTCCATCAAGGTTACCGACACATCAGATGCCCCGGCTGTTCGCCCAATCATCTCGTTCTCTCATCTTCCTAGCTGTGATAGCAAGCTCTATTCTTCGCTGAGCTCCTTCGCCTCGCCTACACCTATTCAGTCTGCAACTTGGCCACTATTATTTGCTGGCCGCGATGTCATAGGCATTGCAGAGACTGGAAGTGGGAAGACTCTAGCGTTTGGCTTACCTTGTCTCAAAAAGATCTTGGATTCGGGGAAAATCAAGTTTAAGAATGCCCGGCCTGCAGCGGTGATAATCTCACCAACCAGAGAGCTTGCGATGCAAATTTACGATCAAATCTCGAAATACGCAGGATCTATTGGCATCAAAGCAACTTGTATATTTGGGGGTGTAAAAAAAGACGAGCAGCGAGAGGCTTTGAAGAGTGCAGCTATTGTCGTTGCCACACCTGGTAGGCTGAAAGATCTGCAGAACGATGGTTCTGTGGACTTGGGAAAAGTCAAGTACCTAGTCTTAGACGAGGCAGATCGGATGCTGGATAAGGGATTCGAGCAGGATATAAAAGATATCATTAGCTCCACTCCAGACTCAAAGCGCCAGACCGTGATGTTCACTGCAACTTGGCCTCCTAGTGTCAGAGATCTAGCAGCCACCTTCATGACCTCAGCTGTGACCGTCACCATTGGCGGAGACCCTTCGGCCGACCCGCGTGCTAATACAAGGATCAAACAAACGGTCGAAGTCGTCCAGTCGCATGACAAAGAATACAGGCTTGTGCAGTTACTCAGTGAAAATCAGAGAGGGGCTGCAGCGCTTGACAAGGTTTTGGTATTTTGTTTATACAAGAAGGAGGCAATGCGTGTTGAGAGGCTCCTTCGGAACAAGAACTTCAAAGTTGCAGGTATCCATGGCGATTTGAATCAGCACGAAAGATTCAAAAGTTTGGATGCGTTTAAATCAGGGGCTGCTACCGTGCTAGTTGCAACTGATGTCGCGGCACGTGGTCTCGACATACCATCTGTCAAGTTGGTCATCAACGTCACTTTCCCTTTGACGGTCGAGGATTATGTACATCGTATTGGACGGTAGGTGGAAAAGCTCTCATTCGACCGAATTAGGTTAACGTTATCGATAACAGAACTGGACGTGCTGGAGCCGAAGGTCGCGCCATTACCCTGTTCACCGAAACTGATAAAGCTCAGTCTGGCGCGTAAGTATCCAAATTCTTCTTCTAACCTATCAAGGTGTGGCTTTTGAAGTAGAAACGTTTGCTGATATATTACAGATTGATCAATGTTCTGAAAGCTGCGAAACAAGAGGTGCCTCAAGAATTGCTTAAATTCGGAACAACGGTAAAAAAGAAGCAGCACGGTGCTTACGGCGCGTTCTTCAAAGAAGCTGACTCTGGAAAATCGGCGACAAAAATTGTTTTTGATGATTAGTATCACTGTGCTTTGTGAGTTGAGATTACAGGCTTGCGGATCTGGCGAAACCTAAAATACAGTGTTTTCAGGTAATTTCTCTCAAGATATAGACTGTAAGGTATGTTAGAGCAAATATTGGGATATAAAGTGCTTGACTTACATGAAAAAGCCGTAAAGAGCACTGAAGATTGTCCCTTGTACCAATCCACTTAAACTCCGATCAAACAAACCCGGGCTAGTGATCGTGATAGCGGTCATCAAAGAGCCAGCGACATATGTGTAGGGACTGAGGCTGAACTCGGCAATTCCCATGTGGTTCTCATATTGACGAAAATAACGTTTGATAAACGACAGGCTCCAGATGATACGCACTGTCATATTGACCATATTGGCGTACACCAAGCCACGGGCGCCCAAGTTGCCAATACTCAGGAAAGTGTAAGCCGCCAAGGCAAAACATGCCGAGAATGCCCCCATCCAACCGGTCTGTGCTCGAAGCTCTGACCCAGTCGCAACTGACGACACAAAGGCCTCGGTTATCCCGTTGAATGCTAGGAAAGGTATATATAAGCAGTAGAGAGAAAGCAAACGATCCACTTCAGGAATAGTCCATCTCCTACCACCAAAGGCGTGAAGCACCTGCGGAACCATGACCGGTCCCAAAGGAAATATGAGAGCAGATAGGACACCATATGCTCTCAATACATCGATTAAATGCATCCTAGCCGGTTTGAGATTGTGCGCTTCGCCTGCACTGAGTAGCGATGAGAAAAGGGTGCGGGAGCTCTCCTCAATGGGCTGGAAAAGTATGCGTGCTACAAGACCGCCATAATTAGAAGCAAGAGAGTATACACCTTGATCCTCCAAGGTTGATATTGCCGCAAGCATCATGGTATCGCCCTGAGTGAGCAAATGTTTTATCACTGATTGAAAAAAGACATTGGCAGAAAGCGAGACCAACTCGACTGAAAACATGCCCGCGATATAGCCAGATTTGTCACTTTGTAACAGTCATTAAACCAAGCTCATGGTCATAGAAAAGACTCTACGTACCTTGTCTTTATTCGGGTGAGCAGGAAGGAGAACCGTGTGCGGCTCGGGGCAGACGCGATGGCCCCAGAATAACCGCAAAGAAGCACCAAAGAGTAGGCGATATGGCCAAGGGCGAATGGGAGGATACCGATGTCGTAGCCATTCCAAGATGCCCATGCGAATATGCCACATGTCGTGATGCTCTTGGCAAATGCTGCTACCATCTCGACAATTGCCCGTATCTTGTAGAGCATACAATGCTGGACTACGGCAAAGAAGGGTTCAGTACTGAGCTCTAAAACCGACGCGATACTTGTTAGAACCACACTTTCGCGGTAAAAATGTGTCCGGGAAACTTTCTCAGAGGCGAATCGTGTGTAGGATGCGCCGAGCAGTGTAGTTACCGGAATCCCAATTCCCAGACTGAGGTACGCCATGTTCACCACCGACTGAGTTGCCATAGACTCCATTCGAGTTTCTTTGGAGGATTCTATGCGTAACTTCTCTGTGGTGGCGTCGGGAACTGATGGAGTCGGCTGTCTTTGGATTGCTAATCGGACTGCCTCCCTAGAGAAGTACAATACTGTGACCATGAACAAGTCAAGTTGAGCTGCGATCCCAACAGTTGCTGGTGACAGATTCCTCAGTACCAGCTGATTCGCAGCAAATGTGCATAGTCGTGAAACCACTTGGATCATAACGAGCAGTGTTGTCCTAGAGGCTGTAGATCCCGACCACCTTCTAGCATGATGTTTGTTTGAATCAGACATGGTGATATAGATGTGGCACCTTCCAGATTGTTCCAAATGAGGTTCTCCTCATGCATCCTCAGCCTTTGTGTGTATTGTGTGTTTTAATTCGAACATGCAAATAGCAGTGATAGGTACTTCTGTAATCAGAAGGGATGGAGCCACAGATAGTGGTCTATGTCCTAGTGGTATAAAATAGAATGGAGAAAGTTATTCTTTTGCCAGGTTGAGGTATCTAGTAGTCACTAGTCCGAAGTACTCCGTAATCTATTTTTATGCACTTTGTCCTTATCTTATCGTCTAGAAATACCTTGTTAACTCAGAACTTATGAGAGGAACAGGAACCATGTGATCATTCTAGACCACTTGAACCAACAATTTGGCGAATGATAAGATAGGATTCATAAACTACTACAGAGTACAAGGCACTAATTTCATTGTTTGAACTGAGATATGCAGCAAACTAAATGATATGATGATTGACCATCTCACAAGCCAGTCAATGTAAATGTGCTTTTTAGACATGTTTGGGCAGTAAGCTGGCCATGGAAGGGTTGAACAAGCACACTGCCATGAACTGCAACGACTGACCACGGCTGAAGCCGGAAATTGATATTTGCGATCATGTCAGAGATCCAATCTTCTGAGCAAATAAAGATTCACAAGATGATCATGTCGCAAAATCAAAATGGAGGCAGAAAAAATGGATATCCACCATTTTTCACCTTGAAAACATTGAGGAGGAAACTGTACATACACAGCAATACACCTCCCCAAATTATAACAGCCAATTGCTGTGCCTTCTTGTCTGCCATGCGAGGAACTTTCATAGAAAGAGCGATTGTTGCAAAGGACAGGACAGCATCTTCGGTGATCGGATATTATCAGTTTAGGGGGCATCTATTTGACGTTCCAATTGGGAGAAGACTCACAAACAGCAGCAACAATCTGCGTTTCCATTCCAAATTGGTTGGAGAATCCACCCGCGAAATAGCTGATACCACCCTTGCCATCACCAACGACGTATGGGACTTTACGAATATGGTTAAACATGTGGCCACTGGTAAACAAGAGAATGGCAATCAGACTGAAGCCAGCCCAGAGATTCCGATTTGTTATAATAGGCAAGACGTAGGGAGACAGAACACTGAACAATGTCACTAGTCCCATGAGAATTGTGACGGCAGAGACGATTCGCATGTAGTTGACTGGGCGACTGAGGGACGGCTTGGGGCCTTCTGGAAGGTGCCTATTAATCCAGCTGTAAAGTTGTTCGGCGGAAATTGGTCTGGAGAAGATTTTTGCTTTCAGTGATTACCTCCACGAACAGGGTTAACGAAACCTTACCCACTGAAGTCAAACCTCAACGGTGCATCGTCGACTTTTGCGAAAGGACCAACTGTAGGAGGAAACATGAGCAGCACCGGTGCAGTTTGAAGCATCAGCTGTTACCCCAACCGATCAGCCAAACCCACGTCGCACAATCTAGAACTGTCCAAACCATACCTTCTGAAAAGTCTCTTTACCATTGCTAAAGTCCAGAGTAGCGAGCAGCAATTTGAGCTCATCTGGCCTGGGTCCCTTATTCCAACTCTGCGCGATAAGCTCCCACTCTGGTTGAAATTCGCGGCAAAGGACACAGCCATAGCGAGCATCTGTGGCAGTCAGAAGGACCGCGACATGGTAGTCACGGGGCTTTGAAGTTAAGTCATTATATGTCTTATCCGTCAATTCAATTGGCGCGACGCGAGACATCGACTTGTACTTTTCATATTTATCGGAACTTGGAGAAGTGCCAAGCGCACTGGATGCGATGCAGAGGATGGACGTGATAAGGACAGGGAGTTTCATTCTCTGCAACGTGTATAGGTGGCTGGTTGATGGTTCTGACAAAGTCCGCTTCAAATGATGAAAAAGAAAGTGCCAACGTAGGACAAGTAGGCCGCAATGAACTCGACGAAAGTCTCCAAACCAGGTGATGAATACAGAATTGGTGCTTGGTATTTTCGGTAGATAGTACCTTGGTAACAATCTATCTTGTAGAATAAGTGAAATGACAGGGTATCACCTCAAGCATCTGCAAGAGTCCAGGTGTCCACTACTCTCCTTACACATTACACAGTGCTACTACTAGTACTCCATAGTGACGGCTTGGTACTTGGTAGCACATACTTTAGGAGGCTCCTTCTACTATGAAGTATCCACTACGGATTAATAAATAGAAGTACTTCTCTAGCCGCTGGTTTAGTTTTTCCGACCAAGAAACGCGTTCGCGGTACACGTTATTCGCTACTCTCATATCATAAGAGTGACAGGCCAGGAGTATCTTCTATTGTATATCTTGTGGTTGGATACCATCTCAGCTTCGGTGTCTCACTCTTCTGCTGAAGCAAGTTTTCTTGGCCTTGTCAACCATCACTACCTCAGTACATCTTCCCTTATCTATGGTCCACATGTCAAAGTAATTCCTGGCATGATGGCAACAACATATAATCTTGATGATGTATGTCCACTACCATTTTAAACAGACTTGGAACTCACTCAAATCACCAGTGTGAAATGGCCCTCGCCACAGCGCACTTCGAGCGAGAATATGATCGAACAACGCAGCAGACTATGCATTTCTTAGAAGTTGACCGAGGCCGAATAAAAGACATGCAGCAGCTGCTCTTGCAGTTTGAAAACGAGAATTTGCAGATACAGCTAGATCAGGCCAACCAAGAGCTGGTAAAAAATCGAGAAACTGAATCACAACTTCGTCTGCGGCTCAATCACAGTCAGAATGAAGTGGATCGCTTAAACAATACCCTGCATGTCTCATCATATGAGATTGACAACCTGCGTGTAGGTGCAATATACTCTTTGGACCTGTTGATGAACTTCCTCCTAATGGTATGATAGAACGAGTTAGCATCACTGAGCAACGCTGCCTCCGAGACCACTAAAATGATGGACGAGAATGTTCGTCTTTCTAGAGAATTGGCCAGTCTGCGTTCAGAAATAGAACGTATGAGACGGCATGATACTTCCCTCCAGAACATTGTCGCCGAGAAACAGGCACTGACACGGCAGCTCAGCACGATTGAAGAACAATATGAGAACGAAAAGCGCGCTCACGAACGCACTCAGTCTCGAGAGACACGCCAGGCAGAGGAGATTGTGATGCTGTCATCGAAACTCGAGCAAAAATGCAAGCAACTCGCAGAGCAAACAGAGGCGCTGGAGCTTCAGAGTCGCAGTGCACGTCATCAAATCCTTGAAAGTGATGCTCAACGTGTTGCTCTGGAAGAGAAGCTTGTAAACTTAAATCGGAAATTACGACTAATTAAATATCAATCTCAAGAAGCTCAGAGTGATTCTCACCAGCAGCGCCTCGCTTCGAAAACAACTGTGACCTCCGAGTCTCTTGCGAAACCTCGCGCTGCCCCACTCCAGCGATCAGCCCCCCAGCTCATTCCCGAAATGACTATTGCAACTCCGGGGGCCATACAGCCTCGTAACAAGGGTAAACAACCGTCAGCGTTACCTGGCGACAAATCATCCTTCTCGATCACACCGTTTCTGAAACGCGCAGGCGCGCTTCAGGATACCCCGAGCAGCTCAGACGATGATCTAAATGAACTGCGCACAGTCGCCGGGGGTGCACACACGCCAGAAAAAACCTTCGCCGATAGAACGGGACTGGCTGATAATGCTGCTCTCGGGCGACAAGAGGATGGCAGGATGTCGTCATCCGGCGATGAACTGCGTCCTATAAACATCAAAAAGCCCGGCCGAAAGCATTTCAAAACCAAGGCAACGAGAACATTACCGATAAAGCCACAGTCTCCTCATTCGAGTGATGAGATCCTGACACAAGGCGTGAGTCTTTCTCTCGACCACGCTCCTGAAATTCCCCAGAACAGGCCAAAGAAGCGCAAGTTGGCATATCAACGAGATAAAAACCTGCTAGCAATGGATGAAGATTTGGATATCCTTGAGGTTAGAAAACCAGGACGTAAGCTTGCTTTTGGATCTGGACCCAATCTTTCTGATGGTTCACAGCTGGGTGCCCAGTCCAGTATGCCGCAAACCCTTGGTTTTGGCCCTTCAACAGAATTCTCGCCTCTGAAAAAGGATCGAAAGAGGTTTTAGGCCTTGCAGGGTACCAATCCACTCAACGGCTACTCTTAGTATGATACCCATTGCTCAAATTTCAGCATACAGTGCCTTCACATAAGTTCTAAGGCTTGATCTTCGGGTCCCCTTCTACGTAAGCTAGCTTACTAGTTAGAATATCATACGGAACGTCGCTCGGTAAGCTCTTTGAACTGCATATGTCCAACAGGGTGTAATCACGGCGCCTGGGGTTTTAAGTTAAAACTTTTATAGTATCTGTAATACTACCTATCTATCGGAACGCTTCAGGTCAGCGTAAAAGTTTTGCCCATGTAAGGAAGGTATGCAAATCAAGAAGTTACTTTATGACCATCAGAGATAGAGGTGATACCTCTTGAATATGAGCTAAGTGGGTGCACGCTTCAAGGCATATGCGTATAAACTTGTATATAATTAGCTTACGGTTACCTTGATATTAAACTTACATGCACAGACATCCAGCATGAAAGTGATTTAAGAATAGAGCTACTTTTTATGCTTCTTTCTTCTTTCTTCTCTCTTTTCCGGGTTGGATATGGAGATGTATGAATATTCACATTATTAGGCTTGGTAGCTATTAGAAGATGCTATGGTGGTTGAGCAATTTTATATTCCTCATTAATCTTGTATGCGGTAGTATTTTTATGTTAACCTAAGGCATTGCCCTAAGCTATAGCAGACCAATATCCGTACATACCTAGGTAGACACTATTATCTAAATAGTGTTCATCGACCCTCAAAGCCTGGGTCTTTGAACTTGGCGCCAGGTACACCGTGTTTTATACTGAGCTTCTGTGCTCAACTACTTGCCGTTCCGTAACCTGAGTTCGGTCACCCTTGAGCTTTGACTCTATAATCGAGGCAAAATGTCGCAGGTTATTGTAAGTATCCTTACAGGACCATAATCTGCCTTCTACAATTTCAGAACTGAAATCCGCAAATTTGCGACGTCGCGTCATACCTCTCATGTATCCCAAATTCCCCATGTCATATAGATTGTGGAGTACATAATCAGTATAGTGTCCAAAGCAGACACGTGCAGGTCCACGCGAGGGAAAAACTTCATTCACTAATTATTGATTTGCTTCAAGTTATGTCTATCTAGTTATATACCGAGCACCAAAACTTATTTTCTACATCTTCATTTCATAACCCATTTGGTATAACTTATAATAACACGTAAGAAGACTTAGCAACATGTTCTATTTATCATACTTCAATAGGACTAGAAAGGTTCAGTTGCATGATATAAATACTCTTATATTTAGGAGGCATTCATCCTCAAAGAGATGGCAGGCACGTCAGCTTAGAGATCAGTTCACAAAAGCTGCAGCAGTGCAAGGATTAAAGAGTCGAGCTGCATTCAAATTATTACAGGTATCCATGCTATTTACTTTGCGCCATCTGTTGTCCCATGCTTGTCTACTCACCATCACGCACTTAGATTGATGAGAAGTACCGCATATTCAAGAACGGGCAAACAGTTGTTGACCTGGTAAAGACTCTCATTGCATGCAAAGTTGAATATCACGCTGAAAACATCCATTTTCCACAGGGATACGCTCCGGGCTCGTGGTCTCAGGTTCGCCCTTGATTTTACAACGAAAATTGGACAAAGCCTCTAACTCTTTTGCAGGTGGCTGCAACTCGTACCCAGCCAAATGGACGGGTTCTCGGCGTGGATATAATTCCAGCACAACCACCCAAAGGTGTCTCTACAATACAAGGCAACTTTTTAGACCCCGAGATCCAGGCCTACGTCCAAGAGTTCTTGCGGGACCCCCAAAGGGGCAGACCACGCGCCCTCGGCCAATTTCCGGCTGCTATGCACCACAATCAAGTATTGATTTCAACGACTATCAACAATTCTCTCTTGGGCGAGAGGTCCGAGGCGGATCTGAGGATTGATTCTCAGAATGACCATGCATCAGGAAGGACTGTAGACGTGGTTCTAAGTGATATGTCAGCACCCTGGTATCAAACCACTGGGTTCTGGAAGAGAAGTTTAAGTGACCCTTATAATAGGATGATGAACACAAGCGGCATGAGCTTCCGAGACCACGCTGGTTCAATGGTAAACAACTCCAGACACCAAAATCTATATCACTTGAGCTGACTTGGCAAGGATCTTTGCCGTGCTGCATTGCGATTCAGCTATGACACTCTGAAGGCTGGGGGTCACTTCGTGTGCAAGTTCTATCAAGGAGCAGAAGACAAAGACTTAGAAAAACAACTCAAGGCACTCTTTCAAAAAGTTCACAGGATCAAACCAGAGTCTTCGCGCACTGTAAGCGCCCAAAAGCTCCAAAGAAAGTTGGCACTGTTATGTACTAATTTCTTTTGGGGTAGGAATCCAAAGAAGCGTTCTTTGTTGGTCTTGATAGAAAGTACGATGCGCTAAAAGACGAAGTGTTCAAGCTCATGTGAAGGTGTCGGTGTCTGACAAGGACCTATCATCTGCGGTGTTGTGCATTTCTCCTAGCTCTGGTGCGTACAAGGTCGATCTACGATCATAGATCTTAGATGATTTCTTCGCCCTCATTCTCAAAGGACTCGTCCCATTCGATATCATCAGCTGTTGCCTCTGCTCTCAGTTGGACCTAATATCATGTTAATGATTTATCCAGGTCCCAAGCCAGAGAAAGGATAGTGAACGTTGAAAGGGGACAAGGAGACAATAGAAGGGTCGCGGGAGAGAGAAACAATGGTTTGACTAACCTCCTTCAGGCCGCTTATTTCCTCCACATAACCAGTCTCATTTAGAGCTTTTTGTACAAAAGCCCAACCTTGCTCCTTGTAAGCGCCAATAACATTCTCTGAGCAGGCGCTGCAGCAATTGTAGCTCTTCCCTATCACGGGAATGTTCTCAAACGATGACAGAAATCCTCTGATTTGATGTGGCACAAGGCCCAGCGGATGAGAACCCCGGTCGTCATTCTTCGAGGCTGGTGCTGGTGCTGCGCCACCTTGGGGGTGTTGCAGAACCGAAACAAGGAGCTCAACCAAGAGGGCCGATGCTATGGCGGCTATACCTGGTCGAGTGACGGTGCATTGCTGATCAAGTGTCTGATCCTTTACGGACTTATCAAAAGAGTCAGTCGCATTTCAGTGCCGTTTTTGGATATGACTTACGTTCATCGGTGCGACTACGTCATTGCAGAAATAGCATCCCAGCTCCGAGCTTGGATCCGCATCGTTCTTCATACCATGTCGCATGACGACGAAGGAATCAAAGCCAAGAGCTGCATTCATCACGATCTTGGAGGCTGCTTTACCCATGACCGTCGGGAGCCAGCGCGATTCTCTTGTATCCATAAGAAGAAAGATGACATCATGTTCATCGATCAAGCCCTTGAGAACTTCAAATTCCTTCCGGGTCTTCTCTGTGTCGATAATTGGGTGGCCGGCCATCGGCACTGATAGAACATGTCCTGTGGCTTCGACCCCAGGGTATATCTCTGACAATGCTTGTGCAGCTCTAGGGGCTTTTCTAGCTCCCCCTTCCAGGCAGTCAGAAAAATTGAAAAGTGGCTGCCTCACCGGATTCGAAAATGATACATTTCCATTGTCCACAAAAGTTATCTTTCTGACTCCCCAGGCCTGTCATTACTCTCAGTGTTTGTAACATATCAATGATTGTTAGCAGTTCAAATGAGCATACCATTAGATTTCGAGCGACATAGCTTCCCAAAGTGCCTGCCCCAAGTAAAAGGCATTTAGTATGCTTGATCCTTTCAAGATCAAGTGCTGGGCTGATCCGCCATTTCATGAGTTTCAGGTTGAGATCAACGGACTGGTCTGCCAACCTGGCCATAGAAACGTAGGGTTAGATGATATATGTCGTCTGAAGCTACGCAACACAGACTTACCTCCTGGGGTCCAGATATTCTGTGAGATCCACTAATCTCCCTGTAAGCTTTCCGGCCGTGTTACGCTCCCAGCCGGTTACTTTCGGCATGTCATTGATCGCAGTCTCTAATGGAGCCTGTTCCTTCTGCTTCATCGTTAATATCATACTGCGGCCCTTTCCGCGTATGGTATCACGATATCTCAGGATTTGTACTCTTTGCAAGCCCCATCGTTGCTTCACAAGCACCAGCAGATTTCTTAGCATCCAGCCTGGCGCATTATCAAAGTTTGATGGATCCACAAAACCAAGAAAGCAGTCGTCGGAATCTGCATCTTCAAAAAACCCGCTTTCATAAGCCGCCAGCGAATCTATCTCCCAAATGTGGTCGCTTATCCGTGGGGAAGGATTATTGATATTTCTGGCATCTCCTTCAATGTTTGGACCAACGTTGTCACCGGATGTGCGGGACCTCTTAGCGAGAAAAAAACCTCGTTCATGGGCACGAACGCCGCGGGCCCAGGCCTGAACGGCTTCCGAGAGTGTCGAATCTTCGGCACTGGACAAAAACGCCAGCGCCTCGCTTCTCGTTTGGATGTGAGATTCAACCCCCTTGGAAGTGACTGTGTCAGGAGTCCAAGGGGGCTCTGAGTGGAGTGCAGGGAATGCAAACCAGTAATGAAACTTGTACTTTTTGAGATCGGCATATGATAGAATTATGAAGGAGGACAACAAGGAGGGACACAAGTAGATGCTGCCATCCTCTATTGCATTCCATATCTTGAACGAATCTAATCAGCATGACTCGATACAACAAAGGCATGGCAAATGCTGACCATCTTTCCGGCCTGTTGGAGAACCTGCGATTTATCTATGTTCCGATATTCTTCAATGGTATTGAGATTCTTGATGGTCCCCTCGGCTCTGTAGTAGCCAGCCGGCACTCTGGATTGATTCTCGATCAGGGATCACAATCATAATCACTGCATAATAAGATGATACACGATGGAGACTCTGGAAACAGAGGGTTGTAGGCAGTAAACTCACTCATCGCTGATCAAGGCATTTCCGTGTATCTGCATCCGACAAGAGTTATTTGGCGGGTCTGCAGGACGTAGTTCGTACAACCCCAATACTTTGCGGGCAGAGTCATCGAGTTTGTCCCGGTTGATTTTCAGCGAAGCTAGAGCCGTATAGAACGGAAGCTCTATATCTGAAGCAAATGGCGCGTACTGCATATTGTATGAATTCCACTGTTTGCTCAAAACTTGGGCGTTCTCGCGGATGTGTTGAGGAGCCAGTTGTATTCTAATGAGGGGTAGCTTCTGTTGCAGAGTGAAAGACTTCGATCATTATTATATTTTTAATTGTTGATCGACACTTTCCTCCACGCGACTCCAGAAGCGAGTAATGAGGCTTAGGAATGGCGTTTATGAGCATGTACTGTCTTCTAAGTACCTAGAGTAGCTGTAGCTTTGGAGGTAGGGGCAGGAGGACGAGTCGATAACTATCTCCGTACCCCTCACGGTCCCTAGTCATCTTGGCTTACCTACTACCCAGGTATCTGAGGGACCACGAGACCCTATCACTCGACTATATGTACCTAACGTACGTATCACTATTCGAATTACTTTGTGGATACTATCTAATAACTCCCAATATCACAGGAGATAGATTGGACACCAAGGACTAGAATCTAGATAAGGTAGATACTATGTTAACTACTCCGTGCTGGCTGGACCAAGGCCATCTGTGCATGGAAGAATATGGTCTTGTGGAGACTACTGGAGAGCCATTTTATTGCTGGTGGATCGTCTGATATGCTAACCAAGGTAGTATGCTTCTCCAATAATGGTCAACTGGCCAAACCAAATCTTTCAGTCGTATCTCTCGAACTGATCAAACAAAATCATCACCTGGCCCAGAATTTTTATCTCGGTCACTAATTTATTGTTTATTGCCGCGTTATGATCTTGTCTTTCTCCTCTCCACCTGGATTTCTTCATTTCTCTGCAACAGATAAAGGATGTTAATTGGCTTATGCGGAGGTCAGCTGAGATTTTTTTCTCTATCATTGTTGATTCTTGTAGGGGAGTACATCAAGCCAAACAGCTACTAATATCTGTGTGAGGAAAGGAATATGCTCGGGCAAGCATGCCATTGCACAATATCTTATTGAACATCATAAATTCCAGCTCCTGGAGTTGAGTGGTAGACGCTATCCTCAGATAGCCGATGAGCCGGATGATGATCTTCGTTTACAAGCTTCAGAAATCCGCAGGCGGGGAGATGGTTCCTCAGCGGAGTTTGAGTTCGAAAGTGCTGAAACGCTCCTAGACTTTGCAACAAAGAGATGGCAGGAGTGTTGGGTGACCACTGATATCTGGGATGCTGTCACCATAGATCGCTTTCTTCAACGCCCGTTCTTCCTTCTCGTAAGTGTTGATGCTCCTGTCAGCCTTCGATGGAAGCGCTTCACAGATAGGTAAGTCCCAATCAACAGCGATTACTGTCGCAAATGAACATCGCAAAGACCGGCTGTTAACATTGCGCTAGATGCAAAAGGCGACAGCTCCATCCGCCGGTGCTCGAGAAATTCGTTCTCTGGAATGACCGACATCTCTATGATAAGGACATCGGTCGTGCCTACCTGACTGACCGCGCCCATGTGCGCTTGTTCAACTCATCTTCTTCGCTGCAAGACTTGCATGCTGCTCTAAAGGCCGTGGATCTTGCTGATGATCAACGCTTGCGCCCAAATTGGGATCAGTATTTCATGCAATTGGCTGCACTTGCAGCGCAGAGGAGTAATTGCATGAAGAGAAGAGTAGGCTGTGTACTTGTCCGTGAGCGCCGTGTAATCAGCACCGGATACAACGGTACCCCTCGACATCTCACCAACTGTAATGAGGGCGGATGTATGGAACCCCTGGACTTACATTTTCTTTCTTTCGCATCTTTGCGCACTTGACTGGTAACTTACGGATCTGTAGGTCCACGATGTAATCGTGGCGAAAGAGGGGGCGTTGGCCTATCGACTTGCCTTTGTCTCCACGCTGAAGAAAACGCCTTGCTGGAGGCTGGCAGGGAACGCATACGCGAAGGCTCAATACTCTATTGCGATACGTGAGTCTTCCCTGCTCTGTTGATTGCGATCCGCAGTACTAACCACAACACTAGGTGCCCTTGCTTAACTTGCACTGTCAAGATCGCTCAAGTTGGTATTTCGGAAGTCGTTTATTCCCAGGGATATAATATGGATCAAGAAGTTTGTTTTGAAAGCTTCATTGAAAAGATATCCCAGCTAACTAGGGAAACAGAGTGCTGCAATCTTAAAGGCCGCTGGAGTATGCCTGAGGCAGTTCTCCCCAGTGAGTCACATATTACAAAAATCAATAGTGACCCATGCTAACATGGAATAACAGCCTCGGAACGGGCTCATATACCTTCAAAGTCCTGACGCCACATCTCAGAGTCGATGATTATCTGATCGCGATGGTCTCACGTAGACAATTTGCTTCTAAAACATTGATTATATGTTCTTATGGGCAGCTACAAAGTCCAATGGATGTTTTACCTGCCAATATCTTTCTCTTCTTTGAGCAATATTGTTACAAATCTATCAGTACCTACTGATACAGTGCGGGAGTTTACCTATTATACTCCAAACAAGTTCTTTGTGTAGTACCAGTTCCCTATGTTATGTACAGAGGTGTGGTGCAAAAGTATCTGGGCTGCTAGTAAAATTAAATGTAATAGTTTTACATAGCTTATACACTAAATTTACTAGGAAGAGCTATTGATCAACTATCTTCTCTAGTTCTTCTAGTTTCATTAATTTCTTACTGCTAGACTTATACTAATTTGAAGCTATTCACAACCCCTTTTCTCTATCAAAATAGATTTAACAGAGCATTCAGCCCACCTTAGTAGCCTGCCTACCTGCCTGCCTACCTGCCTGCCTGCCTGCCTACCTCCCTGCCTGCCTGCCTGCCTGCCTGTGAATCTCTGTGCTGTACACCCTGAAATCTACAGAAAAGGAAGCTAAAGATGTGTATTACTTATTTAGATACTATATATACTTAAGCCCTTACCTTACTAACTATAAATATTAATATTAGAATAGTAAGGAGCTCTCTTTAGCTTCCTACTTAGATAATTTATAACTAGGTTAAAAAGGCTATAGATTATAACTATAAATCAGAGATTAATCTATATATCTTCCCTAAATATATATAAGATAGGAAGTGTACAGGCTACCCTAAGGAGATTACTAAAGCTACTAAGTAGGCTATCCTTAAATTAATAAGAAAGGATTAAAATAAGTATAAAAAATTATTTAAAATACTTATATTTAAAGTTAGTATCTCTTATTTTACTATTTTATATATCCTAAAGAAGCATAGGCTTAAGATAGTAAAAATAACTATAAAGCTAGATCTAACTAATAAAATAAAATAAAAAAGACTTCTCTTTTATCTTACCTATAAAAATTAGATAATTAAAGATTAGAAAAATATAATATTTATAGATAAAACCTCTATCTCTCTAGGGCAGCAGTATAAAGCCCTATAAGTCTAGTATATAAATAAGAAGAGAGATAATTCTACTATTATATATTAATAATAGAAGGGAAGTAGTAATTTTATAGTATAAGAAGTATTCTTTTATAATAAGAAAGGACCTCTTTATATCTAAGCTCTAGAGATAGCTTAAGATAAGAGGCTTACTTAGCTAAAGATAGAAGCTTTAAATTAGGAGCTTAAGCCTATATAAAAGACTAAATAGAAGATAAAAGTTATCTTAGTATATCTAAAGCTTCAGAATAATAAGATACCTAGCTATCTACCTAAGTAGAAGTAGAATAAGAAGAATGAGCTACTTATATAAGATTTAAAAGATAGTATTAACTAGTATAGATATTATAAGATAAGTATTTCTTTTTCTATTAATTTTACTAAGAAAAAGATACTAATTAGTTAAATCTTATATCTATCTAGGAAGTCCTTATCCCTAAGCTAATACCTTTTACTAAAGAATGCACCTCTATATAACTAAATATAATTATTTTTAAAGATTTAGCTCTAGCTTATTATTACTATTTCTAGTAGATAGTCTATTAGCTTTATAAGGTTAAGAAGATCCTTAACTAACTAAGGAATTTACTAAATCTAAATACTATTAAGCTAGCCTAGCTATAGCTTAAATAATATATAACTTCTTAAGGAGCTCCCTATAATAAGAAGATAGGGAAAGAGGCCTAGATAAAGATATAGAATAAGCTCTTATAGAAGTATATTTAATAGTGGATTAAGTATCTAATCTATTATATAGAGCTTATTATTTAGCTAGAAGGAGGGAATAAGTATAAGGAAGGCTATATAGATAAAGATAATTAAAATTAGAAAGGCTATAGGCAAAAGGGGAAGCTTTCTATAAGATAGGATCTCTTATCTCTTAAAATTCCCTAAGATATAAGCTTTTATTAGTGTGAATAGCTTTAGATTTAATTATTTTATCTATCCAGAGAAATATCTTATCTATAGAGCTTTTCAGTAGAATCTATTAAAGTTAACTCCTATATAAATTACTATGTGTTGTGACTTACCTTAATTTTATAGCTAAGCTTACTAGCAGCCTGGATACTTTTGCACCACACCTCCATACATCCAGGCAGATGCGATGAAACAAGTGAATGAGTTATACATATATTTCTCTACTTTCTGTCATTACCTGGTTAACTTGAGATTCTTGAGAGGAATGTACACCTTCCTTATCCAACTGAAGCTTACCTTAATACTTAGGTACCTTAGGTTGTCATCTACTTTCACATTATCCAATCATCACTTTGTTCAAACATGGCGGTTTTCCACCCGCCGGCAGAAAAAGCCCCAAAAATGGAGGGGGAAAAAATGAGAGAGAAGGGTATGACTCAGCGTGTCATCCATCCATAGTGGGGTGAAAGATTGAAGGCAATGATAAATAACTACTTCTTCCCTCAATTTCTCTCTTATCCAAGATTCGAAAGTCCGGCAGAAGGAGTTTAAGAATCCGATTCTTTAACGGGCCATTACCTATTGCGCGGCAAGGTACCAAGTTGCCATCATGCCCACCGTTCATCTGCTTGACTATGTTGCAGGGAATGTCAGGTCGCTAGTGAATGCAATCAATAAAGTTGGCTTTGAGGTCGAATGGATCACATCGCCAGCTGATATAAAAAATGCCGAGGTGCGCTTCTAACTCCATTGCGATATATTCTATGCCGTTAGATATGTCAGGACTGATACGAAATCGCAGAGACTCGTGGTCCCTGGGGTTGGCCATTTTGGCCATTGCCTTTCCCAGCTTTCCGAAGGCGGCTACCTTGAACCGATCAAACAGCATGTAGAGTCGGGCAAACCTATCATGGGAATCTGTGTTGGCCTACAGGCCCTTTTCGAGGGCTCCGAAGAAGACCCCGACGTCCCTGGCTTGGGAATTGTCCCTATGCGAATGAAAAAATTCAACGCCGACACGAAGAGTGTGCCTCACATCGGCTGGAACTCTGCTCTTAATACGAGTTCGGAAAGTCAGACCTTTTATGGTTTAAACCCGGAGAGCAAGTATTACTACGTCCATTCATATGCCGCCCTCTATCAACCTGGTGTGCTCGAGAAAGATGGTTGGTCAGTTGCTACCGCTACATACGGCGACCAGGAGTTTATTGGCGCCATTGCACGGGGAAACATATTTGCAACGCAGTTTCACCCCGAGAAAAGTGGACAGGCTGGACTACGGACCCTCCGGGCTTTTTTGAATGGGGATAGATCTCAACCGATTGGAGAAGTATGTTCGGGTGAGAAGCCAAAGGGTGATGGACTCACGCGAAGGATTATCGCCTGTCTCGATGTCCGTACGAATGACGATGGTGATCTTGTCGTTACCAAAGGTGATCAGTACGACGTCCGAGAGAAGGTCGGTATGGGTGCTGGTGGCCAGGTAAGAAACCTCGGGAAACCGGTTGACATGGCAAAGAGATATTATGAGCAAGGCGCGGATGAGGTCACGTTCCTCAATATCACATCCTTCCGAAACTGCCCGGTCGCAGACACACCAATGCTGGAAATTCTGAGGAGGACTTCGGAGACCGTCTTCGTTCCCCTGACTATCGGAGGAGGCATCAGGGACACTGTTGATCCAGACGGCACCCGCATCTCCGCTCTCGATGTGGCCACGATGTATTTCAAGTCTGGTGCTGATAAAGTTAGTATTGGATCAGATGCCGTCATTGCAGCTGAACAGTACTATACATCTGGCGAGAAATTGACGGGCGAGACTGCTATAGAGACGATCTCCAAGGCTTATGGAAACCAAGCCGTGGTCGTGAGCGTTGATCCCAAACGAGTCTATGTGTCAGATCCCAGTGACACCAAGCACCATACGATCAGGACAAAGTACCCGAACTCTGCAGGACAAAGCTATTGCTGGTATCAGTGCACGGTGAAAGGCGGAAGAGAAACTCGAGACTTGGATGTCCGGCAGCTGGCTAGAGCCGTGGAGGCAATGGGCGCGGGCGAAATCCTCTTGAATTGCATTGATAAGGACGGAAGCAATAGTGGATTTGACTTGGAGCTGATTGATGATGTCAAGGGTGCCATCAAAATCCCCGTAATTGCATCAAGCGGGGCAGGTGTGCCTAAACACTTCGAAGATGTCTTTAGGTATACAACAACAGACGCGGCTTTAGGTGCTGGAATGGTATGCATGGTCCCCTTCCTCCTTTCTTCACAAGCTGATGCAGTTATAGTTCCATCGTGGCGAATACACAGTGGGACAGGTCAAGGAACACCTTCAAAATGAAGGGTTCTTAGTTCGCAACTTTGAGGCTGGTCCTAATTAGAAGCATGCGAGGAGATATCACGGATTGTGCACTCTGCTCTGAGACTTAGTTGTGGTACAGCCACCAACTAAAAACGTCCTGTAAGAGTAGATGCTCCCAGATATAGAAATGTCTGTAAATATAAGCATAACTTGTCAATGTAGAATTTACTTCAACGACGTCATTTCCAAATCTATCGAAGGAGTCATGCTCTTGAATATAGTGAATTACTTTGTAGAGTGGAATGGAAGAGTTGACGTGAACCGTGACCGGAGAAAGTCAGCTGACCTGGAAAGCATTTACCGCCTTAGCATATGACTTCAAATTCATATGGGTACATCCACACATCTGTATACTCTTCACTCCCTGGTTACTCTTGAGATAATTACGGCCGCACTCCGTTTTCCACGCGGAGAAAGAAGCGATTTTAAATTAGCCCTTTGATATCTTACCCTGATTCGGATGGGTTGACTATCTACGACTTTGCTACCTTGACTTTTCCAGACAAGCTCGTGGACGCCACCATCAAGTCGAACACCTTCGTCCAACTTCAGCAAATAAATCACTAAGTTCATCAAAAACAGACGCCAGGTATCCGTGGATTTCTCAATTCAGGCTCAATCATTCAACCTTTCTTAGATACTTAGCCAGGAGATAATTCAAGTGTGAGCTCGAGTTGCAGGAGCAAGTGGGCCTGTGTCAGTAATTTTATTGATGGATTGACAGAAGCCCTGCTTTCTACTCAGCTCACTACATTCGCTCCAAGATATCGGCTTGTCGATTGTCTCTCAATCTGGCCCTGGCTTGTCCATGTGCTCTGGTTTGCGCATTTAGCGCTCGATTCCTGTCAGCTCCGAATTTAACTTGACTCCGAGCATTATTGCTCTCTCAACTCCCGTCACTTGATCTCTGGACTTTTCCTTTGAAGAGAGGATTCTTAGAGTCATCATCTGTCATTTGGCGATCTGCCACCTCTTACAGTGTCGCTTTCTTACCGTGGTTCTTGTCACTTGTATTCTTCAGTCTGAAGAAAGTGGTACCCCTTTTAATTTTGATCTAATTACATTCACAAACACACTTTCTGGACGCGCAATCAATACAATGTCATCCTCTGTTCACTTCAAGTTCAAATCTCAAAAAGAACCTTCAAGGGTAACTTTTGATGGAACTGGTATCTCTGTTTTCGAATTGAAACGTGAAATTATCAATCAGAGTAGACTGGGTGATGGGACAGATTTTGAATTATCTATATACAATGAGGATACAGGCGAAGGTAAGCTCTGCAGCTCCATATTCATGGATTTGATTCGGTTAGGAGGACAGACCAGCAAGAGGAAGGATTAGACGGTGGAAGAAGAAAGCCTCAGTACTGACTTTTCGGCAGAGTATGATGATGACACTACAATCATTCCACGATCTACCTCTGTCATAGCTCGAAGGTTACCTGCCGCGCGACCTGGTAAAGGTGGTGCTGCGCGCTATGTCTCTGGGAAAATGCCGGTCAATGCCCGCAACGTACCCCGGACTGATGTTCCAATGTCGACTAGAGTGACATCAAGCTCGAACAATACCGTTAGCAACAGTGTTTTGGAACTCAATAATGCCCAGACCGAAGAAGAGAAGATCAATGCGCTCTTTAATTTGCAGGCCAACCAGTGGAAAGAGCAACAGCAGGAGATGGCAAAGTACGTCCATATCCACAAATCATACGGCTCATGCAATTTATACTAAAATACTGTTAGTGCCACGCCTGTGCCATTCGGTCGTGGAAGGGGCAAGCCTGTCAACGTTCCCGACCACCCTCCGCCTCCCGGGTATCTCTGCTATCGATGTCGAGAAAAGGGTAAGAAAGATTTCTATCTCCAATTTGAACAAGCTGGGTTCAGTAACTGACTTGGCTATTAAGGCCATTGGATTCAAGCATGCCCGACGAATAATGATCCCAAATTCGATGGTAAATACCGAGTAAAGCGGTCTACGGGGATTCCCCGGTCTCTTCAGACTAAGGTAGAAAAACCGGAATCGCTGGCATTGGATGGATCGAATGAAGATCTCAGAAATACAGGTGTCATGGTCAATGCAGATGGTGATTTCGTCATTGCAAAGCCAGACAAAGCAGCTTGGGAATTGTACCAGGAAAAAGTCAAAGCATCCTCGGCAGCGGCAGCTGAAGCAGCGGCAGCAGAATACAGCAAAGAATTGCAATCCTGGGGTTTGGAGTGCCCAATTGATAAGCGAATGTTTCTAGAGCCCACTAAGACACCATGCTGCCAGCGAACTTATTGCAATGATTGTATTACCAATGCATTGATTGAAACTGATTTTGTTTGCCCCGGCTGTGCAACGGAGGGCGTTTTACTCGACAACCTTTCTGTGGACGACGACGCTATCTCGAAAATTAAAGCCTTTGAAATTGAAAAAGCAGATTCGAGAAGAGAAAAAGAAAAAGCATTGACGACGCCTGATAGTCAAATCGATTGTAAAGGGTCTGATTCAGAGAAACATGCCGCGACACATGCAGAACCTCTTTCGCCGTCGTCAGTCAACAGTGCAGCGAATACAACTTCAAAGAAGCGACCAGCTGAAGATCATCCTCCAAACACTGACCTCGGCCATTCACACATGGATGTCTCAAAGAAACAGAAGGCGGAACCTATCACTGAATTGCCAACTGAGCCCGCGGATTCACAGGCCAAGAGCACCTCTAATGAAACCACATTCCCACTCAATCAACAAATGCCTCCTGGTTTTGCATTTATGCAGTCACAGAACATGTCAGGTATGCCCTTTGCCCACGCCGGGTATATTAACGGAGGAATGGGGTTCATGAACCCCATGGGCCTTCCAACAAATGGGTTTCCGAATGCCATGAATCAAGCATGGAATCCCATGAGCACAATGGGGTTTGATCCACTTCAAACCGGGATGTATGGCAATCAGCCAAATGGGGCGGCGGATGCCTATGGTCAAGCGAATATGTATAGCAACATGGGCAATCCATCCATGCAGGTACTACCCATGAACCAGATGGCAGGCTCAATGCCACAGAATGCTGGCTTTCAATCCCAGGGACCAGGCATGGGTCACTTCTCGAACCAGCAACGGACCTCATTCAGCTCACCATTCGCCAGAGAAGAAGATTCGCCGTACTTTCGCCAACCCGTCAATCCCCAGCGGCACCAGGGAAGACACCGAAGAATAAGACCGAGTGATTACCGTGAGTTATGAGGAGAGTATTGCGAGATACATGTATACTGCCGGCGCTCAAGTCCAGTCATAACCGGTCCTGCATTTTTTTGCATCTTAGCTTGTCATGTCACATGATATGATTCCATCAACCTCTCAGACCTTTCTATGAATATATCTTCTATCCATGTGTGGGCGTGCGGCTTGCTCACTCTTTTGTCTGTCATCTCTTTTTCCATACCTCTCTTTCATTTCCTTTAGTTCTTGTATCCCCTTTCTGTATCTGGCGAGCGCAGTGCTGATCGTCTTAAATCAAGTGACTCAATACCTGTATTTACCCCTCATGTGGTCTAGCAAGTACACAGCAGAAACAGAGACGAAGATAGGCAAAGACTCGAGTATTCCCTATGCAGTATTCGCATGCTTCCCGAAATTGCCTTACTGAATGAGTATCAATCATTATACTGAGCGTCTCAGACGACCATCGCAACTATTTGGGGGACAGACGGATAGTAAACAGTTATATCCAGATGATCTATCCAACTTTGTAGTAGGTCCTATAAATAGTACGAAGTTATGTACCTGCCTATTATATCAATTCAATACTTATCTTATTGTTGGGCATTCATTGGCTATACCTAGGTTCATCTGTCTTCTCATCCTCGTGTCCTCATTTCCTGTTCATCATCTGTTTAAAAGGGAAAGACGAAGGAAGCCGGGCCATATTTCAACAACAATTTCTGTAACTGCGAGCGAAGAAGTGATGTCGGGGTACCTTTAGGTGAGTGGTGAATATGTAATACTGTAATTTGGGGATTTGGTGCTAGGTACGGAGTACAGAGTACATGAATATATCACATGCGTACCGAACAGATCTGGGTACAAAGTTACTAATGGCGTAATATATTCTGCTATGTACTTACGGAGTACTGTGTAGGTAGGTACCTTAAACTAGTACGGAGTACTCTGTATGGAGCACAAGCATGCAATACCTAATTGTTACTTACCTACTTGGGATAGTCACCTGCTCTGTACATAGGTACCAGAGGCAGATACCTAGCTAGTTGGGTATGTTATCATCGTAAATACCACTTGAAAATCTTAAACCGCGTATTACTCTGTAAGATATTGTCAATTGATTGATGGGCGGGGAGTGACTAATCCCTAGGGGGTTCATGACAATTGACAACCCAACGTCTCAGGCAATAATATGATTTCTCCTTTCTGACAACCACTATCAGTTATCAGCTCACATCGAAAGTTGACACCTTCGTCAAATCTTTTCTCTCTCAATCACCCAACTTGTCAAATAAGTGCTACTATCATACCTCTAGAACTCACTTCTTTGACGTGGAAAAGAAATAAGTCTTCATCTTAGCACGCACAACTCATCATTCTCAAGTTTCAGTCTTCAAGGAAAAACCGTCACTATGACTAAATCCCTGAATAATCAAAGTAGTAATACCAAACAGCTTCAACAGCTGCTTGATAATACTGAATCTAGTGTACTTGCAAGCTGCTACAGTGTCGACGCCTTGACTTCCACGATTGGCGGCTTCCACTACTGCACTACCCCGGGGGCTGGTAAGATTTTCTTCACCATCTCGGTCTTCTCGCTATGGCAATTTCTGACTTTCCTCGTCATGGATTAGGAGCACAGTGGTATCCCTGAGGTTCCCTCAGGATCAGAATCCCTTTCAAGCCCTCCCCACTCTGTCCGCATTTCTCCTCGCACGGAGAACAGCTGGCCGAGCAATAATTTGTCCGAATTTAGAGGGGAGGCAGCGTATACCATTCCGGAAGAGTGTGAGAGACTCTTCTGTGACAAACTGTCTGCGATCTTCACTGGTGAGATGAAGCTCGCGCGGCAAGTGTCATCTGGGATGGATGCGTATCAGATTCGGTCAAGCCAGATTGAATTAGAGCAAATTCGAATCCAGACTTGGGTTGAAGTCTGGAATTACACCGGCGATGCGATATATCGAGGCTTTCTGACCGACGCAAACAATGAACGTACTTTGTTCTTGTTCTTCGGAGACGATGCGCTGGGTCATAACCTCAAAGCGGGGTATGTCCGTCCATAGGAAGACTTCCAGCTCTTTTGCTCAAGACTCCCAAGCAGAAAATGCTCACGCCCGCTTTTTAGTTTTCTTGAAGACTGACGTTTTGCTTTTATCCAGGTTGATTGCCCTGTTTGAATTAGCTAGCACGCCCGTCTTTGACTGCTCTCAGATTGTTGCTTGCATTCCTCGTTCGCGGGAGGTGGCAGAATCTGACATCGTAAGAAACCTTTCTTGGTGTGGGTTCAATTTGACTACTTTGAAACCCTGGGCTACCAAGCATCGCGTCGAGCAATGTTTGAGTACCATGTGGCTTTTCCTTTGCGCAGAGGTTTGACCATTTTTACCAGATGATCAACCTGAACCACTTGGTTTTCATGATTGTCCCACATCATCGTTGTCATTGCGCTAAGTGATTTTGTCACTTTGGCAGCCTGATTGATCATCTCCATGTGTCCAGCACTGCTTTTCTACAGTCTTACTTCAAGTAGACCTTCTTCTTCCTAGGATGGACAGGTGTTTATAAATAAACCAGAAGAAAGCACAGTTGGGCGCAAATACCAGCACATCCTATTGCATAATCTATCATTTCCGTGCTTTTTTTGCCAAGGCGTTTTCAGTTGGAATCCACCAAACCATGTCCAGGAGATGAATCTTAGTCGTTCCTTAGTTAAAAAACAATAGAGAATGATATCAGCAGTCATACAGATAGGAAAAATATTGTCGGTAGATCACTTAAGGAATCGGACTTCGTGGGATTTTTTCTGGGTGACTATCGAGTCTATGACCTCAGCATGGACAGCCGCTGAACCAAGCTGGTACAGCTGCTGCGTAGAGCCTCCCTCTTGCTCCATAGTCTGCTGACGACCTATCTAGGTGATCTCTGTCGGTAATTCAAAAACTAAGAAACCTCAATTTTGGACAGAAAGAGTATGTTTCCTAAGTTTTTACTACCATCGATAGTCTTCCATCCAAGACGTCAAAATGCAGCAGATAATACGTCGCCGAAGCCAATACCATCAGATGAGGAAAGCAACGACAATCAGTATCTGACCGTCCATATGTCGTGCCTTCATTGCTCAAGATGCGCAGCAGATTTATGCCTAACATCCCAAATCATTAGCAAAGGCTTTACTGGCCGCCATGGTCGCGCATATCTCGTTTCAGGAGAGCTTGTCGCCAGGGCTGTCTCCTTGACCGAATCATCTTCACCGAATGTTTCGCTTCCAAACACAGTGTTACGAAGGCCAGTAGCTCGTCAGCTGGTCACCGGTCTGCATAGTATTAGCGACATATGTTGCGCATTCTGTGATAGTGTTCTCGGTTGGAAGTACGTATCTGCGGAAGAGGAGTCGCAGCGATACAAAGTTGGCAAGTTCATCTTGGAAACAAGACAAATCACCAAGTCATCAACGTGGGAAACACCGCTAGGAACAGAGCCATCTGTATCGCTTGCACCACAGAGTTGTGCTGAGACAATGCCTTCAATAAGTGAGGAAGACGATCATATTGAATTTGATAGCGAGGATGAGGACGAGTGCGAGGACCTCTTTACTGGCGTTTGGAGCCCTAGTCTGGCCTTACGCAGGAGAAATCGCAAGTTGGATCGCCGCCCTTCGTTATTTGGATTTTCACCATAACGAGCACCGTGCTCGGCGATTTATGAAGCTGGGCACCTCTATAAACCGAGCAAATGTTCTCAAGATGGGGAAGCTTTTGGTGTTTCGGTTCACTTCTGTCACTTCTAAGCCAGCGCTGTTCTTGATCTGATGATGATATTAGCGACAAAGGCACATGATCTTTCGATTGTATTAAGAGCGCAAATACTCCATGGACTATCCACATCCTAAGACACTGCCGACCATGAATTTTGGGTATCATACGATAAACTGGGAATAAAAGCCTCCTCCCATTCAGATAAAAAGTGCTCCACAGATGAACACCTTAGCCAAGCAACAAAAGGAAACGTACTGGCCCTGGTCATGGGAAACAGTAGTCAGAATCCATCAATGATTGCGCTCCGTGCGTGGCTTCTTCGCACTACTGGCATCCTCAGCTTCTCTTGAGGTTGGACGTTTGTGACTAGACTCAGTTGCTGATAAGACTTGACCGGGCTTTCTCTTCACAAGTGCGGACAAATCGTTTGCATCCTTCGTAACAGCATCCAGCCGTGCTTTCTGATCAGCAGGAGATTGACCGACAATCTGGCCCAGAATACCCTTGAGTATGGCATCATTTCCGTCATTTTGTTGCTCAATCGAGACAAGTGGACGACGAAGATCTGAGAGCTGCGAGTGCCAGAAATGACATATGAGCAAACAATGTGCAATAGCTCTTGTTTTCAGGTAGGGACTTACCCTCTGTTCCATGTCTTCGATGATCTCTCTCACGTTAGCTATCTTCCTCCTTAGAGCAGTCGCCTTGTCTTCGTCTAATCCACCAGGTGCATTCAATTTTTGCTGTTCCTGGGCCATTCTAACTCGACAACTCTCAATGGCCTTCTCCATTTGAGTTGCAGCCTCCTCTCTCATATCTTCGTCAACTTTGTCGTGCCCGTCGCTTTCCCCTCTTGCGGATTCTCCATTCTCTTTGTTGACCGAGGCGAATTCTAGTGCGAGTGAAAGTTTATAGTGGCACTCAGCAACGGAAGGGTCTTCCATTGGAAACAATGATCGCCTCAATCCAAGGGCAGTTCTGAGGTCTGCAACAGCATCCGAAAATCGTTCTGCTTCGAGCGAAATCTCCGCCTGCAGATCATAAGTATCTGCGAGACGCTCCGTGATATGCTTGAGGTTAGGTGGCAGATTTGCAGATTTCCCTTTCTCACAGTGTTCCTCCTCAAAGGCCAGTTTTTTGTGGTAAAGTACGCGAGCGAGGTCGAGCACCTCGAAGGCATTGGCAAAGTCATCTTCCTCCTCGTCACCACCATCTGGACCTTCATTGTCCTCTTCGGGCTCCGATTCTGAGTCCTCGAAATTCTCGTCACCACTGAAATGGAAGAATGGTTTGCTAGGAGTTTTCGTCAAGCTGGATTTCGGTTCGGCGGATACTTCCGATCTGGCACCCTCAACAGCGATTGCACTCTTGATGATGTTGTCATCATCAGACAATTTTGCAGACGGTTTGATGCCACTTGCAGGTACGTTCCTGGATGGAGCTTGAGGTTCTCCAGCTACCTTTGATCCGAGGACATCACTCTTGCTCACAGCCACATTATATAAAGCTTTGCCGTAGGAGAACAGCAGATCGGCATTATCGAGGGACAATTCGCCATTTAATTCAGCTTGAAGCTCCGTTGCCTCAGAATAGAGCTCCGCAGCCACATTGAAGTCCTTGATCGCATCTTTTGCCGCGGCTCGGGTGATCAGTTCTTGTAGACGGATGTGTCTTTCCTCGGTCATATTGTCCGGCGCAGCTAAGTCTGTTTTCGTCGAACTGGGTTCTGTCATGATGATAGGAGAGATGACTCTTTATGATCGACAAGATTGGATTGAGGATCAGAAACGCAAGATATTGGTGGAGAGTTGAGGCAGAGCCAAAGAGAGAGCAGCTGCTTTACCAAATCTGGACTTAAGCAATCAAAAAGTTTGGAGTTCACAGACACGGTCGCGTGTGCGGGGCACGCGCAAACGCGCGTCAATTTCTACAATGTCCAGAGTACCTCTCTCTCATCATCACTACAGAATAGTATATCCTTTCCCAGATCAATTGTGATATGATACTATAATGTGAAAAGATCGTCTTATACGCGAAACTCCTCTTATAAATCCTTCATCGGAGTCTGTTTCACTTTGGATTTTCAGTGTATAAGAACAGTCGGGGGGGCAATCGATCTTCGCAACCCTCTGATATTAACGATGAGTCGGACACCGCGACCTGATGAATGTCACGAATTTCGTCTGGATTCAGATCCACCCTTCTCGTCGTCGCCTGCATTTGGAACCCCGGTGCATCCTTTCCGGAAGGCGAATCCCAACCCGGCTCCGACCAGGAGTTCTGTCCTGCCGATTTTGCTGCCACCTTCGACTCTCCGGCCCGTCGCTTTCCGTACTTTCACCAGAAAGCACAACCTCACCATATCTTCGTCAGCACTACAGACTTTAGCATCCTTTGTGGGAAAGAATTGTGGCTCTGGATGGCGCGAAGAAGGTCTTGCGGAACGAGTCCTGGATGAGGTAGCCAAGAGCTGGAGGAAGGCTGGAGGCGGCGTCATTGTCGAGGAAGGCAAAGGGGCCTCTCTGAAAGCTATCCTGCAGGCCTTGGAGGGTAACATGAGCGGAGGCAGGGTATTTTTCACAAAGACTAATGCAGTGAAACAACAGGCATCTATGAGGGTACCATGCCAGAATCTCGATACTAGACGATCTAATTTGGAATCACCCGCATCTCCAGCGCTAGCTGAGGAGGAACATGATGATTTGGATTCATCGTTACATCCAAGAAATTGGATCAAAGTTGTCGAAGCATTTGACATGCCGCGTTTGACTTACAATGTCGACAAAAAGTACTTTGAAATCACAAAATCGAAGGCTACATTGTTCCCGCAGGCATTGCACAAAACAAATGTGTTCAGAGACCGTTATAATATTATTCATCAACGTCTGCTCCGGAACGAGTCGTTCCAGACATCGTCAAATCATTCTATAGGTCCTTCGTTGCAGCGATCATCATCCTCATTTGCCCCAAGCCAATCTTATCGACTGACACCGATTGCAAATCTGCTTGGGAGGAGTGGCACGTCACATCTGCTTCTTGGCTTACTCGCTCTATCACCCGCGGGGGACCTGTCTCTGATCGATTTGACAGGCAGCGTTTCTCTAGACCTGAATCATGCAAGAACCATACCTGAAGATGGTGCTTGGTTCGCTCCAGGAATGATTGTGCTCGTTGATGGAATTTACGAGGAGGAAGGAAATGTCAGGGGCTCCATACTAGGGGGAAACAGCGGGGTGGGTGGCGCCATAGGAGGTCGGTTTGTCGGCGTCTCTATTTGCGGACCACCTTGTGAGCGACGGGAAAGCTCCCTAGGAACATCTCAACAACACAACAATGGGGAAATTAGCTCGAGCGGAGGTCTCGGATGGGTTGACTTTCTGGGAGTCGGTAGTGAACGTGCGCAGGGCTTGCGTATGAGGAGCATCGAATCAAGATGCCTGCAAACTGGGCATAACAGTACTGAATCGTCCACACGGATCAAAATGGCCATCATGAGCGAGGTCAACCTTGACAGCTCCAAGACCCTTGATGCTCTGAGGATGATATTCAGTTCGTATTGTGAGCTGCCCCCGAATGAACGACCTTTGGCTTTTGTGTTCATTGGGAATTTCGTCCAGAATGCCGTCATCAATGGAGGTGGCTATGCTGGCAGCATCGAGTATAAGGAGTTTTTCGACTCGCTGTCCGTTGTACTAGCGGATTTTCCTGATCTTCTACGGCATTCTACCTTTGTCTTTGTTCCAGGAGATAACGATCCATGGTCTTCTGCGTTCTCAGGTGGTGCTGCCTCAACAGTACCTCGTCAGCCAGTCCCTGAAATGTTTACATCGCGAGTAAAGCGTGCATTTGCAACGGCAAACTCTGAGCCAGGGAGATCTGGAGTAGCTGAGCCTGCTGGTGAGGCTATATGGACGTCCAATCCATCGCGTCTCACGTTATTCGGGCCGGTTCATGATATTGCCATCTTTCGAGATGATATTACCGGAAGACTTAGGCGAAGCGCGGTGACGACCATGCGAGCCACCGATGAACTCGAAACAGTGATGTTGGAACAATCTACCAATTTGGAGAACGAGGATGAACCCGTCCCATCCAGAACTGAAGATCAGGCTCGGGCCCCTGCAGCAGATGCCAAGGCTCGGGCGTCTTCCCCGAGCATACACGCCGCTCGAAAATTGGTCAAGACGATATTAGACCAGGGAACGATGTCCCCCTTTCCACTCTCTTTGCGACCAGTCCTATGGGACTATGCTGCCTCATTGCAACTGTATCCATTGCCCACGGCTCTCATCCTGGCTGATTCTGAGGCAGCAGCATTCTGTATCACCTATGAAGGATGTCATGTCATGAACCCTGGGAAATTCATTCCAGAAGCAGGATCGAATTTCGTGAAATGGATCGAGTTCGATGTTTTGAAGAATCGAGGGCGCGTAAGAGAGGAGCGTTTCTAGCTAATCAGGGCTCAATAGATTGCTAAACCAAGACTTCTCTATCACATAAACACTACAAGTGTTAACAGTGACTAGCAGTACAAATTTAGAGAGGTAACATCAAAGAATGTCTGATGTAAATCTGAATGTGTATTAAGAGTTATTATATACTAAATAGTATGTTCGTACCCGAAGAGGCCCCGGGTGAGGGAGTCGGAGCACTCAGGCTTCAGGTCTATCCAGCATCGCGCGTCCAGCCACCAATCTTCTAGGTATTGAGGCAGTACGTCTTTGATGGAATGGTCTCCACAATGAAGATATAGAGCCATGCATACATAGGCCAGATGTCTAGCCCATACAAAGTCACATTTATTCTTGTTACGTGTTTGAGATTAATCAATGACTTCAAGCGTACTGCGATTGGGAAGCGTGAGCTATCTCAGGTAGAGCCATCTCAGAGAGGAACTGTTCACGCAGGCAGCTGTTACCGCATGGTGTAGAATACATATAGAATAGGCGTTGCTCAACAAGCACTTCAGCTTACCATGCAAAGCTAATCAATGCTCGCTCGGATTGATGATATATGTCGAAGTAGCTTCCAGTGATGAGATAGGAGCTCCTAATCGATCGTAATCACATCCGCAGCTTCGGGAGGAGCGTCACATTGCTGAGAACTTCTAGCGCCGGCAGAATTCGTCGCTACTGCGCTCGTGTCGTAGTCCATGGCGGCTTGTGCGTCGAAGTCATGATCACGATGATTTTTCACGTCCGTTTGGTTCAAGGACCTTTCAGTAGGCTTTACATCCCCCGAAGTTTCTTGGTTATCCCGGGCACCGGCGAAACTTGTGTCAAGGTTCGAAATGACACTGCAGACTCCCTCGACATCTGCAACTACTCCATTCCCAAGACCTTTCCAGCCGTTTCCGTTTGAATTGTACAATGTATCGCGTAATTTGGCCCTGATTTGATCTTGACCTGGCCCTACTTGGGGGTCGCCCGATTCTCTGAGCACCCAGGTCAACCGGCCGGCGTGCTGGCTGGCAGTGAGTTCAAAACGCAAGGCGTAATTGATATAGTGAAGCAAAAAGGTGAACGCATTGCGCACTACTACTTGCAGTCTCGCCGGCTCTCCACGAGACAGATTGGATGTGATTTGGTCTAGAGTTCGCATCGCGGGAAGCGTGAAGGAGAGAATTTCCGCAACAGAATCCAAGGCCGCTTTATTTGAAGTGTGATTCAAGATGGCAGCGAGAGATCCTTGGATCCGGCGGTGAGGATTTGAATGGTCAAATCGGATTCCCAAACGAAGGAGGAGTAGGGGATCGGTCCTTGCTAAGATATCAACAGGGTCAAGTTGTTCAGAATTCGAGAGTTTCGACATCCCAATATCCATGACCGCAGCAAGACTCCTTCTTGGCCCGTAGGCAAATGCAACTTGGGATAATGATAACGACCGGATCACAAGTTTTTTTCGTCGAAGAAATTCGAAAATCGACAACATACACTCGAGTCTCTGTAGACTTTCGAAGAGCTGTACGATGACAGGTTGCCCAGCGGGAGCGAGAAGTCGAATGGCAAAGCTATCACCTTCTTGTTTGAAAACCAGCGAGCCGTCCAATTTTGATACCAATGTGCTTAATTCTTTCATGGGAACCAACAAATTGCCATACGCCACGAATATGACGACCTTCCTACGTTGGTCGATTCCGTGAAAGGCGACACGGACTGTGTTCCTTATGAAATCCTTCTTTCCCACACCCGCAGGGAACACGAGTTGAAGGGCCCGAGGGAGGGTGGAGACTTGATAACGCACTAAAAGATTCGGCACTTCAAGGCCGGACTCGAATTTCAATGCGCGCAGGGGCGGCTGGAAGGCAACCGATCGCAAATCGGCTAGATAACTAGCATTGGCATGAATTGCCACCATGCCCGAGAGGCAATGGCTGAGGTCGGCAAACGATGAATCACGGGCCAGATGCTGCACAGCAAGAAATGTATTGCTTATGACGTGCCCTGAGCAAACTGTGGCTTCGCGATGAATATCTTTATCAAGATTCAAAGCACTTGTTGCGAGGGCCGAGGGACGGCGAAGGTGTATTACCCACCAGCTATCGCCGTCTGTGCTGCTGGTAGCGGCGACAATCCAGCTTCTGTCCCAGAATGGATGCCAAAAGAGGGCAAAGCGGAGAATATTCGGCGGTAATATCTTCCGTACATCGGCTTTTAGGCCCCTGGGACTAACTGTTTCAAAGCCCAGAATCTTGACTGTCGATTCAGCTTCTTCCAAGGCAGCGATGCAGCGAAGGCGAGAAACGCGAGAAACGATATCATCTACCGAGGACTTCTCAAGGCTGGAATCGCTTTCAGACCGGTCCAGAGGGCTTGGATCAGCGGACAAAACGATGGCTCCTGACATCGGTTCGATAGAAACCCGAAGATGTCTGGAAACAGTGAGTTGAGCCAAGAGCTGGCATTTACCGGGTTCGTTCGTGTTCAGAAGAGCTTGTAACGACAGGAGGCCGGTAGCAAAAAGTGAACGTTGATTCAGGATGCTGTAGGTTGCCGAAAGCAGATGAGAGATATGCAGCGCGATGATGCTGCGCAGAAGTCTCTCCATTGAAAGGTCGTCTGCGTCGAATTCCACACTTGTACTGTCGACTTCCTGACCATCTCTTATCCAACGCAAGGCTAAGTATGGTACCCCGGAGTCCTTAACATCATGGGGTTTACGGCCACTCTTGATTCCGATTTCGATCCAACTCTTTGCTCCAAGCTTTAGAGCCCAGTATTGTACGACCAAAGTTCGGTGCAATAATTCAACGCGCAGAACATCTGACCAAAGACCTCTTGCTAGTTCAACAGCCTGCTTGAAAAGTATGGTAATTTTATTGGTCAAGACCAAACCATGCAAAAAGTCGAAACACCCTTTCAGACCGTTATCACGAAGTCTATCATTGACTTGGACATCGAGCTCATTGGAAAGCCGACCCTTCGGAACATGAGATGATGGGGAGAAGAGAAAGCGAATATCAACGAAGAAGAACTGGGATGACTTGCTCTCTTCCCCGACAGATAGGTCGAGTTCGAATTCTCCTTGTACGACAAATGTAGCACGGCCATCGTGAACACGATATGTTCGAAACGGACGAGGTATGGTATCATGTAATGCAAGTCTGGCACTGATGATTCTGTTGATCTTGTGTAATCTTTTCAAGGCACCTTTAGCAGTCAACTGCTTGGGGGCTTCGTAACCGAGCTGCAAGGTTTAACGTGAGTCGCGATCTCGGTATAGTGATGAACAACGTATAACTTACGTCTGTAATGGACACCACCCTGCCTTTCGACAGGACCTCCAAGGCCGTTTTCAAATCCGGATTTGCCACCTGTGCTTGTACCAAATCTCGCTTCATGTCTCCAATCCGCTGCAGAGCGTCCATGAAAGCTTGATGACGGTTGCGAATGAAATTTTGAAGATCTATCAACCTACTAACATCACCAGCTTGCCGGCTCCATTGTGATAGCACAAGGAGTTTAATGAATTCGGCTCTTTTAGCATGAGCAAAATCGAGTATCCGCGTTTTCTTCTGTAAATTTTCGGGAGACTGGTCGCCAGGAGCCTTCCCATTGGCAGGTGTTGAAGGCATCTGACCGTGCGGCGACACTTGTATTGCGGCCAGCTCTGTAACCAGCTCGGATAGGTCGTTCCAACATTGCTGTACTGATCTATTGACGAGTGTTGAAAATGGGAAGAAACCCTGCGTGATGTGGGCCAACTCAGGCAAACCTTCGCTTTCATTAATCCCATCTTTGCCGGTGTGCGTCTCTATATGTTGACCAGGACCCTGTGCTCCTTTGACTGCTCCGTTGTGAAATATCGACCTGTTTCTTCGATCACCAGAATCACCCGACTGATTGACGCGCTCTTGTGGAAATGGAGTGCTGCTCACGTTATCAGGGGATTCCGAGGCCCGTCTGGGCCCTCCAACAGTAGCATTGTCCATTACGACGCCCGGCATATCTGCCGATAGAACGCCTTCGCCTTTGTTGCCTCAACCCTTCCCTCCTGCGCCCAACGCACGACACAGGGTTTATCGAGGCAGTACTCGAGATTCAGATGGTCACTGTCGAAGTCACGAAGGGAAGTTGGCAGGACTCAGTATGCTGGGAAGAATCGCTTTCGGAGCGATGCCATGCGTAATCAGCTGGCACGTAGCCAGCTTGGACGAATAGGTCGTCTCACCGGACGGGAAAGGAAGGGAGGAACCTGTAAAATGGGGTGCGGTATAGATCAATGGCTCCTAACGGAGACCATTAAGAAGGGGGACGACCTTGGCGATGCTGGAAATTGTGTCACAATGGCCTACCGAAAAGCTGTAAGAAAGGCTGTAAGAGCAATCTGAACAAGCCGCGATTGCTCCTGACCAGAAACTTTCAATGCTTTCAGGTGGATACTGCAAGGCTTATGCGCCAAGAAGCTGAAACTGAACAATGATGCGGGAGGTAGTTACCGGTGATAAGGATAACAAGTGCTTGTTGGTGTAAAGTTGAGGGTAGTATTATTATGTGGGCCGCAGAGCAGGAAGTTGGCTTCACGGTTAGATGGTGGATCTTAGGGATAATGTAGGGACAAATGGCACAGGTCTAGGATCATTGGAGGGATGGAATCAGCGTGAGAGTATCGTATAAATCTGATGATCAGTTCGCGACACATATAGTGGAGGAAGGAGAAGGATCAGAAGCAACGTCCTAGATAGGTTATGGATGCAACTCATGCACAAAGCATGAGGGCAAATCAGCCTCAAGTGGCTGACTTATGGATGTTGCCTTAATACCTGATGTAATTCGCATACAGCTTCCAAACCTTTGGTATTCTATATTACCTAGACACCTTAGGTAGTAGTAGTTGTTACCTTTTCATACCTACCTTAGGTTACTAGTTACCTGCTCCGAACATGTATTTTACGATAGCCAGTCTGGCGGGAGTATTCAGTGTTTTACATACACGTTATTTTTCAAAGTATAACGGGTCGTTAGAGAGCATGAATACTTAACCTTGGGTACCCACCCTATTAGTAAATACAATGCTTGTACAAGGTGAAGTAATATTGATACCTACTATTGGCTGTACTATTGTTTTATCTCGCGGTTCTCGCCTTACTCATCGGTGATGATGGCACACCCGACATCTCTATGCTTCCCCAGGATTGAAGCTGATCTAGCCACTGAGAACTGAGCCACTCTAGACATAAATAAACACGATCTTACTGCCCACCGAAGCTGCTAGTTTACGAAAACTTATTTTCATTAATCGTTAAAATAAGCGGCTGTATTTACCTATGAGGTTAACTGCTGCAGTGCAGGCCAACCTTGCGCCCTAGGTTACCCCATTCTCTCTACTCATCAAGATCATTGGCGAAGGGGACGAAGAACGTTGTCCGTTACACTGCAATATTTATCTGAGAAGAACTACCTTCGAAAATTTTGATACCTTGCAAGCCTTTGCTCACTCAAAGGTACTTACTTGATAAAATTGCTTCTCTGAACCGATAGGCTGACCGCTCATTTCTGCTTAGATCTCTGACATCCCGAACGGACAGCATATTCATTCAGATACTCCATACAAACGACCGTATCAGTCATCCTGACGACATTGGATAATGCTTTCAAGTGACTGAAATAGTCTCACTATGCGGGCAGACGACAATCCCAGCGCAAGATCCCTGCATGCTCAATTTCCTGGCGATGATACTCGGCCTACCAGCAAGAAGGAACTTGCTGGATGGTATAGCTATGGCTGGGCAGCAGAGGTCTTTACTGTGTGCGCTATGGGTATGTGAAAATCTAGTAGCAGATCGTATTTGCTTTCTGGCACCTGATGCTGACTTTGATATCAGGCTCGTTTCTCCCCATCACTTTGGAGCAAATGGCCCGAGATCGCGGAGTTCTACTATCCGATAAAGTGACACCGTGTAGTGCTTCTTGGAACGGAACAGAAACCACAGCACGAACTCACGGGATCTCACCGCCATGGTATGGCATAAATGCAACACCGGGGACTAGCCAATGCGTTGTTTACATACTCGGCGCCGAAATCAATACTGCTAGCTTTGCCATGTATACCTTTTCGGTAAGTGTCTTCGTTCAGGCTGTCTTGATCATCTCCATGTCAGGGGCAGCGGATCATGGAAGTTTTCGCAAGACACTTCTAGTGGCGTTTGCTGTCATTGGCTCGGTTTGTACAATGCTATTTCTGTCCGTGGTTCCCAAGATCTACATCGTTGGAGCGTTATTTGCGATCGTTGCGAATACTTGTTTTGGAGCTTCTTTTGTTCTTTTGAATTCGTTTCTGCCGCTCCTCGTACGCCATCATCCTTCTCTACTTGGACATGAAAACGAACGTTCGCCTGAGCTAAATCACTCCCACATCACGGACGATCGTGTCCAATTTGCGGCAAATGCAGACTATGGTATCGATGCTGATGCAACTTCACCGCTACTGCAACCCGTTCAAGGAGACAGTGACGAGCATACAACCAGTAGGCTGCCAGTGACTTCCGTGGTAATCTCCGAAGAGTTGAAGTTATCCACAAGGATATCTTCTCTCGGCATCGGCATTGGCTATATTGGGGCCGTGATTTTACAGATCATCTGCATACTAGTCATCATCGCCACTCGTCAAACCACTTTCTCCCTACGCCTCGTTTTATTCTTGATTGGATTGTGGTGGTTTGTGTTCACCATCCCAGCCGCGCTTTGGCTGCGACCTCGTCCAGGTCCACCATTACCCAAAGCTCCACAAGGCAAGGACAATCGATCGTGCGTCGGGTACATGGTCTATGCTTGGAAATCGCTTTGTCGGACCGCTGTGCGAACCCGACACCTCAAGGATATTTTATTGTTTTTGACAGCTTGGTTCCTTCTTAGTGATGGGATTGCCACCGTCAGCGGGACGGCTGTACTCTTCGCAAAGACGCAACTCAATATGAAGCCAGCAGCTCTGGGTTTGATTAACGTGGTTACCATGATGGCTGGTGTCTTTGGGGCATTTTCGTGGAGTTTCGTGTCGCGAAGATTAAATCTTGGGGCCTCGCAAACGATAATCGCGTGCATTCTTCTGTTCGAGTTGATTCCTATTTACGGGCTTCTGGGGTTTGTCCCAGCCATCAGAAAACTTGGTTACTTGGGTCTTCAGCAACCGTGGGAGATGTTTCCTTTGGGGATTGTGTACGGGCTTGTCATGGGCGGACTATCCTCGTACTGTCGCAGCTTCTTCGGCGAGTTGATACCGCCTGGTAACGAGGCAGCATTTTATGCTCTTTACGCAATCACCGACAAAGGGTCGAGCATCTTTGGACCGGCAATTGTCGGTCTTATCACTGATCGTTACGGCGAAATTCGCCCTGCGTTTGTGTTTCTCGCAGTTTTGATATTCCTCCCACTGCCACTAATGTTACTTGTGGATGTTGGTCGAGGCAAGAAAGATGCGCTCGCCCTTGCTGTGGAGCTCGAGGAAGGACAGTCCTCGAACACTCAGACCTACGGAACTCTTTCAAATTGTGAGAGAAATGCAGTTCCAACTGATCAATAAACGTACAGCATGCAAGTGAATTTTACGCAATGTCTCATTGGATGCTTCCCTTTCGCGGCTCGGCTCGACTGAACCCTAGGGGACGGAGCCCACCAATGACCCCTGGCACTTTCAGAACATGCTTTTCTGCCTACATTATTGGCCTGATTTGTATGTCTACGACCTTGCACTGCTTGATACACCAAGCGAGATGGGAAGCTGAGGCACATAGTGCCACACTTAAGATTAGTAGGTACAGGTTAATGTATAGTGTTTCAAATCGCCGCTAGGACGTACTCCGTATTCCACTAGGAAGTTTCCAATTGGGACAATTAGTTTTCATTGGCGGGTTCGATCATCAATGGCTAGGCTTGGATGACTCTGATGTCCAAGTCACCTAAGTTTACGGATATCCCTGTATAGAGGTGTTCATAGTGAGCGCACACTCCGTATATATCTGTGGTGGTAAGGCTCCTACTTCATATCTGTGTGGTTCCACGATCTCAACCCATGTAAGATTATATAGTGACAGTATTATTTACTTGGGGTTTCGAATGTTATGACAGCCATTGAATTGCTGCAAACTTATATTGACCAGGTATTCAGGAAAACTTACATACCATCTACCTAGGACTTACCTAGGTACTGTCTAGGTACCAGGAGAGTCGATACATCGCTAGTTCGCTACCTTACCGAATGCGGAGACTAGGCTGGGGGGCACTGGGGAACCCCGGGCAGTAGAACCAAACAGCTGAAATGAAGAATTCAAGCAATCTAAATCCTATATCAATGCGGCATGATCAGAGTCACCAGACAACGAGTTATTTAAGTCGATTTTTACAAGAAGATTCTTGTGTCGGTAATCCGATATTTGGCAGGGACAGTAAGAGAAAGGATGTACGTACTATATCTATCCTTCAGCCATCCTTTCATCCACTGTATATGATTTGAGAGGTTATATATACATTGGAGACACCCATGCTTAATTAAGAGCGAGAGTCACGTTTACCACCACGGATTGATCTTCTGTCTATTTACATGGACAACAGAATTATCTGTTCCTGCTAATGGTTGATCAAATTCTGTAGTAATGGAGTCTGCGGATCACAGTGAAGACAGAGTGGTACAAACAAGCCAGTCCGAACTCCGAACCGAATGGGTAAAATGTATCCTCCGTGTGCATTGTTGATTGTTTTGGTAAGCTCTAGGTATATAGACACTAAACAGGCTTTCTGTGCAGCGGACTAGCAGTTATTCCATATTATTAATTATATTGAATTTATTATTGATGGGATCATGGCCCCATGGGAGAATCCGAACCACACTGATCCGCACATCATAACCACATTCGAGTATGATAAAATATCACTTACTGTGGATACCTACTCATGCCATGTACACTGTATTGAAATGTACCCAATTACATAATCAACGCCCCAGATCATCATGGAGATCTGATGGATAGGTGGAGACTACTGCCAGAATCCAACATACACAGTACTCCGTAGTCCGTACTCTGTAGTCTGTACTCCGTAGGTAGGTAGATAGGTAGGTATCCATATTTTGTACAGGTGCACTTACTGACGGTAGATATATCTGTATCTACTTACCTCCTTTGTAGGTGCCTTGGCATAACTAAATACTTGTATTATTAAGCAGATACTTATTTCCATATTGTACGTACTGTACAAATTACTTGGGGAGAGGTCGATGGAAGGTCCCTTCTTTACACAGTACAGGGATGGGTACCTGCTTAGGTAGACCCTGCACTTGAAGTTGAAGCAGGTACTGTACGGAGTATTCCATAGACGGACATAATTAGTACTGCTAACGGAGTAAATTTTTTAATAGTTGAACAATATTTAGTACCTTGTCCTTAGATAGTTAGGTAGGTATTGAATACTACACAGTAGGTACCTACCTAGGTAGGTAGCCTTAGGTACAGTAAGTATAAAAAACAAAGTACCAAATACATCCAATGTACCAACCAACCACATACTAAGGTATGAAGTATCAACCAGTAAACACCATACAACAGTGAACATCATACAAAAAACAATAATAAATAATCTGTACCACTATCTACTCCGTAATAGATGGTAGCCACCGAGCACTATAAGGTATAATTTATTCAGATAATAAAAATAACAATATTATGATTAGTTGGTCCCTTGAAGTCCCTTGCTGTGTTTAGGCGGGGCCAAGCGGAGCCAGTCACAAAGCTCCAGCAGCCAGCTGACTGCTGAAAGAACAAACTGTCCTCAACTGCTCCCGTACCTCTACTTAATGGGACCATCATCCACCTCTTCACTCCTCTATTTCTCCCTTGCTGTCCTCTTTTGTGTGTCATCCTAATTTTTGTCTTTGCGCTGCAGGTGATAGGACTGGAGCCAGCCTACAGCTAGTTGACGCAGAGATCCAACCCATAGCCCTGGGACCGATATTACAATCACGCTCACTTTCTTTGTCGCCTCTTGCAAGACCTTCCTAACAACATGCGTTCCTTCGCTCCCTGGATCGTGAGCCTTCTAGGCGCTAGCGTAGTGGTCTCTGCCACCGACACCTCGGCAGATGCTCCCTCTGATGTTGTTACCCTGACCAAGGACTCATTTGATGATTTCATGAAGGCGCATGACCTGGTGTTGGCTGAGTTCTATGCCCCTTGGTGTGGTCACTGCAAGGCTCTGGCTCCTAAGTATGAGGAGGCTGCCACTGAGCTCAAGGGGAAGAACATTCCCTTGGTCAAGGTCGATTGTACTGCGGAAGAAGAACTATGCAGAGACAATGGTGTTGAAGGCTATCCCACCTTGAAGATTTTCCGCGGTCCTGAGTCCAGCAAGCCGTACCAGGGAGCTCGACAGGCTGATTCGTGAGTTGCATGCTTCATCTCGCCGGGCTTTCTCCGTCGTTGCACTACTAACTCTTTTTCTTTTCTAAGGATCGTCTCTTATATGGTCAAGCAATCACTTCCTGCCGTGTCCCCAGTCACCGAGGATAACCTGGAGGACGTGAAGACTATGGACAAGATTGTCGTCATTGGCTACCTTCCCTCTGACGACAAGGCTGCCAACGATGCATTCACATCCTTCGCCGAGTCGCAGCGCGATAACTATCTATTTGCCGCCACAAGTGACTCCGCTATCGCCAAGGCAGAGGGTGTCAAGCAGCCCTCGATTGTCCTGTACAAGGATTTCGACGAGAAGAAGGCTGTTTATGATGGAAAACTTGACCAAGAGGCCATTCTCAGCTGGGTGAAGACTGCCAGCACCCCACTTGTCGGCGAGATCGGACCCGAGACCTACTCTGGGTATATGGCAGTATGTTTCTAGCTCCAGAAGCGGGTCACAAACCACCAGCTTGTGATTCGATGGCTAATACTGTATGGCATTCTAGGCCGGTATTCCCCTGGCATATATCTTCGCCGAAACCCAGGAAGAACGCGAAAAATTCACCGAGGACTTCAAGCCCATTGCTGAGAAGCACAAGGGAGCCATCAACATCGCCACTATTGACGCGAAGATGTTCGGAGCCCACGCTGGAAACCTCAACCTTGACCCCCAGCAGTTCCCGGCATTCGCTATTCAGGATCCTGAGAAGAATACCAAGTATCCTTATGACCAAACCAAGGAGATCAATGCCAAGGACATCGCCAAGTTCATCCAAGATGTCCTTGATGGCAAGGTTGAGCCCAGCATCAAGTCCGAGCCAATTCCCGAAACCCAAGAAGGCCCCGTCACGGTCGTGGTCGCCCATTCCTACCAGGATCTCGTCATTGACAACGACAAGGATGTTCTTCTCGAATTTTATGCACCTTGGTGCGGCCACTGCAAAGCGTGAGTGATTTTGTCGTTTCTGCTCTGATTAAAATGTGAAACCCTGTCAAGAGGCTAACGGTTTTTTTTTTTTTTTTTTTTTTTGGTAAACAGTCTTGCTCCCAAGTATGACGAGCTCGCAGCTCTCTATTCGGGCGACCTTGCCTCTAAGGTCACTATTGCTAAGATTGATGCCACGGCCAATGATGTGCCCGATTCCATTACTGGCTTCCCCACCATCAAGCTCTATCCCGCTGGTGCCAAGGACTCCCCAGTCGAATATTCTGGCTCTCGCACCGTTGAGGATCTCGCCGACTTCGTCAAAGAGAATGGCAAGCACAAGGTCGATGGCCTTGAAGCTAGCTCCCAGGAAACAGAAGAGGGCGCCGATGTTACCGCCTCTGCCTCGGCTTCGTCCACTGAGACCGAAGCTCCTGCTGCCACGGAGGACGAAAAGGCCGATCATGATGAGCTGTAGGCTCGAATAGATTTTGCAAAATGTACTTCAGTATTTAGGTTACAAGCATCATGAATGTATTTTATTGGCAAGCAAAAAGAGACCCCTCAAAGTTGCATCGGACTTGCGTTCGGGGCGACAATTACCTGGTAATTCGTTTGTTCGATGATACGGTGACGGTGACATGAATGTCAAAAGACTCGAATCGGACCATGTTTTGCCTAATGATTGATTATAATGGAGCCGAGAGTATAACCCCGTCCAGATACGGTTCAAGCACGACCGAGGCGCTGATGGTCCTGCAAATGACCTCAAATCCCCATATTTTCATCCGGAGAGAGCAGTCAAAGAAAAGATAGTCATGAGAACCTCTGGGGAGCAAATCTTGAAACTTAGAATGTGCCAGTACCCCCCTTGTCGAAAGTCGAACCAGATTTCAGACCGTTTGAGCCGCTGCTTCAGTTGCCGCTAGAGCCTCCACAGTATCAATATCCTCGTCAAACTCGTCGCTGAGTTCACTACTCTCAATAGTTTTGGTTGCTGTATTCTTCTTTCCTTCTAAAGGTCCCACTTCGGACAATTTTACAGAGTCAGTCTTCAACTGTTTGCTTGCAGTAGAAGGACTCGTAACAACCACAGGTGAGGTCCCTGCCGTCGTGTTCGTCTTCGAAGTCAGACTCCAATCAATGACCTCATCCGGTCCGTAACGTTCGGCAAGCCACTCGTTACACTTCTTGAAATGTCCATTGTTGAACTAGAATTCACGGGAGGATTGGTGTCAGTTCATCGTAGCCAGTCAAGAACCATTTGAATCTGGTTATGGAAGCTTGGGAGGTTGACGAGCACTTACGAAACCCCTGTGAGCGCTGAGGGGACTGGGATGGACCGATTGCAAAACACAATGCTTTTGCCGGTTGATACTTGCTACACGCTTCCCAGCTGGCGAGCCCCAAGCGAGGAATACGACACCGTTCGTGCGGACACGAGCCACGAGGTCAATTGCTTTTTGCGTGAACCGCTCCCAGCCTTTGTTTGAGTGACTCGCCGCCTGGTGTGCGCGGACAGTCAGGCAGGTGTTAAGCATGAGTACTCCCCGCTCAGCCCATGGTATCAGAAGGCCGCCTTTGTTTGGTGGTGGCTGGAAGGTCGGATAGTCATTCTTGATTCCGGTGTAGATGTTGACCAGAGATGGAGGAGCAGGAGTTGGAGGTCGGACGGAGAAAGCCAGGCCATGGGCCTGGTTATGGTTGTGGTATGGATCTTGACCGACGATGACCACTTTTACTTGGTTCAACGGTGTATGCCGAGACCTGGAATCCAGTCAGCCGACAAACAATCGTAGTTGATAACAGCGACACCATAAAAAAAACATACCAAGAATAGATCTCATTTTCTGGGGGGAAGATCTTTGCTCCCGAGTCCTTCTCCTTCTGCAAGAATCTCTTTAGACCCAGGAACTCTGGAGTCACCAATTCCTCTTTGAGCTTCGCCAGCCAGCTCTCATGTAAGGTATCAATCTCCAGCTGAAGAAGTTTCTGTTGCTCTGGCGTTAACGATGCCACCCATTTCGCCTTGTCGAAGCTAGGGGATGGAGACGATGTGGTCAACGGTTGGGTCTTCACCGACTTGGCCTTGGGAACTCCAAAAAAGGATGTGATGCTACCATTCGCCTTGGGCTTCTTCGCATCGTGCGCTGAAGTCGACAGATGATTAGCGTTACGTTTGAGCCTGGCCGGAATAGTCATGACTCGATGAATGGGTCGTTGTTGGAATGAGAGAACAAATCTGTCTGATTGAAAAGCTCTAGAGTCGAAGACAATGGCAGGTTGAGAGTCGCAAGAGGCGTAGCGATAACAATGGCAATACTGGCGAGGGAGAAGATGGATTGTCTTCTGGAAATAGAGAACTCACCAAATCTGAGAAGATGATCGAACCACATATACAAAATACGAGGTAGAAACCATCAATCACATTTGCCGACTTTCGAGGATGTCCTTCCTGTAGACGCGTGACTTTCTCCAGTGATCGCGTTGGTCCACGCGTAAAGGAGTTGGAGGCCTTGGCATCAATCCATTAATTATCCTTCGTGCTCACAAGAAGGGGCTAGGTAGCAGTGTCCAGATAGTCGCTGACTATAACGGGGTATTAGTAGTTAGGATCAGTATTCTCACTATGCCTTAGGTAGCTTCTTTGCTTGGATTTCGAATTGGTGGCTATATTCTTTGAGAGAGTCTCTCCGTTATTATTAATTCTTGATGATCGGAGGGCTATCGTTATCGAAGAACTCAACGGAGCGATCCAATATGGATAACCACCTGCCATGTCTATTTAGATGAAAAGGAATCTTTTTGATGAATACTGGGATCTTAGCCCTGTCATCTTTCTTTTATTCTTTCCTTCAATTCCCACTCGCATCTGCTCCATTTTCATGTCCTTTAGCATGGCCTAGCATGTGAAGATGGAGCTCACCTGGCTTGCTGATACTCCCCAGTCGCGGCGTCGGACACGAGCCCTTCGAGCATGTGCTCATTGTCAACGGCGAAAGGTAAGCTTCATATCTCTCCGGCTTTCGCGTTCTCTCCTGTTCTCATCTCCTTCTTTCCTTTGAAACCCTCCTTGCTTGCGCCTTTACCTCTCAAAAGGTCAATCACTCAACCGCCCCAGTCAAACCACACTCTGATCAATGATGAGTTGTAAGGCTAAGAACCAGGATGCTAAAAGAAACGCTGTCGCCATCTCAATCCGGGAGCCAACCCAGAGCAAGCGCAGGCCATTGTAAGCGGAGGCGTTGAACGACTTGGCCCCGATCTCCTTCGTGATCATCCACCAGTCCACCCTTCACATTTCATTGACAGATCAACGAATCCGGTGGTCATAACCTCTGTGTCGCCGGAGGCGTCGAGGCCAGATCGATTTGTGGGAGACCTCAATCCAGAAGCCGTAATCCGCGAGAAGTTGGATGGCGACAGTGGTAATCGATTTCGAAATCAGATAGGGCTCTGGGTCAGTGCGCAAAGTAGTGAAGGCGCGAAGGACGATGGGCTACTTGACAATGCAGACCCAAGGATTATAGACGATTTGGGGGGACAAAGTCGGACAGCGCTATCGGTTTCTTCCTTGTTACAACAACGATTCACGTCGGCGCTGAATGCTTGTCAACGTCTACCGTTTTCAACTCGGGATCGTTTAATCACAATCTACTTCTCCCGAGTTCACCATATCCTTCCACTTCTTGACAAAGATTCGTTCTTGACCGCATACACCGATGGAAGGACATCCTTGTTTCTGGAACGAGCCATCTGCTTAGTGGCAGCTAAGGACCAAGCCGCCAGCGCTTTTCTCCGCACAACCGCTGATGGCCCTCTCAAGACGCCTCGGCAATTCTGCTCTGAAATCTACAAAGGACTCGTTGTCGCGATGGATGCTGGCCTTGAAGCGGATAGAGTTACTCGTATTCGCACGTTAGCGCTGATGTCTCTACACTGCGAAGGCTACGAGGGTGCGGAGGCTGCATCGATGCATCTTTGTCAGGCGATCCATCAAGCCCAGACTGCGGGTCTCCATCTTGATCAGCCCGACCGGATTTCGGGCGATTCGTTCTCAAAATTGTTCTGGTGTCTTTGGACTTTGGACAAGATGCACGCTAGCATAGGTGGCCGCCCAGTCGTCCTTGCTGATAGAGACATTGGCTTGAGAAAGCCTATTGTCAAAGCAGCGGATGGTAGGTCTGCATCTGATGTATGGTTCGCAATATCAGATTTACTCGCCACAGTGATATCTTTCTATCGACCATCCGCGGATAACACCACCGGATGGGAAAGCGACTTTCCGACCTTTGAGGAGATAATCGGCGACAATGTCCAGGAGGGCTTAGATTTTACAACGCTCGGTGCGATCTCAAGGCCCTTGAAATTCTAATTTTTGTGGGTTGACCTCCTGCTGATCTCTGGTCAAGGCATCCTCGAACTGTACTATCATGCTGTTGGCATCCTTTCGTGCAGGTCAAGATCGGTCGATCGGCCACATGGCTCCAACTCACGTATCCGACAGGGCCTCGCTGCAGTTCGGATTTATTCCATTGTGGCAACGGAATGCTCACAGGACTTGCCTCCCCTGCCCATTGTTCCGTATGCATTAGCTCTGTCCATGGGCGTCTCCTACCAGCAATTCCGGTCGAGTAGGATAATCACGCATTTTAACCGAGCAAAGGCCAGCTTGGGGGCGTGCTGTTCTATCTTGGAAAGCCTCGGCACGTACTGGTACTCCGCGGAGGCAATGGCACGTCTAGGACGCAAGGCCTTGCGCCAGATTGAGGAGGCGAGGCGGCCTGACGGTCAGCGAAACGAGCAGAGATCCGGACAGCCGTCAGATCCGGGCAACATCACATTTGCTTCCGGTTCCAGCAACCCCATGTCCACTGTTCAGCGGACAACCAACAACAATAATAACCTTCAGGCTTCCGCCGATGTCCCTCCAGACATGCTGGCACAGAACCCCTCCACACAGGCACCGGAAGAACTGCAGATGGCTGAGGGGTTGGAGCAAAATGCCTTTGAAGACATTGACATGCTCTTTGGAGATTTTCTCGATCTCTCTTTACCCACTAACTTCTGGGACCCTCTGTTTTTCACTGAGGATGAGCAGATTCAATGTGATGATCAAGCATAGAACGTCGTTGAAGGGTGGATATATTGTAGCTATTTCTATAACGCACATGTAGTACACACGGTCCCGAACGAGGACTATCAATCTCGTAGATAACCATTCTTGTTGCTTGTCTCTTCCCTATGGTGGGGATGCACTGCCCTGTCGGAGATGTAGGCTGCCGATCGTCATTAAGACTGACGGCTGGACCGCATCTCTTTGGAGCACGAATAGAAGGGACTGTTCACTGTGCAGAATGCAAATGCACGTTGTCAAAGGCCTCGGCGATTTTATCATTCTTCTTTGATTGAGTCATTATTTTCATTTCCATTGATAGGTAGTATTCGTAATTTTGTGGATCGGTGTAGTGAGCTTTGGGGAAAGATCTACGAAGCCATCTCTCAATGCATGAACATCCCTAGCCACATCTATCTAATCATCTAGACAGACATGGAATCTTCTTATCATCATTATCAAATGTCAACGATCAATCCTTCTCAGGAAATTCAAGCCATCTTCATCCTCCTGTAATCATTAACGATTGTAATCTATCTCCGTTAGGCGGAAGCATCAATCTACACCTACAACACAACTCCTAGGTTCTCGAGAGTCTCCTGAATCTTGTCTCATTGTCCACTCTGGTTTCCCGGGTCGTTCCACTCATCATCTTCTTTGGTTCATTGTCCCATCTGAGAAGACCCAGTCTAGCCTTAATGATCAAGTCTGGATCGAAGTGGGCTCAATGGAGTCAGTTTAATTACGGGAACACAGATGGAGTTAATACGCAAGCAGTCTTAGTGGTTAGTGTTCCTATTATTGATATGTATTAGCTTGATTTAACACTTATCCTCTCACAGTCGCAGGCTGATTGATGCTGGCATCCTTGTCCTTGTTCAACTCTCACAGCATTTGCTTCCCTTTAATTAATCAGTTTTGTTGTCCACCACTGGGTAGATAGCCAACAATGACCCGAAGCCTGACCTCAATTTAGATTTGTCTTTCCTGCTGCACACTCGCTATCTACTTACCAACTACTGACTGTCCATTGTGCTTCACTTTTGATCGCGTTTAAGGGTACAGTTAGCTCAACAAGAAATCCTGACTGCATCGTGTTCACACCTGATGGACTTCGATCCTTTACTAGTCGCGTGGCTTGACGCTCCGAGAGACGTAGCCATTTTCACCACTGTTGCCGTCCTACGCAGCTAGATGCAAAGAATTGTCCATACTCCTCTTCAACGACACGCAAACAGGAGCCGAAGATTTTAGTTAACCCCGTGAGAGTTGAGTGCTTGCACCTTGATGGCGCCTGTGCCCGAACACCAAGAGCCCCAGCCAGCTACCCCTCGTGCTGGAACACGGGATGGAGGGCTACCAAGCGACAGGGACCATACCAACCAGTCTTCTGTTCATCCGATTCCTCAACTGCAGGGTCCATTTGAAGAATCGATCCAGGAAGCTAGTCAGGAAAGGAATAATGGATGGATTGTTGATCTAGATGCCCAAGCATGGAGAAAGGAACTGCTGGAAAATGCTGAATATGAACGGCTTTGCGGTAGGAAGTGGCGCCAACGGTCTGATGAAAGGCAAGTAAGGGTTCGAAAGAAACACTCGTCGGGAACCAGAGAAGCAGACCCCATTCAGTTTTGATCAAGCTGACCATTTGTAGGTATCATCCAATGTGGAAGCTTATCTCTCAAATCGCGTTTGGCGTACACCTGTTGGCGAAAGGAACGGCGAAATCAACGTTGGAGGTCTTGAAGATTCTCCAGCGCCACGTGGATGAGTTGGACGGGTTTATTGAAAGAAGTACTGAGGATTTCTTCATCATTCAGGTGGATGTCCGCACCCGCATCCAGTACCTCAGCCTACCGCTTCAGAACCTGGATGTCTTCGATGAGATGCTGCAGGACCGCAACTTTCGCCTCGCCATGATCGACTACAACGAGAAGATTGAGCATGCGGTCGACCGGTTTAGTATTGCAGTTCAGGACTCTTTAAAAGATATACAGAAGGCAAGAGAAGCAATCAGTGTTCTATGGCACTATATCGGGCAATCAACGAAGCAGAACAGACCACTGCCCAGTTATTTGGCTGCTGTGTATAACGCTATGCTGGCTAATACCGAAGGCTGGAACATGGCCCTCTCAAAGCTTCGTCGACGAGGAGTTGCTTTGGAAGCTGCCCTTGCCCAGCTGGGTCTGACTATCACCGAGATGCAGCGCCGCGTAGGGGTTGCAAGCCGACGAGACGTGGTGAGTGACAACATCGAGATCTTCTTTCCCTCCATCGAAGCTAACGTACTGACCCTGAAAATCAGGTGTCGTTCATCCAGTCTTCAAAAGAGTCATCCCCACACAAGTCAACCAAACGGCGTTTCTTTGGGAAAGCACTCCCCATCCGCACGACCAATTCCTGGGTCTCAGAAAAGCCACTGCCCTCTGACCCAGATTTTCGGGGAACACTGGAGCCGCGCCCTGTCTCCAGACAAATTGATGGCTACCGAATGTCACAAAAAAGCGTTCCAAACCTGAGAAGTCCACAAACGCCTGAGACTGTTAGTATAGAGGAGCAACGTTCACGTCGTGCCAAATCCGTCACCGGTGCCGGTGAAACCCGGGGGTCAATTGCCCTTTTCCCCAAAATCCACAGGCGGCTGAGCAGACGATTTTCAAAGGCCGTGCCTGCATCGAAAACATCTTTGAGTGAAGAGACCCGATCTGTGCCGTCAGCACGGCCCGCCACGGCTCCTTCTAAAACGTTCAGATCACCAAGCCCTGCTCTGGGGCAGCTGAAGGTTGACCACCAGGCTATAAAAGAACGTTCCGGGGAAACGGTAAAAGCACCACTCCAGCGCCAACCAAATCGCGCTGTAGATGCGAAGACGTCGGCGAGGCGGGAAACGATGAAGAATCAGCTGCTGCAGTATTTCAAGTCAGACAGAGTCGTCGAGGCCTGGGAGAATCTCGCAAACAAGGAGAATAAAATCTCTCGTTCCATATCTCTGAAAAAGCGGGATGGTCCTTTGAGTGTATTCCGTGCAAGACCCACGCAACCCCCCGAGGTTCCTCAATCGCGGACAACATTCTATGAGAAGGATTTAGAGAGCCAGATGGCTTGGTTGCAGGAAGGAAGCGAGGCATTGAACACTTACTCCTTGAAGCCGAAAAGGGATGTCACTCCTAGAATCCATGTACTCTCTGTCCATACGACATTGATCCAAGAATCGGAAGAAGAACACTCTTCCGAGATTGAAGGAAAAGAAGAACAGACTAACGACGGTCATTCGATCCTCACGGCTCTTCCTTCACCACCCCCAGTGAGTTGATCTCTATGAAGGTGGTGGTTTAAAAATCTTTACTCTACAGCACTGACATACACCCGTAGGTTCTCGATTCGTTTCTCCAAGTGTCAAGTGTGACCACTTGAGAGAGGTCATATCCTCATCATATCCTGGCAGGACTTGCATTACGTCCGAATTATAAAAACCACATGCCCTTCCTTTCACTAGACGAGACATCTGTGGAAGACACCTTTGGGAAGCCCCTCTTCAACTAAAGATAGGTGCGAACAAGCAGGCCGAAAAGACGTTTGGCTTGGCGCAAACAATGGCTAAGAGAAGTAGAACATGAAGGACTCGGCCGCATAGCGCCTCCTCGTCGACACGCATGGAAGAAAACCTTCATGACCTAGTCTGGAGATGTCAATAACAGCGGAGAACACATTCCCACTGTCATTTCAGCTGACAAGTAATGGACGTCATTGGCTTTCTCAAACTAGGAGCCGCCCACGTGCAACTGCAAGCCAGTTATATGTCACTATTAGCCAGTTCGCTCGAATTTGCACTCAGCTTAAGATGAAGCTGCATCATCATCCAAGATTCAGGTTCAATTTGGCAGGTCAAAGGAGCGTAATGCTACACCCAGCCCAGCCTACAATATATACGCAGCCGAACGAGGGAATCATATCACGACACTCACTCCCGGATTCAGGAGCGAGGCCGAGCACTCAAAGCATTCTTTGAGGAATTTTTTTTCTACAAGTTGCCAGTCTGCATTGATGTCCCAGCCATAAGCTGGAGATCGAACATGATGGACACAATGAGATAGGCATAATACGAGAAATTTACTCATACCACGAGATAAGGGGAGCAAAAGAGAATTGATATAGATTGCCCCGTTCTCCTTCCTGCCGTATAGTTTCATTAAAAAGAATACCGGAGACCGCAGACACGGAGGACAGGTTCAGGGGCCGGAATAATATGTAAGACGCCAGGGAAACCAGCAAAACCACACATGATGAGATTTTCCCGCAAATTTCACAGGATGACCGTGACATTGGATTATTGAGGGAACAAAGAGAGCAAAGGGGGGAACGGGGGAAAAAAAAAAGACCGGGAAGGGATGGCTTCGAATATGAACAGGGAACGAACTACTTGCAGCGCTTTTCAACGATGTTCGGGCCATGCTCCTCGTACTCTTTCTTCGAGATCCACATCTGGTGGAAGGTTCCCAGGCTCGCCAGGATGCTTCCTCCCACCCATGAGCCGAACTTCCGCTCGGAAGTGTTCCCAGGCGCGGAGATCCTTACTCTGGGCCCGGGGAAACTCTGCAGGAGCTCCTGGTTCAGGCGATCGGTGAAGCCATACAGTAAGCTTGATGCACCCGTGACGACGACGTTCGCCAGCAGGTGCGGACGCACATCGACGTCGACGCCGTTCAGAGCAGCCTTGATCAGTTCCGGCACAGTCTGCGCCTGTGTGGGCGGTGGGAACGCCGACTCGGGATCCGGGATGGCGGCTTTGGCGTCGAACAGCGATTCCACCACCCTGTACCGATCGATACCGAATACCTGGTTATAGCCGTCGGGGAACTCGAATGGTCTTCCGGGGCTGCTTCTCGCAAGCTCTTCGTTTGAGACTCCGTTCGACCCGGTGGCAGAGAGCTTGTTGGGCCCCGGCCACACCTGGACGACACACTCCTTGAACTCGGCCAACGTCCGCTCTTCCATGAGGGCGCGGTAGGAGACGTCCGGTGCCTTATCCGCAGGGAATGTTTTGTACTTAGCTTGTGCGGGCTGACCAGCTTCGACAGCTGTCTTGGAGGAGATGAGATAGTGAGGGGTGACGGTGATGGGCTGCGGGGAGTTGCTTTTGAACAAGGCGCGGACCTGCGACGAGATGTAGTCGCCGCCAAGGGGGGAGTGTTGCACGCCGCGTTTCAGGATCATTCCGTCATGAACAGGAGTCACGGAGATATTTGAAGCGCCAATGTCGATGATCAAAGCAGAGGCCTTGCCAGCAGCGAAGCTATGAGCCAGGAAAGGAAACGGATTAGCACCACAGATATCATTCGGAAGAGGGCTCCATTAGAGTAACCACTTACGCCGCAAGCACACCGTTTCTCGCCAGGTAGAAAGCCGGCGTCCCCCATTTTTCCATTGCAATCTCGACGGTCTTCTCCCGCGCTTTCGTAGGGTTCCAGCCACACTCGGTCATGAGGAGCGGGCTGTCCGCAAGAGGCTTCTCCTCCAATTCGACCCCCTCCATCTCCGTAGGAAGTTCGCCGCTGGGGACATCGTTCAGACCGTTTTGGAATGGATTCCCGGGCTTCGCACCGGTCAATCGCGATGTGAACGAGTACTCCCACACTTTCTCCGCCATGTCCCAATCCTCCACGATTCCATCTCTTCCCATAGGGTTGTGGATCGATAAACCGGGCCGGGGAGTAACAAAGATGTCGTCGCCGAAGACAAGCTTATCTTGCCCTTCATAGTTGTATTTCCCGTAATATGTGGGGATCACTGATTTCGGTGTATCTTCGCCCGCAAACCCTGCGCGTGTCGTCGAAAAACCAGGGTCGAGAACAATCGCCGATATCTCGTCTGTGTGCACACGTAACAGTCAGCATTCACTGCGCCGGACGACGAAGCCATTGCGCCTCAGCCAGGTAAATCGACATACCTCCACCGTACTCAGCAGTCGAAGGTGGAATGGAAGGATTCATTTTGATGACCAAAGGGGTGCAGCCCGTTTGAAGCTGAGGCGGAGAGGTTGTCCTGCTTGTTTTTCACTGGGCGAAGTATCTTCTAATGGGTTTGTTGTTGATGATGATCTCTTTGTAACGATCGCCAGGGGATATCTTGTAGGATATTCCAAGCTGGGAACTAATTAGGCGGGATTGTTGAATTGATAGCAAGCGACTTGTCAGTTGGTACGATAGAAATTCCAGTTCCAATCGCGTGGGCGCGGATAGCGGAGGCCCCCAACCAACCACCGACAGCTCTTTGTTGCAGCATGACGCTGTGGCCATAAGTCGGTCTTGTCTTGCCTATTTTATCTCCTCCATCTCATCTTCCACTCTCTCCATTTCTCTTCCTCACTATTCACCCCTGATCGTTTACTCTAAAATTAATTCCAGCAATATGGAAACAGATACCGGTCCCAACTCCGAAACTCTCTTCCGACCAGTCAAGCGGAGAAAGTTCCTGCGCCGCAAGGAGATCGAGCCCGAAGAGACACAAGAGGAGTCCCCAATCGCAACCGCGGAGACCAATCAGGATGGCCATCCTTCCGGAGCAAACGATGCGATTCCATCTACGGATTTCGCCCGTCTGCGACGACTGCAGCGAGGGCGCAAAGGTGGCATCGAGTTCTCTACCACATCTCGCCAAACCAGCGATCGCACCGGCAGTCAAGGCGCAGGTGCAATGGTATCCGCCGAGGACCTCGAGAATGAGAGGATACGAGCCATGTGTGACCGATTTACAGTACATACGGGTCAAACAGTCGATGTCGACAAGCATATGTACGATCGCCCCCGCATCCATGGCTGAGTGCTTGTCGTGTAATGGAGACTAACAAGATAAGGATGGCGTATATAGAAAACGAGATGGCTAAGCGATACCGGCCGAAGATGCCTACAGATACTACTGGCTCAGACGACGCTGCGTCTAACCGGACGACGTCGGATGGATTCGCAACAGCGGTAGCTTCGAAGCGTGAGCCTGCGTCCCTGGGTAAACTACATGAGATCGATCTTGGCCAGGAAACGAAAATGCAGAATATCGCAAGGACGGAAGCGGCTACAAGGAAGCTTGTGGGAGAGGACATGTCGCCCGGCCTTGGAGAGTCCGCTTCCAGCACCGCTGGTGCGGGCAAGGCTGGGAGGCCGTGGCGTAATCGGAAACGACGGAATAGCGAAGACATTGAGAGAGACCGGCTGGTGGAAGAGGTTCTGCGAGAAAGCAAATGTGGGTTCCTCCCAGCTAAGCTTGGAAACACTCCCAGACTGCTAACTTCGTGAGTGGTTCTAGTGGACGTCTATGATGAGCCAGAGGAGGAAGCTCCGGCAGACGATCAAGCTGCTGATGATAGAGTTGCGGAGCAATTCCGGCGAGACTTCCTTGATGCCATTCAGTCTCGCCGCCGCGTGGCACGAGCGAAGAATACGAAGACAGCGGCCAAGCCCGAAGTCCCACGGGGCCCTAAACTGGGAGGGAGTCGGAGTGCGAGAGCTGCAATGCGCGAAAGGCAAGAGAAATCAGCCGGACGAAAATGATGTCCGTGGCTGGTTGGGGTTGACTTTAAGAAGTCATTCCCTACCATCTTCTTGATCTATGGAGTCCCCCCCCCCCCCTTTTTTTTTTATCCCCAGCATTTTATTTTCTGGGATCACAACAGGGTTGCTCAGAAATAACTACTCTGTATCTATCCGCAAGTAGACGATTCCCTGTGCACCAGCCACCAGCCACCAGGGCAGTCGAAGTTGGTGGATCCTCAGCCATCGTGTCTCGAATTGAGTGAAGTGGGGGTGCTTGGTTAATTTTGGCTCGGAGAGACGGGATTCTGTGCCCTTTAAGGCCTTGGAAATTTATTTGATTTGAAGTGATGTAGTGTGGATGTGGTGACGGGATTGGATCCTCTGATCCTTAACGAGTGCCGCGCGCTTGGAAACTACCTAGAATAGCACATGCACTCTATTATGATGTGATGATCCTACCAGTCGAGGTTCAAAGGCCCATCCAAGTAGCGGAAAGTTGGAAAGATGTCATGTTTGGTTGATCATGGGTAGTTGTATTTCGTAGTCGAAGCGGGATGACAGTGAAATTGAAAAGGAGTCCACTGGTGGAAGCGCCATCTATCTACTGAGCCACTCAACCCTCGAGATTACAACTTGACACCACGAAGGCTCGTTTAATTCCTATTATTAGTCTATGGGTTAACTGGATCCATGCCACCATAGACTTGACTAATAAGAGCCCCGATGACGATAATTCGGCCTCATTTGACCTGCAAAGAAAGACTTTAGCGTTCGGAGTTCAGAGTTCAGAGGAGGAAAAGTCCCAAGGTCGACAATGAAATTTACATTGGGACACGTGCCCCTCCACCTTGATACAAGTCCATGCAGATTCTTTCCTGTTCCAGTCCGACGCTCAGGAGATTGATTAGAGTGACTACATAGTATACCGACTAGATTATCTAGTCTGTACTCTGTACTCTGTAGTGCAGGCGCCGAGGGAAGAGTAGAGATAGTGAGTATCTGATTGGTTACTGGAAGTACTCTGTGAGGACAACTAGGTAACTATGAATAGAGAGAGGCTGCAGTTGATGATGACTTGTACCAATAGGAAATCAGTCAGTCCTGTTTGGTGATTCTTCTTTTAGCATCATCATGCAGAACAGTAGTCAGTTCTCTTGATAGGTAGAGAATAATACTCCTACAGACACCAGAGTACTACTGACTGTAGACTCGACGGGAGTCGTCTGCTGTGGCGTGTGAGTGTGTCAGTGGAGAGAGGTATAGTAGATCCACTGGACACTGACTGTCTGTACTCTGTACAGATTACATACCGGTACTAAGCTAAGGTAGGTACCTTACATACAGAGTATGTACGGAGTAGTAAGGTAGGTCCTTCGTCAGTATCGGCATGATCACTATCATTGCATGTATTTAGAATTCTAGATCGAAAATTGATGTGTCTCCCAGTCGGCTCCTACGACTCCTACGACTCCTATGACAGTATGACTCCCATCATATCCATATTCCATATTCCATGAGTGCTGGATTGAAGATCGGTGGAACTGAGGTATCCCATGGTTTGGATACCATACGTAAGGTACCATACTTACTTACAACACGGGAGAGTCTAGATTGACCACACTTCCTGAGACATTTCAGGGGCAACTCTCTAGTTTAGTTGGTCAGAGTCTCGAACAAGGGTGATATGATAGCCTGATAGGAGGACGACCACTCTGTACTACACAGTATGTAGATAGTTAATTATGGAAAGAAAAAAAAAAGGCCATACTAGTTAGTCTGTCAGACTATCATTCTTCTGGAATAACTAGAAAACACTACTCCGTACTCCGTATTATTGTTGTTCTGGTGGACTGCAATCCTATGGTCTTCCACTTCCAATCCCTCTTCCTCCTCCACCAACTGTCTTTCTCTCTTCCGTCTATCCTGCAATCCTGCTGATACTCGTGATTGGGGGTATCAGCTCAATCCTTTCTTCTTGTTTTCAGTTTCTTCTTCTCCTTCTTCTTTTTTTTTTTTGGTTCATCAGGATTTTGCTCACAGAGGAGGCCTCTCGCTTACTACTTTTCCTCTGTCTCACATTCGTTCTGTTCTCTGCTCTGTCGGGTGGTTGAGTGGTAGATATAGGCAAGCTTTGTCTTACTTCCCAACCCTCCCACAATCAGCCCTTCTCGCTCCCATTCCACCATCTCATGATCACTCATTCCATCATCATATCCAGATCCCCCTATTGCTATTCTCGTCTATCGTTTCTATCAACCCCTCCCCGCCCCATTGACGTCTCTCTTCCCTTCTTCGACGTCACAGGATCAACCCCTTTCTTCAATTGGCATCGAAAATAGAGAAAGAGGATAGACTACGAGGGGCTTGGTGATCTTCCAATCTCTGAGGTAATCATCAACCGACAAGCCCCTCTCTGGTGATCAATTGCTTTGCTTCCTCTAGGTTGGCAATATCCATTGCTAGCATCTTTGTTGGGGCGCTTTTGTTCGTACTCTGTCTTTCACTTCATCGCGGACAGGTTGACCCTGTCCCTCCACCTCCAGCCCACTCAATTTATCACGGTGCTGCTCATTCTTTTGAAACAAAAAAGAAACGTTTTCTTTGTCAGAAAGCGCAACCTTCTCTAGTGTCGCGAAGATCAGCCGGATTCTGTATCGAGCGTTCATCTGGACTAATTGTTACCCTTCATCAACTCATCGAGCCCGTCACGTTTATGTCGTTCTCTTCTTGAACTTCATATCCTGACTGACCAAAATCTGATCGTATTTTCGAGATGCGGATCCTCCCTCTTTCCCTCTTCGCGCTGGGATTGCTCCCTGCTCAAGTTCTCGCTGTCGACACAATCAGTACCGATTATGTATCGACTTGTTTGACAAACTCTGATATCCAAGTCCAGCAACTGAAAATCGCCTACACCCGCTCGACAAGAATAGTCGACTTCACATTCCATGCGACAAGCCAGAGGATTCAGAATGTCACTGCCTCTTTGACGGTCACCGCATATGGACGACAGGTTTATACCAAGGACTTTAACCCTTGTAGCTCGGATAACTATGTCGAGAGACTTTGTCCGGTTCCTGCTGGCTCCTTTAACGCGCAAGGAACACAGGAGATCCCCGAAGAATTCGCCAGTCAAATCCCTTCCATTGCCTTCGCGATCCCTGATCTGGATGGACTGGCGAAACTTGAATTGAAGTCTCTCGACGGTGGGAATGCGGTGGCCTGTTTCCAATCCGGCCTGTCCAACGGCAAGTCCATGCAGGTTCAGGGCGTCACTTACGCAGCGGCTGGGGTCGCAGGCGCCGCGTTGGCCTTGAGTGGGTTGTCTGCGCTGGGCTCCGTTGCTCATCCCGGAGCAAGTTCAACGAGCCCTGGTTTCGGCGATGTGATGGGCTGGTTCCATAGCATGGCCACCAACGGTATGCTCAGTGTTAGCTACCCCCCGTTATATCGCAGCTTCGCCAAGAATTTCGCTTTCAGCACCGGTCTGATCCCCTGGGGCGACATGCAGACGAGTATCGACCGCTTCAGAGAGGCCACGGGCGGTAATCTCACTCAGAACAGCTATGAATTCCTTCGAAATGCCACTCTTGACTTCTCCGGTGGAGACTCCACGAACACGACATCGAAGGGTAAGCGGGGTTTAACCATAATCGCCAATGCCGTGAATCTGGCGACTAGAGAGGTGTCGGCCTCGTTCGATAGCAACTCCACGGCCAATTCGACTGGTGGTGATGAGAGCGGATTTCACAAAACACTCTCAGGCATTGAGGCTTACGCGGGGCAACTCACCATTCCTCAAGCCAACACCTTCATGACCGTCCTGTTGATCTTTGCTATTGTGATTGCCGCCATCGCGTTGGGTATTTTACTTTTCAAAGTGATCCTCGAGCTGTGGGCTCTGTACGGTTCGTTTCCAGAAAAGCTCAAGGATTTCCGCAAAGATTACTGGGGTCTCCTGGCTCGCACGATCACCAATCTGATCCTGGTCCTCTACGGCATCTGGGTGCTCTATTGCATTTATCAACTGACCAGTGGGGACTCCTGGGCGGCGAAGGTCCTCGCCGCCGTCACTCTTGCTGTGTTCACCGGCATCCTGGTATTCTTCGGTTTGCGTATCATGCATCTGGCCCGCAAGTACAAAAAAGCGGAAGGCGATGCCTCGAGTTTGTATGAGAACAAAGAGACCTGGCGCAAGTACAGTCTCTTCTACGACAGCTACAAGAAGGACTACTGGTGGCTCTTCATCCCTGCCATCGTCTACATGTTTGCCAAGGGCTGTGTTATCGCCGGGGCGAATGGGCATGGGCTGGTACAGTCTGCGGGCCAGCTGATCGTCGAGGCGTTGATGTTGGGCCTCTTGCTGTGGTATCGACCATATGTCGCCAAGTCTTCCCAGTGGATCAATATCACTATCCAAGTGGTCCGTGTCTTGTCTGTAGCATGTGTCTTGGTGTTCGTCGAAGAGCTGGGTGTTTCCCAAACAACCAAAACAGTGACTGGTATCGTCCTCATTGCGGTTCAGTCGGGCCTTACAGGTATCCTCGCTATTCTCATTGCTGTCAACGCTATCATCTTGTGTGTCCGCGAGAACCCTCACGCCAAGCGGCAGAGAGAAGCCGGTAAGTTGCAAATCCTCCCCCATCGTAGTCTCTCTCTCTCCTTACAGTAACTAATGTATTTTCCAGAAAAATTGAATCGCGATATGGATGACCTCACTCCTTTGGATGCTCGGGAATCTCTCCTCATGGATCATCCCCCCCGCAAGGACTATGGAGAGATGAGCAAGTTCAATTTCACCGGCCCCTACGCACCATATCGCGATCAGCATGATTCCGAGACTCGAAGCAGGCGAAATGAAAGCACAGATCGCCTGGTAGACCCTGCTTACCGCCCAAATCATCACCATGACCGAAGTTTAAGCCGTGATAGTCGACGGAGTCGTGATAGCCACGGATCTCTTGAGCGGCGGCCAGCCACCACCCCCGGTTATGGCTTCGCTTATTAAATTACCAATTCCGATCGAATTCATGATACCACATTGTTCCAATATCTGTTGTCATTTTCTTCCAAATATTTTTCGTCACTGCGTTTCGAATTCTCATTTGAAGCATAGACAGCACTTTTGACCCTTTTCTTGTTCTTTATCCATGACTTTTTTTTAGCGTACTTGGACAGTGACTTCCGAAACTTCATGTTTGTATTCATCTTTTTCTTCTCTCATATAGCTGTTCTTTCCTCTTCCTTATCGCTGTTCCATTGCCTTGTCTTGTCGTAGCCAGCCACAAGCTTTACCCCCCAACTCAAACCCACCGGTGTTTTTTTCCCTCATGTGATCATTGTCGGCCTTGCTCTCATGGTTCCAGGTGGCATTCTTGGATGTTAAAAGTTTATGGATAGAAAACTGCCTCCTAGATGTTCCTCCCTGTATGTAAATGTCAACCTCCTCGTCTGTTGTGACTCTTTCTCGAATGTACCGAATACAGAGTGAATGCTATATCATAGAGCCCTACAGAACCATGTGCACCAGTGACATGAGACTGGCAGAAGAGTAGATTACGGCAAAGATTGGATTGTAGTGTCATGGACAGTATGCGGAGTTCTCATCTGCTCAGTCGCCATCCTAAAGAATCTTTTCAACATCCAGTATAAAAAAAATTGGAATAGTACATTTGATTGGAAGGTAGGGTGGGATTTTCGGAAGGCATTAATGCACAGGAGGACGGAAAACCGGGAATGGTGAGATGATCCTTTTGACCTGGTCGATATCATTTTTACGAGACGGGAAGAAGAAAACAACAACAACAACAACGACAACAACGACAGAGAGATAGGAAAGCAGTAGGCATCGATGAATAGAAGAAGAATATCAAAGCTGGACAGATACGGAAACGGGAAGACCGGGATAGTAAGAAGAGATAGCAGATCGAGAAGAACTCCGAAACAACTCTCAGGACCACGACATTCCTACAAGACCACGGCCTCAACCACGAGAGTAAGGGTGGAAGCCCCGATGGCCTCCGCGACCTCCGCCGCGGTAATTGGCGCCCGGTTTACCGGCGTTCTTGGGGCCAGTTGGAGCGTTGGCGGGGGCAGCGCTCTGGGTTGGCTGAGGCGTCGTTCCTGATTCTTCTAGTTAGTGCTTAGGGGGGAGGGAATTCAAAAAGGAAGATGGGAGACAGGTGAGGAGGAGTCTATTGGATACATACCACGTCCCATACTGCCTGCGCGATTCATGCCCTGAGGCCCGGTGGGGATGTTGGGCTGAGGCACTTCGTCGTACATGCCTTCCCACGAAGTTGGGCCGCCCTGTTGGTATGGCGAGAAGCCCCGCGACTCCATGACGCGGCGGGCCTGCTGCTGCTGCTGCTGCTGCTGCTCGTACTTCTGCTGCTCGAACGCGATCTGCTCCTGGGCGTTGTAGCCCGGTCCGCCCCGAGCGGCCGAGTAGTTTCCGCCCATGTTCGCGTTCCCTGCGTTGTTGCCTCCCATCGCATTCCCCATCTGTGCTTGCATCGCGCCCATGTTATTATTCCCCTGACCCTGGGGCTGGGCTTGGTTCTGCAGCTGCTGCATCTGCTGCATTTGCTGCATCATGGCGGGGTTCATCATGTTCTGCATCTGCGGGGTCGAGCTCTGCGAAGGCGGGCTCAGACTTCCCTGCGGCTGCTGGTTGTTGCCCATCTGCATCTGCTTCATCTGCATTTGCTGCATTTGCTGCATCATGGCCGGGTTCATGCCTGCCATTCCCATGCTGCCCATGCCTTGGCCCTGAGCGGCGGCCATCGCCATCTGCTGCTGCATCAAGGAGAAATACTGCTGCATGCGCTGCCAGTACTGCGCCATCATCTGGGGAGTCAGACCGGCAGGCATGCCGGCCTGTCCCTGCATCCCCTGTTGCTGCTGCAATCCATCACCGCCAGCATGGCCGCCGTCCCGAAAGTCTCTACCGCGGCGGTTTCTGCGGTCTTCCTCGTCGCGCAGGTTGCCTCGGGGCTGGGCCTTCTTGACCTCGATTGGTTTCCCGCAAATCGCCAAGGGACGCGAGAGCGCGTTCTCGACAGCCGCTTCACTGTCGAACGTCACGAAGCCGAATCCACGGGGACGTCCGGTGTCCTTGTCGATCATGAGGGTGGCGTCGACGACACGGCCGAACTGCATGAAGAATCCCTTGAATTCCTGCTCAGTGGCCTCTTGACTCACGCCACCAACAAAGATTTTGCTCGTCTTCTCCTGCTCGTCACGGGGAATCGCCCGTTTGGGGTCGATCTGCGGGAGGTGTTAGTTGCCGAACATCACTACGGTGGCCACCAGCTGAAGTGGAGATTCCTACAATCTTTCCATCCAGGTAGTGCTCCTTGACCATCACTGTATTGACCGTCTTGGGGTCTTTGAAGGTCAAGAACCCAAAGCCACGAGAGCGACCTGTGGCACTGTCTCGCATGACAGTGCACTCCTGTACCTCTCCAAACTGGGAGAAGTAATCCTTCAGAGACTCTATTTGCATACGTCAGACTGGTGGGAAGGAACTCGGAAGAGCTGCAATAAGATTAGAATAGGACGTACGGTCGGTTGTCTCCCAATTCAAGCCACCAATGAACATCTTCCTATTAGGCAAATCTATCAGTAAACAAGGCCACCTATCCAGAGCTAAAGCACTATCAAAGCGGACAGGTCCATCGTATGAAGGGGGTGGTGCAGATGAGTCAAGGATAAGTGCAAGCAGAGCAATAGGGCATGGGCCGGAGACAGCCCGGGGTTGATGGCAAGTCGACTGGCTAAATTGCGGTGGAAAACCACGCAATATGCAGTGGGCTAAGCAACTCTTCTCGATTCCCTGGGTGGAGATACTGTAGTGCATCCCGATCACAGGCAACTATGGAATTGGATATATTCGAAATCTCAGGGCAAAGGTACAACAGCCAGCGGGACAAGCTGCACTGCTGCCGTGCAGATAGATGGCGCGACCAAATGCGTGAGGGCATCACAATCGCCTCAGGCTGAAACGTCCACGGTATGGATACATTTGGCATTGCGACAGTAACTGAGGGCATTGCTCAGGGTGACATGCAGACATCTCTAGTCACCCCACATCCACTGGTTTACAGGATGATCCAGTGGGAACAAAGCCAGAGCGGAAGATGCTCTCAGATCGAACGATATGTGTCGAGGTGGTGGTAAAGAAGAAGCCACGGAGTGAAGCGAGTGAGGCGGAATATAGTCAACTGAATCTCTTCTTTTCTCTGTCTGACCCAACGATCCTTCGCCTGTCTGTCTAATAGAGTCCGAAGCTAGGTAGGTAAAACTGCTCGATAGTGCTCCACCAGACAGCCAAGGCTTCTACTCCTTGCTCTGCTCTATCAAGATACATCGACAAGAAGCTATATGATAGCGTCTGCACTAGTAGTCGCTCGCCAAAAGGTTTTCGTAAGTCTGAGGATTCTGATATCTTGCAACTTCATGTCGATGTTGACTCGACGATACATATCTCCCTTGAGCCTTGTGTAGGAGATAGCCTTCGCATTCATCAGACCGCCCTTCATAGCCAGATCTGACGCAATCGAACGATTTTTCCGCCCCAGATCAACTGAAACTTCGTCCCTTTCTGACAGATGTAGCTAGTTCGACTTGACTGCTTCCCTTGGTAGAGTCCGGCGATTTCTATCCACCTTCCTGTTTCTTTATCTTCTTGCGATCTTCTTTTGAACCACACCGACACAGCTCGAAAGAGGTCCCCTCCCACGAGATCATTGATTCAGTTGTTCTGGCCGAACAGACTGTGCCCTTGCATGGCTACCATTGAAACCCAATATCCACGACCAGCATTGAGTGCATACCATCGACTACATCGATAGGTATGGACGGGTCATGAAGAGTGTCTTTCAATCTTCAATCGGGATGGTTCACGCATCGTAGTCGATAGTCGATCCATTGCCCTTACAGAAAATGTGTAGGATGGGAAAAGCAAAGGTTGAACGCTTTCTTATCAAAAGGATGTACTTACCCGTCTTCTTTGATTCCGGTGCCCTGCGGCTCAGATTCAGCAGCAGGAGCGGAGATATCATTGTGAGAGGTATGTGCGTCATAAGAACCCGCGCCATTTCGCTCGTGTCCTTCATAAGAGAATGAATAAGGATCCGCAGCATGAGCGTGATCCGTGTCGGTCCTGAAGCTCTCTGCAGGCTGCGCAGTCGGGATATTCGTGGGCTGAGCAGGTGTGTACGATACATTGGAATCCAGAACTTTCGGGGGTTCAACGGCAGAAGTTTGTCGGTTTGTGCTCTCATCCGCATCGTACCTAAGCCATAGTAGTCAGAAAATGAACCATAATTACCATTCCTGAAAGTGAACCATACAGATCGGCGAAAAGATCATCCTCAACATCTCCTGGTTCAGCCATGATGAATGAATGTCACGAAGAAAAGAGGAAGGGGGAAAGACGAGAAAAAAGAGCTGGCGGGTCGACTTTCAAAAGAGTAGTCGTCGCGCAATAATGAAGCCAATGAGTAGACAGCGAGCCGAGTTCGACTGGGTCAAATCAAGCTACAGGAAAGAAAGAAAAAGGCGAACTTAATTAAGGTAAGATGAGAAGTGAAAAGGGGGGAAGAGGAGGGAGAAAAGAGGATGAGGAGGAGGAGGAAAGAGAAAGTGAGAGAGAGAGAGAGAGAGAGGAAGATGAGAAAGAAGGAGGAGAACTTCTCCGTGCCGAATCACTCAACTTAACTACTACCAGTACCAACTACTATCTAACTACAGTATTAAGAGTCCCCCAACCAAAAAAGCGCATGATGTCTTCTTCTTTTTAACATCGATTGCCTTCCTTCTCATCTGAGCTGTTTGTTATTCTTTGAATCATACCATGTTCTAGTCTCCAGAGCCATACTCTTCTCTTCTGCATCCACAATTGCCTTGATCAGCCACAGTCTAACGGAGCAGCGCCGTATCAAGTATTCAGCGTCTCTCTGTTTCCCCCCGCACTCCTCCCGACGCTTTTAATTGCTCCCGATGATCTGCTATATTGCTGTTGAGAGCGCCAATTCTTTTGTCCCGGTAGCTTACGACAATGACTACTAAGAAGGGCCAACAGGTACGCTTACATACCTTGAATATTGCCCCTCATTCATAACAATGGGCTAATCTAGGCTTTCCTCTGACAAGGAGATGGTCCAGGTTGGTTCGTACCTCGATAGTCTCTCCATGTCTCATTTCCAGATTCAGTAGCTGATATAGCCCCCCCACTCGCATCTTGCAGACCGTTCCGAGTATGTACTCTGTGTGCTCCGATTAACCCTTACCTGTGGCCAAATACTCGAGCAACACACTGAGCGCTCGACCATTCATTCTCTTTTGTGAATGGTCCCTTTGGCTAACATGCCTCAAGACGAACAGGCTCTCCGTTCTGGAAGGGCAGATCCGTGTCCCAACCCCAAGCATCACCCAATAATCGAGACACAATCGTTGGCGCTTCATACTCTCACGCGAATATCTTAAAGTTTGTGTCTCCTGTTTGAGATAGCGCATTGCGTCGTCCTTCGCCAGTCAAACGAACAACGAGCTGATTAGGGGGTAATCGCTTTCCAGAGGTTTACCACAACAGCATGCGCGACCACGTACACCTCCCAAGTCATCATCCGCCCATTCACAACATGCGTCTCCAGCGTCTCATCGATCCGGACCATGGGTCACGTCTCCGCGGACATCATACTCGGGTATCATGAACCGGGAGGTTGAATTATGGAATCCCGATACTGTGGATATCAGCGGCGACGACGAAGAAGACGATGACGAGGATATTGCCTATGACGACGATGAGGACGAATTTGGACTACCCAGCATTACCAGCATGCGAAAAAAGCAGAGCAAGAGTGCCAATTCGACCCGAGGCAGATCCGGTGATCTGAGCAGTATCGCACGTGGTAGTACTTCAAGCCTGGGAGTCAACCAAGGAAGCAATAGACGACGCGCAAATAGTTCAGATATCGCCGAGGAGCGCGGGTCGTCTATGTATCCAATAGCGAAGAATAATGAAGGAAAGATCCTACGTCCCCAGTATAAGGACATCCTGAGAGGTAAGTATCGCTCCCATATCGAAGCCCGTCCTTGACTTGGCGCTAATAGTAGCCTTGTTAGATCCTGCCAATGTCTTGAATCTCATTAATCATGCGCCACCTCCGAAGAATGCGACTCCGAAGGAGATGGACATGTATTCGAGTCGCATTTCGAGAATCAATAAGTTCAAGCGTCTGCTCCAGACAAGCACCGTTTCTTTACCAGAATTGAGGAATCTCGCATGGTCTGGAATTCCACCTGAAGTCCGTGCCATGACTTGGCAAATTCTGCTTGGTTATCTTCCTACCAACAGCGAACGACGTGTGTCGACACTAGAGAGGAAACGCAAGGAGTATCTGGACGGTGTTCGACAGGCCTTCGAGCGTAGCACCGCCCCTGGAAATTCGTCGGCTTCTACAGGCCGCGGTAGAGGCTTAGATGAGGCGATCTGGCATCAGATTAGTATCGACGTTCCTCGTACCAGCCCTCATATCCAACTCTACGGCTACGAAGCTACCCAGCGCTCATTGGAGAGAATTCTCTACGTTTGGGCGATTCGACATCCCGCTAGCGGTTATGTACAAGGAATCAACGACCTTGTCACACCATTTTGGCAGGTCTTTCTTGGTCTTTATGTCACGGATCTCAATGTAGAAGAGGGCATGGATCCGGGTCAATTGCCCCGAAGTGTGCTTGACGCCGTGGAGGCCGATTCATTTTGGTGCCTGACCAAACTTCTTGACGGTATCCAGGATAATTATATATACGCCCAACCAGGTATACACAGGCAAGTGAGAGCTTTGCGCGACTTAACGATGCGTATTGATTCCACTCTTGCAAAACATCTTGAGAATGAAGGAGTCGAGTTCATGCAATTCAGCTTTCGATGGATGAACTGCTTGCTCATGCGGGAGATGAGTGTCCAAAATACCATTCGGATGTGGGACACCTACATGGTATGTGCGACCTCCTTACGGCCGATCAAACCATCCTGATCAAGTCATTGTTGTATTGACTTCCCTCTAGGCTGAGGAGCAGGGGTTTTCACGCTTCCACCTGTATGTCTGCGCTGCGTTCCTTGTCAAGTGGACAGAGCAGTTGGTCAAAATGGACTTTCAGGTAGGTTCCAGAGAATGGATTTTGCATGGGCACGCAGACAATACTGACTGTTCCTCGCAGGAAATTTTGATGTTTTTGCAGGCACTCCCAACACGAGATTGGACCGAGAAGGATATTGAGCTCTTGCTTAGCGAAGCATTCATCTGGCAGAGTCTATTCCAGGATTCCCGGGCCCATCTTCGCCCGGCTGGTGATCGATCGCCGGAGAATGGTTTCCAATGATTGAAAACATTCTCTACATATCTGATGATACTCCAGAGATCAACCCTACGTTTGGGGCATGGGTTCCGGCTCGATTCTCTTCATCGGTACCACCTGAAAGGCGCGCGATTCCTCTCTTACTTGGAGGGTCCTAAACGCTTTTAACATACCTGTGTCATCAACCGTCTTTCCATGCGAACCCCCAATCTGGCATCATTCCAAGCCTACCGTAATAATTCAGCATTAATTCAACAACTCTTTTCCCTCTGACGAAGCTGATCCCAGAGAAGTTCGATAAGGAGTCAACCACATCGGAAATTACTTCGTCTTGGTGCCTACATCAAGCACTTGCAGACTCGGACTTGGTACAATTTCCACATCGACCTGGATGCTTTTAGTCAGTCTCGTCAAATTGAGTGCCACAAACACAAAACAAGCAATCCGCTCATGGCCCGTCTTATTTTGAAGTCGAATCTGTCAGGTTCTCGTGTGGGGTTGGTCAACAGCAGATGCGCCACGGTCATTATATCTGACCCAACAATGCCGACTTCTCGGGATGCACGCTTACTTTAAGGGACTTAGCAAATATCGACAACTTTCTACCATACGGCCTATATGAGCCGTCGACGGACGAATTGTCCTGATGTGGTCAAAAATTGAGACTACTCATCCCCTGAGGAAGTTGCAATACTGGTGACATTTAGGAGCCCAGACTGTGTGCTCCAGTTGAAGTTCAAATAGGGTCTATGCTACTTAAATGCAAATATATATTGAGCGTCTAGTGCAAGAACCAATCAGAGCGATAGCCATAAAAAGATGGAAACCATCTGAGGAATCAAAAATCTATAAGCGCTACGTACTTAGTGAGGCAGTGGTCCTACTAGGAAGATGATTTATACTCCTGTCTGAGATCACATCTTGATAAGATTACCGGACCGGGAGTACTTTGTTGCGGGCATCGCCTCTTGGAGCTCTACACCTTCATCGAATTACGGAAAATATATCGCCTCTAAAGATCCGCCACACTTGCCCGGCTTGTTTTTCACTCGAGCCTTGCCAGTATGTCTTCTGGACGGAAGGACTTCTTGAATCAGCCTGCGCCCGAAAACTATGTTGCGGGCTTAGGCAGAGGTGCGACAGGGTTTACAACTCGTTCGGATTTGGGACCGGCGCGGGAAGGGCCTACACCGGAGCAGATTCAAGCTGCTCTCGCAAAGAGAGCCCAGCTTCTCGGCGCTGCACCTCCAACAGCATACGGCGCAGGACGCGAAAAGGGCGGAAAAGAAGAGAAAGAGGAGGAAGAGGAAGATGAACGTTTCCAAGATCCAGACAATGAGGTTGGTCTTTTTGCCTACGGGCAATTCGATCAAGAAGACGATGAAGCAGACCGCATCTATAAAGAAGTAGATGAGAAGATGGACAAGCGTCGAAAAGCACGAAGGTTAGTACATACCCCTCAATTTTTCCCCTCTGCACTTTGAAAATGCGTTGTTCATCGGGTTTATCCCGTTGTTTCTGAACAGACGACCGACTTGATACCTTCGCCACCTACAGGGAAGTTCGAGAACAGCAAGAGCGCGAGGAATACGAACGCAAGAATCCCAAAATTCAGCAGCAATTCGCCGATCTGAAGCGTTCACTAGCGTCTGTCTCAGAAGACGAGTGGGCCAACCTACCGGAAGTCGGAGATCTCACAGGAAAGAATCGACGGGCGAAGCAGAACCTACGACAACGTTTCTACGCGGTACCAGACAGTGTCATCGCCAGCGCAAGGGACTCGACCCAGTTTGAAACCACCATCACCGATGATGGTACGCAGACAGATGCCCGTGGTCCCGAGGCGGCGGATGGGACAATGACGAACTTCGCGAATATCAGCGCAGCCCGTGACAAAGTGCTCAAGGTCAGACTTGACCAGGCTGCCAGGGGCTCTACAGCTGATTCTGCCTCCGGGAGCGCTACCAACATCGATCCGAAAGGATACCTTACGAGTTTGACGCAGTCGGAGCTGAAAGCGGGCGAAATTGAAATTGGGGACATCAAGCGAGTTCGTGTTTTGTTGGAATCTGTGACGAAAACAAACCCGAAACACGCGCCTGGTTGGATTGCGCTTGCACGTCTTGAAGAACTTGCTGGGAGGATCGTGGCTGCTAGAAACATCATCGCCAAAGGTTGTGAGTTGTGCCCGAAGAGCGAGGATGCATGGCTTGAGAACATTCGATTGAATGAAGGACACAATGCCAAGGTTATCGCGGCCAATGCAATCAAAAATAACGACCGTTCCACAAGACTCTGGATTGAGGCAATGAGGCTGGAGTCGGACACTCGCGCCAAGAAAAACGTGCTCAGACAGGCTATTCTCCACGTACCTCAATCGGTAACCATCTGGAAGGAGGCTGTCAACCTGGAAGATGATCCCGCCGATGCGCGTCTTTTGTTAGCGAAGGCAGTCGAAATGATTCCCCTTTCTGTTGAGTTATGGCTTGCTCTCGCTCGTCTCGAGACGCCTGAAAATGCACAAAAGGTTCTGAACGCTGCGCGAAAAGCTGTCCCAACAAGTCATGAAGTCTGGATTGCGGCTGCGCGACTCCAGGAGCAGATGGGCACCTTCGAAAAAGTAAATGTCATGAAGAGGGCCGTTCAAGTGCTTGCAAGAGAAAACGCTATGCTCAAGAGAGAAGAATGGATAGCGGAAGCCGAGAAATGCGAAGAAGAGGGGGCCATATTGACATGCGGTGCGATCATCCGCGAGACTCTCGGATGGGGCTTGGACGAAGATGATGACCGAAAAGATATTTGGATGGACGATGCGAAGGCGAGTATTGCGAAAGGCATGTATGAGACTGCAAGAGCAATCTATGCTTACGCATTGCGCATTTTTGTCAATCGCCGGTCTATTTGGCTTGCAGCTGCCGATCTTGAACGCAACCACGGCACTAAAGAGGCCCTCTGGCAGGTTCTCGAGAAAGCAGTGGAAGCCTGTCCTCAGAGTGAAGAGCTTTGGTTACAACTTGCGAAGGAGAAATGGCAAGCAGGGGAGATTGACGACGCCCGACGAGTGCTCGGACGGGCTTTCAACCAAAATCCTAACAACGAGGACATTTGGCTGGCTGCCGTCAAACTGGAAGCAGACGCGGACCAGACAGATCAGGCGCGGGAACTCCTGTCAACTGCCCGTCGCGAAGCGGGCACTGATCGCGTCTGGATCAAAAGTGTGGCTTTCGAACGGCAACTGGGTAATATCGATGAGGCGCTTGACCTGGTCAACCAGGGGCTGCAGCTGTACCCGAAGGCGGACAAACTCTGGATGATGAAGGGACAAATCTACGAAATTCAGAACAAATACCCACAAGCCAGGGAAGCTTACAGTACCGGCACGAGAGCCTGTCCAAAGTCCGTCCCGCTCTGGCTCTTGGCCTCTCGACTCGAAGAAAAGGCTGGTGCTGTTGTCAAGGCTCGTTCGGTCCTTGATCGGGCTCGTCTTGCTGTCCCCAAGAGTGCTGAACTGTGGACCGAGAGTGTTCGTGTTGAGCGGCGTGCGAACAATATCGGTCAAGCCAAGGTTTTGATGGCCAAGGCCCTGCAGGAAGTTCCAAACTCTGGCCTCCTGTGGAGCGAAAGCATCTGGTATCTTGAACCGCGGGCCCAACGAAAGGCTCGCAGTTTGGAGGCGATCAAAAAAGTGGACAATGACCCAACTTTGTTCATCACAGTGGCGCGTATCTTCTGGGGAGAACGTCGACTGGAGAAGGCAATGACATGGTTTGAAAAGGCCATCGTGTCCGACAGTGATCTGGGTGATGGCTGGGCATGGTACTACAAGTTCCTGCTGCAGCATGGCACAGAGGTTCGTATTACATCTGTGATTCCCGCATCATATCCCTTGAAATGTGACTAATATGTACTTCCGTTCAGGAGAAACGAGCCGACGTGGTGGCCAAGTGTATATCGACTGAGCCCAAACACGGCGAAGTGTGGCAGTCTGTGGCGAAAGACCCGGCCAACGCGCGCAAGTCCACGGAGGAAATTCTTAAGATGGTTGCAGACCGTCTCACTCAATAATAAATGTCGTGTACACTACGGAACTCGGTCTCTTTTATGCATGGTCCTTGTTTTATACACTGATGCGGTTATGGATTGGCGTTTTGGAGAACGGCAAGCTTCAAATGACATACACAAATGGTTCTTTGTAGGAGCAGCCATGACATGCATTATTCTCATTTCCAAGCAAGCGAACATTCTATACGTAAATTGTTTGATTATCGAAGAGGTCAGCGGGCCTTGCGCTGGGCTTCTCCCGACTGAAGACCAAGGCAAATATGACAACATTCAAAGAGAAACTTCCAGTATTGTACAGAGCCACCTTCTTAGGCTGCCATTGTATAAGTCGCAGTATTGTAGATCCACATCCATCACATATCGCTGCCCCAGAAAAGACAAAAAGAACTGTAAACCAATCGAGCCTTGGGTATCAAACGCGACTCGCTGCACACTGAAGCCCCATCCTTTCCATTTTCTTCCCCATCTTATAAATGCACAACAACGGTCCCGGCACCCTAATGTAAGATCTCATTGAACATCCGAGGGCATGTGAGGTTCAATGTGTCGACAATGCCTCAAAGATAGGGCCCAGAAAGCAATCAACTCCATAATAAGCACGAAGAAAAAAAAAAAAAGATTGAACTCAAACTCCACGCCAAATGCAAAATCTCATAAATTTCCACCGATGGCAACGGTCCCTGATACTCCCAAGACGCCTTTGTTAGCAGCCATCCTTGAGATCAGCATGGTACAATCCTCGCGTAGTAGAAACATGCTCAAAACATGTCTCTCAAAAAGGACAAATCAAAAGGTGACGAAGCAGGAGACAGGGCAAAGAGGGGGGTAGGTGGAGGAAGGATATGACCTGAGAGAACGGAGTAGAAGGGAATATCATCAAAGAAGAGTATGCTCATGAGGCCATAGACAGACACTCGTCAAGTAATGAGCCCAGCTGAGCCTGATCTGTTGCCGTGGCTCCCTCCCACTCCGACTCTGCATCGTCGTCCACCTCCATCTCCTCTGAGAAATGGTTCAGTCTCGTGTCGTCATTTGCCGTGTCCGGTAATTCATCCACTCGATCCTGTTTGTCTGTCTCCAATTCATCCTCGAAATAGCCTCCTATGACTTGGTCCATGATAAGAGGCATATGACTGAGCAATCCTCCGCCAAGCTCCAAGGCTAATCGAAGGTCACGAACTCCGAGGGGTTTACGGGTACTTGCTTCCTTAGCCTCTATAGGAAGTAACCCAGTCGCGCTGTCTTTGACAATCTCGCCGCGAGTATAAGCCAACTCCTCCAATTCGAGTTGTTGCCGATATTTCCGCATCATCATACCGTTGATAGTGCCGGACGGTCCGTTGCACCGAGTACGCGAAAACACCATAGATAAGACTTCTTTTACAAATGTCTCAGTTGCAACAGCCATGAACTCGGCACAAGGAAGACCTGCACCGCTCACCACGGACTCTTCGTAGCATATTGGGACCATTCGTGCGTGTATCGATTCCGCGTCTGGAAATTCGCCGGTTTCCGATGCTAAAGGTTGCGCATAGCGTTTTCGAATTTCCAACTCCCAGTCTATCAATCGCCAAACAATGAGCGCCACTCGATCCAACAGCATTTTTCACAAGACAACTCACTGGTTTTGTTCAGACCACCGGCACTCGCTGGAACCTGACTGGGCAGCTTGATCTGTTTCGCAAGATGATATTCTTCCAATTCATTCGGCACAATCTCGGTGGTATCGCGCTATTGGCAATGAGGTCATTCATCAGTATTCGCTATGAGGTACTCAGATAACGTTATATGCCCAATATCATACCTCTGGAATTGCTTTTATTCGCCGACGATCTCTGGGAGGTAATTGCATGACCTCAGTCTTCAGCCTTTGCTCCGCAGCATCTCCAGATGACGGTTTCGACACAACGGAGGGTTTGTCATTCGCAGACACCCAACTTGCAACGCCATGATCAGGTAAGTCTCTTGTCAGGTTCCCTATAATTGCGCAAATGAAATTATTGTGAAGGTGTTCGATTCTCGGATCGGCGCAAATGATGTGATCAACACGCGACGCGAGTTCATTTTGATTCAAATGTCCTACCAGAAAATAACTAGTTGTCAGCTCGAAGATGACCAAGGATGATTGAGTCAGAGCAATGGCAAGTAGGCGCTTATACCTAGAAGGAAGAGAGTCGTAGATTCCTTGTACTCAGCCCAGTTGTCACCAATGGCGGCTTTCAGCTCCGTGTAGATAGGCTCGAAGTCCAGTCGCGGAACAGAGATCAACGCTTTCGTGGATTTTTGCGTTGTAGGAGCGCTGGTAGCTGCGGACTTGGACGTTGCTGTCGCAGTTGACGCAGAGTCTGTCCGACTCAATGCTGCCGGATCGATCTGCATGGTTACAAGGTCGCAGAGGCGCGACGGGCTGCGCGAAGCCGGAAATGGGGAGAACTAGGCCTTCATTAAGGGGAGTGCATGCCATAGAAATGACCCCAAAGGTAGTCCAGAGGTCCTGGATGATGAAACCCCTCAGAAATAGATGGATATGCGATGAATAGGGCGGTGCGTCGATGACCGAGGCGATGGAAGGAGGTCGGGGATGACTCTGTGGGAGCCGATGACTTCCCCGCCAAAAGCAGAAAGACTGGAAGTTCAGACACGACGGGCCGTGGAGAGCAGCCAGAAAGGACAGATGAGAGAAAGGACCATGTTTTAAGGGCAATTTTTGATGGCTATCAATTGATAACTAATTGTCAACTACGTACAGAGGAGAGTTCGCAGAAAACTACTCCTAGTAAAATAACTTGACTACGTCCTCGTTGAGCACACCAAATAACCTACCGATCTCTCCCATAATTTCTACAATTTCGGTGGACAACTGGCCCGTTACCAGAACTATAGGGCAGGAGGAGGAGCAGTCAGTTAATTAATCGCGCATGGGATTGCCGGTACCTCTCCTCCCAGCGAAGCGAGAAACACAAGGACAGACTTACTGTAGGCATAGAGCAAGGCATAGTCTTCATCGGTCGTTAGGCGAGAGGCCTCTGGATCTTTGCGATAGTGGAAGATGCGAGCAAGAAGCCGGTCTCTTGCATGCTCGATGCTAGGAAGTACGTCGTTCAATGGATACTCTAGCTTCATGGACGATGCCATCACTGTTTGCAGATCAGCTGCTTGAACCTCAGTAATGAACACAACCATGGAAGTCTACCTGACAATAGGTGGCTGATGCGAGCAGAGAGTTGCTCTCGTTCATGAGCTGTGTAGTCAAGCAAAGCTACTTCGCCCTCTGATGCAGTCACGTTCTTGAGCATTTCAAGATTCATGGCGTGAAATGCGTTCACCATGCTTCGTGTGCGACGAAGGATGTTGCCATATGCAGCAGTCGGGAACGTACTTTTCAACTCAAACTCTGCGCTTGCAGCAGCCTGAAGAGACTCTAATCGAGAAATGAATCGTTCAATCTCTAGCTTCTCTCTTGGAGTCATGAAGCCCATGGAGTGCTCGTTTTTGACCATGAGAGACAAGGGATACCGCTTCCAGATCAGGCTCATACGGAGCCACAGCAAGCTCAGGCCGTCCTTCAGCTCGTCGCGTGCGCTAATAGGCCAAATCAATCGCGTTACGATGATACCCCAGATACAACCAGACAAAACCGCTACAACCCGATGAAGAGCTATATCGGTGATGATCGGGGAATCACCCCCTTCATCCTCGTCATCCTTGCCCTCTTTCTGCGCAAGCGAGTAGGCATACAACACTGAAAGGTTGTATGTGAGCATAATAAACCGGCCCATTGGGCCTTTCCCTTTGACAACGATGATGTACGAGGTCCAAACCGACATCAGGAGACCTAGAATGGCAAGCCCGAATACATTTGCATCGGTCACGTACCATGCGGTAATCGCGCAGAGAGCTCCTAGACAGGTACCAAAGAAACGGGAGTAACTGGTGGTGTTGGATGCCCCAATGGTCATTGAACAGACCAACATGTAGGACAACAGGCCCCACTCGCCTCGCCAGTGGGAATACAGAGGCCGAGTGGATTCGATAAAGGACGGGAGGGCGTAGAGAGCTGCACCCGTGCCGACCTTGATTGCGAATTTCGTGTCTTCTCGTCGAAACACTCCAAATGACTTCCAGATTCGATAGCCAAGACTTTTCTTCGCAGGGGAGTTCTCTAGACTGTTGGGCAAAGGGATAGGTCTCGCATCTAAGGAGGAGGGATTAGCCCCATTTGACTGAGGAATCCCTTCCCCTGTAGATGGTCCAATCAGTGGTTGTTCTACATGCATGTCAGTCAGATACTGCGGCTATCAGTTTCAACACCGTATAACGTGAATTGCCATACCAGAGTCCCAAGGTCCCTTGCTCTTAACATCGGCCCTCCCACAACGCCAGATTTTCAGCCAATTCCATGATCTTCCATTCGGTCTCTCTTCGGCTTCAAGCTGGAGTTCATCTAAGATTGTGAGCAGATCTTTCAGCTGCTCACCAAATTCCAACAGTGAGAAACTGAAATGACCACAGCTGGCAGAAACTTCCTCGAGATCAGCTTCTACCTCTAGCGTTTGGATCTCCAGTAGATCTTTCTTCCGGTATATGACTGTCAGAGCCTCTTCTCGGGATTCTTGGTAGAGGTCTAGCGCGCGGTCAAGGCTGATATGGAATCGACTGTCAGTGGAAACTCTGAAGTCAGGCGCAGGTGTGAATGGGATCTCTTTGAAAATCTCCTTCAGTGTAAAGGCAAGTGATCGCTGTTCAGAGTCAGCGTTTTCTTTTCCGCCTTATCTTGGCCGCAGGTATACGACATACCATAGAAGGTCCCAAATGGCTAATGAACAGAGCAAATAAACCCTCGGGATGGAGGCTGTGCTCGAAATCAGATCCCCCGTCACGTAACGAATCCACATCAGACTGGTTTCCGTCGCTCCGAATCGGGTCTTCATTACCTTGGCCTTCCTCCTCTTCAGGTCTTTCGTCGATTGATTCAAGAATGTTACTGCGCTCATGCGGAGAATATGGACTCAGAGAGGGCATGCGGTTGGCCCAATCAGAGCCATCTTTTTGAGCTGACTCGGCCAACTTAGCTTGCTTCAGCAGTTGGAATTGCAGAGAAGCAGCACTTCGTAGACCTCCCATGTTGTGTGTGATATCTTGGACCCACCGAACTAGGTTCTTCTCCAGTCTGTACTCTCTTTCGGTGCCTACCACGTAATGCTCGAGTTTCGCCTCGCGGACGAGGTTATCGAGTTGTGAGTACGCTTTCTTATGCCGCTGAGCTGCATCAAGAAACTCTGCCGACTGAAGCTCCTCCTCTGATCCGCTCAGGAAACTGTCTGTTATAAGTGCTAACATGATCGCCAGCGTTTCAGTCACAGTAGCGAGATTCGACCGTAACTTTTTCCGCGCAGAGACCGGAAATATCAAGAAGGACACGGTCATAGTAACGGCGACGCCCATGATGACCATTTTCAAAACCTGGAAGACCTTCACAAAAGAGAGGTCTCCACTCTGAACTGCTCCCTCCTTCGTCAAGACTGTAATGGACGCAAGTGAGGCCAGGGAACAAGCAACGTTCACGAGCGGATCGCCGAATCTTTGCTTCGTCCAACCGATGAAGCCCAAGCCACCTCCGCAGAATACAGTGAGGACAACCGCATGGCCTATTGCGCGTTGATCCAAGATATCCTGGAAGAACATACTAACACACATGCTCGTGACGGAGATGAAGGCCGCGTAGAGGAAGGCCAGGAAAGCGCATATCAATGCCTTGTACATACTGCCCTTTGATCGCGCCGGATGAAAATATACCGTCACGGTGGCCACCACATGCTTGCCATCTTGGTGACCCAGAAATGCCGCAATTGCAGGAATGAAAGTCGCAAGGGATCCAAGTAGATAAGCCAAACTGCATTTCAAGACTCCTATCCCGGGCTCGGAGGTGACAAATGCATATACCCAGATCCATCTATCTGAGATCGTTTTCCAAATGCGTGAGGGGATATCCGAATGGTTCGTGGACACTTCCCCAGAGAGAAGACCCCGCCGCTCTTCATCGTTGCGGCTGGTCGCGCGGTTTTGCGAGCTTCGCAAATTAACGAGGCCCTTCAAGCGTTGGCCTGTTTTTGGTAGGACGAACGTCGCCTGTCGAAGCTGCATCAAAACCAAAAGTCAGAAAACGAAAACGCTTATCATAAGATCGATGAGCCTGTAACAGCTCAGAAAGATAACATTTACCTTTGTTGGGCGCAGAAAGCGACGGGAAGCTCTTGACGAGTCTCCGGACATAGGCATATTCTCGACTCATTGTCCTTTGTCTTGTGCAAGACACCCAGAAGACTGCAAACTTTTTATCGAGGGCTGAATCGTACAGAATCTCCAGGAAGTCCACCTTGTTCTGGTGCGGAGCGCGTCAGCTGCCGTTACGTAGTGACTATTGCCACGCCCCGTGCATGGCTTTGACTACGCCCCGAGTCCAAGGACCCGTTTACTTAATTAACTTGGTTGGTCATATGTGACGGGTTTTGTTGAGAAAATGTTGAAAGAATCGAGGTTGAGTATATATAGACTTCTACATGCAGCTCCCAGGTAGTACTCAGCTCTCACGAGATGAGCCATTAGCAACACAATGATCGCTCACAACCATCACCGTACTGAAATGCCCTCCATCAATTCAATCCTTCTACCTTCCACACCTTGACTGCGGCATCAGCACCAGCTGAGGCGATCTTCGAACCTCCCGCGAGCCAGGCCACACCGTTGACGCCCTCCTTGTGGGCATTGGATACCTGCAACCAATCTCCTGGGCTGGCCAAACTCCACACGAAGATGTTGGTGTCCAGCGAACCGCTTGCCACAAGTGTACCACTTTCATTCCAAGCGATAGATGTGATTCTGGCAGTGTGGGCAGTCCAACGATCGGTAACCAGGCTACCATCAGCGACCTTGTACACGAGCACGCGGCCACGTGAATCACCAATAGCCAGAAGAGTACCATCGGGTGAGAAAGCAAGAGCAGACACCGGGTTGCGCGAGGCTTTGATATCCGTCTTCGGCGAAAGACTCGAGCTAGAGATGTCACAAATCTGCACGGATGAATCCTCACCTCCAACCGCTGCAACACGGCCATGTGCTGCAACGGCAGTGACTGCAGATTTCGGCTTGAAATCACCACTCTTTTGTCCATCTTGGTAGATCTCGACGCCTTCAGAGGTTCCTACCAAAACAATCGAGTCACCGGCAGCGACACTCTTGGGCTGGCCAGATAGCTTGGAATTGCTTCCAGTGTATGTCTTGGCGCCAACATCGACAGATCGGATGGTGTCATCCCAAGCCACGCTGTAGATTCTGCCAGTACCTTCTTGAGTCGTCGCGAGACCGGCGACATATGCGGAATGACAATCTCCGTCCGCCTCATCGGCAGTTCCATTGGAAACATCCCAACTGCACACTCTTCCATCGGAGCTGCCGGTCCATAGAGTATCATTGTTACCCTCGGAGTGTGATTGGGTCAAAGATGTAATACTCTTCTGATGGCCTTGCACTACTTGTCGTGGCGCGGGGGTACCTTCGACAAGGTAGTTCAGATCACCACTGAGCGACAAACTGATAAGCAGGTTGTCGCTTCTGCCCGGGGGCCATACCACGCCAACTTGCTGGTCGCGGACATTCGCACTTCCTTCTTCTCCCAGAGTCCAGCTTTGGGAAGCCTTGCCAGCTTCGACATCCCAAATCTTCACCGTCCGATCTGCGCTTGCGGTGACAAACTTCTTGGAGTCCTTCGCCCACGAAACAGCGAAGATGCTTCCCTGGTGTTCACCTTCTCCGATCTGCCCCTTAGCTTCGCCTGTCTTTCCGTCGTACAACCAGATCCTCCTGTCGGCACCCACACTGACCAAAGTCGAGCCATCTGGGCTGAATCCAACCCCGTAAATGTAGTTTGTGTGCTTGTCCCGGATCCCTGTGTTGAATTTGAAAGGTGCTCCATGGTAGAAAACCATGGACTTATCGTCACCCGCAGCAGCCGCCCTCAATGGCCTTTGTTGCTTGATGGAGACGGAGTTGATCTGTTGGGTGTGTCCGTAGATTTCACCGACTGTGTTGCCGCTGTCCCATGTGATACAGTGGCCGTAGCGTTGCTTCCCATCTCCGACGGCAATGATGCGCTGAGAATCGCCGTCCCATGCGAGATCATTGATGCGACCATTGATGATGCTGTATTCACCCTTTGTAATTCCGTCGCCGACACAATCCCAAACTCTTACAAGACCGGTGGCATCACCACTGGCGACATAGAAACCAGAGGGCGAAAAGCGAGCCACTGTCGTTTGCGCCTTGTGTTCGGTGTACTGTCTGGCGACTGCGGGGTTGTCGATCGACCGCAAGAAGATCGATTTACCTGACTGCAGGCCGTCTCCTGTCAGTTATCCTTGTTTCGCGGCTCAAGTCTATCTCTGCATCACGTTGATCATACCGCATAGGCGAGACGCTCTCCTTTAGCATCCGATGATAGCTGGGTGGGCTGACCCCTCGTGGTGGAGGGGTTGGCGGCCCAGATGGACTCTTGAGAGTGAGTGTAGTTAGCCCCTGTGCCATTGTCAAAGGACGGAAGTAAATTCAATTACCATTAGTGATTGGCATGGCTGGACCAGAAGACAAATACAGAAGAAGAATGGATAATAGCCAAGCGAGGTGAGGAAGACCAAGGAGTTTGGGGTTCGAAGACGGGGGATTGTTTACCAACTAAACTACTCGTTAGCACTACTTATCTAGGCCCTGACGTAGCAGTGGGGAACAGCAAATTAAGCAACTAAAATTAGAGCCAGCCGACGACAGTCTCATGTACCCAAAGGCTGAATTGAAGGTAGTCGTAATTATTTGACTGATCAAATATTCCGCGTAATGGACCGCCTTAGATATCCTATGGAGTCATATAGAATTTGTGAATCAGTAGTAGTGGTAATAGTACAGATATACCCCCGTTTCGATCGAGAAAATGAGACAACATATAAAGAATGATCAACTCCAGCCGTGCCTAATCCGACATCATTTTGTGATATACAGCAAAGAGTTAATCGAGTCTAAAAGACCGGTGTTCCCTCCATTCTCGCCTTGGCCTCCGCTGCCAGGATCTCCGGATGTCTGTGGACACTGGGCATGAGACCCATACCAATGGCCCTTCGGATGGCCTTTGCGATCTTCCGCTGGTTTACTGGTCGTAGACCCGTGACGTTTCTGTGCTTTATGCGCCCCATAGGGGTGATGTATTCGGACATGATCGAGAAGTTCTACAAGGGCGTTTTGCAATACGTGTTAGCCACCTCTGTAGTGATTGGGACCAGGTCGTTGTTGGATTCATCCCGCGATGATTCTGAGACGTACTCTGTAAAGATCAAGGGGATTCATGTTCAAAGAATCGAAAGCATCTGCTGCCGGGCCCTGGCGCTTCCTCCACTTCCTCATCTCCGCCGGGCTGAGGTCGTGAGGAGCATAGATGTCACCGGCCTTCCACTCACGAGTCTGGAACTTTTCTAGGGCTCGGCTTTCACCTTGAGCCTTCTGGTCCTCGAGGAATTTTTGGCGATTCGGTAGACGACGGCGCTGGAACACTCTGTCTATTCAACAAATCAGCAACGGGCTCCGGACGAGCGTTCTCGATCCCTGTTCTCGAATATCTCAACAATGAGGAAAGGATTATTTCGTACTCTGGATAGCGCTGGCAGCACGTTGATAGTTGGTTGTCTTATTAGGCATGGTCGAGCTCCATCGGCAAGTCGATAAGGAACCCAGAGATGAGCCCAGTGAGCGAAATGACAGCGAGGAAAAGAGATTGGAGGCCATTTTGTCTGCAGCTCTCACTTTACCTCGAATATCTTCGGGGTATAATGCTGAACAGTAGCGCGAGAGAGATGGTGGAGAGAGTCAAGACGAGCTCGCTGTTGAATCGGAAAGCCGCAGGGAGTGGAGCGTTTTGATAATTCGGATTTCTTTTTGTTGCGCCAAGAGCCGCACCACTCCCGCCGATGCTCCCAACGCGCCCATTGTTGCCTTCCTCCTGATTGATAGGCATTGAGCTTTAGGCCAAGATAAAGACACAAACGTTTCTTTTTCGTCTGATTATGGGTTTTATCTAGGACTGAGCCCATTGCCCTCATCCGATTCCAAGCAATTCGCTGAAGTGTCCTTTTCCAAGCTTCAATCAACCTCCCTTCCTCCGGCCACCAATATGCAATCACATCTCACGAGACGAGTGTTTCGTGCCATTCTTAACAATGAGCTACTATCCTTCTCGCGCTGCCGTAATCGGCTTCTTTATACTGCCCGACATCACCGGACCCGAAGGCTAGATGTTATCAATCCGTACAATGCTCAGCGACGGAGCCTTTTCGCGTTCAGCATGGCGCCGCCAGCCAATACACCACAACCTTCGACTCTACCATCCGAGGCGGGTCTGAAGCCAATGAGAGATCTGAAGAGAGCTTTGTCGGACAAAAGTAGAGGTCCTGCACATGGTGTGCTGGCAAAGGCGTTTCATGACTTTTTTGTCGCACGGGCGGAGACTTGGGAAGTTATCACAGGCTATCAGGCACAATTGCTTTCGATGACATGGAAATATCTGAGATCTCATGAAGGCGAGCTGGAACCCGAAGACTGGCAGGTTATGTATTCTACAGAGAATCTGGAAAACATGCTGTTTGTCCTATCCGAGGCCAAATGTCTGCCAGAGTCGCGTGATGCTGTGCTCAAAGTGGCTCGTTTTGCTTTTCTCGAACTCTGTGCGGATCATGGCTATGGGACTAATCATATCAGCCGGCCTGCACTTTCTGCCTATATCAATTTCCAGGCCTTGAATGGCAACCCGGAGGAGGCCCGGCATGTTGTGGAAAAGTTTTGGAGCAAATTGCGCAAGACGAAACCTTCTCCTTGGCTTGCGGTGATGAGGGGATTTGCTATGAATGACGATAAGAATCAACTCCGGTGGACCACCAAGAAGAAACTCGATGAGCTCGGTATCGCTTTCGACCGCGAGTCACATGAAGAATTGGTCAAGGTGCTCATCGAACAAGACTTGCTGTCCGCCGTCAAAATTATGTATGAGTGTCCGATTTCCGGGGACCAAGAGCCAACTCTCACCACAAAGGAAGCTGTGGTCAAGTATGCGCTTCTGAAATCCGAGGCCTCGTGGGCACAACCTATCGTCGAGTCAGTCAAACAGGAGCCCATTTCAGGAACTGTTGGTATCATTTTGCTATGGGCGGCTGCTCATGGCAAGGACGGTCCTGAAATTTTTGCGATGGTCCAAGAATGGATGTCGAAAAGTCCTGAGGTGAAGCAGTCGTTAGCCATTGCGCATGTGAACAATCTCATGGAATACGCCAATTCCATTAAGAACTCGCAACTTTCGGCTGAGTTCTATGCACTGGCTTCTCAGTGGAGCCTCCAACCAGATATACAAACACGACTTCTGCGGTTAGAATCTGACATCTTGTCTGGTGATGTAAATCAGACATTAAAATCTGTCGAAGAAGTACAGGATATCGGCTCCTTCACCCTCGAGAACTTGCCATTAATGAACAGACTTCTGACCATGCTTTGCTTGTTGGGGCAAGATGATGCCTTATACGACAGAGTTTCCACTTTTCTGGATCCATTGTTTGAGAACAATGTCCGGTTGGAAGCAGAGACTCTCGCAGCAATGACGCATATGCTGCTCTACAGACATGACTGGCAAGCTGTTTCTGACTTGCTTCGTCCCCGTCTTGGCTCATATGACTCAGAAGAAAGAACGAAGATTCGGCAAGCTCTCACTGCCTACATCATGGACGCTGATCAGGATAGCGCCGATGCGTGGGAGGCATACGGGTTGCTACAGGTGGCATTCCCAGAGACAGGAGTGGGTATGAGAACGGACATCATGACATCTTTTTTCCGGCAGAATCGAGGCGATCTAGCCGTTCTGGTTTTCGGGCATATGCGCCAGGCGGAGGACTTCACACGGCGTCCCAAGCCCGATACCTATGCGCGGTGTTTCCAGGGCATCGCTCAGATGCAAGATGCAAAGAACCTGGAGCTTGTCCACAACATGCTCAAGCTTGATGTCGAAGTGGACCTCAACACCCGGCTGTTGAATGAACTGATGATTGCCTATGCCGCTTGCGATATGCCAGATAAGAGCATGGAGATATTCCGTGGCATTCTACAGTCTGAGGAAGGGCCGTCACAGAAGACGATCTGGGCCTTTTTCAAGATGTGCGAGAAGCATCATCATGGAGCGCGCGAGGCAATGCGAATGATGGATAAGGTCAAACTGCTCGAGATCGAGCTGGACCGACGGCTGTATATGGCGTACGTCGAAGCTCTGGCCGCGCAATGCGAATTCGATCTTGCGACCGAGGCAGTGACCAAAATGCACGAAGAGATCGGATGCCATCCCACTCGCGATTCGTACGTTTATCCTTCTTCCCTACCCGTCGCCTCGGTGGTCTCACTCTTGTCATCTGACAGCAAAGCTAACATCGCATACCGCAGGATCGGACGGCTCTACAACTCCATCCCATATCAATTCTGGAAAGACGAAGTCGAAAAGTGGGCCAAGGTCAATTATTCGGAGCAGTGGGCGCAGCTCGAGCAGCTCGAGCGCACCGACCACGAAGAGGGATTCAAGTTCGAGCTGGGGAGCAGCTGATATCTTTCCTGGAAACCATTCTCTCAATCCAGCGAGAAGGCACCGTTGTATGACTACCAACGAAATGTCATGTGACACCCGTTTTCAACACCCATGCTCCTTCTAGCTCGAATGCATACCATAGGAACTAGCTTCATCTCCTTGCAGACCACAGAAGCGGATGTTACACCACTGCCGAGCCGGGACAAGTGCTGGCTGCACTCCGGAGTCTGCAGGTACACACGCTATCCTGATGTTCGGTCAATGGCGAGCGAGCTCTCGGGATACAGTATCTTATTCTATCTGTCATCTCGCCATTTTTTCATTGGCATGATCAGAGAAACCTTAGTCTTCAAACATGGTTATGTTGAAACGCAGTCGCTCAGCGCTCATGGCTGAGACTTGGACTCACGCATCATATCCCATGCTTAGGAGTGGGTGAATACAAGTTGAGAAGATGAACGGTTGCTATGTTCCTGGCCACATGGTGAATCTGGTTTATTTGCACAGAAGATCTTCCAGCACTGTTTCTATTACTTAGGCTATAGCTACCTTGTAACGCAAAGTTGTAGGAATAAGGAGGAAATGAAAATTTGAATCCATTAATTACTTATAGTCTTTTTTGGTCGATTCTCGTCTTCATGCAATAACGCATAATGAGTCTCGAAATGACTAATCCCTAGGACGGTCTGTCCAGTTATCAAAATGAATAAAAACCCCGGCAAATGCAACATCATGAATCTAGGAGGACATCAAGATACTCTTTCTAAGTATTATTACGCCTGCTTGGTTGCGGCAAGTCTTTGAGTCATGCTGTAGAATTATATGTTAGACATGGCATGGGGAAAGCGAATGTGGTCAGGGGTACACTCACAAGTCAAAGAAGGAGAACTGGCTAGGATTGCTGCCGAATTGGTAAACAAATCGGCTGGCAAGGTAGCTGCCGAAGATAGCCCGCAGGTAGTTTTCCGGAACCTATTGAGGAGTGTCAGCTGTTTGCCTGGCTGTAAAAAGGTGGGTAGATATTTTCGCGGGGCTAACTCACCCGCTGAAGGATAGTATCCAGGCCGATTTTCTCCAGGAGAAGGTTGGGAAGTGCATCACTCAGCACGGATCGGCGAAGCTCGACGTTATCCCACAGTTCGGTCTTCTGCAGTTCTTCATCCAGCTGCGTAATCGCGATGCTAAGCCGGTCACTCAGCACACTGCGAAGAGCACCGGTCTGCTCATGCTCGCGCCAGATCGCCTCAAACTCAAGAGTGGCGTTTGACTTGATGATCTCCTGTACTTGTTTGACGTAGGCGCTGTAGAAGGATGGCACGGTACCATCCTCACGGATGCACATGTTCTCAACAAACTCCTTGTCATCGAATGAGAGCGAAGCTAGCACTTCGAGCGACGATGATGTCACACCACCCTTGTTAGCAGATGCATCCTTGAACAAGATACATCCGGCCCGCTCGAGTCGCAGCTTGCTGTCCTGCGTGATAAACAGATTGGCACCCTCGACAATGTATGGGATGATGGACTTTCCATTCTGAATGAGCTTTCCAACTGTGGACAAATCGATGGATTCAGGACGTCCACCGCAGGGGACGAAGACATCATACTGCTGATCGGAACGCAGATGGAACGTGTTGCGGAAGATCATTCCATTGTGCACGACCTCGCCATTGGGAAGCTTGACATTGCTCTCATCCACCAAAACACGGTAGCCCTCCGGAGATAGTTTCGACAGGTCGAATTCCGAGATGGTGACACGCTTCTTGGCAAGCCGAATCAACTCCTGGTGATCCAAACCTTGAGGATCAACAATGACACCGGATCCATCAACAATGGCCGAGTACTTTTCGTTGGCAAGGAGGATTTCGTTGGAACCCAAATCGCCGTCGGGGCCACCGGTCTGCAACTTCCGCATGGTGGAAGGATCGATGCCAAGTTTGCGGTAGATACCGAGGACATACTGGCGGACCGACAGTGTGGTCATACCGTAAGCATCGTGGGGGATACCACCCAGCTTGGGGCTCTTGCCGGTGAAGAAGGACTTCCACCAGGGAGCACCTCGGTTCCGAGCGTGCTCCGTAGCCCAGTCAACCAGTTCGGCCGTATTCTCGTCAGGACCCATGAAAAGAATCTCATCCTTGCCATGCAAATCCACAATTGGGTCCTTGATACCCGGGCTAACCGGTGGTAGCAAAAGATCCAGGATGCTGTCAATGTACTTCTCGAACGCAACACGAGCTTTGTCCTGATGGGCAACATCCAGCAAAATGACACCCTTAGCGCCGCCTTCGGGGATATCTTTGTTCTTGCGCTGCTGGGTGTTGGCCAAGTTATAGTTCTCGTCGAACAGGGAGCGAGCATTGATGCTGTAGGCTTCCTTGTTCCGGCTCTTGACGATACGAATACCACCTCGAGCAATATCGCGGAAGCGCAGATGGAAACCGCGGAATTCGGAACTGATGACGAGGAACATGCCATACAAACGCTGCGGGTACTCATGCTCCGGCAAGAAATCAGGATTCAGCCGGAAGCTGAGGGCCACCTTGGTCGGGGTGAAGAAGTTGGTCTTCAGAATGGAGGTGTTGAACACCCGGAAGGCGCTCATGACCATCTCATCGTGCTCATTGGCCACAGTACTGGAAATGAGCTGCTTCAGCTTCGCGTCATCCAGGACATCGTCTACCTGGAGGCGCAGATAACTGAGCGTGGGGAGGAAGTCATCTTCGGCAGGGCCACGAGTTTGGACATAATGGGTGTTGGCAAAGTCCAGATAAAGCTTGTGGATCAGCTCGGGATAGTTGCTGATGATTTCGAAGATGTAGTCAGAGGTGAAGGTCTCGGTACGCAGTCTCTTCTTAATCTTCGAGAGCAGCTCTGCGTGGACACTGTTATTGGTGTCGAGGACGGCAGTCAACGAGGTGTACTCCGAGCCCAGACGGTTCAGGAATTGCTGCACGAACACCCATGCGCAGTGAGCATAGATGGTCTCCTGCAAACTGAGCCGTCCAACGGCGAAGTGGTGCTGGAAACGGTTCTGGGGGATGCAGTACAGAAGAGAGGTTTCCTTAATGATCTGGTGGATTGCTGCCTCAATGGGAGGGTACTTGGCGGAGATTTCTGCATTCTTCAGGGGGCGCAGATAGAGAGAGATGACCGTGATTCCGTTCGAAAAGTTCTCCAGGTACTTCCGAGAGCTAGTCAAGCGGTAGTAGTGATACAAGTCGGAAAGCGCACTGAACAAACCCATGGCAGATCCCTGGCGATACGCAATCACCAGTCTCTTTTCGCGGCTGCCTTCAATTTCGAACATTTCGATAACGGGACCGGCCCGGCTGACAGCATTGCTAATGAGTTCCTGGTAGATGGCCTTGGTGTTTTCCGTGGCCTTTTGCAGGAATCTCTTCTCACCGATGATTTCAATGTTTGTCTCGTTGGGATCAGGGTTGGGGTTCGCGAATTGACACTTGTAGACAAAGTAGCATCGGAGCTGCTGCTCGTTGTCTCCGGGGAGTGGGGTGGGCGAACGGAAGGTCTCGACTCTGTAGCTGTTCTCCGGCGTCGAGTTGCTGATGTACTTCTTGTCGATCCTCTGTTCATACAGGGGTCCATCGACGGAGGAAACGCCAGGCTTGCTGGTATCAATGTAAACAGCGTGATCTTCCGCCTCCTTGTCCAGTCTGATTTCGAGCTTCTTATCGTCTCGAGCGTATGCTGCTACCTTGGCAGCATACAGGGACAGGATCTGGGTGACAATGGCATCGACGGACTCGGTTTGGAAGTATGTGTCGTCGATACCGAGCATGTTGTAGAACCAAGCGGTTTCGGAGACGACAAAATCACTGGGGAAGAAGCCCTTCTCTTCTAATTGATCCATGACTATTTCAAACAATGCGGAGTTAGCAGTCTGAAAGCTGTTGTGCAAACATAAAAGGGACCATAATTGCCCATGCTCACCTTGTTCCATCTGCTTTTGTTTGCCCTCGAATTTGGCAGCAATGTAGCCCGGATCCTCCTCGGAGAGAACCCGGTGCTGAGGAGTACCGGGGATTCCCAGATGAGTGGGCTGGGGGGAAGGATGGCGCACCGTTGATCCCGCTGCAAGATCGAGGAGCTTATTGTGGGGGTATCTCTGGAAACCAATTGGGGTTCCCGCGCCAGACTGAGAGCCATCATTGCTGCCGTAGAGCTTGGGGGCTGGTCTGGTGGGAAGAGCATTGCCATTAAGATGGCCATTCGCCTGCGGGGTGGGAGCAGGGGAAGCCATGATGTGTATAGTGTATTAGGTATCCACGATATGGTTTTATGAGGGAGATGATTCGGAGAGAAGTAGGAGAAAGAGGAAGAGAAACTGCGGGAAATAATCAAAGAATGTCAGTCAGTCGGTCAGACGTGGTAGAGGCTCGGGAAGCAGAGAGTTTATGGATTCCATTCCTTGAAGAAGGGGCAACGGCTTCAATAGATAAGAAGGATACACAAGCTCTCCAACAAGGATCCAGGATTTGCACCACGACCCACGGGACAGATAAGAGCACACATTTTCTTTAGGAACGTGATAGCCACGAGGTTACATACCAGTAGAGAAGTCTCTTGAGCTGGATCAAAGGACGGTGGTATTGAGCTTGGGTATTTAGAGCAATGGGTGAAAGCAAGAGCTTATCGTAGGATAAGAGGCAAAAGAGAAAGGAGAGATTGATTAGAGAAGCGGGAGATTGTTGGTACAATCCATACAACCAACACGTCGTCACTTTGAAAATAAACCAATAATTTGATGATGTTGATAGTATTTCTGGAGAGAGTTGGAGGGGCTAGCTCTTTATATTTATACAAAGTCGCAACCATTCACAGGCAGAATTGATCTGTCCCATTTTATGTGCATCCATCCATACTTCTTTCATACAGTATGATACAACCTTTACGACTTTCCCGGTTCTATGCGATCGGCCAGGCACGGGCCTGGTCCGGGGAAAAGAGAAGGAGGAAGAAAGAAGACACGCAAAGGGCTCCAAAGTAAAGACTAAAGAGGCAAGTCTCGAATCCCTGATCCACAACGCCCACTGGGAAAGTTCCACTTGGGGGAGACAAGGATGAGTCTATCCATGAAGTTCTTGTGTCTTGAGTCTTGAGTCTTGAGTCTTGAGTCTTGACAACGCAGTCCCACCACAACTTGTCCAGATGCATTTGTTGTCTTCTCTCCTCATAGACCGCATATATTACGATTCCCCTTCTTTCTCACTTGATCACCTTTCTGTCTCTCTATATCGCTATATCCTCATCGCATTGCCACCATATTATTGTGAATGAACTGTGATGGACGGTTCGATAAATTCCCCAAAACGGGAAAGACTGAAAAATGGCGCAAATGATGTAAGAGGGGGTGGAAAATACCGCATTATCACAACCTAATTGGCCGCTGCAAAGCCTAAAAAGAACTAAAAATGGAAAAAAGCAAAAAATTGCCTCAAACACGTTGCTGGAAGTCATGTGTGGCTCAGTATGCCATCTGACTAATAATAATTGTGCATTTTTCTCAGCGATGGCTTTGAAAGTCTGTACTCTGTACCTGACAACAACTGTACAACCAAAAACAAACAAAAAAAAAGCCTCGATTCAAACATTCAACATTCAGCCCCCTGAAACATTCAATACATAGTAGTAGTCATTCAAGATCAAGTGACATCTCCCTGCTTATAAATAGGGTTATGATTCGATAGTAGCTCTCAAGGCGAGAAATCCTGAACATCACAATCCCTTCTTCTGCAGAGTCCAGGCTCCCCCCAGTTACAAAATAGCATGATAACGTGACGCTGGGGAATCTGATCTGGAAAAAAATTAGTCCATCAGCTGACTGGAGCCAGTCACATCCTCCACTTAGTAGGGCTGTATGTTCCCAATGAAGGTTTTAATGTGTCATGGGTGGCCACCGGCCTACAAATCATTGCCTGGAACTGTTGCATGCGATGGTCTTCTGCGGTCTTGTTCTGTGTGGTAAATAATCAATAATTAACTAGAAACCCCATGCCACCTTGAGTGGAACCTGCGATATGCCTCAGGAGAAAAATGCCTCAATCGCTTAGGCTTTTCTCCTTGGTATGGGGTAACAAATGCTTCATCCTGAGTACCAAGGAATAGTGCTACGGTCTTTGTTATGGTTGAGGATCGGATCTCTAGCATTCTCCTCTCTGTTATGGCGGTGGCAAGCAATCCTGAGCTGATAAATGACTATTGTTTCAATATCCAGTGATATATGGATAGAGCGATATATCTGCCTTCTCTCGAGTGAACTTTCTCCGTATCATGGTATCAAACGGGGGTATCAGTTGCATGAATATTCCCATGCGATTTGACATGCTGACAAGATCATCGTGAACAGCGTAAGTCATAGAACTCAACAGAACCTACTGACTCGGGCGAACCAGTCAATCAGGTATCAGAACCGGGAGCGCATCCGTCATGTCAACAGCAGTTCTGAAGTCTGAACAGAATTTTCCATCGAGGCTGCGGGGATAGTCCATTCGTGCCTGGATCTTCCTTAATCGTACCTAGTCATTTTGTGGGGTAAAAAGGCATATCCTACTCTATTTCACGCCACAAATCCAACCTCGTCAAGAGCTCAGAACCTCCGTACAACCATATTAATCACATCATACTCTGGGCATGGGGATTCCATTATTCAATTAATGGCTCAAACATCCCCATCATTACCCCATACGATCACTCTATCCCAACAACAACGAAAATTTCGCAAGACATTTGCGGGGGTTCACTGGTGTAATCAAAGGACAAGATCCAACCAACGTCCTGATCCGGTATCCACTTCCCGAGAGGTTGGCCATTATGAGGTAATAGCTATCAAGGAAGCAAGCAACAGCGCCTCAGGGCTTCTGGACTCGGGACTGTCAAATCATTCGGCTAGCCTGGTGGGAGAAGCGAGTCTGGAGGTCGGAACATGCAAGACATGGAATCCGCTGCGTTCACCATCTATGATAAGGTCTGCTGGTCAATATCTGACAAAGAATGCATCAGCATCAAACCACATGTCATGGGTTGATCCGTTGATATTGTGTATGTATCCGATTGTGATTGCGAGCTCTCGTATTCATGAGTACTTGAGATGCAACTGATGTGATCTGTTGGGCTGGCATCCTTGCATATCGGAATCTAGGGCCAGTCTTGGTGGAAACAGGCAGCTATGTTGCCATACGCTGGCTGGCGTCTAAGAAGGATAGATAGATCATGCTCATCGCAGTTGAGGAGTAGGAATGAGTTAGTTATCAGGCCCAGTAAGGCCGAGACATATGGATGCCTGATGCAATGCACTCGGTGTTTTGTCCATCATGCTTCTCGACCCAGGACCGTTGTCTGCAAATAATTTATTTTATTTTTTTATTTTTTTTTTTTTCCCCTCCCTTGAAGTTGGTTGGGTGGTGCTCGATTCCTGCACTAAGCGACCGCTATCCAGCTTGCAGATCGCATCCAATGGTGAAGTCGTGATACCGATCGCCTCTGCCTGGGATATATATTTCCGTCGTCTAAGGCGGACACATCAATCACATCATCTTTTTGAACGGAAGTCAGCAGTAAATATACCCTAAACAAATGCTATATATGGTTCCGAAAATTGAAAGACTCGTTCATGCAAATATCTCATCTGGAAGTACAGTCACCCGGACCATGTTGCTCATGAAGCGCCCATTTGAGAACCTATTTTAATATATGGAGATCACCTACAAAGTCTGCAGTCAATCAACGCGCCCTCAATCAATTCATGGTAACTGCCTTGTACCCTGCCCGAGCGACCGTTTAGTGCTGGGCCTATGAGGCTATGATTCGATCAGAATGCTTTGCTGGCTTCCGCCCACCAGACACGGGGTCCATCGGCTGGCTCTTGGTCTTGATCACGGCAACAGACATCAATGCAGCTGCCACCTGCCAGCCGACTCACCCGCTGACTTTTTTGACCGATGTGTAGGCAGTAGCAGACTAGCAGTGTCTCATCAGCTAGGAAAGACACAGAAAGCAAGGCGTGGCTGAAATTGTTGAACAGCGGTGTATCCCTAAATGACATGGTGAAGGTTGTTATCCCGCCTGGCGGTGTGGGTGATGGGTGAAGCTGATGGGAGCAATAATGATAATGATTAGTCAAGACTCCTTTGTACTGATTAGCATCTGATATCCTAGCCAGTTGTCTATCAGGGAGGAGGCACGTTAGATAACGTCAAGTTCATATCTACTTGATTCATCCGTACAACAAACTCCGTCATAATCAACAAGTCAGGAAGATGATCGCTGGAATATAGAAATGAGATCGGTTCGATCAACTGCCGAGGATGCGATCCACGTACTTTTACAACAGATGTATGAGTCTCAAGTGAATCGAGCCTTTGTCGAACATCCGACGGAACGCGTACAGTACGCTCTAGATTTTAAAATCCATCGGCAAGACGTAACAGCCTTGAAATCCCCACTTAGGGAATTGAGGCGATGGATCTCCGAAAGGGGGATACATTGGACACTGAAAACTGAAAAGACGTCTTTTTGTCCTTGATTGTGAACTATTATCTAGTGTCTTCTAGACTCCAGACTCCACAAATTATATGATATCCTTCTTAGACTTCCAGAAGCAGGTTTGAACTTGTAAACTGTAAACTGTCAAAGCCGGATCATGAATCCCGATAGGTTAAACAGGAGGTTTGGACAGGGGGGTTTTGAGAGGACTGATATCAGATGTTGTGGCAAAGTCCCTACGGAAATTGGTGTTTACGATTCTTGAAGAATTGCCTCCATCTCCAACTAGATACTTATTGCCAATTATTGACAGGGAGGTGGGAATAGAGGAGGAATCTCAGGCGAAGAAAATCATGGTTGCATGATCTGACACGGAGCGAAATCGGCTACTTGTCGGTGATGGCTGAAGGTGTCATCTTTCTTTCACGCCGCGGCTGAAGCGTCTGGAACCCCTTATTTCGTATTCAAGGGTGTAGATAGTAGATCAGAAAAGCCTGAAATTCTAGGCGTCTTTTGCGATAGAATAGCTCTAAAATGTTCTCATTGAGAACGGAATCCAAAGAAGATAAAGACGATCCAACAAGTCGAGAAGATTTTTGACTAAGGACAGGGAACTTGCTTAAAAGACAACGACAGAACTCTTCCATGATTCTATCAGGGTTCTAGGCATCAGCTTCATCTCCGAGACTCCGACAGTATGGTTAGCCCCAAAGCCTCCAAGACGATCGTCGGCCACCTCCTGCGTCGCCTTAAGAGACTAGAAGGACAGAAGGGATGGATCCCCCCGATCCATACTCCATACCCCGTACTCCTCCTGATCCTGGGTAGATACTTAGTAGATAGAATGCTGTCCCCCGGAATTTCGGGAGTTGATATATTCAGGTTGGATACTTTTGTTCTTTTATAATTGAAGCCGGAATGAATTGTTATTTGCTAGATTAATTTTGGGCTTCTGGGCTTCTAGAGCGATTCTGGATAATCTATAGGTGCAAAATATTGCAGGCGTTTCTGCCTAAGGTACAAAAATATGGGGAAATGGGGCATGTTTATGGAGCTCAAGTACCAAGGACCCAACGACTTGAGAGGATATGACACGTCTTGAAGAGTGCTTGTACTTTGGTAGCATCAAGAACTACATACAACATTAAAACAGTTCTTCTTCTTGAGTCCACAGAAGAATAATGCTCCAGTCTGTCGCAGAATTGACTTTGATCTTCAAGACTGGATACTTTCCCTTGTCTTCTGGATCAAATTCCTCCTTCCCTCCTTACTCTTGGCAGCTCCTTTTAAGGGTCAACCCCACAGTCTCTAATACTGCACACGTATGCTCTTCTCCATACGACCTAGGTAGTTTTCTACGTATTCTTCATGGATACCTAGTTCAACATCATATTTCTGAAATAGATATATTTATCGATCCCACTAGCCGTTTGCCAACCTCATCTGCTACATAGGACCGCACACTCAATACCTATCAGGTTTAATACTGTGGTATCTATCCAGTCTCCATTGTCAACCCCTTGTTTCCCATTTTCCCAACCGATCTTGAACAGTTAACCGTAGTAAGGTAAAACTATCAAGAACTAGTGATATTCCTCTTCCCCGGAAGACAATTGCTTTTCCCCCGGGTTCGTTCCCGTCCTTCCGTTCCGTCGTGGCAAGCATGCGCCTTGCCCACTTAACGTCTACCTGGATACCCGACGATACTAAGAACTAGCCACGGAATACCCCTTCTTCCCTCCCTTCCTCATGGAATGAAACCTCAATCAGGGCCATCCTGGTACTTTGGCGTTGGTGGGAGCTTAGGAAGATGATCCCCCAACGGCCAAACAGGTCGTCTACCAGCTAGACTAGGCGCATTACATTAAGGGCACAGGGGGGTAATGGGGAAACCTATCGAATCGAAACATTAAAGAAACAGAAAAGAAAAGAAAAAGACAAAACATAACAAAAAAAGAAAAGAAGAAAAACCATTCGGATAAGTGTCCAATATGATTCAAAGATGATCTATTCTTGATGTCTAAGTGGACGCTTCAGCAATGCGCCCTAGTTACGGAGTAACTCCTGGGCTGGCCCTCATTCTACTCCGTAGTTTGTTGACTTCTATATAGGATGGATCTCGCCCCCGGGTATCGTGAAAGATGATTCCTCTTTCTTTTTCAAATTCCTATGACTTCTCCCCAGATTCATATAGATACCTGTCCACATTCCCTTTTTCAACGCGGCGGTCTCCCGGTTATCCGAATCTGGATATAGCTTGGCCCTTCTACCCACCACCCCCTTCTATCCAAAGTATCCACAGCTCGCATTTGGACTTGCTCGCTTTGTATCTAGTCTCAATCACACCAGCTTGAAATCTCGAGACTTCTTCTTTCGCTTTATCCAGACTCACCACTGCTTGTGCAATATCCCTCCCGTCGTTGGCTCTGCGTTAGAACGCCGAGGACCTTGTATATCATTACATCATTGGATTTTCCCTGTCAAGGTATGCTTTGCTGTTGTCTTTCTTAATTTCCAGTTTGTGTATGATTGTATGGATGGACAGCAGATCTTCACAAGCTGCCTTCTTTCCTACCTATTACATCACATGGGATCTGGTGGATGGAGCTCTGTCTCCATTTGAACTGTCTGATCCATCGACTGTTCGGGGATATTCAGATATGTCTTCTCGGAACCAGAGGGCTAACAAGAGTGCCTTGTCCTATTTAGATTCTATACAAAGCTTGAGCATTGTTCGTCTTTTTTGGGATTGCGCTTCTACCGACCATCTACCTATCTATCTACCTACCTACCCTCCCATCTATCTGGACATCCTCCCAGATACAGCTCTGGTTCCTGCGACTTGGAGAGAAAAACAATCATTCACCTCCAACAACCCAACCGGTCACAATGGCCTCTCCAATCCTCTCACATCCTCGCGCTCGTCCCACCCTGGTGACACCCTCAACCTTCACCCAGGACATCTCGCGTGCCATCCTCGCCTCCGCCGAGGGCCCCAAATCCATTCACGTCGACTCGAATCCGCACGCCGCGCTGGAGTATCCCCCTCCTCCTCCCCCGTCTCCCGTTGAGTCCAGATCCCCGCATTGCTACTGGGGTTTGGACGGGAAGCGGGCTTGATCTGAATGTGCAACTATACCTCTTTTCCCTCTTTTCTCTTTTTTTGTTCTCTTTTGCATTTGCGGGCTTGTATTATCCTTCCCCTCTAGAGCTGGGTTTTGATTTTGGGTCTGCCTGTCTTGTCGATGGTTCTTCAGCGTGTCTTTCTCTCTCTTTTTCTGTTTGATACGCATACGTCCTGTACTGGGTTGTGCGAGGAGGGTCTGGATCCGGAAAAGCAGGTCTTATTCATTTGTATTTGGTTCAGCTGGGTCAGTTAAGGTAGGGGATCTTTACGGGCGGTGCGATTCATTTACAATGTGAACAACAGCGTCAGCTAGCCAGCGAGCCTTGGAACAAATTCTATTATGATTTCTCTCAATCAAATTGATTGATATTCTTGGATTCGTATGGATTGCAAGATAGGCCTGTTGGAGCTTGTTTTCCGTGTAATGCCGATCATTGCTTGATATCATCTGTGTTGCACCAATCACACGCAGAAGCCGTACAGTACGATACTGCATGCAAAGGATTTGCAATCCAGTTCATGCACGGCGTAGGTACGTACTGTACTTGGAGTCATGACAAATGACATGGAAACCTCGATAAAAGCCGTCAATATATCCGGCTGGCAAGCGGGTCCAACCATTGAACGACTGTACCTTCTCTTCCTGGAGACCCGGAGTACAGTCCAACCCGGCTTGTGCCGTGGAACCATTGTGCAGTTGCACCACTGCGCAAGAAGACCCGGGGAACACACGACTAGGATCCGAGCTGAGCTGGGAGCTTCGTGCCTTGATTCCTGTGAGCTGTTACTCCATCTTCGGCCGGAAGATCGGACCGGATCACGTGATCGAATGCCATGGTCCCCCATTGCTACCGAGCTGTTGCGTGATAGCCAGGTTGTTTCATCGTCATACGATGCTTACGTTGATAAAACTTACACACCTTGTAAATCCTGGTGGCATGGTTTTGTATGTACCGGCTTTATTTCGGAATTTCTGGGTCGACAACGGAAGGAGAGACGTCAACGCGGCTGGGTCGAGGGCTCAGGCACTCCCAATGACAAGGCCTCGTTGTTGAGTTCTGTGTAGAGCTCCTCCAATGCTTTCAGCGCCGCGGTATCCCCCTGGAGGGTAGCTTCGTTCAGCCGCCGGATCTCTGCCAGTTGCTCCTCCGTCCGAGCCCAACCCCGTAGCCGGTCCTCCAGATTCTGAGTGCGCCTTGTACTGAACACCGTCCGCACGGTATCGGTCTCCCCCCTTTGCTTCTTGAGAGCGGCCAGTCGTTCCAGGAATCGCGCTTGGTTCGTCTGTGGCCCTGGCCTGCGGGGTATGGCTAACGCATCGGATGGCTGACTCGGGGGATTCTGCGATAGCCCTGCGCCGGAACTGGAGATCAAGTTCGCTTTGCGACCGAGGATTTTGGCACTGTTGGCGGCGATTAGATCAAAGTCCTTGCCATGGCTCAATGGTGGTAGCGGTGGTAGTCCAGTCTCGGGGCCAGGTTCGGGACCGGTCTCGGGGTGCGTGAAGAGCAGTTCGGTGCCGATCTGGTCTGCCCACGTACAGCTAAAGATTTGGTTCTGAAAAGAGACGATGGGGTTCGGGGTATGAAGGCCTAGGATTTGAACGCGCTCGGAAGAAAGGCTGTCGACCTCGGTACTGTCAATGGCAGGTTCATTGTTCTCGTCGATGGGAGTAGTGATTGATCCTGGTGTGGGAGCAGCAGTAGCAGAAGCGGGGTCACGGCGTCGAGGGGGCCGAATAGGACCGTGGATGGAGGTCAGGTCAAGATTCAAGTAGAAAGTCTGAAAGGAGCGATCTTCAGGTGAGTAAGAGACAGAGCGAGCGACCGATCGAGATGATCCAACCGTGGAAAAGAATGCAGAGCAATCAGTACCTCGGTGTCAACTTGGTCGTACTCATATTCGTACTCGGAGTCATCCTCCTCCGCCAACATGGCCGGATCCAGGACCAGAGCGGGTTCTGAATGAGCCGATAGACTCATTGGGTTGAGGTTAGCTAGGGTAAGTTGGTGTAAGATCTAGATGAGTCTTTCAGTGAGCTGGCCAGGTGAGGTGACTCCTGTTGTATGCATGGACTGAACCCTGGGATTTAGTAAGAGGAATATATTGCGCTATTGGGATTAGATCAGGTCGAGATCGGCCCGAGAAAGAAGACAAGAAGAGGCCGATTAAATCAAACTGAGTCAGTCCAATATTTCAGACTGCAGAATTGGAATAAATGATTATTCTTAGAGGTGGCGGGAAGACGAAGCCTCCAGAGTCCAGAGTCCAGAAGGCAGAAGCCTTGGAAGGACTAGAAAGGACTAGTTAAGTCGAAGCTAGCTAGATACTTGTAGTGAGCTCCACTGGATCCGCTCGCAGAGTCGCAGTAGTCAAACTTCAAGCCTGCTGGATGACTTGGCATGATGGGATTGTTCTTCTTCTTTTTACAACAAGGCTGAAAGATACCGGAGTAGATAGATGGATAGTTAGTTGATCAATATTAGGAGTGCTTTTGACTTCTACGTACAGTATCACTTATTCTGAGAGATAGACCAAGGTACACCTAGTTATAGGGATTATGATCTACTTTAGTACCCAAGTACAATATTAAATACCGAGTAGAATGAAGTAACAACAAACTTCGTACCTACGTAGTATAAATAGTCCAGTCAGCAAGTTCCTGTGGATGATCTCATCCTTTCATTCTCTCTCCCTCTCTCTCTCTCTCTCTATCTGATTTTCCTCTGCATTCATTCATTCATCAATTCCATCCTTTCATTGAGTGTTTCTGGAGTGTCTCAGAGTCCAAGATTGACTATCCATTATTCACTCTTCCATTATAATCATCTCCCATCAGGTCGTTGCATGTAGTTGATCAACGGAAAAAGTAAGCCAATATGTCTTCTATCTAGTATCTACTATGTACTTCTGCCCTACAGCCTACCTAGTCTATCTACATTCTACACTTCCGCCGTCTTCCGTTCTATCCACTCTCTCCTTCATCGCATGGATAACAATGGACGAGATATGGAGTATGGATTTCAATCCGTCTAGTCTAACCTAGACTAATAATGTTAAAATGATGATGATGATGATGATGATGGTGGTGATGATCTAATGCCTTCTCTCTCTCTCTCTCTCTCTCTCTCTCTCTCTACTCTATCCGCATCTTCTCATCCCTTCCATTTCCCCTCCGCCTTCATCATGATTAGTCTTCTTTTCTTCTTTTCCCAACTGCACAATCCGGCTCTGCGCGGAAGCAAGGAGTTGTTGATCCCATGCTTTGCCGGTTGTCGCGATACATCCGTCACTTTTTCTCTCCGACCTGTACCTGTCTGTCTGTGTCTCTGCCTTACCCAATTGCCCACCCTGGTCCATTCAGGAATGATGCTATCTATCTCCAGTCTAGTCTTCCCCTTCCGCTACTCCCGAACACTCCCTCTGACTGGATCATTCCTGGCTGGTTTTACTTTCAGTGATCTAACTCTCCAAACTAACGCTTTTTGTGCTTTTTGTGCTCTTTGGATTTTCTTTTTTTGGCCGGCTCGCTGAAGTCAGTCCCTGTCGACCTGAAAGTGGTACCGGTCATCAGCTGTTCTCGATCACCATTGCTAACCTCACAATGCCTTCTTATAGTGGCTCCCCCTCCCTCTTCGGGCCTGGTTGCTCTGCTTCTCTGTTTTCTTCTATACCCTTTCTCAATCTTCTGCTTCGTAGTCACTTCCCATGATCCTCATCTTCCCCCTCATATCCCCCCGGATCAGTCCTCTTTGACCATCCAAGTCTCATCCTCGCCTGATCGTGCTATCCCAATTGAGAATTTTATAAGCTGGACAACCACGACGGCTACTGCGGTCTCTTCGCTCAGCACTAGCCATCGTAACGAGGTCGACTCTTCACTATTTGATTCCTCTAACTCGCAATCGTCCAACGTCGGGGATCTGTCCCTGGCTGTGGAGCAGATGATCGGAAAGGCAAAAGCAACAATTGTCATTCTTACTTCACTGATCGCCTATGTGTCGATCAATAGCTTGATCCGTGCCCTGAACCCGTCGGCCTTTATTTGGTATGAAGAAGACCGAGACGAGCAGCGCTGGATCGCTTCCTCTCGGTCATGGATCGACCGGAAAGCCTGCCGTTGGTTGAGTCTCTGCGGTACCGCCCATTTCCGCACGGTTCGCCCGCGCTTCGGCCAGCGCAAATTCCTGGCCGAGTTTAACTCCTCTGCCGAAGAGCTAGAGGAGGAATCGGCTCCTTGGCGTTCATTTTGGTTCCGAAAACATGACCATCCAGCAGCTCAGTGGGACGATACCGAACAGTCTCTAAGAGAAATTCCTGATTATGTGTTTGAATATGCTCCCCTGGTACATCTCTTCTCCAATGAGCAGTTCTGGCCATGCGACATTGCAGAGCATCTTTACCACACCACTCCGATGCTCAACTACACGCCCGCTCAGTCGCAACAGAACCATCGGACGCTGGAGGACCTTGACGAACTGAATCAGTGGCAAGACGGACGCTATGTGTTCCTGACGAGCAACGACGACGTTGAGGGGCGTCCCGCTTGGCTAGAAGGCGCGAAAAACATCCCAGATCCCTCTAACGAGGATCAAGAGGAATCGTGGTCTGATTGGGATGGCCGAGTCGACGGACCCGTTCCGGGAGATACTCCTGAAGGTCGGCTCAAGTGGTATGACACTGATCATCACGCTCTCACCGATGACGAGACCGCCGCGCTCCCATTGGAAAAGCTCGGTTACTCTGGAGCAGATGAGCTGCTTCAGGATGAGACGGTTCGAGACGAACTGCGGAGGCGCTTTGGTGGAGAACCGATCGAAATCCGGGAGACCGGAGGTCGCAGCGATGCGCCAGCGGTTTTGCTTGTAATAGACAAGGGGGACGGCATTGTTGATGCGTTTTGGTTTTTCTTCTACAGCTTCAATCTCGGAAACGTCGTTCTCAACGTGCGCTTTGGCAACCATGTCGGTGACTGGGAGCACTGCCTGGTGCGGTTCCATCACGGTCGGCCCAAGGCTCTCTTCTTCAGCGCGCATTCCGCAGGCGAGGCGTACAGCTACGAAGCGGTTGAGAAGATTGGGCAACGGGTAAGTTGGGGAATGCGTATGATCAAGTGAATTCCGGAATTGGAAACTAATTAAAGCATCACTAGCCGGTTATATATTCAGCACTGGGTACACACGCCATGTATGCTACACCGGGTGTGCATCCGTACATTCTCCCAGGAGGTCTTCTTCATGACCAGACGGATCGAGGACCGCTGTGGGATCCTCTGTTGAACTCGCACATGTACACATACGATCCCACGAATGACACCTTGCGTGCATCCACCGCCAGCCCGTTGGCTCCCACAGAGTGGTTCTACTTCAACGGCCACTGGGGGGATAAGTTCTATCCGCTTGGCGACCGTCGACAGTACCGCTTTGCGGGCCAGTATCACTATGTGAACGGTCCGTTGGGTCCTCGATTCAAACACCTTAACCGCCGCAAGGTATGTCAAGGGTCTGACGATGATCCTTGCGTGATCAAAAATTACGTGGGCGAGAAAATGCGTCCCCAGCGCTTGCCCAATGCCGTACCTGACGAATAATATCTTGAACCTGGCCTTCCGATTGATTCAAGAAACACCGCTGCCCTGGTTGGCAAGCGAATCGATATACCCGCAATTCATCTTGGGAACAGGTGTATCAGCATCGGAGTTCGTTTGATGAGCATGCATCGGGCATTCCGATCTGTTGCATTCTTTTGCATATACCCCTCCATTTTTATGATTGCTTGTTGAATTCTTTTTTTTTTTGAAGCCGAAACTAAAGAGCGTCGATCATAAACGCCCGTGACGGATGATGAGACACATGATGTTATTTTTTGATGTTGATGTCGGGAGTTTGTTTTAACCATGTCTGGAGTTATGATGGGCGTTCATACCTTTCTCTCTCTTCTCCTCTTCTTTCACCTCCCAGCTTAGAAACGGTGTCTTGGTCACACGAAGATCTCCTTGATAGAAATCTACTCGCCGCAATTAGAGTCAATACACTTGATCTGCAGACGATATCTCCCAACTCAATCAAATTCGAAACCTGTTACTCCGAGGACTAATCTAAACCCTAAAGGGAAAAAAAAAAAAAAAAAACTAAGACCTTACGAGAAAGACCAGCCAAACGATCCCGATCCAGTCCCAACCCAAAGGAATGAGACCAACAAGCGTAGAGTGTACTCGAGCGCTATCAAACACAAGACACAAGAAACAAGACAAGCGACGGTATTACAACCTCAGAGAAACGAAAAAAGGATTCCTGCTGGGAGAGAAGTTTAAGCGGTTCCGAATAGCAGGGAACCCAAGTGAAAGAAAGTAAGACCAGGGGCTCCAGGATTGTGAAGCGGGTTAGGAAATCAACAATACAGTAGGGATAGCTGGTTCGCGCTGAGCCATGTACACCCACACGAAGGGCAGATAGGGAAGCCATGATGGACAAAAGCAAAGAGGACGATTAAGATAGAAGATCTGAAAGGAAATATCTTTGGAGTTAAAAGTAAGAAGTAGCACGGCTGATGCGATCAAGAGACCCAAGCCGACGATCAACCCGGGGAAATCCTGCCTAATAATGAAAACGCCGTTGAGGAAATCACTTCCACCCAAGACCTATGAGCAAGCAAGCAAGAGTGAAAAAAAAGGGGGGGGGTTAAGAAAAAGAGGCAAAAGAAAAATGACCTTGAAATCCCGACGCTTAGAACTCCGCCTGAGGCTTCCCAAATGCCAAAACCACACATGTGAACCCTTTGCTGCTTCCTCTCTCCCTTGATCTCTACCAGTGACCTGGTGTGGGGATATCTAAAAAAAAAAGACAAAAGAAATTTCAAGTCATAACCGTCATGGATAACCGCTTGGTGATGATGTTGGAAATTGAGATCGTCGAGTTCAGACCCGAGCGGCTCGCTTGCGCAGGCCAAACTCCTGCTCCTGCAGTTCACGTATCAAACGCAAACTCTCTGCATCAGGCTCATCGTCCGCCAGTGTTCCCCGTTCACTTTTTGGGCCCTTGTTTGACTGTCCCGGCGATGTCGACATCGTGGTTTTGCGGTCGAATTTCTTCTCCGCCGATGGAGACGGTCCCTTCTTCGCATGGGACGACGAAGGCCGTGACAGAGACTTCCTCGAGGCTGACTGCGCACCGGGCGTCACTCTACGCGTTGACGATCCGCTAAAGGACGATCGTCTTGCGGCTGGTGTATGCGTCGTCGTCTTTGTGGCTTTGGGTGGCTGGACATCAGGGATGTACCTGTCGACATGGCGTGGCTGACGGGATGAGTGCCGGGAGCTGGAGGTAGGTGTATTGAAAACAACTTGGTTGTTGTCTCTGTCCCCATCTTGCTCGTGGGGTACATCTGTCTCGTCTGCCAGCGATGTCGGCGGTGAAACAAGCGACGTGGTCGGCTTCGAGACGGATGCCGAATCAACTTCGTCCATGACGACTGTATCTGATTGAAACGCTGGAGGCGATGCGTAAGAAGTCTGTCCCAATTGGGACTCCTTCTCTGCGGGGATCATACTTCCTGACTCTACGCTCTCGTGGGCATGTGATGCTTCCGAAAACTGCGTCCCCTGCACCTGGGCAGACAAATGGGATGTACCCTTTTCGTCTCCGCTAAGTTGCGCGTGTCTTGTCATAGGAGAGGCACTTTCCTGCTTGGGCCTTTTGTTGGACGCAAATGCCGCATCTTCCTCCTGGGTGCGTGGTCTCTTAGCAGAAGTTGCAGCTCTCGGCTTCGAACGTTCTTGGGCTTTGACGGGGTCGATTCTACCGTATTCATCATGAATGCAGCGGCGCTATGGGTCAGATTAGTCAATGCGAACGCAGAGAAGGGGAGATTGAGCTCGAACTGACCTTACTCTTCCGGCAGTCATCACAGGCCTTGCTTCGTCCCTTCTTCCCAGTACCAACCCCTTCGGGACTTCCATCATAAGGCCTGTTGCCGACTGCATTCGGAGTGCTCAGAATAGCGGGGTTAAATTTCCCAGGGGCTTCAATCCGGTCCAAGCCGAATACATTGGCGGTGTCCTGTAGGCCTGCTTCGGATGCAATAGCCGCCAACGAATTCAACGCAGATGCAGCATCGTGCGCTAGCGCGGATGGAGTTCCCGAATTAAACGGCCCGAATGCCATCTGCTTTGTGGATACGGTGTCATTGTTTTCATCCTTATGCCGGCACCGGATTCTTCGTTTACGACATGCATCACAGGCAACACGCTTGGGGCCCAATCCGGAGCTTCGAGGCATGGCCCGAGGTTTTGGTGTGATTTGTTCCTTCACGTCATCTTGGCCTGCAGGGATAGGTTCGCTAATTGGCAACGACGCATCACCATTGGATGGCACAGAAGTAATATCACTGATCGGCTGCCCAGTAGTTAAATCTTGAGGCGGTTCTGAAGGCCGCTGTACCGCTTGCCGTTCGGCATACATACGTTGACCTTCCGCATTACGTTCTGAGCGGCGGCTTGGTCGTCCAGCTGGCTTCTTTTCCACAAGACTGAGCTTGGCGTTGCTTTCAACCACGCCAGGGCGTGTCCATTGCGGTGCCTTCTCGTTTCCACGTTTCCACGCAACCCAGATTCCGAACTTTCTGACGGTATCCACCGGATCCCCTTGACCTTTTGGTATGGAACGCTTGATCGCATTCCTGGCGTCCATTGTCACGCCTTCAACCATGTAACCACCTGCAATCAATGCTGTTCGGAGGAGGTACTTTGCAAGATCGGGAAGGCCCTCCAATTCTGCCTGGGAATAGAACCGAGAATTGCGATAGGGATCACCCACAGGCGCTGTATTGGCTCGTTCTCCAAATTCATAGTAAATCGGATAATCGCGGTGGAAGCGGTAATTCTCGTCCTGAGCAAAAGCATCAAGTACACTTTGCGGAATAGGATCGTCCTCCAGGTATTTCAATGCTGTGTACCATTGGATTTTTTGGAAGAATGGATACCTGAACTTTCTTGGAACCTTCGTATCTTTTTCGATTTTGGCAACCTTGATCTGCATTCCATAATTGAGTCGCGTCAAGAAGTTACCGCCAATGACTAGGCTATTCGTAGGCGTCCAGACGGCATGGATCCAGCCAGATGGAATCAGCATGGTATCACCCTCGGACAGATCAACGCGGTAACACTCCTTAGTCTGGTCACCAAGAAAGGTGGAATCTTGTGCAGGGGAGTTGCACCAATCTTCATACTTTTTGAGGTGCTTATCCTTGGGTGGTATGAAGAAGAAAGTCTTCTTTCCTTTCAGGATATGGTAGTAAACCGAGGACCCGCCAAAATCGATATGGAAATCAGTGTAGCAATCGGCGACGGACATCAGACAGTAGAATTGGACCTTCGGATAATCCCCAATCGCCTTGAGCTCCTCCGGCCAGACCGCGTCCTGCAAGTCAAGGTCGCGCACAATTTTTGGTCGACGTATCAATCGGCCCAGTTTGCTCCGCGAAACCTCCAAGCTGATGACGTTCCGGACCACTTTAGACCCGGTACTCTCATAGTAATCGGCCCATTTCTGCATATTCCACCTCTTATCCTCCCCCTGTTGAGATTTGACATCAATGACTTCCACCCTCTCGTCGGGACCGTAAAGTTCAGCGACAGCCCGGACCGTGAGGCCCTGAGGAATGACCATGTCCAGCTGGTCCTGGCCGCAATCAACGACGGTTTCGAATTCCCCGCTTTCTTTAGGAAGATGTTCTAATAATTCGTCGAACATCTCTTGACTGTCTGCCTCTTCAACGAGAGCATTAAATTCAGGGCTGACGACGGGGATCGAGGCATGGGTGTTCAGGTGTGCTGGTATGACAATCGGCTCGGTCATGCCGCTACCGCGTTCAAAATATTCAGCAGTAATGAGCTCCGGCCGCATTCGAGGGAAATTCTCGGGCAGGAAGCGAATCTTGCCTTCCCGGATGGGCTCGATATAGTGGTGCGCTAAAGAATCGCTGGCAGCCTTGACAAGACCTTGGTTGAGACCAGCATAGTCGATGGCTGTGCGGGCTCGAGAAGATTTCCGAACGAATGTTGTCTGTCCATGGATGGGCCGGCACGGACGACAGATGAACTTATCAACGGTCCGAATCTCGCGGTCATTCTTGAACCCAGCACAAACGATATGAAACCATTGCTTGCACCCGTCGCAACTAATCCAGGTAACGTCACCTTGTTCTTCTGCATCCATCGGTATTCGAACCAGGTTACAGGCAGCACAGCTTGCCTGGCTATTTCCTTCGGATTCCGTATCATCGTCTCTCTTGAGTGACACATCCACCGATTCTTGTGCGGTCCCGGTATCTACCGCGCTCGAAATTTGAGTCTCGTCCTGATTACCATTCCTGGACAATTCCTGCTCCGGAATCCAATGATTCCTTGTGGTATTTTGTTCTTCCTCTTGCCAGACAATCGGTGGAAGAGTGGAGGAGCTGGTATTGGGCCGTACACCATGGATGACCGGTCGGGAGGCGAAGGCGAAGCCGTCTGATTGAGATCTCATTCGAGAGGCTGGGAAACCATTGTGACTGTTTGCAAGATACTTTGGTTTTTCATCCTCTGGCGCGGCATATGTGCTTTCGAATCCGGTTCGTAATTGACTCCTCGCTTCATCTCCGAGATGAGGATGAAATGACTCGTCGATACTGACTCGTTTCGAAGGATGGAAGGCCGGTGGGTGAAAGTTGCTCGGTCTTGCAAAATTCAGTAGAAGTTCCGCATCGGTTTTCATGCTGTCAAAGACGGAGGAAGAAGTAGTTTCTGGCGCGATGCCTGCATGATGGTAATGAAGCGGAGAAGGATCTTTCTCCGACCGCGGCCGCTTGGCTGGGCGCTCTGCGGACTCCATGGGCTCGGATGGAAAGAGTGACATGGCGGGTGTCGAGTTTTGTGATGGAGGCCGATAGGAGAGTGGTGCGAACGTGGGACTCGTCGCTAGAGCGATTGTCGCGAGAGTGTCAATGGTCGAACTGGACCGACCATGGCTGGCACGGCGATGACCTCCCCGGTCTGCGCTAGGATAGATATCATTGTGCAGAGGAACCTGATCGCGATCCGAGCCCGCAGCTTGTGAAACTCCGCGGTCAATCCATGATGAACGGACGTCGGTGGTTGTGTAGGGTGAAATGGGCTCCACGGCGCGTCGCGGAGGGGAAGGAGTGCGGTATCGCGGCGGTCGAGACCCGGAGTGGCTTATGAAGGACGTAGCACTGATCATGATGGATCTGAAGGGCGATCGACGAAAGGTAGGAGAACGGAGAAGGGCCGGAGAAGAAATAAAAGGTGCTTGCGGCAGGCGAGAGCAAAGCGGGGGTGATGAACCACGCGGGCTAGAGAGAGGCCACCGCAGGCAAAAAGAGAGTCATTCCTGGCAGAAGGAGAAAGCGCGCCGTTTAGCAATGGTATCCAAAGGTAGATGAGGATGGAAAATCGAGTACGAAGGTGGGATGGGAGGTTGACGGAGCGAAGGTCGCACGCACGGAGCGCTGGGAAGTTTGAGGGGGGAGGGAAACTTGAGACTCTCCCGACTTCACTAGTCGTCGTCGAGGGCGGGAGAGCGCTGCAGCACCGAGGGAGAGTCGTCGAGACGTACCGCCACGAGAGGGCGGACAAAGCTGGAGAGTTACCACGGGAGTGGTGAGAAATGTTTAGAAATTGAGAAAAATTAATTTCCGACAATTGAGAGAATTGAATCCGTCGGAGGGGATGGAGTGTTGGCGGATGGAGGAATTGGTGGTGAATGAATGAATGAATGAATAATAATAGCAGGCAGAGAGGCAGCGCAAAGTAAGCCGGTCACTGCTAGGGAGCCTACAGTAGTAGTCAAGGACAAGGACTTAAGGACAAGGCTATGCTATCTCCTCCCTATCTATTCACTTGTTGACGGGCTGTCATATCGTTTGCGGTATTGCCTAGAGAGCAGTGCTAGTTAATAGCCGGCCGACTACTCTTGGAGCTCGCAGCAATTCAGGAAATAAATATAGCAGGGAGAGCAGCGTACAAGTCAATGATCATCACAATTATCTATCTATCAAAAGATACCTCCATTCTTGGCCTCCATCTCGACTCTTGACTCTCTACACAGCTGCAACAAAGTGAGGCTCGCCATTGGCTCTAAACCCAATCGGGCAAGGCATCCCCCCTTCCAAACCTCGTGCTCACTCATCTTGCGCTTCTCCGCCCATCACGGATATCGAATCCTCTTCTTCCTCCCTCCCTCCTCTGCTTTCCCTCTACTTCTTATTGATTGATATCATCCCTTGCGGGTGTCTCTTCTAATTCTCCCATTTCAAACCGTTTATCACTATTTTTGGACTTTTTCTGTCCCCCCAAGAATGAGCCGGAAGCTCGCCCCCGAAGCCAATCGGTAAGTGCTCGCGAACGTGATGTGCCCCTCTGCACATTTGACTGGTGGTGACTTGGCTCTTGGCTTGCCATGATTTGTTATTTGCTTTATGCCCCTATTTTGACTAGATTTTTGCCCATTATCATGTTTCATGTGCTGACAAAAGTCGTCTTAGGATTCTCTTTGTCAAGAACCTCAAGTACGTCTTGATGGACCACTGCCTCGCATGGATCGACTGTCAAATAACCATCACATCGACTAAGTATGTGACTACTTGAAGAACCGGGACTAATACGACGATTCTGTAACAGCTACAACGTGACTGCGGAGCAATTATTTGACCTCTTCGGCAAATTTGGACCTATCCGGTAAGACGGACCTTTTGAACGAGACAAGCAAAGCTCACGCTGTGCGACGTACGATCTGATCATATCTCCAGTCAAATCCGTCAAGGAATCGCGAACAACTCCAAGGGAACCGCATTTGTTGTCTACGAAGACGTTCACGACGCCAAACAGGCATGCGATAAGCTCAATGGATTCAATTTCCAGAACAGATATCTTGTCGGTATGTGATTTATCAATGCACCAGGGGGGAGTGTGGCTCGTTGGAAAGTCTCATACTAATGATGATCGGTTCTAGTACTATACCATCAGCCAGAGAAGATGCTCAAGTCGAAAGAGGACTTGGCGGAAAGGCAAGAGAATTTGGAGCGCCTCAAACAGCAACATGGGATAGAATGAGGTCGTCGTTTCTTTTGTCGGTTTTTCAGAGTACCCTTCGCAGGCATCGAGCTGCGTGTTGTCTATCATGGGTTGGGTGTGGGGTTTTCGGCGTTCTACTCCTCTGGTTTTCATGGCTCTTATTCATGAGTATGACGGTTGCTGGTAGGTATAATGACCTCTCCCAGCAATTATCGAGGGAATGATGCAGAATTAGTCTTTGCTGGGCTGAAATCTGTTCCGTTATGCTGGCCAGTTGCTGCTATCAATATTATCCTTTCGTCGCCGCCAAGTCGGCACCTGCTCTATGCGTTTGGCTTTGAATATTTCGTATGAGATTTGTATTATCCTAGCTTCCGAGTTCTGAGATCAATAGAAAATAGAAAAGAAGCCAAATAATGTGTATAAGGGAGCACGATGGCAAGAAATGATAAACAGAGATCATTTGTTGCCTTATGATTAAGGTGTGAAATGATCCCCAACTAACCTGGTCCAGAGTAATCCTAAAGCGGTTTGGTGTCAGCCCCAGCTGCCCCACTGCCCATTTTCTCTTCAAGATTTTCTTTTGCAGAAGCTTGAATTTTTTCCTTTTCCTTCCCTCTCTTATCATCAACTCTTTTAATCGATAGATACCCTGCAGTACGGCAGTGATCCTTTGAGTGAGCCATTTCATTTCACTTTTTGAACAACTAGTACACTCTCTCAATCATGTCTGGTGAAACTTCTGCAGGTAAGGCGATTTCTGATTAAAGATCACTCTGACCATGTGCTAATTAATCTGCACAGCTTGGCCCATCGCCGATGAGGCTCTCACCCAGAACCTCCTGGATCTGGTTCAGCAGGCTTCTCACTACCGTCAGCTGAAGAAGGGCGCGAACGAGGGTATGTATTCTGCCTCTGCGACACCGCAACCACTTCCCTTGTTCTCGCTGGCTAACAGATTCCCTCTAGCTACCAAGACCCTCAACCGTGGTACTTCCGAGCTCGTTATCCTTGCGGCTGATACTTCTCCTCTTGCTATTCTGCTTCACCTTCCTCTTCTTTGCGAGGACAAGAACGTTCCCTTCGTCTACGTCCCAAGCAAGCTCGCCCTGGGCCGTGCGACCGGTGTCTCTCGCCCTGTGATCGCCGCTAGCATCACCACCAACGAGGCCAGTGATCTGATGGGCCAGATCAGAACCATCAAGGACAAAGTCGAGAGACTCATGATCTAAATATGGTTCCAGTTTGCAGATGAGTTGGAGCAAGTCCAGGCTCATGGTAGCCTGGGTGGACAACACGGGCTGTGGAGTTCGGAGATCATGTAGCCATATTGTGATTTCACGATCGCATTATGGCGATTGATCATGTCACTTCTAGTTATGTCTGTCCCGTGCTTGGAGAGAAACCTACTAGACATTGGCTTCGATAGTTGTGGAAATTCAACTGATTTGAGTGTCGCTATTTTCCATCAGCAGGCCAGGCGGATCTTGGCCTTCATAGATTCGGAACACCTGAAAAACATGGACGAGAGCCATCATGAATGCTATCTCTGTCTCTATTTGCCTCGTAGTTCGTAAAATCTAGCCCAAAATGGCCAATGCCGAATTACCCAGTTTATGCGCCTTGGCACTGCAGCACCCTGGAGCGTGACTAGCCTGAGTTCTCGGCGGCGTTGAACTAGTGACCACACCAACCGCCCACCTTGCGGAGGCATGTCTCATCTTAGCATCTGACAAACCTGTCGCACTTGAGACCACCTCGCCTGGGCTGGCTCAGATTCCTTTCTGGTAAAGGACTGTCAGTCTATCACTGTGAAACTTTGTGATCATACTTTGCTGGATACACTTCAATTCATTCTAAACCTTACCTGAACGTTCGGCTGGTCCATGACTAAGATATACACTCAAGACACGAGACACACCACCCACTGATGCCTACTTTACGATCATCCCTCATATTATAGGGGGCTCTTGATAGAGCATCTTTTCAATCGCCGCCAACTCCTCTTTGCTCTCTCACAGACGGTAACTGTCACAGACAAGAGGCCAAAACAGCCATGTCCATACCGTCTATGACTTCATTAGCTTCGGCGACTGTTATCGCGACAATCAGTAGCACTCTCTCAACCTCTGTATCCGCACCCTCATCTGCGCCTACATTTTATCCCCTGGCGGGTCAAGGTCAACCTTCAGACGGAGAGGACAATGGAGAATGCAAACTCCTGGGGCCCTTCTCGCTCCTAGTGCAGGCGGCACTCGGGGCGCTGGCGCTGTCGTCATTAGTCTACAAGCGCTGGAGGGAAAGACCCCAGCGCCCTGTGAAAGTATGGGCGTTTGACGTTTCGAAACAAGTTTTTGGCTCGGCAATGCTACATCTGGCAAATCTACTCATGTCGATGTTTTCTGCTGGCCAGTTTGAAATCACGAGCGACTATAGACCGAATCCGTGCTCGTTCTATCTGTTGAATTTGGGGATCGATGTGAGTTATCGTCTGATCGCTTCTCATCTTGAGCCGCATTGACGCATTGATTTTTCTACAATAGACAACGCTTGGAATTCCGATCCTCATCTTCATCCTTCACATCCTGAACCGTTTGGCTGCATTCACCGCTCTTGCAAACCCGCCGGAGTCGATTGAGTCTGGAAACTATGGCTCTCCACCAAAGGCAGCTTGGTGGTTCAAACAAGCTATGATATATTTCATCGGACTTCTCGGCATGAAGATCTGCGTCTTCTTTCTTATACAACTATTGCCGTTCATTGTCAAAGTCGGCGATTGGGCCCTGCGGTGGACAGAGGGGAATACGGCTGTCCAGATCATCTTCGTCATGCTGCTCTTCCCCGTGATCATGAATGCGATCCAGTACTACATCATCGACACATTCATCAAGAAACAACTGTCTCCTGAGCTGGTTGCTGAAGAAGATGACGCCGAGGCAGAGGATTGTTTGCTAGATGAAGACCGGAATCAACACAGTGCATTCCTGGCTGACCTCGACGGAGATGGTATCTTTGGATCGGATGAAGTCTCGATAGGGAAGCATCTGGACAAGGGGCTGGACCAACCCTCGCGGTCGAACGAACGGCTTGGCCGATTTGAGCGTGCTGAATATGACCCTGCGGTCGATGGGGAGTACCTGCCAGCTGCATCTTTGGCGTCTGCCAGATCAAGCAGCAGTCATGGAGAGTATGATGAGATGGCATCCTCAACGAAGCTTACTATTCAAACCAAGAAATCATGACGATCTGATTATACTTATGCGTCGGCGTTGGGTGAAGGATGTGGGAAGTTCCTTGCGCCAATATCGGTTCTAAGTTTTATGCCTTTTGATCTTAATATGTACGGAATTTTTGCGACGGGATTTGCCAATTGATCTGTTGAAGGACATGTATATGCTTCAGTCGCTCAGCAATAAGACATGTTGCCATGAGAGGCCATAGAGGTTTTGATCATCTGTATATAGGACATGTAACCCAACCGGTATCTGGATATATCACAAGCAATAGTCCTTCAAGGAAAGAAACTTTAACTAATAGTTGATTATTCAACTATATCACTCTCATGCTCTCTCAATCTGGATTGTCAGCGCCGGGGTGCTGGTCGTTGCCTGAATCCAAGCACATACCCTAAGGCATCAATCTCCACCGCAGATCTCACCGCCTACTTCTGCCGCTCCGCCACGAAGAAAATTATTGTTGGAGAGTTCTTTTCTACCATCCAGAGGAGACGAGTCTTTCAATTCGAAGAAGAGTCCCCGCAATACGATATTGATATATGCAATTCCGATAGATTACACTACTCGGGGTTTTCTTCCTTTTTTTTTTTTCATATTGCTTTGAGAGACCCACTGTTGCACCGTTGGCAAAATGCCAAACACAGCAGTTAAGCAGAAGACCAGCCAGAAGGCGAAAGCGGACTCGAGGTCCCCGTTCGAGAATGGCGATATCTCCATGCCTGTTGATTCAAATGACGACTCCGATATGGACGTGGATGTTAAGGTGAAAGGCGTCAAGGAGAAGAAAGTACGGGAGAAAGACGATGCGGAGAGGAAGCTGGAGCGGATGCTCTTTGGTGACGATGAGGGTTTCGTTGGCGCATTGAAGAGCCATCAGTCGCGCGACTTGGTGGCATTTGGTGAGGAGAGTGATGTGGAAAGCGCCAGCGAAGGGGAGGAAGAGGAAGCGGAGGACTCGGATTTGGCGGGTGTCTCCGATGCAGATGTTCGTAGATTGATCTACTCGTTTTGGGGTTTTGTTTGCTAACCGACATATGATAGCTCTTCTTCCTCGACTCCGGCTCTGCGCCAGTCTCTACGGATCTCGCAGAGCCTTCTGAATCGGGGTCTGACTCTGAGGATAGTGAAGCCGAGGGGACACTGCCCGCGTTGTGGCATGACAGCGACGATGAGCGCCTCACTGTCTCGCTCGCAAGCCATCAGAGGCTGAGAAAACTGCGCAACACTGAGTCTGAAGATATTATCAGCGGCAAGGAATATGTCAAACGGCTTCGCAGACAATTCCTGCAACTGCACCCCGTGCCAGATTGGGCCAACCCTGAATTGAACAACAAACAGGAGGGTAACGATTCCGATTCCGACCGCGACAGCGACATGGATACGGATGAGGAGAATGAGCGGCTTTCTACGCAACCTTTGGCCAAGCTGCTGCAAAATGCCAGCGAATTGACCAAATTGGATGACGGCACGCGCCCAGGAGGCAAGAGAAAGTTGCGACAGGAGGTGATAGATATTCACAGACTGAAGGATATTGGCAAAGACCAACCGGTAAGTTCTCTTTTTTTTTTTTTTTTTTCAGGGGGTTCGGTATTAGTCAAGGGATCTGACAAGTTTGGCAGTCCTCCGTTGATTCTCTCATGTTCCATCCTCACTATCCACTGCTGCTGTCTTCCGGTCCTGCGGCTACACTTTTCATTCACCATATCTCCCCTTCTGCGGCGGCTCCCAATCCCCTTCTCACATCCCTCCACATCCGCCGTACGCCTATCCACACATCCGCTTTTGCGCTGCCAAGCGGTAACAAGATCTTTGCCTCTGGTCGTCGACGATACTTCCACATCTGGGATCTGGATACTGGCAAGGTTGAAAAGGTCAATGGAACTGCAGACCGCAAGGAGGAACAAAAGTCCATGGAACGGTTCAAGCTCTCGCCCTGCGGGCGTTATGTCGGTCTTGTCGGCTCCTCGCGCAAAGGCGGTGGTATCATCAATATCTTGGACTCCAGTACCGGGCAGTGGATTGCCCAGGTGCGTGTCGATGGCCGGGGAGGTGTGGCGGATTTCGCGTGGTGGGGCGACGGAGAAGGTATGACAGTCGCCAGCAAGAGCGGTGAAGTATCTGAGTGGGATGGCCGTCTTAACCGGGTTGTCGCTCGCTGGATGGACGCCGGAGCTGTGGGCACAACCACGCTCAATCTCGGTGGACGATCAGGACGGACGCAGCTGGGCGGAGATCGCTGGGTCGCCGTTGGAAGTTCCAGCGGTGTGGTCAACGTCTACGACCGTCGTGAATGGGCTGCTGCATATGCAGCGCAGTCCAACTCCACAGACGCGAAGACTGCCTCGCCGATTCCACGCAATCCCGAACCTGTACGCGCCTTGGACCAGCTCACTACGCCCATCAGCCATCTTGTATTTGCGCCAGACGGCCAGTTCCTCGTGATGGCTAGTCGGTGGAAGCGGGATGCCTTGAGACTAGGTATGCTTTCCCCTTTTCTACCCCTTTTTTTTTTCTTCTGAAATCCCATCATGCTGACTGAATTATCTAGTTCATCTCCCCACGTGTACTGTGTTCCGCAACTGGCCCACGTCCAACACGCCATTTGGTCGTATCTCTTCAGTAGCTGTTTCTCCGAACTCCGATCAACTTGCTGTTGCCAATGAGCAGGGACGTATTAGACTCTGGGAGATCCGGGGATAAAACATGGTGATGAGATGAACTGTGGGTGAATGAAAAATCGATCCGTGTACAAAATCCAACCTTTACATATCGCATAGATTTAAGCATCCTTGTACTTACATGGATTACCTAGTATAAGGGGCAGAAAGACATTGGACGTATGATGTATCATGATTTTCTATTGGGTGATTGGATTACATTAAAAGATACTATCTAAAGAGCCCTGCATGACATCCCAGCAGTTAAGCCCAAAAGTGAAGTAGACCAAGATTAGTTGCATATCGAACTCCCCATCCTCTCCATATCCCTTCATTACTAAGCATTCTAGACAATCGTCAGTACTTTCAAACTACGGAGGACATGCCAACGAATAATAGAGAGGAACATTATCTGTTCGGTAACTTACACCCAGACCAAACTACAGCCGCGAAATAAGTGCCATCAGCCTTGTTCAACTAGATATGTCATAATTCGCAAGGAGGTTATGTACTCACCATGCCCAAGATCTAACACACACACGTCACATACCGACGTTAGCAAAGCACGCCCTCAACCCCCCCCCTCCATTTTCACACTCCAGGAAAGCGACTCACCGAACTCAGAATATTCGCTTCCTGCATCATCCATTAGAAAACCTCAACTAAGCCAGCCAGGAGGAGAAGGGAATCATACAACTTGCTTCTCGGCCGCATCCGCCGCCGCACTTGCAGCGGCACCGGGCGTCGCAGCCGGCGTCGCAACCGGCGTCGCGGCTGGGGTCGCGACGATCTTGATACTAGAGTTGATGATGACCGTCTCGAAGCTGGCTTTGCTATGAACAGGCTTGGGGGCGAGGGTGATGTCGGCGCTGGTTCCGCGTGCGTCGCTATCCGGCAGTGCGAGGACGGTCGTGGCCATGGCCATGGTGGTGAGGAGAGGAGCGGTGAGTTTCATTTTGGGTGAGGGGTCGTCCTTGTGGTGTGTTCGGGTTCTTCAGAGGTATACAAATGCGAGGTTTACGCGGTGGGTGGGAACGATGAGCGGGTTGCAAGATATGAAGAGCGAGACACGCTTCTCCGTGAAGCGAGGGAGTAGTGGTGTCAAGATATAAGACGGTGTTTGGTATATCGCGGGCCTGAAGTCGAGAATAAACAACACCCGTGCCTCTATGTCATCGCGACGAATCAAACGATTCGCTGTCGACGATCTGCCAGGGCGGCATTCCAGGGTTCCTGGAGTTTGGCATTTCGATGGTTGACGAAGATTGGAATGTCTCAGATCTTTAGAAGATACTTCTAGGTTCTGAACCGTCCCTGAGCATTCCATTGACGTAGCTGGGCGGCGCCTGGAATGCTGGTTTGGATCATATGAACATGCCTGCAACTCTGCAGTTCTTCATTTTCTCATTAGGGGAAATCCATTTCGCCGTGTTGCACCTCTCGAGAAGCTTTGTCTTCGACCTCAGTTCTCTTCTTCGTTGCAATGGACGATCATGGTGGTTATCAAGACCTGTAAGCTGCCAACATGTTAGAGGCTCGCTTCAGACCGGCGGGCTGTAGGAAAACACTCTATGGGGCGTCCTGCAAAACACATTATCATCCCATTCGGTCTGTATGTTGGCTGTATGTACAGACGTCTGCGTTCCGGTCAAAATTGGTCTATAGATTCTTCAGACTCCACCCGCGAGTCAAGACCATGCACACTTCGCAAACATGTCACAAAAAAGAACCAGATTATCATGTATCAATCGTCGATATTTTCATCAAACCCAGGCTAACTATCCACTTGTCATACCCAAACACCAGTTTCAATCATCCCAAAAGAAAATCCAAAATCAAGGGGTCAACATCAACCTTGTCAGAGATCATTATCTACAGCATTTTCTGCATCTCATCCTTGTTGCGGATACCAGCCAGGTTACCGGCCTTGACACGCTTCAGGGTCAGGGCAGCAATGAGGGCGGCACCGACACCGGAACCATCTTCGGCCGCCAGAATGGAGACCTTATCATTCTCGTTCGGGGCCCAATCCAAGATCTCGCGAAGTGCCTGGGCACCACGGGCCTTGAAATTGGGGTATTTCGTGAATACCGAACCGTCGGCGCCGACGTGGCAGCGCTCAATGTTCTTCTTCTTGCAGATAGCAGCGACACCACAGGCTGAGAGACGAGCAGCACGAGTACCGATCAACTCGGCCAGACGGCGGATCATCTCAAGCTCTGCCTGAGTAGGCTTGATGTTCAACTCACGCTGGAACAGTTCCTGCGTTTCCTCCAAGTTCTCATAAGGATCCTCCTCGATGGCAGCCAGGAAGGAGGCGTCGAGCAGATACGGCTTCCGCAGCTTAGAGGTATCCTGACCCTCGAAGATGAGCCCTGGCCTGCTGTCCAGGAGGTCAATGAGGGCCAGACGGAAGATCTCTCCCAAGTAGAGACCGGCCGTCATCTTCTCGAAGGCCTGTTGGCCCGGACGAGGCGAATCACGATCGATGATGTGATCATACTTGGTAAGGGGGAGAACAATATGCTCATTGTCGAAAGCACCGTACTCGCAGTTGATCGCCACAGGCATATCCGGGGGAAGGTTCATGTGGGCCAGCTTGGGCACCGAGCCGACATTATCCATGTAAGCCGCATTCACACCTGTGCCGAAGATGCAACCAATCTTCATCTCGGGATCAGTGTAGGCCGAGGCAATGAGGGTTCCGGTAGTATCGTTGATCAAGGCAGCGACTTTGATGGGCAGCCCCTACGCGGTAGAACTATCAGATATTGTACATGGGCCAGGATCGAAGAGAAAGAACTGCACGAAAGAGAGTGATGCATACCTTTTTTTGCAGGATCGCCTCCAGCGGGGGAACAACATCTTGACCTTCAACGCCATCGATGTCAAACCCCTTGGTCCAGCGCTGGAGAACACCATGATCGATGTAATCCTGTGTAGCAGGGTAGGAGAAGGTGAATCCCAAGGGCAACTGTGACAGCTCCTCGTCTTCATGATGGAAATCAATGAACTGTTGAAGACAGTCGGCTATGTACTCCCACAGCTCCTCAGCAGTGCCGGTCTTCAATTCCTCCGGCATACGGTACTTGGATTGGCAGATATCGAAAGCACCCTTCTCTTCGGTCAGAGTAATCTCACAGACACGCAGGTTGGTGCCTCCCATATCCAGGGCCAGGAAAGTTCCTTGTTCATCTCCATCGGGGAATCCCATAACCCACGTGACGTTCATCGGCTGTAGCGTAGTCCTCATGGTCAGCACAGGTTGTCCGGAACGGATGCGGAGACGCTCACGATGTTACCACCCTCCACAGTGAGGCCTGATCGAACACCACAAGTTAGCCTTATGTTCCCAGTTGTATCTTAGGGGGATATCGATGCCATTGCGACTCACCCTGTTCAAGCTCCTTGACGAAGTGGTCAACCACCTGCTTGAGCTTGGTCCGGTCCACGGTGAACATATCTTCGAACTCCTTGATTTGCTGCAGGAGGTTCTGTGGCACGTCGGCCATCGATCCTGTAACAATTCCCCACCCAGATCAGTCACCGTGCCAACTTTGGGGAGCTTCCATTAGGATCACCTACCCTTGCGGGATGGGGGACGCTTGGGACCGATTCCGACCATTGTGATATGAATGAAGGTGGGGTCAATGAGAGAAAGAGAGTAGATACGGTTCTTGATTTGAATGGGGCGGGGGAGTAGACAGATGAAGAGCAGCAAGATGAGAGAAACAGAGAGAGAGAGAGGGAGGGAGAGAAGATCAGAAAGAAGATGAAGGGGAAAGGATGATGAGAGTATGGGGGAGGGCTGCTGCTTGGAGATAAACCCAAGAGTTGTGTATAGTCCCGTGGGGCAGTGACCGGATACTGGATAGTCCCACGCAAAAAAAGAACCACGCTTAAGAACACTCAAGAAATGCCCCGCAGACGATGAAATCACTCGGGATATTATTCTTATTATTCTTATTATTCTTACCGTTGATCGTCCGAATTTTTCACCGGTTGGGGGTTTACTTTTTTTTTTTCTGATTACTTCTAGTTTGACCCCAGTAGTATGTACTCCTATGTAGTACATAGAGCTGCTGTACCTGAAAGTCTCTCTCTCTCTCTCTCTCTCTCTCTCTCTCCTCCTGTTGTCGTTGACTGCCCCTCAGTTGAGTTGACTAGTAAGAGAAGAAGACTCTCTAGAACCTCTTGGGGCCGTTGAATTGGACGTTGGAACTGCCCACCCCCCTTAAACAACCCCCCCCCCCCCAAAAACAGTATCGGTGAGACATCTCCTGATCTTGGTCTTTGCTTTGTGATGCATCAGTAATGCCGCTATTGGCGCGTCTCGCCCTTATGCATGAAGTGGTAAGACTGACCACATAGAGACTAAAGAGGCCATCGATGGCTGATGGGGGAAATAATGCAAGTCTACCTAGACAAAATCAGCTAATCTTATGGTCTTATTGATTATTTCGAGTATCATCATGTTTTCTGCGTCTTCGTCGAGTCATTATTTTGTATCCAGAAAAACTCCTAGAGAAAATGAATATACCTACAGAGTTAGGTTTCTAACTAACCCGTCCTTTATCAGAGAATGGTTGATCCGCCCAAAGCCGCAACGACGCCGTTACCAAATAGTGTATGCATTGGTCCTCCACACTCAACGGACTCACATGGCAGATGACTTCTTCCTTCGATCTGTCAAATGAGGGAATACATGTCCCAATCCTCCTCCTACTTCACTGTCGTTGATGTCGGTCGGCCGCAGTGTCACTGCATTTGCAACACCTAGAAGGGCCTTATCCTCACCCAGTGTTTCATGCATCTCCTCGTCGCGAAAGATCTCGGATGACTGGCACAGTGGTTGCTTACTGGATAGGGCTTCGGCCGTTGCCGTGCCTTGAGTAATGTCGACGTTCTTTTGGGATTGGTGCGCCAGATGCTCCCGCACCCGTTGTTGGTATGCCCCGGACAACCCCAAGGTTCGATCAACTTCCTCCGTCAGACGCTCCACCTCATCATGTAGCCGCTCGTCCCTTGTCTGTAGAGGAGCATTCTCAGCAGCCCGCGACTCTGGGTCGGGGTTCGTGGTCTCCCACAACGCCTCCAGTTCCTGTTCCCAGCCTAGCGCTTTTGCAAATCGTCGCACCCCAGCGTCACAGTCTCCCAGGACAAGGACATCATCGGGCCGGGATCCCAGACCTCCGACCCGCTCCATGTTGATGAGCACGCGCGGAATCCCTTCCGGGCAGAATGCCGGTAAGCTTGCAAACGGCTGTACAGACAAACTCGTACCCATCACAATGCATAGATCTGCTTGTTCTGGAAGATGCCGGCTCGAGAAGAATTCTTCGGGTAGGGCTTCTCCAAAGAAGACAATATCCGGCTTCACGAGACCATTGCAATGGAGGCAGGTGGGTACTTTTCCTTCTGCAATCGCTTCCTTCATCGGAGTCTCTGGGTATGCAGCTTTGCAATCAATGCAATGCTGCGATGCGAAGCTTCCATGCGCCTCGACAATCATCTCACCCGGCACCCCCGCCAGGCGCTCTAAACAATCTATATTCTGCGTAAAGTGTTTCAACAACAAGCCCTTGTCATGAAGTAATTTGACGAACGAATGCACAATCGTAGGTCGGTACCGGCCAGGAGCCAGCTCACGCGCCAAGGCGTAGAATGGTCGAGGATTCTCTCGGAAGAAACTGATATCGAACACATCCTCGGGTTCTGGTAAATCGAGGAAGGCCAAGTTGGCGTAAAGACCTGTATCTGGAGAACGGAAATCGGGAATGCCCGCCGAGGTACTAATACCAGCTCCTACCTGTATTCAAGAGGACCATGGTTGTCAGCACATGCTCGAACAGCGCATGCGGGGAAAAGAGGGACGATCTCGGAGGACATACCATGACCACAATGCGTTGCACATTTTTATCCTGGATATATTTCGCCACAGCCTCAATATTCCGCGCCTCTAGTACCGAGGGATTGGTGTTCTCATCCACCACTGTGGATGTTTCACTGCCCATGATGCTCTGCGAGGCTGCGGACAGCTTTTTCTGGCTGTTTTGCAGGTGTCTAGATTGACGTACGATAGAACGAAGTGTGTTGAGGTAATCCACAATATAAACCTGATCGAACGGCGCTATTAATGCACGGAGCAGCTCAGACAGAGAAAATTCGCGATGGACAGCGAGCAGCGTCAAATGACGTCGAGTTGATATCGCGGAGGAGGAAAATCACCCGATTGGGCAATGGTGCCTTTTTTTTCTGCCTCAGGCACATGTTAGTGCGATAACAAACAGTCTTGAGATTCGAGAGGGACAACTACTAGTTGCACGTTGTATACAGGTTACAAGATTTCTAGAAAAAAAAAGTATAGTAGACGAAGAAAAGGATTCCAATGCCCTTATTACTCCTTAGTATGTTGCAATCGCCAATTGAAGCAATCCACTGTCCGCAAGCTGCTCACCGCCTTCACATTATCATCTCATCAACTGTCAACAAGACACATCGCGCCTCCTAACCAAGTCACCTAGATCAGCTGAAGTCACCTAGATCAGCTGCTCGGGCACCATGTCCAGAACAACAGATCCCACCACTAATGGGCACGCAGTTCTTTCTACAGATCAGAACGGGCCGAATGCCCAATCTCACCCCCCAGTCGATGTGTTCAATGCGAGTTCCGTAGCGGAGATCAAGGCCGCTTTATCGCATCTCCACGAGCAGGAAGCCACAGTCACCGCTCGGCTGGACGCCCTCGTCGCCTCGCAGAAAGACTTCTCCCGAGAATTAGGGCGACTGGATCTTCTCCGCGCCCATCTTGGCTCCCAGACTAGCACCACTCGGTCCGTCAGCCATGGCATGCTTTCCGATGCTGCGGCTACCGCAGACCGAATCTCAAGTGCCGTCCGTCGTCTAGACCTGGAGCAATCGCGGGTCAAAGCGACGCTTGAGGTGGTAGAGCAGGTTTCGGAGTTGAAGGCGTGCGTCTTGGGTGTCGCAGGCTCCATGGGGGCTCCCCAGGACTGGGAAACGGCAGCCAGTTACCTGAGCCGAGCGTCCAAGATACCTTCGGAGGTGGTTCATGGGGGCTTTGCTGCTGAGATGGTACCCACTGCTGAGGTGCCTGACCCGCCAAATGTTACTTTGGATAATGCGGCGGAATCGCTCTGTGGTTTGTTTCTGCGCGAGTTTGACAAGGCTGTGAAGGAGAACGACGGCACCAAGATCACGCGGTTCTTCAAACTTTTCCCGCTCATCGGCCGCTCTGAAGTCGGTTTGGATGTCTACGGACGGTACGTCTGCCAAGGGGTGGCTTCACGGGCTCGAACGAACCTCAATGCAGGCGCGGGAGCGGCACAGACCAAAGACGGCTTCTTCTATGCCAATGCGCTCACCAAATTGTTTGAGCATATTGCACAGATCATTGATGGCCATGGGGGTCTTGTTGAGCGTCATTATGGTCCCAGAAAGATGAACCGAGTCATTGAGCGTTTACAGCTCGAGGCTGACCTCCAGGGCGGCATCATTCTTGATACCTGGAGCGATGACCGGCATGTGGATCGCAAACTCACCGACATCAAATCCTATGCCTTTACCTTCTTGGTGCAAAGTTTCCTTCCTGCTCAGCGCAGTGCAACACCAAGATCCAATTCGCCAGCGACCCGGGATGGAGTTGCCGCGCCGACTGAGGACGAAGGGGTAGACATGAAGGAAATCGACGGACTATTAAATGAGATGGCCATCATGCTAAGCCGATGGTCTCTGTACTGTCGGTTCATTGCGGAGACTTGTAATGTAAGTAATCTGATTATCGAGAGCGCTGCGAAAATTACAAAACTGACTTCCTAGCAGGCTGCCGAACACGAAAGTGAAAAGTTCATGCCGCCGAATTTTCTGCAAGACTCAAGTTTGACAAAGAAGATTGACGACCGTCTAACCAGCCCTTTCAATGCCATGACCACTTTCTTCTTCCGACGGTCGGTTGAGAAGGCGTTCCAGCTGGATGAGCAGCCGTCTGGTCTGACCTTGCAACCACACAAGCCCTTGAAGGCCGATCCTCCACACATCACTTCCGCCGTCGACGACATCATGTACATTGTCAACAAGGTCCTGCAGCAATCGCTGGCCACCTCGCAAATCTCGGTCGTGACCAATGTGGTCCCTACGCTATCGCGAGTCCTTGGATCGGACTTTATTGGGATGACCCAACGGAAGATGCGCGACGAATGCTACCCCAAGGCGCCAGTACAGGGCGCGCAACCACCCGAGCAAACAGTAATCTCCTTCCTTGTCTTGATCAACAATTTGGACGTCGCCATCGACTACATCCGCCGCATAGTGCAGAACCATACCGAGTCCAAAAAGCCCATCACCGGTCCGGACGGCCAGGTCGAGGAAATGGACCAGTTGCAGTCTCTCTTCCCCATACCTGCGGAAGCCAAGCTCGCCTCCCAAACGCTACAGTCCCTTGCATCATCCTTTGAGGCCAAGGTGCACGATCTTCTGTCCGACGGCATCCAGGTGGTCTTCAACAACGTCGTCAAGCACCGGCTCCGGCCGATCCTCGCGGACGCGTTCCGCGACATCGAATACCAGCCCCGCGATGACAGCGACCCGACAAGCACCATGTATCACGAATACGGCGATGCGGACGCCGACGCTGACGACGGCGCCAGCCGCGCCGAGCTCGTCCGCCCCCGGTTCGCCGCCAGCTGGACCGAGCTCCTCCTCCCCATCTCGCGCATCCTGACCGCATCGGCCTTTGACCGCCTCCTGACCGTGACAGTGGCATACCTGTCCCGACTCCTCGAGAAGCGCCTGTGGTCGTACCACGGCCGGATCAACGCGCTCGGCGCAACCCGGCTCGAGCGCGACATCTCAGGCGTCGTCAGCGCCGCCGTGGACGTCGGCGGCGGCCACGGCGCGCCGGGCCGGTACCGCCACCGCGAGGCGTTCGCACGATGCATGCAGATGGTGCTGGTGATGGGGATGGACGACGACGAATGGGAGGATGTCGTCCGCGGAGGCGAGACGGTAGACGTGCTGGATAGGCTGAACCGGGAGGAGCGAGCGCGCGTCCGGGCCATGGTCAGACGGAACCCGCGCGACCTGTAGGACAGGACGTACATCACATCCCCTCCCTCCTATTCGACCGGTAGACACCGAAACTCGTCTCTGTTGATTTTTTTTTTTTTTTCTTGAGTACCCCTGTACATATGTATACATTCTGCCTAATGCGTAAAGAGGACATTCGGAACCTTATTCCCAGTATTTAAGAACCGAGACTTGGGGAGTTCGGCACTTTGAGGTATACCAAACCAGTATCCAGTAGTGGGAGTGAGGAAAGGATTCGTAGTAGGGTCACCCACGGTGGAGACAATGGCCTGGGACTAGGGCCACTAGTTTCGCATTGACGAGTTGCGACTTGCGACTTACTCACTAGTGACATCGAGCATGTTGATCCCCAGATTCCAGATCCATCATGACATCAGATGGACCCCTCAGTGTCCAGGCTCCTGGGATTCAGGAATGACGCTCTGGAGTTTGGAGTCTGGAGTCAGGAGTGCGGACTTATGGCCTACAGCGGGTCTGCACTGCAGACGATGGACTTGGAACTACGGAGGTGGCGCACAGACTATTTCATCGGTGATATTCAGATCTATAAGTGGTATCTGTCCAGTTTGCTGGCTCCAATAACAGTTGATCCGGCCGGTCAAGAAGTATATACAAAAAAAAAAAAAAAAAACAAAAACACCGGTAGATCGATCCCAGATTGAACGCCGGTGCTCCCAACCATAAACAACGTAAGGGGAATAATACATATCAGGTCAATGGTGCAGCCCCAGGCTACAGACCATTCAAAAACGGAGAAGGGGGAAACAAAATGACGCTGGATATCTCGCTCGGAAAAGGTAGGATGAAAGGGGGGAGGGCTCAAGAACAGGACAGATTATAGGGAGGAGAAGTCGAGAGGGAGGAGGGGAAGGGGAGAAGGGCAGAGACGGAGGAATTATGTCGAGCTTTCCTGCTTCTCTTCGATTTGTTGCGGGGCGGGTTGCCCGTTGGTCTGAGGAGCCGAAGGAGCCGGAGCATGGTGCTCAGCGACCTGTCGCGGAGCCGGAGCGATCTTGAGCTCTTGGATCCCAGAGTCGCCTTCACTGCAGCCCTGGCTGTGAATGCGGACGGGGGTCTGGCCTTCCAGCATCTCACTGTGTTCGCCGATGCCGTAGCGGGCAGCGTGGGGGATCTCGTGACCGTCTTCGAGCTGATCGTGCTTCTGAGGGGTCCAGGCAAGGTAATCACGGCGAACTTCGACATAATCATAAGCGAACTCGCCCAGCTGGTCATCATCCATACCGAGCAATTCGGCTTCTTCGGAGGCACGGAGTTTCAGACCGGGAATAGCGTTGATGGCATAGGCGATGATGGCAGAGACCACGAAAGAATAGGCGCAGGAAGCCACAATAAACGCAACCTGGATATAGAGCTGCTTATAGTTGTGAATCACCCACCCACCGACTCCACTTCCAGTGTTGACACCGTCGAGGCCGACAATCGCATCGTCTCCGAAAAGGGCGTTGAAAAGAAGACCGACAATCCCAGCGACACCGTGCTCAGCGAACACATCCATAGAGTCATCGATCCGAATCCAGTATTTCACTGAAGATAACAGTCAGCAAAGCTCGTGTGCTAAGGAGGAGAAAAGCAAACTCTAGGAGAGACTCACCCTTGGTGGCATAATTACAAACAATACCAGTCACAATGCCCAGGATAACACTAGCCCAAGGGCTCAGATAACCAGAGGCGGGAGTGGCGGCAACCAGACCGGAGATGGTGCCGGAACACCAGCCGACCATAGACCACTTTCTAGCCAGACGCCAATCGAGGAGAACCCAGGTAATGGCACCAAAGGCAGCAGTCAGGTTGGTGTTCCAGCAAGCCATTGTGGCTCGAATGTTGGCACCGAATGCCGAACCACCGTTGAATCCAAGCCATCCGAACCAGAGGAAGACCGTACCGAGGAGAATGAGGGAGACGTTGTGAGGGCGGAAGTTGAGCATCATGCGTTCCTGACGACGACCCAGGACCATGGAGTATGCGAGAGCTGCCATACCAGATCCAATCTCGACCGGGCCACCACCTGCGTAGTCCATGACACCGTAGTTGTAGGCCCATCCGTTCACGTTCCACACCCAGCAGGCCATCGGGCAGTACACGATGGTCGCCCAGATGAAGGTGAAAACCATAGCAGGAAGCAAACGTCCACGCTCAGCAACAGCACCCATGACGATGGCTGCAGTAACACCGCAAAATTGCATCTACATCGGCCCATGGTCAGCCTACTACTCCCTCAAAGGTCGACGTGACACCAGATCGAAACAGCAAACATACCTGGTAGAAGGCGTAAAGGAGATTGGGAATAAGAGGGGATCCGGGACTCGGATCCGCCAGAGTGTTCATCAGACCAAAGTTGCGGAGATTACCAATATACCCATTGGTTGCAGTCGGGGAGAAGGCCAGTGAGTAACCCCAGAAGTACCACTGGAAAGTGACGACGGAGAAAGATGCCATACAGGCCCAGATCATACTCAACGCCGACTTACGACGAGCCAAACCAGAATAAAGGAAACCGAGACCGGGAATCATGACCATGACCATGGCCGAGGCCACGATGATGTAGGCCTGGTCACCGGATTGAAACCATTTGTTCAGATTTTCGGTCCCTAATAGAAACCAATTCCGTTAGATCCCGTTTTCCCGAGTGGAAAAGCTCGCAGAACTGAGCAACATACTCGAATCACCGCCAATTTCATTTGTGGTGAACTGCTCATAGTTGGAGGGAGCACCGGTCCAGTTGTAAGAGGCATAATCGGGGATGAACGAAGAGCCGCCGGATTTAGACATGGTGAGATGCCCGGCTTATGATGATATGTTGAATGGTGGTAGATTTATACAAGTCGCAGAGCACGTTAGATACTGTGGGAGAGGGAAAACCAGGTCGTATGTAGAACTGGGCGGAAAGAGGTATGGACTATGGAGTATAGTAAGGTTTCCGATGCCGGAGAGCGGAGGACGTAAAAGGATTTCGAAGAGCTGGTTTGTCGACGGCAAAATTGTTGATATGATGCGACTGTGTCTTAGCTCCCGTCTCTCTCACTCAAGGCGTAGAACGTATTTGGTGAAAGAGTAAGAGTTGGGAGAGAGTGATTCAAGCAGGCAAGGGAAGTTAAGAAGGAAGACTGGACTCCGCTGTGTGGAGAAAGGTGATTGCCACGAAGAGGAGGGGGGGCGGAGAGGATGTATATAAGAAGGAACATGGTCTGGGAGGAAATATGGAAGAAAAAAAAATAAATTCAATTAAAATAATAACGATAATAATGATAATAATAATAATAAGAAGAATAATAATCGTAGGAGTTCTGGAAAGACTTCCCGGTGGGCCTGGAATTGAACGGGACGAATTCGTATTTGCAAATGTGAAAGAGTCAAAAGCGATAGTGTAGGTAGATAGTTAGATAGAAGTAGATCGACCGGTTTGTATGGATGAGCCAGAGAATGAGTGAGCACCATTGTGGGGCACGAATATTATTTTTAATGCTTCTTTTTCTTTTTCTTTTTTTTTTTTTTTTTTTGGCCTCCCGGCTCTGCGATTCCTTGGGTGCTGGTACTGATAGCAACCTAAGGATAAGACTGATAGGTAATATCGAGGGTTCGTATTAGTATTCCGCTCGACACACACAATCCGAGGGGGAAAAAGTATCTGGGGTACTTAGGTTTCTGACTTCTGTACCTGGAGATGCAAGGACAATCAGCTGAGAAAACAATTTAGATAAAGAAAAAGAAAAAGAAAAAAGAATAAAAATAAAATCATGAGGTCGACAGGCAACTTTCGTTCCTTAGTCGAGGGAGGCGCGGTAAAATCTGGAAATTTTAACAAAGCTGGGCTCCATAGTTGCATACCTTAGTAGTGACCATACCTTATTGAAAGTTTGAAGCCCCGAGAGATAAGATACTGCGTCAGGTAATTGTCTTTCTTGCAGCCAATCAGTCCACGTAAGGAGGAATTCCACCCCAATCCATCCATTCGCTGAAGCTCCCGATTCAGCTCCAGCATCACCATCGTCATCATCGTTCTGGCCATGAGAGAGAGAGAGAGGTCACAACCTAGGAGTCTTCAAACATCTCCCATTCTTCCTCAGTGGCCGGTGCAATTAATCGAACATGCCAGTGCTTCGGACACAGCATTGCTTGATAGTATCGTCATCGTTCATCTTCGTTCATCTCTCACAAGACCTCGTGGCAAATTCCTTGTCTCCGCAAATTGTCCACGAAGATCCTTTTTACCCAAAAGGAGACCTGTCCCCCGGCCAAGACCGTCGCCGAGATGGTGCGGCCGTGTGGGACAGAGACTTGATGGACAAGGTTCTCCGGACTCTATCCATATTCCATAGTCTTGTTAGTTGTTAGTAGTATAGTGGCGAATACATAGTCATATTATCATCGCGATCCACGGATAGTAGTCATGGCCTGATGAAGAGGGAGAGATAGGAACTGTGAAAAGGGCTCCTTGAGCTCCCCCAAATCATCCCATTGCTTTTTTTATTCTTTGCGCTTGTCCAGAACACCAAGCAAATCCTATGCCAAGGAGGTATTCTCTCCTTTGGCTTGAAAAGTGCACGCACCATTGCCTTGGATCCATCTGGTATGGGGATGGAACAACATCTGACAAGGTGGACAGTGCTATAGAAGGTTCTTGTCCGGTAGTACAACAGCCAGATTGCTGGGTTCCTATACTGCCTATTTATGTCCTTGGATTCCGGGCTACTATCTTTCTCCCAGGACAGGGACGGTGTAGCAATACTCCGTTCAGAGTACAGAATGCTGGCACTTTGGTAGCTATCATAGGTATCTCTATCTCTGGTGATGATAACAGCATCAGCAAGACAGGAAACACCGCGTTTGGAATGGGAGGATAGGATAGACACGGCCCGGCACCAGAGTCACTATCATCGACGAGATAGATAGACTGAGACCAGCCACCTCAAGGCCGCACGGAAACAAGACACTGACTTATCGCTCGGTCCCATGGCACGGCGGCCAGGAAAGTTTGGCTCTCAACCACTCGAAACAACGTCCCGTAAGCCAGACTGCGGATTCCTTATCTGTTGCTGTTTCTCTCAAGTCATCTTTTGCTCGCCGTGATAAGTAGATCGATTGGTTGTGAGGTCGCGATAAGGTCCAAGACGCCACCTGCCGGAAGAAGTGGGGACCACTAGCTCCTGATTCGGTATGGCTGCAGCTGGCGGAGCCCCATCGCACTGATAACGCGAAGCTTGGCCAATGATAGCTTGGCCAAAACCAATCTCAGTCAATCTTCTGCTGGTCGTTTTCCTCATTCTCCCGAGTCGCCTTCGGGCATTTCAGGAACCCAATCGGCCAGTCTTCCTGCCCTTATCTTTGCCTCTTCTATTTTTTGGTTTTTTTTTTTTTTTTTTGCCGTTCGGTCGGTTCGGCTCCGCGGACAAGAGCGGAAACAGTAACCAAATTAATTAGAGTGCAGGATCCCGCCCCCCAAAGACAACTACTCCGGATAGAGTAATATCTCGTTCTTCAGGCTTGACTCATCCAGTTAAGTCTGCATTGGGTCAATTGCGCATCGTCTTGGCACGTCGTTGCTCCCTATCTGAAACAACCAGCATGAGTTGACTCGTGCTTTGCCCAGATATGCGCTCCAGCTCCTGTGCAGACTGCGGAGTGGGCGCCTTTGGCGAGAATCTGACTGTCATCTGTCGGTCGTCAGTACTAATGCAACAGCCAGCAGCCACTACACGACTCCCACGAGGCCATCTGGGATGTCGTCTCACATTGACCTCGTGGCTTTTTTGAGCTGTAGAATGTACTCCGTACATAGGTGGTTGAAAGTCGGAATAAGGATTGTTGCATAAAATGCAGTGGGGCACTAGGGGACTAGGCGTGACACACTCGTGGCCAACCGCCGGTGGTCCTGGTACTACTACAGTCAGCTACTGGGATAGTCTCGGTATCTAGGTATTCTAGGTAGGTACCTTAGCTGTGGCTCTACATCCGATCCAGCACCCCGCAGTCCGTCTATGTTCGCGTTTCGCTCCTTCTATTGGCACTTGATGGTTGATATCTTCGATTTGACTGGCAGACTTGCAGAGACGTAGACTAGGGCCACGATTTAAGTCGAGGGATCGTTTGCGGAGTGCGGATACCGAAAACGGTGCAACCACGTGGGTCGATTTAGGTCCATCATCGAAATATATATATCCAAGCTCCCATCAACTATGCATGCCATACATGATACATCAGAAAGATGTACCACCACCAACGGTTTTCTCAGCTACAAGCTAGAACATATATCCTTACCACGATGATAACACAGGATCACCCTAGTCCGAATCTCGGTAATCAGCCTGTCAAATCCGGTGACTGACAATGTGTACCTGCTAGGACAGACCCTGTTCACATACATATCGTGCCACAGGGAATCCGGAGATTTAATGACATGAGGCGCAATGGATGTATAGTCCTGTAACTGAGGATGATATTTTTTGATATAATGTCTGTGATACCACGCAAACCAATATATCGATACCCAGCATACAAAGGTTCCCAGAACACCGACCACATGGCCTTGTCGATTATTATGTTTAATAGCTTAGCTTTATAGAAGCAAACTGAGCTGTCTATTTCAACAAATCTGGCCGGCTGGCCCAATGGCAAGGCGCTTGACTACGAATCAAGAGATTGCAGGTTCGATCCCTGCGTCGGTCATTCTTTTTGTTTTTGTATATTTTCATATACTTCTCGTCTTTCTATGCCCATCCGATTCATCATCATCCATGTACAGTGACTAAGGACCAAGCCTTTTCTTTTCCTTTCCTTTCACCCCGAGCAGATCGGTATCCTCCCGTCAGGCCCTCCTGTCAAGCATAGCATAGACAGAATGACACCTGCCCAATGCTTACCATCTTACAACTCTGTCCAGACAAAATTCCACTTCATCTTGAGATGGATTCTACGTGAACTCGCACCTGTTTTCTCCCATATGAGAAGTTCTACTCCGAACACCAAGGAGTGCTGTTGAGTGTTGACTGCCAACCCACTATCATGGAGCATCATCCTCAAACATGATGTTCCCCTAACCGCTACAGCACATTAAAAGAGAAAGACAATCAGCACACCGAACAAAGAAAAGATTTTTTTTTAAAAAAAACATACAACAGCCGGGATTCGCTGGTGGTCACCCACCCAACTACTAACCGGCCGGCGTGTGGCTTAAGTACGGCTGAGCGGACGGGAAGCCCTGTTCTCCACACCCTGTGGTCGTATGTGCTTAATATTGCGCGGAAGACGTCTATATTGTACGTCGGCGGAGCAAAAGGTTCTAATACCTATGATGGCCTGCAAAATGTCTTAAGGATCACAATCGATACTCCGATGAAATCTGTACCAGTGCTACCCCCAAGGATACAACCGCGTCCAGAAAATCTATAAATAACCGATGGTATCCAATTACATACGGTTTCTATCATACCTCCTCGTAAGCCCGACAAACACAGCCAGGGAAAAAAAGAAGCCAACCAACGCCGCCCGAGTAGCTTTCATTTTTCTATACAGATGCAGAGTTCATACACTCAATCCCCATGTCAGACATTGACACTATATCCCACCCCAACCGCCTGTCGCCGCTTGACGGAATTCAGGTACTTGCGACCCTCATCCACCCAGAACACAGTGCTCGAGATACACAGGAGCTTGAACAGATGAGCAGCGTTGAGGGGCTCAGTCTGGAAGACCCGCTGCAGGAACGGAAGGTAGATCACACAGGCCTGGCCCAACAAGGAGCCTAACACCGCGTAGTTGAACATCTTGTTCCCGAACAGCGACAGCTCGCCCCGAAGCACTGATTTGCTCTCGCTGCGGCACGTGAGGGCGTTGAACATGTCGAAAAGCACAAAGCAGGTGAATGTCATGGTCGTGTCGTGAGCTGTGACCACGCGGGAGCGCTGTCCCGGGTTGGCGACATCGTCGATGTCGCCCATCTCGTAGACGTAGATCGCGAGGGTACCGAGCATAATCATAAAAGCCGATGTCAGCACTCGCTGGATGAGCGGTTTCGTCAGAACTCGGGCATTTCTTGACCGGGGAGGGCGATTCATAATGGTTGGGTCGACGGGTTCAACGCCCAGTGATTGCGCAGGCGGACCATCCATGAGGATATCTGGAATGGGAGTCAGCGATGTGAAAGACAAAAAGGAAAGGGCCATAACTCACTAATCCACAGAATCTGCATCGCGTTAAGCGGATTCTTGAACCCCAAGATCGTGCTCAACAGCACGAGACTGAGTGCCGCAACACTGGTACTGAGCTGGAAAGTGATGAAGTTTTGGATGTTGTAAAATATCCCCTTGCCCTGTTCGATTGCGCGCAGGATCGTGGAGAAGTCGTCGTCCGTCAAGATCATGTCCGCAGCCTCCTTCGCAACGTCGGTGCCCAGCTTGCCCATGGCAATGCCAATATCTGCCTTCTTCAATGCCGGTGCGTCGTTCACCCCATCCCCAGTCATGGCCACAACGTCACCCCGAGACTGCAAAGCGCGCACGATCTTCATCTTGTGTTCCGGACTGGTGCGTGCGAAGATTGAGGTCGACGAGATCGCCTGCGCCAGCTCCTCAGTGCTCATACGATCGAGATCATCACCCCCGAGGACGGATCTTGATCCAGGGGTATCATTCACCGGCATTCCGAGCTTCTTCGCAATTGCGACTGCCGTGGTTTCCGCATCTCCGGTGATCATTATTACCCGAACGCCTCCTGACATAAGACGCCTGATGGACCTGTGGACGTCCTTCCGTGGAGGATCGTTCATCCCCACCAGCCCAGCGAACACAAGCCCGGTATACCGATCATCTTCGTCGGTCTGGCTCGTTTTCGACATGGGAGTACTAGATCGACTGCCAAAGTTCCTTCCCCCTTTGGCCGTATCCCTTACAGGTCCACTAGCAAATGCCAGTACCCGGAGCCCTTCCGATGCCATTTGTTCTGCCGCCTGCCTCACGATGTTTCGTCGCGGCTCGTCCAGGATAACCTCTCGGCCGTCCTTGGTCAAGTAAGTATCACAGCGGTTCAGAACCTGGCCCAGAGCACCTTTGACATAGGCGACGTTGGTACCACCGCCGAACGAGGTTGAATCGTTGAGCCCACTGCCGATTATCACACCCATCCACTTGCGTTCCGAGCTGAACGGCGTTTCGGCCACGCGTCCACTGATGCGGTCGCGCAAATCATCCTCTCCAAAGGTATCCAATAAATCCAGGATAGCAACGTCTGTAGGTTGGCCGACCCAACGACTCTTGACAGCCCCAGAAGCGCTATCGACCGTAGAAGACAGGACTGCCGCAGAGGAGGCACTAGCTGGAGAATTGGCACTCACACGGGATAGTCTGGCGTTGTTGGCGATGTTACCAATCCGAAGAACCGTCCGAGCAGCGGGCCCAGGAGTCAAGGAGGAGATGTTGTGGATCTCGAATGGTTCTGGGCAGTCGAAATGCCACATCTTGGTGACAGCCATGTGATTAAGCGTGAGGGTGCCCGTCTTGTCGCTACAAACCACATTCACGGATCCAAGAGTCTCAACACTGGGAAGCCTTCGCATAATTGCCCCTCGCTTGGCCATACGTAGCACACCAAGAGCGAGGGTGACAGTCACAATGATCGGAAGACCTTCCGGAATCGCGGCCACGGCAAGCGAAACGCCGATGGTAAACATCTCCAGGAGCTTCCGGCCCTGTATTAATCCAATGACGACAATCAAAGCGATGACCCCAAAGGAGATGTAGCTGAGTTCCTGACCCAACCGATCCATCGAAAGCTGCAGTGGCGTCCGTGGACTTTCAATCTCTTGAAGGGACACCGAGATACTGCCAAACTCGGTCCGGGCACCAGTCCCTATGACGATGCCCTGACCGTAGCCGGACCGTACCAGTGTTCCCATAAATGCGATATTGTGTTGTTCATTCAGCCGAATATCTGCGCCAACCGCCCCGCTGGCGGGTGCGTCATAGAACGGTGACCGAGGAGGACTGATGATTTTGGGCGAATGAGAGAGATTGGTTTTAGTGCCGCGTAATGCGTCGGTATACTTGACCACAGGCTCGTTTTCGCCCGTCAGATTCGATTCGTCGATGCTCAAGTCGGTGGCCGCAGTTATTCTAATATCTGCTGGAATACGGTCGCCGGTGGTGAACAGGACCAGATCACCAGGGACAAGCTCGCTCGCCAGGACGGTACTGGAGGCCTTGATCGCGGCGGACGCGGTGCTCGGGACTCTGGTTTTGAGATGCTCCATTTCGAATTCCACCGGTGTAGCCCCTGCCTTGGCATTATTCGATGGCGGAATATACGAAGCGGGGAGATCGCGGATGAGGTGTGCATGATGGGGCACTAGACGATTCAAAGCCTCCAAAGATTTCTCCGATCTGTATTCTTGAACAAAGCCGACGCTCACGACGATTGTCACCGCGAGCGTGATGCTAAGGGCATCATCGTAGTTGCCCATGAAAAACGAGATGGCCGCAGAGGCCAGCAAGAGCAGAATGAGGGTTTCCTTGAACTGCTTGAGAAACCGAAGCCACAGGGGCTCCGGTTCCTCATGAGGCAATTCGTTCGCTCCATCACGTAACAATCGTATCTCTGCCTCAGCTGGTGTCAGACCATGGAGCAGAGAGGTTTGCAGGCGTTGCGCGGTTTCCTCTGGACTTAATAGGGAGTACGTCGATGTGGATGTCTAGACACTCGCGGCAGGTGTGATTAGATTCGGAGCGGTTGGACTTGGAACGGGGGTACTGATAGGTTCGGTTTTGGATCATCTGCCTAGGTTGCAATGTCACGTACCGATGGAGAGTGCACGCCTGTCACAGGCGTTGCGGACGCAGACCTTGAGACCTGAGCATTGTGCAAAGGTAGCGCAGGCGTTGCGGAGCTTGACATTTCTCATGCTCTGACGGAACGACGAAACCTTCAGACTGGATGCACAACGGTTATCATCCCGTCATGGAAGGATGCAATGATTGGAAGGGAAAAAAAAAAGCTTTATGGAGGATAGAGCATTAAAATTATGAAGTTGAAACGAAACTGGAGAATCTGCAAGAAGCCACGTTCTCCAAGGTGCGGTGGATTGGAGTATCAAGTTGGAGAGGAATGAACTAAGGTGGAATCAGCCACGGGCCGTGCAGCCTGGAGTCTAGTACGAATCACCAGCTAGATAGTAGTATGGACTGTGAAAGTCACACAACCTTGCTGGACGACTTCACAGACTCCAGGTAGGAGATACTCACCCTACAAGTGCAACAATGCTTCTCAGTACTCCGTCAAGCTGGTTTATTGGGATGATTCCTGCTGTTCTGCTTGTTTGTTCTCGATGGATCTGATTGGACATAATGATGCCTTTCCCCTTACGATCTAGCGTATCGGACTATCAGGTTAATCCGATGTTAGCCGTATCAGGTTTAGCTTCAGCCTTATGCATCAGGTGCTCCTCATGTCTTTACGTAAGGTATGCCTAACACGTGATCCCAGCCTCACCCCTTCCCGCCAATCAGCTGCTGCTGCTTCCTGCTTGTGCTGTCATTTCGTTGCTCGGGAGGCTGGGCAAGGGCAACCTCAGGCTCGCCTTTAGTGTCCTCCTCCTCCCACCGCCCGCCAGGAGACGCGCGCCTTTCCTCACTCTCGATCTTCTCTCTCTTGTTTCTATCGCACCACAACCAACCACTGCGAAACAACCCCCCTTCCCCTCCGATATTTTGGCTGTGTTTTTTTTTTTTTTTCCCATCCTGAGTACCCACTGGATTAGGGTCAATTTGGGACTGCAGTATATCCAGTTGTTGGATTAGATTTTGTCTTGGGTTTTCCCGTGTCCTTGAAATCGCCTTAGGGGCAAGGCATCAGTTGCCGATTCTCTTGTGTTGTCTGGATACCGCGCGTCATTCGCCTCGTTGCCAGGGACCTCCCCCAACAAACCACCCCGCACTGGGCGGGCTCATCTTGGAAAACTTCCTCCCTTGGATATACTGATTACTTGAAACAAGTCTCGACTGTTGTCGCGACGACGCGATTCATCATGTTCTACTCCGAGACTCTTCTTTCCAAGACCGGGCCACTGGCTCGCGTCTGGCTGTCGGCAAACCTTGAGCGCAAGCTCTCCAAGACACACATCTTACAGTCGGATATTGAGAGTAGTGTCAATGCGATTGTTGACCAAGGACAGGCCCCGATGGCCTTGCGACTGAGTGGTCAGCTGTTGCTGGGTGTGGTTCGAATTTACAGCCGAAAGGCGCGCTATCTTTTGGATGATTGCAATGAGGCGTTGATGAAAATTAAGATGGTAAGTTCTTGGGTCTACTCACCCTCCTCTGCGCGCGTGTGCTTTTCTAAATGTCTGTTGCTTTAGGCTTTTCGTCTGACCAACAACAATGATTTGACAACCACCGTTGTCGCCCCTGGTGGCATCACTCTACCGGATGTGCTTACTGAATCTGATCTATTTATGAACCTGGATTCATCCTTGCTTCTTCCCCAGACATTCGCTTTGGAGGCTGAAGGGAAGCGACCGGGTCCCTCGATGGATTTTGGCAGTCAACTTCTACCTGACAGTAGCTTCCGACGCTCCGTTTCTCAAGAGCCTCCACGATTGGAGGATCACACATTGGTGGAATTGAATTTTGGAGATGACGATGATACTCATATGGGCCGTGACTTCAGCATGGAAGTGGGCCGAGACGCCCCCGCTCCCCGACCGTTCGAAGACGACCTCCTCAGTGATGCTGGCAAGTTCAACGATGTTGACCTGCAGCTTGATCTCGGCGAGGATGATGCGCCCTTGGACAAAATGGATTTGGGCGAGGATGGTCCTCACGACAACTTCAACTTCGATGATACAATGGAGATTGGCGGCGATGAGGAGCTTACACGGGAGGCCGAGGAACGACGACAGCAGCGTGACTCCGAATCTGTCATGACGGAGCTCTCGGAAGAGGAACTTACCCGGCTTGAAGCGGAAGGCATGGAGGTCGGAACTGGAAGACGTGGTTTACTGGACGAGGAGGACTACGCCGATGCGGACCAGGAGGATGGCGAAGGAGATGGGGACATTACCGTTCAGCAGACACAGCGCGCTAAGAGACGTAAGGTGATGCCCGTCATCGGACTGGACAAGGACATCGATTTCAAACCCAGCCACATCAAGGAACAGCAGGCAGACCGGTCTGGCATTTTGAAGCCAGCGGCCTTTTTGCCTCGGGACCCCGTTCTCCTGACGCTGATGATTATGCAGAAGAATGGTGACTTTGTCTCGAATGTTCTTGGTGAGGGACGCGGACGTGGCTGGGCTCCGGAGCTCCGTGACCTGCTGTCGTTCGACGCCATCAAAAAGGCGGGCGAGTTGAAGAGAAAGCGTGACAGTGGAATTGCTGATATGGATGTGGCGGAGGCTACAGCTCCTGCTTTGGAGTTTGGTGAGGAGGAGGCCATTGTCCCCGTGGACGAAGGAGTGGGTCTTGATTCGACCCTTCACCAGCGGTCAGAGATTGAGTTTCCTGGAGACGAGGAGGAGCAAGGGCTGCACCTGAGTGATGATGAGGTGATGAACCAGCCTTTGGAAGATATGGATGATACGATTGTGCAACCCCTAGATAGTGGACCGGTCTCTGTTGGTACTAAACATGCCGTCCACATTCTGAGGGATGCCCTGGGCGAGTCTGCCGCAGACCAGAAGAAGAGTGTCCGATTCCAGGATCTGTTACCCGAGAAGAGAACGAGCAAGGCCGATGCCACCAAGATGTTCTTTGAAGTTCTGGTGCTGGCCACGAAGGATGCGGTCAAGGTCGAGCAGGCAACTAACACCGTCGGCGGTCCCATCAAGATCCGCGGGAAGCGTGCCCTTTGGGGTTCATGGGCCGAAGAGGGAGCCAGTGGCGAGCCTGCTAGCCAGCTCGCTGAGGCGACAGCTTAAAACGACCCTCCTGATGCTATTTTACACGTTCTCCTTCCAGCGATAACCCTGCTTTTTTTTTTTTTTTTTTTTTTTTTTTTTTTTTTTGTACAGTTGACTCGTCTGTCCTCCATTTCCCCTTTCTGTGCGCTTTGAATTCTGGCTGTTTAGCCCCTTGGGAACCGGAACTCTTTCTTTGTAATGCTTCCATGGCTTTTGATGGTGTTTCGGGGGACTTGATTCTGGAGCTGAAAAGGAGGTTACTGATTTTGGTTCTTTTTGTGGTTTATTCTCTGGGCGATTCTTGTATGGAATTATGGATAGGTAGCTTTAGGTCTTATTATACATCTTGTGTTAATGACACACCCCTCCACACCAAGGCCGCTGAAGCCTACAGTAATTTGCCATGAACTCAAACAGAGGACCTTCAAATTGGGAATTTCCACTGAGACGTACCATGCTTTAATCCAGGGGCTCAGAAATACGAGACCAACCCGACTATTCTTGCCAAATTCTTTGACGATGCTTGCTAAGCATTCACGAAGAAATATAATTCGGCGACTCTTCCAGTTTTCCCACGAGCACGGTCACATGATCTATACGGTATCTGACCAAGCATTAGGAGTGAATGCCTCAGATACAGGGGGTACACAGTAGTTTAAATAGTAGATATATGGGTCTTAAGAAAAAGAAAAAAAAAAGGAAAAAAAAAAGTCCTCTCTATCAAATTGATAGAGGCAAATACAGTGGTCTCTTGGAATGAACCAAGATTGACGAATGATTACTCTCTCCAGTGGCAACTGGCAGCTGGCAACTTGGAATCGGCGGTTGAATATGACGGCTCACTGACAATGTTTCCAGGGTAGTTGATTATTCGGTATCTACTATCTACTCCATAGTTAACACTAGCTCTTGTCTAGCCTCGATGATCGGAGTGAAGACGATAATTAGCCCAGGATGCTGAGAAATCCAATGGAGTTAGGCTAGACAGACACCAGAAATCCTACAGGCTATCATCGTCAGACCTAAATTGTATCTAAATAGACGCTATAATCCTCCAGATTGCTTGATCCATGGGCGAAACCTTTTGTTTTTTGTTTTTGTTTTTTTTTATATAGTGGGTTGTGTCTCCTCGATATAACAATATCTGATACCTCGTCATCATCAGACCGGTTGTTTTCTTGAGCCTTCAGGTGAGTTGGGCTGAGTTGGGATTCTCCAATCGTGCCTTCTCGCATTGCGCCAACTGAAGGTCGCTATCTTCACAACCATCAACCAGACCTCGGTCCTTTCTCGCATCATAGGTATCTAGTTTTCTGAAGTGCTCAACCAGTTATATCAGTCTGATCGGACCCTTTATAGAGCATTACCCCATAACCTGACATCATTGTATGGGATAAACTCTCCCCATGGTAGACATACCCGCAGCAACACAGCCTACAGCAGAGGAGCATCCCAGCTCAAGCATCGACGAACACTCCTCCATGGCCGAGAAAAGTGTCGAACGTGGTCTGGGACAGGAGACTCCTTTCGATGAAGAACTGGATAGGACGTTTGCCCCCATCAGCGCACCCGTCGCAACAGATAATGAGCGGTCGCAGAAGCTGCAGCGCACCACGTCCTCCGCCATTGAGCGCAGCTGGTCTCTGAATGATGGGTACAGCTGCCACACAGCTGAGGAAGAGGCGGAGGAGAAAGTCAACCAGCCGGACGAATCGGCCGAAGATGCGTTTGTTGTCGGGTGGGATGCTGATGATCCGATGAATCCTCGGAATATGAATAAATTTCAGCGATGGCTGATCGTTGTGATCTGCTCGATGGGTTCACTATGCGTGTGAGTATCTGAGCGGTGAAATGATCTATGTGTGTGCTGGTGTGTGGGTGTGGAAGCTGATCATATGGCGTTTGAAAGGACCTGCGCCTCATCGATGTACGCTGTCACATATGAGCAGTTGACCAAGGAGCTGGATTGTTCTCCAATCGTGGCGACGCTTGGTCTGTCTTTCTTTATCTGGGGCCTAGGTCAGTTGATTGAGTCCAGAGCTTCGTGTGTGTGCATTGAACACATAGTTGACTAGCGTCTGAATCTAGGAATCGGGCCTTTGTTTTTGGCGCCTTTATCAGAGGTTTTTACTCTGCCCTCTTACAAGCCCGATGTTCACCGCTGATCTTCCGCAGTTCTATGGAAGGAGATGGATCTACATCATATCGTTCGCCTTTTTCTTGATTTGGCTGATCCCCTGCGCCGTGGCCCGGAATATTCAGACCATGATCATAAGCCGTTTTTTCAATGGCATCGCTGGAAGTGCCTTCCTCAGTGTTGCGGGTGGCACAGTGGGAGATTTGTTTGATCGTCATGAACTCAGTGCCCCAATGATGCTGTACACGAGTTCGCCATTCATCGGCCCAGAGTTAGGGCCACTGTATGTCCCCATGCCCTGCTGCCTCAGCTGGTGGCCCCCGGAAGTAACACATGGACTAATTGGGAACCTAGAGTTGGCGGATTTATAAATCAATTCACGACATGGTCCGCCTGTTTTGCCCTCTCTCTCTTTTTTTTTTTTTTAGAGGAATATTGCTGACTGAATTCCTCCTAGGCGCTGGACATTCTATGTCCTCTTGATTTGGACTGGCGTACTGCTCGTTTCACTTATCTTCTTTGTCCCAGAGACCTATCACCCCGTGTGAGTATTTTCCTGAAACATGCCTCCTAACTGTGTCTTTGATTGCTGATTGAGGCAGGCTCCTGCGGCACAAGGCAGAGAAACTTCGCAAAGAGACCGGGGACGATCGGTGGAAAGCTCCGATGGAGCGCACGAATCGCTCGGTAGCACAGACTATTTTGCGATCTTGCTATCGACCGTGGCTTCTATTGGCGCTGGAGCCCATGTGCCTGAACCTCTGCATTTTCTCTGCAATCTTGTTGGGGATTCTTTACCTTTTCTTCGGCGCGTTTCAGCTGGTGTTTGGCAATGTATACGAGTTTGAACTCTGGCAGCGAGGTCTCTCGTTCCTGGGGCTCTTTGTCGGGATGGTTTTTGCCATCCTGTCCGACCCGCTCTGGCGCCGAGTGTACGTTCGCTTAGAAAAGAAGCACGAAAAAGCTGTTGGGAGGGCGGACGATTTCCAGCCAGAGTGGCGGCTACCGCCAGGTGCGTGAGACATTCTCAGTGGTTGCTCTGCCAGATGAATGCAGCTGACCCGTTTTTGGTTCTTGATACAGCAATCCTGGGCGGCCCTCTTGTCACTATGGGGTTATTCATCTTTGCCTGGACAATCTATCGACATGTGCATTGGATTGTACCACTCATTGGTAGCGCGTTCTTTGGAGCTGGGTAAGTTTTCAACGGAGCCGGTTCCTCCACCCTTTTATACGTTTCGTATAACCCAGGCGGGGCCGATTGAGCTGGGGGTAATATGGTTGCTGATTCGTGATGTCGCACAAACAGAACCATCCTCGTATACTCTGGCATCTTCACTTTCCTGGTCGACGCCTACCCCTTATATGCAGCCAGTGCTCTGGCAGCGAACAGCTTTGCTCGTTCGATGTTTGGCGGTATCTTTCCCTTGTTCGGTATTCAAAGTAAGAGATCTCCCCTATGGCTCTCCTTCAAGATGTTTGCTTCCGTGCTTTGGGTGATCCTTGGCGATTCCTGTTGCAACGGGGATAGCTTCAATGAGAGTTGAGAAGGAACAGTCAACCCGACTCAGCTGACCTCTGATCTATCTGTTTCTTTCCTGCTTTCTCCGACAACAGGTCACTGACTTTTTTTTAAAACAGTGTACAACAACCTTGGATATCATTGGGCAACTTCGTTGCTGGCCTTCTTGACCCTTGTCATGGCACCATTCCCGTACGTGTCCCTGCCCTGTTGGGGTGATCTTTTTTTTTTGTGTGTGCTGTCCCCTAGAGAAAGAAGACCTGCATGCCTGTTGTCTTTCACCCATGTCGATGGACGTTCAGCCTCCTTGCATAAGCTTGCAGATGTCAGCTGTGGGTGTCCGTTGCTTGGTTTGCCTCTTGTTCCCAGCTGCATCTGCCTGGCTTCTGGCTGTCCTGTCTGGGCTCCCTGGGGAAAACTGCCATCCCTGCCATTGACTAGTTATTCTCTTAAGGCAGCATTGATCGAACGAAATCTTAAGCTGACGAATACTCTGGATAGGTACATATTCTTCCGCTATGGAAGTCGGATTCGAAAGAAGAGCCGTTTCGCTACGCGCTAGCTCTCAGGAGAGTCCCTTCCTTGTACGCAGCGAAAGATGCGGTCAAGCAAGGTGCTTTGGACATAGCGTGGACCGGGCTGATTGCATGCAAGCTGATAGGGGTTCGCCGACAACACACGATCAGCTTGCCGGTGAGGGAATTCGACCATGACCGGGGTGGTACATTAACGCATAGTTGCATGCATACCTACATTGATTATATACCTAATGCACAGTTTTTAATATAGCATCACGAACAATGGAGCCCAGCTCTGAGAAGGAGGGGAGGTGACTCGCTTAATCCATGACAGGGCAGCACTGGTGGATTCTTCTAGTTCAATCGATGCTGCTGACACTCAACACACCCCAGCTAGGTCGACTACTGTGTAAGTAGGTAGATACTTAGATAGTATGAGCACGAATTGATTCTAGCCAGTAACCAGTTATTTGCTTCAGAGTTTCTAATTGGCTACTTTAATCCTTGCTCTAAGCCTAGTACTCCGCAGCCAGACAGTCGAACTTGAAGCCAAGCCAGATTCAACCTAAAGGAAATGGACCCCCGGCCTTTGACAATTGACATGCATCTTCCACGAGCAGTGGGCGATCTTTACGATCTGGGTTTGATTGAACACGGCAACATCTCTCCCAGATATCTACCACTGCCACTGCCACTCCGACTACTCAGCAACTCCAGAGCTAGATCCCCTTTTACCGAGGTATTTCCCCGAATCTGGCCTGGATGTTGATGGCCGGGTCATCACGGGGCCGCTTGGCGGCATTCCGGAATTACCCTTGCGTAATGTCATGTTGGCGTGGATGCTGAGGGGTGTTTTTTTTTTATTTTACGCGGGATTTTGAATTTTTTGAATTTTTTTTCTTTTTCATCTTTTCTTCTCTCTTTTGTGGCATTGAAATTTTGTACGTAAAATGACTCATAGAAAGGTGTTGCCTGGGATTTTTGGTGAGAGAAAGAGAGAGAGAGAGAGAGATAGAGGCAGAGAAGGTGTAGTAGTAGTACTCCGTAGTAGGGGTAGAATTAATTGGATATGAGAGGAAGAGAAGAGGGCTAGGCTGCTAGATATAGCACGTGGGATAAGATACCTAGACGGGGGATGATGCCTCAGGTTGACCACCCCGGGGATCTGGAGGTTCTCCGTATTATCACAAGCTTCCATTCATCCATCGAAGTACATCTTTGAGTCGAGTCGAGTCAAGCCAAGTCAAGTCAAGTCAAGTCAAGTCAAGTCAAGTCAAGTCAAGTCAAGTCAAGTCAAGTCACGTCACGTAGATGAGATCATCTCTGTCTATGAGCTTAGTAGTGATTGTTATGCAGGCACTGAGCGCATTATTGTTACCCCCCCTTATGATGACATCTAAATTACCACCCAATGGCTTGAAATCATCTACGGAAGACAAGACAGTACTTGGGTACTTGGGTACTTGGGTACTTGCGCGGTTAAGCTGCCAGTGTCAGTAGAGTCAGTAGTAGTAGTAGGATGGATGGATGGATGGATGGATGGATGGATGGATGGAATTCATTCTCAATGCACCTCCCCCTCAAACAGACCAGAATACAATATCAAATGAGATGGGAATTCTTCTCTTCCAAACTCAAATCCTCGCCAGGTTTTTTTTTTTTTTTTTTTTTTAAAGCACATCTCTTGACCACGATGAGCCTTTTTTTGGCTCCCGGTCTGCCTGGACACGCGACTCTCAACTGTCAAGGCTTCGTGTTGGCTCGGCCAATTTTAACTATCCAAAAGCCACACCAGATTAATTACTATTCTCTTGTTTCTAGTATTGTCATTACTCTAATGGCTTTTCTGATTCATATTTTTCCCCTTTGAAATCCATATTTCTCTCTCTCTCTCACCTCCCTCCTTCTCTTTCTCTTCCATTTCTTGACGCTGTAACGGTGATTCCCCGCGTTTCTTTTTGCTGCATTTTTTTTTTCACTCTTTTTTTTTTTTTTCCTCTTCGCTCACGTCGTCGAATTCTTCATCTCCCCTCCTCCTTCAATCCTCGCTGATCTTCTCTACTTCTCTACTTTCAACGTCCTTGGATCATTGCATGTCTTTTTCTTCATCCCTCATGGATTCGCTCTGTTGCATCTGACCGCAGTCCGCACTCGAAAACCCGTCCGATCTTCCCCCGCAGCCCCCGGCAAGAAGTCTTTTTACGCTCCACCCGTTCATTTCTTACATACGACGTACGAACTACAAACCATCCATCTACCTACCGACCTACCTACCTATCTATCTATCTATCTATCTATATTGCTACCAGCCGCACTGCCATCACGTATTGTTCAACAGCTTCTGCGTCATTATTGAGTCTGGTCCGCCTTTGCACGCCCAATTCTCTGCCGGACGGTTCTGATCGCGGTGTCGTGTCAGTGCTTACGCCTTACACCTCGGCTCCCCTTCAAGTATTATTATTACCCAAGGTCCTCCTCTCCTCCGGCCATCGGATTGCCGCTCGCCCCCGTTCCACCCTCCCAACCTCGATTTCGAGACGAACCTTCCGATAAGTCGTTTTCTATGCGGTAACAGCGATTCAAAACCCGGACTACACCGCCGAGTGTCAAAACGATACAATCGGCGCTCTGGATCCTCAGAGACGCGCTCGGTCGCTGTGCGAAGAAGAGTCGGCCCGGTAACCAGGAAGCAGACATAGCACAACAAGAGTCAATAATTTTTCCCCCGTCGGTTGTTGACGTCGGCTCCGAAAATAACACGCGCGCATACGAAATTTACGCCACAACAGAACCTCCGTCTTGTCCGGAGGTTTTGATGTCGAGATGAACGTGGAAGCTAAGGAGAGCTCTGTCGCTCCAGCGGGAGATCATGGTGGAGCCGTCCAGGATCCCGCAGATGTCCGCGATCGGTTGGAACTTTTGAAGAATAAGGCTAATGGCGAAACTAACGGCGCTACGCCGAATGGCACCAAATCGACCAATGCAAAGGATCCGTCGAGACCGCGGAGGAAAAAGGCGCGGAGGGCTTGCTTTGCCTGCCAACGGGCGCATTTAACCTGCGGTATGCTTGTCTCTTCTTCTTTCAGGCTTGATCTTGATGGCTTGTACTCTCTGCCCCCCCCCCCCCCCAAGTACTGGGCCTTTGACTGACTCAGAGCTCTTCTTCTGGCTATAGGTGACGAGAGACCGTGTCAGCGATGTATCAAGCGCGGTCTGCAAGACGCGTGCCACGATGGCGTTCGGAAGAAGGCGAAGTATCTCCATGATGCGCCGGATGGAGCACTGATGCCTGGAGTGGGTGGAAACTTCTACAATCATCCGATGCGACACAACATGCCGTTATCGAGCAATGGTGCCAATGCAGTGAACGCGACATCCCAGCAGAACTCAGGGGCCAGCTTCTATCCCACTCCGCAATCGAACCCCTACAATGTCTATCAGGAATCCACCTTGAGCCAGAACTCCTTCCCCTCGCAATCGCCCGTGTCGCCAACCTTCAACATGAAAAACACTGCCACGGCTCGCAGTAATAGCCTATCTTCCTCCGTGAACCAACCGCAGTCCAACCCAGCCGCTTCTGGGCCCCCCAGCCAGAGTCAGAACCCGTTTGCAGGCCCATTCTTTGATCCGAGTGACCCGGCGCTCTTCAACTTTGATCTCTCCAGCATGAACTTTGAGAATCGGTATGGTGCCCTGGAGTTCGGCATGCTTGGCCACATGGCGACTGGTGCTGGAGATTCACCTAGCGAGTCCGCAACCCAACGAGGATCCATCGGCCGGAGCGGCTCTGCCCAATTCGCCACGACGCCTATCACTGGGAATCCCGGGTTTGGAGAGAGCCCCGGGAATCAGCAGCCCTTCATGTTTGGTAACGACCCGCTTCTGAATGAATGGCCGAACAACCATCCCCCGGGCCAAGGTCACATGAATGTCGGCGGTGTTTACCCTCAAAATAGCATGATGGCAGGGCATCTTTCCAAGGCTGATGCACCCCATGCGTTCGCAATTGAAAGCGGACCAGCTAGTTTCTCCAGCCCCAGTGCGACCACCAGCCCGCATGTCAATGGCGGATATGACGAGAATGCGCTGAGCAATGCGGTGGCACACAAGCCCAATGGCCTCCCGACGAACGGACAACGGCCGGCGATCACGACGCCTCGCTTAAAGCATCAGAGCCTACAATTGGGAGTCAAACGGCGCCACCGAAATCCATCCACCGTATACGAGAGTGTCAAAGAACCATATGCCTATACCAACCGCTTCCATAACCTGACAGCCTTCATCCAGCGGCGTTTCTCTTCGCAAAAGACTTTACAAATCGCCAAAGCATTAGCATCTATCCGCCCCTCCTTCATCGCCACAACGAAGACGCTCAATCGGGATGATTTGATCTTCATGGAGAAGTGTTTCCAGCGGACCCTTTGGGAATACGAAGACTTTATCAACGCGTGTGGGACGCCAACGATTGTCTGCCGACGGACCGGAGAAATCGCAGCCGTCGGCAAGGAGTTCAGTATCCTCACTGGTTGGAAGAAGGATGTGCTTTTGGGCAAGGAGCCGAACCTGAACGTCAACACGGGGGGTACGTCGATTCCGCAATCCGGCACCAGTTCGCGCGGCAGCTTTACCCCACGCATTTCTACGCTGGAACAGGCGAATCCTGCGCGCCCTCAACCGGTGTTTCTTGCAGAACTTCTGGATGATGACAGCGTCGTGGACTTCTACGAGGACTTTGCGCGACTTGCATTTGGTGACTCGCGCGGCAGCGTCATGACCACATGCAAATTGTTAAAGTACAAGACCAAAGAGGACATGGAGCTGGCACAATCCGATGACAACCAGAGGTGGAACAATCACCTGCGCAAAGGCGGGATTGCCGGCGAGGCGGGCATGAATCAATTAGGTTTCAAGGATGGCAAAGTCGAATGCGCATACTGCTGGACAGTGAAACGAGACGTATTCGACATTCCCATGCTTATTGTGATGAATGTAAGTCTATCCATCAATCTCCCTTTCTGGCACATATACTGATATTGCCGTTGGATAGTTCTTACCATGTATCTAAGGCGTCATCTTCGGATGGAGAGCTTGTACGGAATGCCTTTTCACTGTACTGACAATGTTTTTTTTTTCTCTCTTCTGATTCTTCTCCTTGTTCTTCCAGTATCTCATACCCTCGGATGGATTCAAAAGTTCGATCCCGTTTTGATTTTGTGATTATTGTCTCTGATTCCTCCGCCGTGACATATGGCACTTTTTGCATTGGTACATAAGTTTTTTCTTTCTGATTTTGAAGTGGACGATTTCCTCATTTCTATGGAAGCTGTTTTACGTCGACCTTCTATTGTCTCTAATGTCTGTTTGTTGGGCCAGTATGAACATATCTGTCTTCTGATTGTCTTGTGTGTTTCCGTGTGTGTTTAGGCATTGCAGCCTCGGGCCCTCCTTTCCGGTGCATGTGGATTAGTGGTGCCTGAGTTTTTTTCTTCTTCAGAGTTTCCAGTACATATCTTATGATTGCTCTCTTCCTTTCGTGTCCTTTTCCCGAGGAGAGTGATGTCTGAATAATGTTTTGTTTCTGCCATGTGAAAAGGACTGAATGCAATTTCAATGATTCCTGGAATGGGAAACTGTCCAATTGCCTCCCAACACTAAACCATTACTTGGATGACATCTTCTGAATAAACAATATCACAAACAGCCCTTTTGATGCCCTGATGTATACCATCTCAATACATGTCGATGAGATCCAGGAATGATTCCCTCCTGTTCGATTCGTAATGGACCTTACCGAATTTGTAATATACCCTTCCTATCCAATCACAGCCCTCTTTGCCATGTCATCGCGTTACCCCGCATCGCGCCTTATCGATACGAGCTTCTTTCCGAAGGTGTTTTCGGTCAGCTTCCCCTCCAGTGTCAAACAAGCCATTCTCTGCCTCCCAATCCTCCTGTCTCGGCTCTTGAAGAAAGACACAGGGCAACTACTACAAGCCTATTTCTAGAGCATCCGCACAAAACAACACATACCAATCCAGCCATGCGACCAGATGGACCCCGAGACCCCGTCGTGGGCCCCGACAGTGGCCCCGAACCCCCATACCCGGTGCGCCTGTCAGGCCCGGTGATCAAGGGCTTCGGACGCGGAAGTAAAGAAGTATGTTTTTTTTTTTTTTTCTTCCTTGCGGGGGGGGGGGTGTCATTCATGCACATGCGGTGATCTAGACGGCTAAAACGCGCGTAATAGCTGGGCATCCCGACGGCCAATATCCCCGCCGAGGAGTTGGCGGAGCACCCCGACCTGCAGGTTGGGGTGTACTACGGCGTCGTGGCCCTGGACCCGGCCAAGTTCCAGTATCACGGGGATGCAAGCCGCAAAGGGGAGGACAGCCAAGCGGCGATTCTGCCCGCCGTGCTGAGTATCGGGTATAACCCGTTCTATAAGAACAAGACTCGTTCGATTGTACGTTTCCCTCGCTCCCTCCCTCTCTCCCCCTGTATCTCCCCGGGGTGTGACAACGATGTGCAAAGAAAAAGAAAAAAAAAGACAGGGGGCGAAAATGTTGAATGATGAGCTTAGGAAATCCACATCATGCCACCGCTCTCGTCGCCGTCGCCTACCGCCGAAGTAACAACCCAGGGCCAGGGACACGGCCAGGTCAAGTTCCACAAGTTGCCTGACTTCTACGGGACGCAGCTCAAGTTGCTGATTCTGGGGTATATTCGGCCCGAGTTTGATTATGTCTCGCTGGAGGCGTTGGTGGAGGACATCCGGGTGGACTGCGAGGTTGCGCGGGCGAGTTTGCAGCGGCCGGCGTACGAGCGTTACCTTGCAGGGGGGCAGGGCTTGGATGCTGTGGAAAAGCAACGGAGGTGGTTGGTGAGTTTCTGAGAGGGGATGGGTTGTGTTTTGTTCATGAATAATGTGCATTAGAAAATTATAGATGGTGGGGGTTTTCTGTCACTGTTGTATAACTGTTATAACTGTTATAACAGTGTTATTGCGTACTATGCCCTATGTAAATGGGTAGAGTCGATGCATAATTGTATAATCGCAGTCCGCCAGAGTCTCATGCCATGGCGACCTTGGCGCGGATGCACTCGGAGCACCCCCTTCACCAGTTCAACTAATCCGCCCATCCGCCCCCCTTTGCTGTGAAACTCGATTCACGGTTCCAGAATGGATCCCACGATCCAGAAACAATGGAGCCTGAAGCCTATCTGGAACCAGTGACTGGATGCTCCCGCCCGTGCCAATAATCGTCGACGTCAGAGCGGTGTTGGCGCCGAGGATTGTGCTGGTGGAATGCGACTGCGACTGCGCATGCGCATACTTGTCCTACAGAGGGAACCCTTCCAAGACTCTTAACCTATGTCATTCGACATGATGCCAATGTTGACCTGTATGGTATGAATGCTCCAAGCTCGTCGTACGGCAACAGCAGGTCTGCCCAAGTCAGGTATCAGAGCAGCAGCAACGTATATATATCTCCGCGTAGGGTAGGTAAGTGTGTGCGTCACTTCGTCACCCTTGGTTTGTTTCCCCGGCTATATTTCTAACAAAGACGCAGATTGACTGAAAAGCTGATAGTTCGTTCCATCGCAAAATAATCACCCAGCACACATCACGATGGAGAGAATCATCCACCATTTTTCGCGACGGCGCCGCAGCAGTAGTACCTCCAGCGCACCGGCTTTGTCTCCCCTGTCCCCAAGCCTCTCCAACACCTCCAGACGCAACAAGAAGCGCGACTCTTCCCCGCGTCGTCTGTATGTGATCTCTGACAATCATGATTTTGACTCGAGCATCATCGCTCGGTTCCAAGGAGAAGGCTTCGAGGTGGAGTATCTGCCTTTCTTGGGAGGGAGTGCCGATGTCGACAGGGACCGCAAGGATTTGGTGAATCAGCTGCACGAGAGGGAGGATGACCTGGAGCCTGGAGAGAGATACGCGGTGGTCGGTAGGTCTAGTTCGCCGTGATTTCCTCTTAAAGCGGAGACCAAACCAGCTGACGACATCGTAGCATACGGGCGTCCGGCCTTTCTTCTCCTCGCATCCCATCACCAGTCCACGACTGCTACCAATCCGCTTCCCAGAATGTGTGCTCTCGTCACCTACTATCCCAGTGAACCATGCGAATTACATGGGGGGAAACACATCGACGATGGCCTGTCCGGCCAGTCACCCCCCTGCCAGCTCCCAGCATCCACCACATCCACATCCACATCCTCCTGCTACGCATCCCTCTCCCTCCTCCCCATTCAAATCCACCTCGCCGGCCGGCAGTGCCCCTCCTTTCTAGACGAGTACGCCAACCACTCGAGCAAGAAGCGCCACCGCTGCCATCTCTTCTTCTACCCGGAGTCGCAACCCGGCTTCGCCGAGCACCACAGCCCAACCTACGACCGGATCAGCTCCCGCCTGGCCTGGAGCCGCGCCTTGGAATCCCTCAAGCGCGGCTTCGGTTGGCCCGGCGGCAGCTGGAAGATCCCCGACGTCGAGACCATCTGGGAGGAGTACTGGCGGAATCTGCAATATGACTCCCAGCAGCCACACGAGGCGGAGCGCCATGCCGTCGCTGCGGCGAGGATGATGCTCGGGAGCGGCGAGGGGTATGGGCACGAGGACATGATCGACGAGACGCCACTGGTGAATTGTGTTCCGACCATGGCTGGAGGTATGTCTTTCCCCCTTCCGTTCCCCTGTCCACTCTGTTTCCTGACATGACCCGCAACAGGAACCGAGGAATCCTCCATCACAAAATTCTACACCACATCCTTCTATCCCGCGGGACCGCCCTCGCAGCGTATCCGTCTGCTCTCGCGCACCCTCGGCCCGGACCGCATCGTCGACGAGATCCTGCTCGACTTCCGCCACACAGAGGAGATCCCCTGGCTGCTGCCCGGGGTACCCCCCACAGACCGCGAGGTCAAGGTGGTGCTGGTGATGACGGCCAGTTTCCGCGCGGGGAAGCTCGCCCGCGAGAATATCTATTGGGACCAGGCGAGCGTGCTGGTGCAGGTGGGGCTGTTGGATCCGGCGCTTGTGCCGGGTGGTTTCCGGGCGACGGGGAGGACGAGGGATGGGAGGGAAACGGTGGAGAGACTACCGGTTGTTGGAGCGGAGGGGGTAGACAGGGTTCTGAATGGGTAGTAGTAGATAATAGATAAGAAAGCCAGCAGCCCCGGATTTCCAAAGCGTTCAGTCCAGATGACGCGAGTATGATTTATTTCGATGTTTACTTGATTTACTAAAAGTGCATACATAACCTGGCTATAAGGCATCCATCAATGTGCGTAGGCCGGCGATCTCCCCGCTCACACCACCAGGGCTCTTCAATGTGCGCAGGCTAGCCTCTTGCGCAAGAGGAATGACCTCCTCCACCGTCCTCCCCGTCCCCTTGGCGAGCCCGGCAACAACCGCGCCAAGCAGCGTGTCCCCTGCTCCATTGACACTCACGATGTCCCCGTCGGCCAGCACCGCCGCCGGCGGGAAGAGCCGCATGTACACGCCCCCAACCAGCTCATCTGTCGGCGGCGAGCGGGACAGAATATGCGGCGCTGAGTCCGGAGCCGTCAGACGGAGGTCGCCGGGACGAAGCAGCTGAGTCACCAGGACGCCGCGAGCGCCCAGTTTCGTGAGAATGCACGGAATGAAGGGGAGGAGTTGGATGCTCTGCTGCGGGATCCCCGCGTCTACCAGCTCGGCCGACGTCATCGCAACCAGCCGGTCCCGCGACCCAGCCGAGGACATCCCCATCGCGTCGATGATGCGCCACCAGCCCTCGGAATCGAACAATCCTTGGTCGCGGGCGGCGGCGTACATCGTCGTGAGCTCGAGCTGGTTCGGGGCCGCGAGGCTGATGGCGTTGTGGGGCACCGCTCCAGCCGGTCCGATGGCTGCGTCTTTCCCGAAGAGACGGCGGGACTTGGCTGTCGAGACCGGCTCGAAGGCGACCCGCGCGCCGTGCTCCTTGGCCACGGCGACCCATCTGGCCAGAACCGCGGGGCTCCAGTTCGCATCCACGACCACCCATTCGGGCCTGGTGCGCCGGACCAGGGGTTCCCAGAACCCGTCAAAGTCGAGGGCGTTCTCCGGCAGTTCCATGATCCCCATGTCGGCCATGGCCACGAAGAGATCCCGCTTGGCGTCGTTGATGGCGATGTATTGTGCGGTGCGCGCGCCGGACGAAGGAGGCAGGATTTGTACGCCGGCGGTGGGAAGCCCCTCCTCCTTGAGCGTGGACAAGGCCGCGCAGCCGCTCAGGTCATCTCCAACCACGCTGCAGAATAGAACAGAGCTGCCAAGGTAGCTCGATGCGATGGCGACATTGTGGCCCACGCCGCCCAAGCTCTGGCCGATGACCGCGGGGTTTGATGTGTGAGGCTCGGGGGTGGTCTTGTCGCCTGCGCCCGAGATGGGCGTATAGTCGCAGGACAGGTCGATCGCGAGTGAGCCAGCCACAAGGACGTCTACCTTTGCCAGCTGTTCGATGGTGCTCGCAGTCAGTGGATTAGAATCCAGCCCGGCCTCTGGAGTTGCTTGGTCAGCTTTTGCGGCCTCGGAGATTACTGGCATGTGTCTGCAAGATTAGGGACCCTTCCAAGCTTTGCAGTAACCTCTCGCCATAGAATTGATGAATACCAAAACTCACCGGCCGCCTGATGATCCATGTTCCAGCTTGGCGAGTTCTACAGCCACCTTGGTTGCACGCTTCACGTTTGCTTCGACAAGGGCCCGGTTTGCAATCACGCTCTTGCCACCACTCAGTTCTTTGATTTTTCCGAGCACAAAAGGCGTGTTGTCACTGCCTTTGTAGCCCTCTACCTCGGCCAAATGGATTGCTTCGTCGATGATTGTGTCCATTTCGGCTTTCGGGATCGACTGTTCAACCGGAACAGGGTTGGCAAAGTGAATGCCAGATGTTACCGGTAATCTCGATTGCGCATCTGTTATTCCTGTGAGTATGAGAGCAGCAGAAAGGAGATGAATGGCCTACATACAGATAATCGCAGCTGCTTCTGCCTCATCTTTGATAACGCGGGGACTCTTGATACCGCTGTCACGAGTGAAGAACGCGGGGAAATCAACAGAGCCCTCACGACCATCGGCAAAGGTCGCAACACAGACTCCTTCTGTCTCAAGATATTCGAGGGTCCGTGGGATGTCCAAGAAGCTCTTGCAGCCAGAGCTGACGACAGCTACTGGGGTGCGTCCCAGCTCGGTAAGGTCGGCTGTAGTCTATCAGCCACATGTAAGGTTGGGGTTCTTCTCTACCTGCATACCTGAAATATCCATGGACGACTCTCCACCTCGGTGAACACCACCTTTCGCCAATTAGCATCTCGTTTAGACTGCAAAGGGCGTGGTATGGACAAACCCAGGCCACCGGTGCCGAAAACCTTGATACCAGCCAAGTGAGCGAGTACCATTGTGCCGGAAACCGTGGTCCCTCCGTGTAGCCGTCTACCAGCCATTCCCTGGCAGTGTCAGTGAGATAACCATACACGAAGCATAGCTGACATACAAGGCCACAGATATAACCCAGGTCTCTACGCGAGACTTTCAAAGCATCCTTTTTCTCCGCCGTGGATGCCAACTCAATGAGTTCCTCGGCAGTGAGACCAACGCGGGCTTCCCCGTTCAAGATCCCAATGGTGGCAGGAATGCCGCCATTAGCACGAACGACAGACTCAAGCAAAGACGCAAGAGCGACGCTCTCGGGGTACGGAAATCCTAAGTAACGAGTCAACCGGATTGTTGTGCTTATGGGAGATGATGTGGCTTCTGATATACCATGGGTATAAATTGTGGACTCGAGCGCCACGACTGGTTTCCCTGTGGCCACTGCATCACGGATTTCCTCTGAGACCTTCAAAAACTTGCTTTGCCCAAGATCATGATAGCTTCGAATGGATCGAGGAGCTCGGCTTGCTTGTCCCCAAGCTCCTCTATAGCAGAGGCGGACAGCTCGTGGGAGCATTATGGGCACTATTCACACCCCCAGCGGTACAAGAACAAACAAATGAGGTACCCTACTCCGAGACGATTGACAAGACAGTAAAACTAAAAAGAAGAAAAGAAGTGAAGATGTAGAGAGATGGAATGGACACTTTCGTAGTAGCTCCGTATCAGTCGACGATAAGAAAAGCGTCTCCGCCTTTTAGGTTGTCTTGGCCGCCGTAAGTTACAGCTTACCTGGCGTACGTAATTACTGTTTGGGGACACCTCAGCATCTGGACAATTCAAACGACTTTGGAGAGCTCTTCTCCTTCTCTTCCAGAACTCCCATTCCTCCCAATCCTGGTCCTTTTTTGAACATCTCCCGGCGAGATAAATTGTGTACAGCGGCGCGGTCTGATAATAAAGACCGCCCATCGTCACAATGAGGCCCTTTACCGCAGTCACCGCGCTCTGCGGGTTGTTACTATCCAGCAGCTTAGTATGCGCCGACGCATCATCCAGCTCGCGAGTCACTCTCCCTGCCGGCTTCAAGCCTCAGCAGGCTTTTAAAAATGTGAACATGGTTCGGAACACCAACTTGGAGAAGGGATACGTTCGGGAAACCGTCAATGTTGTTGTGCAGAATGTCGATAAACAACCGCAGAGCGACTACTACCTGCCGTTCCCCTCGGACGTTTTTGACAAGGTCGGAGGACTAGAGGTCCGGGATAAGAAGACTCCGGAGAAAGGCAGATTTGACGTGGAGGCCTTGGAGGTTGAATCGCCAAGGTGAGCGTGCAATTGGCGTGCCAATGGCTGTGTGATTGTGGAATGCCGATGCCACGGTTGCTTCATTGAAGGCCTACTTTTTATACTGGCTCTCAATTGCAAAGTAGCTAACGTCTACCTGGATTAGTAACTACCAGTACTTTGTCGTTCACTTCCCAAAGCCCCTCGCGCCTTCGTCTCAGATTACCCTGGGAATCTCATACACTCTGCTCAATTCGCTCACCCCGCGCCCTGCTGCCATCAGCCAGGCCGACAAGCAGTTCCTCACCTATTCTTTCTCCGCCTATACACCATCTGCGTATCCAACGGTGACCCAGAAGACCAAAGTCAGATTCCCCAACACCAATGTTCCCGACTATACTACCACCAGCGGGCTCAAGGACGGCTCGGATCCCGAGCGCCAGGGAGCTACATACACCTACGGACCCTATGATACAGCCAAGGTTGCCCCCGGCACCACTTACCCAATCACCGTGCGATATGAGTTTACCAAGCCCGTCATTACTGCATCCTTGCTCGAACGGGACGTGGAGGTTTCTCACTGGGGTGGAAACCTGGCTACCGAGGAGCGTTACTGGCTCCACAACAATGGTTCCAAGCTCCTCAACCAGTTCTCCCGCGTCCAATGGACCTTGACAAATTACCAGCAGCTGCCATCATCCGCAGTCCGTGAGCTCAAGTATCCTCTTAAGCCCGGCGCGGTGGATCCCTACTTCATTGATGACATTGGCAACGTATCTACTAGCCGCTACCGGCCCGGAAACCCCCCCAAGCGTGAAGGATCTCTGGAGCTACGTCCTCGCTTCCCAATCTTTGGTGGCTGGAATTATAGCTTCCGGGTCGGCTGGAACGATGAGCTGTCCACCTTCTTGCGCAAGGCCGCTACCGGTGCCGATACCTATGTCCTCAAGGTCCCTTTCATCGAGGGTTTCAAGATGCCCGAAGGAGCCCAGTACGAGAAGGTTGTGGTCCGAGTTATCCTTCCCGAGGGTGCCCGAAACGTTCAATACCAGATCCTGGAAGGGTCATCCCCCAACGGTCTCCCGGGACCAAGCCAGATCCAATCCCATGTGTCTGAGTACCGGACATACATGGACACATTGGGCCGCGCCACTCTAACCCTTACTACCGAGAATCTCTCCGATGAGGCCCGCGACTCTCAGCTTGTGGTAAGTTTTGATCTCTAACTGGGTTTTGAGTCGCAAACCAGCTGACACCCTCTAGGTTACTTATGACTACTCTTTCTGGGATGGCCTACGCAAGCCCTTCACCATCACCGCTGGGCTTTTTACTGTATTCGCCGCCGCGTGGTTCGTCGGCAGCCTGGACGTGAGCATTAAGAAGCGGTAGATATCGTGCATGGATGTACTTCTTGTCATATTATGAGAGGCCCTTTTCGCTTTTTTATCTCGTATACCAAACAATGCCAGCCATATATGAAGTGAGGAGACGGGAATAATCCTTGACTGTAGCCGTTTAGATTATTCTAGACTCAACGTGAACAGAAAGGCTTGAACCAGAAAGAAACAATCCCTATCCACATTACATCGATTATAAGCAAAATAATACACGTTGATGGGCACCAAGGCCCTCCCTCCTTGCTCCTCTGCCTATAGTCTGCCCCTGACTTGAAAGAGAGAGAGAGAAAGAAACGCCAGACACCCTGCAAATCAATGCCGCAAGTAGACGAAACATATGGCACATATAAAAAAAAAAAAAAAAAAAAAAAAAGAAGAATTCAGCTATTTTTGTAACAGTGAGAACACAAAATGAGATGTTTTCTTTTCTATTCCTCGAATTTCCTTTTTACCCCATTCCCGTTCCCATTGGGTGGCATCTGTCTCGCCCGGCGTCGCCGCTCTTCCTCCTCAGCAGCGGCCTGGGCTTGCCGCTTCTTCCAGGCGGCCTTGATCGCGGGCGCCAGACGGATGAGGTCATCCTCGGTGACGCGGTCCTCGATACTCTCCAGGACCTTCTCGACGGTTGAGATGTGGTTGGCGTCGGCCTTGTCGTCGCGGAGCCGGTGGAAGCGCCAGCGACCCTGCTCGTCCTTGAAGCACTCGACGATGGAGTCGTCGAGAGGCTGCTGCAGGGCCTTGAGGGCCTCCCAGTCGGACTCGGAGACGTACATCTGGCCCCACGGCTGGTACTCGTTGGAGTTGAGCATGACGAACAGGTGGCAGATGGGGATGGCGTCGTAGTCCGGATAGGGTTCGACGACGCCGTCGGCCTCGTCGTCGGTGTCCGGCTCAAGGACGGGGAACTCGAGTCGCAGGCGGAAGTCGATGGTGTTCTCGGCGGGGGGCTTCCATTTGAGGATATGTTCGTCGGTGCCGATGCGGTACGGGGTGCTGCGGCAGGTGAAGATGAGGCCGTCGTTGCCGTGGATCTTCTTCACCTTGGGGATGATCTCGCGGAACATCATCTCGATGCCGTAGCTGAACTGCGTCGACTTGTCCTCCACCGCGAAGATGCGGTGCTGTTTCTCCTCCGGAAATTTCTGGTAGAGCGCGTTGTACGGCTTGAGCACCTTCTCCTTGAAGTACGCCAGTCGCTTGTCCAGCGTGCGGTGCATGAGCCTCTGTCCATCCAGCACCAGACAGTCAAAGACAAGATATTTGAGCTGCTGCGTCCCATCTTCGTATGTGTCGTTGACCAGCTCGCCATCGACCAGGGTGTCCACGTGGAACGACTGGAAGGTATCGTCGTCCGGCTGCGGGAAGTGCAGGCCCGGGACATAGCGGTAGTCATTCTTGCGGTCGATCAGGTAGTGAATCTCGGGCGCTTCTGGCTGGTTCCCGCGGGCAAAGTACATGAGACATCGGATGCCGTCTGTCTTTTCGCATACGTAGTAGTCTTCACGCTGGAGCTCGAGGAGGTGCTTTCTCGAGAAACTGACGGGTTGTGCGCCGGGGAAGTTGGGGTTGTTCCGCCCTAATAACGAGGCAACTTCGCGACGAAACTGATCGGCCAGCTCGGGGTCGGCTTTGATGCCTACTGCATCGAGATCGGGAACAGAAAGGTTGGCCATGGTGAAATTGAGGGGAGGGAGAGGGCTCTAGCTAGGATCGTGGATGGAGGAGGGATGCGTGCGTTGGAGCGATTCGGAAGCTCTCGCCCGGAGGCGCGCAAAGCTGAAGTTGTGCACGATCGATTGATGGCGCACTGTATCCGGAGTTGAAAAGTGGTTTCAAATTGTGCTCGGCTGGTTTAAATTGAAGTCAGGTGCATGGATGGCAGAACAAAGTTGGTCCTTTGATCTCGGCGGCGTTGCGGAGATAGTGGGTGGCGGCCTGAGGCAGGCCTGATGTCTGAGTGCGTCAACGAAGCCATCAACTGGGAATCAAAATTAATTCATTGAAAAGATCACCAATGTCGAGGTCTGGAAGTGGATGTGACCCCAGAATGAGGATTTACGGAGACTGCGTACTCCAAGTATGTTTTTATATATAAATGTTATATCCTCTATGAAGGCAAAAGAACCAACACAACCACACAACCAGAAAACATAATGCGACCCAACCTACACCAAGGACCAATGCCATATGCGAGTTGTACAGTAGCCTTAAAGGGGTATCATATCATCACAACCAAGTAGACCCAGACCAGGACCGGATAGACCTTATCAAGAACCTCCACTGAACGCCGACATCTTTCGCCCAGGCGATTCAACACCCGAGGTCAACAAAAGGGGAAATCAAAAATAAAAAGACCGTCATTAGTCATAGCAGTTAGTGCAGAGCACATGAAAGCCGGGCTTCAAGAAGTCGCCGCCACAGGCAGCTTCTTTGCTGCTTGTGCAGGCGTCGGCTTTGCCGCATCCGGTGCGTTCTCTGACGCCGTCACAGAGGTAGGGGATGCCAAGGGCATGTCATCCATCGGCTGAAATATATTGCCATCGATGGTTGGGGTTATGTCGCCGCTCGAGAAGAGCCCACCGCCGCGGGCTCCACCCAGGGCATGGGACAGCATCTCCTTGATGCGTACGTACTTGTACTTCTTCTTGGTTGAGATCAACGGGTGAGTGACGAGTGGCTCTGGGCGTGAGCGGAGAATCGCTGCCATGACCGCGTCTTTTTCTTCGTCTGAATCGACAGGACCGTTGTTCTCCAAATCGTCCTGAAGAGGAGCATTCGCATCAATGGCCGCCTCTGTAGGCGCAAGATGGTCAGCTCTATCCACAAACCGCACTGCATGCGACTGAAAGACGAACGGCAAAAAAAATAAAAAAATAAAATAAAATAAAATAAAAAAAAAGAGAAAAGAAAAGAAAAGAAAAAGGGGGCTCTTACTTTGCTGTCGAGCCTGGTTCTTCTTTTGGTATGCCTGGAGCAACATATCATATGGCAGAGAGCGGCCAGGCACCGCACGCTTCGCACCCATTGAGTGACTCTTGCACGTCAATGACCGCGCACACTGAGCACCATTCGGCAGAACGACACCACACTGCTTCTCGACATCAACGGGACCCTTTGGCTTAGGCGCCTTGGGCTTCGGCTCGTCCTTCTTCTTCTTCTTCTTCGGTTCCTTATCCTCCTCACCCTCGGCCTTGCGCTTCTTGCCCTTTTTCGTTCCATCATCCGCCATCCCCTTGACTGCACTCTTCTTTGCGCCCTTCTGAGCCTTCATGGAATCGTCGCCGTCGCCCGCGGCATCCTCGTTGCCGTCTTTATCCTTCTCCTTGGCCCGATTCGCCGCATCGCGCGCCTCTTTTTTCCGCCGGGCCTTCTCCTGTTTCGCCCTGATGCAGCCGCGGATATGCTCGACCGCATTCTGCTTGAGGACCGGCCTCTTGCACGTCTTGCATATCACTGTCTCCAAATGATCTTCCTCGCGAGGCTTTCCTGTCGGAAAGGCCGCCATGGTCTTCTCATCGATGTCGGGGAGTATGGGCGACGAGCCGGGCGAGCCAGGCGCTTCTATAGGATACAGGTAAAAAATCTTAGCCCTTCCTCGCTCCATCTGTAAACATCGTTGGGAATAGTCGCGCTGTCTTGTAAAAAAAAAAAAGTGTTGCGTATACACCTACCCGCCGCAGCCTTCTTCGCCTTGGCCGACTTGACCGACTTCCTCAATTTGATCTTCGTAGGCTTCGCATCTTTCTCCGAGTACTTGTATCCCGATGCGTCCACCAAGCTGCCTGAATTCGATGCGACCGACGACGCTGCAGACAAATCACCCCCGGATTAGCGGATTGCAAACCCCCCATACACCAAACTAGCATCCCATGCGGCTCACCTCGACCAGAGTCCCCGTTGGTAGCCATGATCGAGCGTGTAAGCGAAATTACTCGTGGGATCAATGCAAAAAAAGAGAGCGACGCAAGCGATGGTAATTTCCGACCGTCTAATATGAAGAGGGCGGATAGGACGCTTGCCGATGAGCTCGAGCACTGCGGCGAGTTTGGCACTTTGGCTTCGGAGTCAATGGCTTGCTCCTCCGCATTGGGGCGGGTCACGTGTTGCTTATTGAGACGACAATGAAGTCAGGCAGCCAAAAATTCAGTTGGATAAAGATGATAATGAATTGAAATGATCCTTGAGGGGGGTTGTTGTTAGAATGATGGATTCAGTGAGTTTTACTATACATAACGTCCTGATAATTATAGTACACTTGGACAACGCAGCACACCCAATGCGGTTGCGCAAGTCAATCTAAAAAACACCAGAAGTCAAGCCGCTTTGCTTTCCCTATTTTACAGTGCCTGCTTCGAGAAACACAGACTACTATTCGTCCCTCCAAACCCGAAGCTGTTGGTCAATGCAACTGTGATCTGGCGCTCCTGTGTTTCATTTGGGGCGTAATTGCAATCAAACCCTTCCGCTAGACGTTCGAGGTTGATGGTTGGTGGCATCACATTCTGAATGGATAACAATCAGTCAAGGCTCATTCTTCCAAGCCCGGGGGATCATCATGCTCACCTCGTGGATTGATAGAACCGTAAATAGGGCCTCAAGAGCGCCCGCGCCACCGAGTAGATGTCCTACGGCACCCTTGGTGCTACTGATGTTGATATTGGCTGCGTCCTGCTTTCCTCCAGGACCGAGAAGAAGCGACTTGATTGCTGCGTTCTCTGCAGCATCACCGACAATCGTCGATGTGGCATGAGCGTTGACATAATCCACCGCAGAAGGCAAAATTTTGGCGTTTTTAAGAGCCTTCTTCATCGCCATCCATGCACCCTCGCCATTCTCCTTGGGCGCTGTCATGTGGTGCGCATCGCCAGAGCAGCCGTAGCCGTTCAACTCTGCATAGATACGGGCACCTCTAGCCTTTGCGTGCTCCAGCTCCTGTTATTGGGAAGGCGGTTAACTAGTGGCATTCAGCTTTGGTTGAAGAGGCGACATACCTCGAGCACGAGCATGGCCGCTCCTTCCCCGACCACGAAACCTTTGCGGTCGGCATCAAAGGGCCTCGATGCTCTTTCGGGAGCATCATTGAAATCGGTGGCCAGGCTTCTCGCTCGGGCAAAGCCACCGATTGCTAGAGGATGAATACACGATTCCGCGCCGCCGGCCAGCATCACGTCCGCCTCGCCACAAGCGATGAAGCGAGCTGCATCACCGACGGAGTGCGCTCCGGTTGTGCAGGCTGTCGTGACGGCATGATTGGGTCCCTTTTAAATCAGCATCTTGGCTCTGAGCGGATAATTAAACATGCGACGACTCACCATGAATCCATACCGCATGGAGATGTGTCCAGCCCCGAGATTGATCAGGAGCTTGGGGACGAACAAGGGAGACACCTTTCTATATCCCTGCAAAGACACCGCGGTCAATAAGCGCATTCAAAAACATCGGCCTTAGCCAGCAGGTCAACGCACCCCTTTCTCATAAGCCACGACCGTGTCGTAAATCTCATCAAAATTCCCAATCCCAGACCCTAGGCATACGCCCTATGCAAAGCATCATCAGCGACGAGCCTCAGGCAACACTTCTATCAGCCGTAGACGTACCGTAGCTTCTCGCTGCTCAAACGCTGTAGGCTTCCAACCAGCATCTTCCAGCGCTTCCTCCGAAGCAGCCATGGCATACTGCGCAAAGCGAGCCATCTTGCGCTCCTCCTGCAGTACCACGAGTTCAACATGGATTCCTCAACACGCTCCACAGTAAACAGAGAATCACTTACATCTCTACTCAACCATTCCGAAGCTGTCCAGCCTCCATCCTGCCACGTGCCCTCGGGCACTACCGCAGCGATCTGGCATGGCAGGTCCTCGAACCGGGCATCGCGATGCTTCACGTTGACGACGCCGCAGTGGCCATCGAGCAGACGACTCCAAGTGCGACGGACTCCTAGATCATTCCAAGCCAGAGTCAATACCACGTAACCAGCAAAGCGAGATCAGCCAACTCGGCAAGAGAGTATTATTCACGGGTGCGAAGACCTTCCCCTTCCGGAGAATCGGGGGGGAGTGGGGACAATTTGGTCAAAGACCGAGCGAGCAAGGGAACCCAGGTAATGAGGACATTTTGCGCCGCCGGCATTTTTGGCCCAAACGCGATATAATCGACAGTGGTATTCCCAATATATATGTAGAAAACGAAAATCGACAGTAAGGGACATGGATATCCGACTCACCTACACCCAACGGTGTGACTGCGCCTAAACCCGTCACGACAACACGACGCATGGCATACTGATTGACCACCACACACACCCCAAATAAATCGAAATATCCTCCGTATCGATCGATATAACTGAACTTCTGTTCCTGTTCCAGTTCCAGGTCACTTGAAGATGGGTTGATCAAGAAGTATACACAGTACTACCAGACCCAGGTTCCAACCAATGGTGGCAAAAGGTTTAGACCGACCAGAAGGGAAAGTCTGCACGATGTCAGAACAAAAAGAGTCCACTTTTCCCTCTCTATCTTAGTGTCTGCTCCATGAACAGAGCTATTTTATGCATTCACAAGCGATGCTATTTGTCAATCAGCGGTAACTGGAAGTTACCAGGGTAGTTATCTACATACTACCTACTACCTAGTCTCTGTCTGTCCTCTTGTACTCCCATATGTAGATAATTGACTAGGTAAGTACTGTAGAGGCATCACTGCGATTCGATTCGATGGAACCGCCGATGGAGCCACCCTTTTGCTGGATAGATAGATAGTTCGCAAGCCATATTAAGAGTCGATGTTCAGCTAGGTTCCTGGGACTGCTTCTGGTCTTTCTTTCTTTTTGTTTCTTTCCTCTTTCTTTCCTCTGCTGTCCCAGGCATCTTTCTGCTTCTTGTACACATACATCACCATGAAGACTACTTGTTGGGCGGGATTCTTAGCATTGGCTGGGACGGCGCTGGCCCACGCCCACCACGATGATGCGGAGGTCGTCCCCCAGAGTCTGCGCGAGGAATTGCTGAAGAAGTGGGATCAGGAGGTAAAGAGATACTCGTCCATGGAAGAGACGCAGGCGCTCGATTCTAAATTTCGGTAGTTTACGTTCTCCGGCATCGCCAGCTTCGCCCACTTGAAGCCCGTCAAGTGCCTGGTCGAGCCCGATGAGCGATACGATATCGCGGTCATTGGCGCTCCCTTTGACACAGCCGTCAGCTACAGACCCGGTACGTCTTTATCTCCCTCTTCCTGACAAAAACTCAGACACATTTCAAAAAAAAAAAAAAGAAAAGAAAAGAAAAAAGAAAATCTTCTCTGACAAAATACAACAGGCGCTCGTTTCGGCCCCCGTGCCATCCGCGCCGCCAGCGCCCGCCAGATGGCCGGCACCAGCTACAACACCCGCGCAGGAATCAACCCGTACAGCTCCTGGGCAACGGTGAAGGACTGCGGCGATATCCCCATCACGCCGTTCGACAACGGGCTCGCCGAGCGCCAGATGTACGAGGCCTTCCTGGAGCTCGGGGTCCGCCCCGCCGCGACCCCCGCCGACTCCCGGTACGGCACGAAGGGCATTTCCGCCGGGCGCGCGAAGCTGGTGACGCTGGGCGGCGACCACAGCGTGGCGCTGCCGGCGCTGCGCGCGCTGTACCAGATCTACCAGAAGCCGATCACGGTGCTGCATTTCGACGCGCACCTGGACACGTGGAACCCGGTGCGGTACTCGGCCTACTGGATGTCGGAGCAGTCGCACTTCAACCACGGCAGTTTCTTCCACAAGGCCAGCCGCGAGGGGCTGATCTGCAACGCGACGTCCGCGCACGCCGGCCTGCGCACCCGGCTCACCGGCATCGATGACAGCGACTACACAAGCTCCAACACCCCCGAGCAAGGGTTCATGCGCATCCACGCCGACGACATCGACGAGCTGGGCCCCGTCGGCATCATCGACAAGCTCATCGACCGCATCGGCCTCGACAGGGACCAACCCGTCTACCTCTCCGTGGACATTGACGTGCTGGACCCGGCCACCGCCCCAGGCACGGGCACCCCGGAGCCCGGAGGCTGGACCACCCGCGAGTTCATCCGCATCCTGCGCGGTATCGAGAAGCTCAATGTCGTCGGCGCGGATATCGTCGAAGTCTCGCCGAGCTACGACAACATGGGTGAGACGACCGCGCTGGCCGCGGCGCAGGTTGCCTTTGAGATCATCACGAGTCTCGTCAAGGCCGGTGCCGGCGAGGATCTAGGCGGCTGGTACGGACGTAAGGTTGATGGCGAGGTTTCTGTGGAAGAAGAGATTGTTCGTGAGGAAGCGCAGGCGAAAGATGAATTGTAAACTGTGAATAGCAGATGCATTGGTCAACCTGGAGATTGGCACTGATGTGGCCCCCCACCTCAAAACACCATGACTTGTTGATCGCTCGTTATGATTAAATGAATGAGTTTCATGACATCGATCTTTCCTGTCAATCCGGTAATATCACACCATACCTGGAGGCCAGCTCCAACGCTTGGCCGAAGTATACATAGCACCACTAAAAAAAATCTCAATCGGCTCATTTCACTTGCTTGATTGTGTCTGCCGTCTGTACTGTTCTAATTCCATATATCTCGCGGGAAAAGCAGGGTAAAGCGTCATGAAACAGGGAAAACATGTAGTTCGAAGTCGATGGAGAAGTTGATGACAGAGAAGTGACAGATAAATCAGCACGATGACGAAGTGGAATAGAGGGAAAAAAAAAAGGTGAGAAAAGCGGATCAGAATCATCAGCCAGCCAAAACACGACGCCCTGACTTCCAACGCCGAGAGAGACGATGAGAGATTGATCGAAACCCGAGGGGATGAGAATAAAGACTCGAAAATGGATTTAATAGGCAAGGTTGCAAACATGGAAGCTGGAAAGGAATCGATTTGGGTCAAATAGATCTGGAGGAACGAGAGATAGACCAGTCGTGATAGATGAAGGTGTAAAAAATTCGAGCTCGCCGGAAAGGTTTGTTAGAAGGCGCGTATGGACGATTGGCACGAGGAGACGCGGTAATGGTATCAGAGGAATCGTGGCTGGGACTGCTAAACGGGCGATGAGGACGGGCGGTAGTTTCAAAGGACCCCGTTCCGAGTGAAGAAGAGATGACAGGCTTGAGAGACCAGTGTAGACGTAAACCGGGCAAGCGGATGACCCATGGCAGAGAAGGAAAAAAAAAAGAAAAAAAAAAAAAGTCGATTCCCCCATCACGATTCTGATCAAATTCGATTCAGCCGTCCAGGACACGCTTTGGAGAAAATTTCGGATCGCGCGATGTCTGCTGCCAACAGCGTCAGTGTGGTGCGGTCGAAGTCAACAATGGCGAATGTACCGACCTGAAGTCGCCCTGGTGTACAACGGGATTATAGCGCAAGATTCTACAGCAAAACGCATCTCGACTTCTTCTTCGGAGCAGGTTCGAGCGCGGCAACAATCGCCTACCGTCAAATTCAAGGGTCAGTCGTAGTTCTTTATAGCCGATTCGAGAAGGAGGAAGATACGAACCTCGTCAAAGACGTCCTTGAGCTTGTACTGTGTTAAGGCGGAGCATTCAACATATTTCACCGCACCCAGTTCCTTGGCCATACGATCACCATCTTCCTTGCGAATGGGCTGCATCTTCTGGCGGGCGAGCTTGTCGCGCACAGTAGCGTCATCCCGAAGATCAGTTTGGGTACCCACAATCAGGCAGGGAACACCGGGGCAGTGGTGGTGGACCTCAGGGAACCACTTTTCGCGAACGTTCTCAAACGAGGCAGGCGAGGTCACCGAAAAGCAGACAAGGAAGACATCGGTCTGGGGGTAGGATAGAGGGCGGAGACGATCATAATCCTCCTGACCGGCGGTATCAAACAGTCCGAGGGTGTAAGGCTCATCGCCGATCCTGTGGAAGGAAGATCAGGAGTCAGTCCATAATGATATTTCTGATCCTCCGACAATGACGAAATGTATTGACCACAGGTATTTGACATGCGCCGAGTTCGATGATAAGGTGCGAGGGCGGGTGAAAGGTCGAGGGTGTATGATGCGGATGCATCGCAACTGCGGACTCAACTTACATGACGGTCACGGCATAGTTGTCAAAGACGGTGGGGACATATTCTGAGGGGAATTTGTTTGTTGTATACGAAATGAGAAGACATGTCTTTCCAACGGCACCGTCACCGACAACGACACACCTATAGATGATAACGCCGACTGGTTAGCATCTTGATTGAATGTCAAAGAACTCTTGACCGCCTCCTCAAGGGGACATGAAAAAGGGAGGAGTCCCGAGTCAAAAGAGGGGAAGGGAGAGGGGATCTCATAGGAGTGGGAGGGTAGGAAAGGACATCCAACGCACTTAATTGTTGCTACAACCATCGTGGTAACTTTTGAGTATAGAGTAGGCTGCCGGAGAGCGACTGTGTCAAGGAACGATTACGATTAGAAGTCGAAGTCTGTGAGACGGGAAGCGAGGGAGATTATAGTCGATAGGGAGGGAAAGACGCGGTGAGGAGGATAAAGCGAACAAGGAAACAAGACGGAGATGGGGTTTTGATGTTGGAAGATATGATAATAGAGGATGAGGATGATGAGGACGATGGATGGAAGAAAGAAAGAAAGAAAGAAAAAGAGAATATCAGGAAAGGAGATAGACAGACCGACAGGATGGAATTATTCGGAGAAGGCGCTGGTTGCTGGTTGTTGGTTGCTGGTGCTGGTGCTGGTGCTGGTGCTGGTGCTGGCTGGTGCTGGGGGGGGGGGGGGTTCGAGAGTAGGAGGAGGAAGATGGGTGTGGGTGAAGGATGACAGCCAGTCTGGGACTCTGGAGGTGTGCGGTGAAAGGTAAGGGTAAACTACTTCCGTGGCCCAGCCAAAATAATCCTACTCCGAAGATAAATAATATATGGAGTAGATAAATAATACCATTAAAGTGGGAGGGTTGTCGACTTACGACCTAAAATTTAAGGACTACTGGGCTCCCTAGACCCCTCGTAGTTTAGTGATGGGCGTCGCGAGTCCCAAGTCCCAACTCCCAAGCCTCAAAGGGGCCCCCAAAGCACTAGACTCTAGAGTGACTATCTACTATCTAGAATTCTACATAGCTAGATACCTTAGTTAGCGCGCCTACTTAGGTTCGTAACGGTAAGTCTGCCATCTGCAGCTACAACCCGCATCTACTCAAGGTGGCTTAGTGAGCTTGGTTGTGGCCTCAGGCTACCTACTTTTTGTGATATTCTATCGAGTATCCCCTGTATACTGAATGCCTCATCATTTGCATCCTATGACGAAGGATACTGACAGAATATTGAGTTTTCCTGGGACAACCATCAATGGAAAGACAAAGATCGATTGCAATAATACGAGGGGTTTGACGCTACATAGCAAGTTGTTTCATCCTCGACATCTTTGTTGAATTCACGCTAACAGCTGGCCTTTGTACTCCATAGGGATCCGTTTCCTAAGCAAAGCAAAAATTACCCTTCTCATAAATTTCACAAGGAGACGATCACTCGATTGTTTAATCCCCACGAGTATGCTCGCACTGGCCCTCAGGCCTCAAGACGATGGAGAGGGGGCTGCGGCAGTCACAGTAGTAGAGACGGAGTCAACCCCACGCTTTCAAGAGCAGTGTTAAATACCAAGGACCAATTCTCATTTGACACTGTAAAGCGACAGTATCACAGTAGGCTGTCGGGTCGTTATGAAAGTGTGGAAGAAGCTGGGATGGAGAAGAAGAATACGGATTGGCCTCTCTCCAAGCGACCAAGACCCATGAAGTGTCAACCGGTAACCCCATCGTTGATTTGTACCGTGCTGGCCAGTCAATTTTCATCCGGGCTCCATATTTGTCTGGACCGTTTCTCTTCTCCGGTTAGACTATGATTTAGATAGCACTTAGTACTGAGCAGTGCTTAGACAGGTGGATCAGCCTGGGAGGTGTGATTCGATCGTCATGGAAAATCCACAGTGGTTGAATGAGCAGGGAAAAATAATGATGCATCTCTAGAGCGCCTACAAACGTCCAGCAGCATTTCAAGACCGCAAAGGCGGCTTCTGCTTCTTCTCTTTTTTTTTTTTTTTTTTTTTTTTTTTTTTTTTTTCTCTCTCTCTCTCTTCATCCCTCTCTCTTCCCCCCCCTTACTCCTGCAGCTGTTCAATCAAAGTACCGAATTTCTCAGGTATGCTATAAGGCAGCAAACCATCCTCACGCCGTATCCAACCATGTCCGTTACACATCACTCACCCTTAGCGCCGGGACTGCCAGCTCTTCATTAGTCCTAGAGGATGACTAACTGCTAAATGCATAGACAGTTATTAAGGTCCTTTTGCTGCTTATAAGGCTGGGACACGCGAGCCTGAAGAGCTTGTCCCATCATTCATGTTGAACCACATATCGGCGCTTCTTGCTGGATGGTTACAGCCCTCTTCAGGCCTTTAATTGGACGACTCGAGAGGCAATTGTCTTGCACAGTTTGTGCGAGGTATCCACGTCTTTTGGGGAGGGGGAGACTCTCATATGACCATCTCTTGAGCTTGAACCAAGACAATGCATCCGATTGCCGATTCATTGGCACATGCCCATGTTATGTGGGCAGGAAGCAGAAAGGAAACTAATGGCATCGACAGGCTGAAGAAGATATGATATTTGATACCGCTTTAGCAATGTGGGACTTGGAGCGTCCTGATAAAGATTGTTGTTGATTTTCTCAGCAGGAAAACATGCTTTGGTACTTCAGACACAGCCGGCAGTCAGACAAACTGATCCACTGGCTGCCCAAATAGCACTGTCTGGGTTGCTCGAACTGCAAAGGATTATATTTACATTCGCCTGATCAATGGCTTTATTCTTGGGCAGAGTGGCCTGATGCCTTAGGCACAAGAGCGTGCCTCACTCCCCCAAGCATCAACTATCATTCACTTTCCTGTTCAGGCAACCACCAGGCAACAGATGGCCCCCCGTCATGTCTACCACCGCAAGGAACCGGGGCGGCGGTGCAGTGGTCAACCTCTGCAAGGAGCCTGCCAAAAGCAGTGGCTTCTTGCAGCAGCTGCATAATCCAGTAGGTCCCCGGTTCGAATACAGCGTCTTGCTCCCTTCAAAAATAGGAGCAGCCGCTGGGCAGAATGTCGAGGGCGGTTGTATACCAGCCCTCCATTCTGTTTTACTTCTCTTTTCGATTTTGTTATCAGGCCTCATTTTGGTATTTTTCTTTTCTTTTCTTTTCTTTTTTGTTTTTTTACTCTCTATGCATATCTATCTATTTTGGTAGAGGATCCCTATCATTCAAAGCACAAATCCCCAATGCTATGCTATACGAGGGCATCAGACAATCTATTTCCCCCACAGACGAACACAATTACTATCAAAAACGAATGAATCAGTACTCCAATCTGGCAGAAATCCCTTGTTCCAGGAATACACAGCTAGCTTAAATAGCAGGATGCTGCTCGGCCCGTGTGAACCATTGCAGAAGGCTGAGAGCTGAGACTTCAGAGACAAACGAAGAAAAATGGGACTATTCGTGCAGGCCAACACGAGAACTAACCAACACCAGGTCTGATTTTCTGAGATCCGATTCCTTCAAAGCCCCCGATGCTGGTCATCTATTTTTTTTTTTTTTTTTTTTGTGTGTGTGTGTGTGATAGTAACTTGGCTAATCGCTCGTAGTGGTAGATCGTTCTGGAGAAATGACCGGCTTCTGGGTATTTGATGAATTTTCACCATGTGATGGGATTGCTTGAAATATCCTGCCAAGGGAGAAATATGTTCCCCTGAAAGAGACTAGACAGTAGTGAATCCGAAGCTCCGAAGTAACTGTGCATATCAAACATGTAGCCCGATCGAGGATCAAAAATCAAGTCTCACAGAGAGAAAAAAGTGCAGAACGATATCCATTCAAGCTTCGGTATACACAGCATTCTTCCTTCCTTGAGGCCTTCTCATGGACCTTGAGAGCGAGGCTGCACGGAAGAACATTATTGGAAACTGAGCCTGATCAGTCGAGCTTTGAGAGGAGCAGGAGATCGAGGCACTGAGAGCTACTTCTGGTGGTGTTTCTGTGTTTTCGACGCATCCATACTCATCTAGTACTACGAGTGAGGAGCAAGATGCTTGCTGGCGCGAGGAACCCTGCGTTGATATCAAGGCTTTGCCTCTCCCTATATCGTTCTCCCGAGATGAGTACGTACTTGCTATTCTCTGTCTACGGAGGAGTCTTTGAGAGTACACCCGAGCAACAGTGGGCTTTGATTAATTAATCGATCATGGTCGTCTAGTCATTCTAATCGTAACTGCGTCTATATATAAAAGTCGTAACAGAACCCTTTTCCTTCAGCCATTACGCCGATAAAAATGCATGGATGGTTGCTCGCTTGGGCGAGCAAATGCTTTCGCCTGGGTCCATTAGAGGGCTGAGCAATGAACGTTGATCACAACAAGTACGTCGGCCATGGTCATACTCGAAGTGTCTCACGGCCCTAAGTATAAGTGATGGTAGGCCTCCGGGGCTGGTCAAGTTCATTTGACATGTCCCTCCGGTGGAGGTTCATCCTCCTCGGTAGGGACCGGTTCATGATGAGTATTTTCGCTCATCTACTTCCATTAGTAAGATTTTCCGTTGCTCGGGTCTTCAAAACATGGTGACTGACCTTATCCAGCTTGTAATTCTCCATCAACAAGCTGAGGGGTATCAGGGGCACAACGGCAATGAGCGCCAACACCAGAAGCTTATTCATCGTCTCCTGATACGCTCGATTGATAGCGATCCGGACAGGTGATCCAAGTGGGTAAGAGAGAGCCTTGGTCAGCTTGCCGAATATCTCCTGTGCATCGCCTTTGTTCCCTTCTGGGAGGTATAACAAAAGCTTGCGTGGAATATTGTGCGTCCAAACAGCACCGGAGATTGCAGCGCCAACGGCACCTCCCATCTCCATGGATGTCAAGAACATTGCCGTAGCGGCGGCGACCTCTTGGTGGCTGGCAGATGCCTGAACGCCCAATTGCACCGGAACATTGAGCAGCCCGCCACCGATGCCAACCACAATCTGCGTCGCTAAAATCTGTGTTGGGGAGCTGCCCTCCTGGCGAGTCATCATCATCAGTAATAGTCCGAGAATATAGATCACGCAGCCGATTGTGACGAACACCCGGTAACGGCGAGTATATTTGATGAGTATCGATACGGTAAATGCAGCAATGGTGGAGGTAAATGCAAATGTCTGCGTCACCCGTCCCGCGGTAGAAACATCGTATCCTTGAACAACCTGGAGGTAGGAGTAAAAGTATGGCTGAACCGAAAAATAAAAGGCCACTGAAAATAGTCAGTATTGACTTCCGATGCTCCAGGCGAGAAACACTTACTAAAATACCAGAATGCGAGTGTGCAGCCAGCGAGGGCGGTTCGTTGTTTGAGCAGGTGCAGAGATAGAAGAGGCTTGGGGGCCAGTCTTTTGGAGCCTTCCCAGAAAGGTAACGCAACAAGGCAGAGTAAACCAATGACGATCATTGCGACGATGCTACCGGTTTTCCAGCCATTTTTCGAATTAGCCGCAAGGGTCAGAGGTATCAAGATCAGTGTGACCGCCGCGGACAACAGTATCAAGCCGAACATATCCAGGTCGTACCACGTACGGCGCACTACAGCAAGGAAGCCGCCGCGTTTGGGAGACTTCGACTTGATCAGATTCAGTCTCCTTGCTTTACGTTGATTCAACATCAGCGAAAGGGCCAAGGGAAGGAAAGAGGCAGGCAGAATAATCGACCACATTCCATATCCCCAACGCCATGAGGCGTGTTTTAGCACCGCATCTGCAATGGTCGGGCCGATCCAGACGGTGACCAAAAAGGGGAACTCGGGTAGAAGCGCTAGAAAGGCACGGTTGAGTAAGCTGCTGCTGTCGGCAATGAAGACCTGCTGGAGTATCTGTAGGCCTGTGGAGCCGGCGGAGTAGAAAATTTGGGCTGATGCGTAGGTTTGAACATTGGTTGAAGCGGCCATCTGAATGTACCCAAGAACGTATATGAGTATGCTAAGACAGAATGCTTCGAAGCGACCGAAGACATCCGCAACCTTCGCCATGGGGGTTTTGATAACAGCTGCGGGGTCGTTAGCTGAGATTGCACGATGAATACATGGACGGGTAAAACTCATTTACCGTTAACCACATTTTGAACGACTAGAACTGTAGAAATCAGAGAATGCTTGCTGAATGCGCTGGTTGCATATGCTTGGAGCGACATGACAGTCTGACCCTCTAAGGAAGTACAAAACGACATGAGGAAAATGCTATGCGGAAGGTCAGTATGATGCGACGTCTCCTGCATGAACGGGATGAAACGAACCTGATGTAGGCTATAATCAGTGACCGGGTAGTCCAGGTCATATTAATCGCTTCGATCTTTCGTACACCCTCCTGCACCGAGTCCTCTGATATTGACGCGATGTCACTGTTATTATTGCTGCAGCTTCCACTTTCATACTGCTCCGGGAGAAGTTGCTCCCCTTCATCATCACTATGTTGCTCCATCTGATTGATTGTGCCATAGGACGGTCCAGATCGGTGATCGAAAAGGGGCATTGCGCTCAAGCCGGAAATGTCAACGTGAAACTCCGATGAACTTCTTTTGTATCGACGATGTCCATTTAGGGTTATCGACGCAAACGGATGCTCGAGAAGATGCACGACTGCATATATGTAGAGTCGAATCAATCAGCTGGGCTAAGCAGTACCGAGCCCTGAAAAACAAAAAGCGTCCGACGGGGGGGATTTGAGTGAGCTGAGGGATATTCGTATTTCGTGGTCCGAGCCAGTCAGATCCACCTGTAAAAAGCAATGCGCGAATAGCGTATAATGTAGATACCCGGAAACTTTGACGAGGAAAAAGAAAATGTAGTGAGAGGCACCCAAGTGGAGTGTCAAGGATGGCTGGTTGTTGGTAAATGTCGGGTAGGAAACTCCTCATAAGTATGTAACAGAATGGATAAAACCGGAGCCGCGTGTAAATTGGTCACACAAGAAAAGGACCCAGCTCTCGAGTCAGAAGACCTTCCGTTATCTGATTGAACTGCTCGACTAGATCGCCAGGCGCACTTATGCACATCGACGTGGGTTGCAGAGACCTATTAGATTCACTTGAGCCTATGGGCTTGACGCCCGAGGCCCAGAGAGGTAATGTGGTCCCCCCGACGCACCAGGAAATCGGGGAAGCCTTGGCCTGTTTTATAGGATTCTTGACTTTCGTGAACTGTCATACCCCCCTTTGACTTTAAGAAAAGGTGCAATAAGATGAGTCGTTCGGGTGCTGACGGCTCGGCATTCAAGGTATGCGGGAATCGGATTAGGGGGGATAATACTGGAGAGATCAGAGGCAGCTGTAACGCTAGCGAATCACGAAAACGAAGGGGAGGAGTCCATTTAGAGAGGATCGAGGAGGCCGAGAAACGAATCGCCAGAGTGGACAAGCGTGGTGCGATGATAAAAACGAGGAGGATTGAAGAGAGGAAAAAGAAGTGGGGGAAAGATGATGTTCGAGTCACAATTCCAGAGTGGCAATAATCGGGGGGTTGTGGATGATAGAGTATCATCAGATATGATAAGATCACCTGTCCTCCCGCGTCGGCCCGATGGTCCTCGACCTACTACGGCTATTTTACTAGGAAGTACAACAGAGTAAGTAGTAGTAGATACACAATCTCATACATGTCTAAGGTAGTACAATCCTTGATGTATGGAAATTATGACCATTCCTTGGAGAGAGAGAATAATATACAGGATCTATACAGTACATATCTATGCACCAGATATAAACCCTACAGTCTAAACCCATCAGCCCATCCAAGCTGACTGAAACAAAACGGCACAGCCAAGTGAGGTCTGAGCCTGAAGATCAAGTCAATTTGAACAACCGTGCAGACTGCAAACTACAAACAGTCAACCTCCCAGACTCTCAGCAGTCAGGTCCCCCAATACTCGGCTAGTAGTAGTAGCCTCCTACTGACTGACTCTACCCCTCCTCGACAAACAACAGGTCGGTCTCACTGCTGTGAGTCACTCTCGTATAAAGTGTCCTTTAATACCCGTTTTGGGATCGGTCATCAAACCCGAATCGCTACATGAGTCGGGTAGCAAGCGTAGATCCTTGCTTCATGGCCCCGCAAGGATCAGGATTTATTGCTAAATATGGCGCTGTTATTGCATCCCTGCAAGACGCTTATCCACAGCAATATACAGCCCATGCAATTGTGAAGACAGCGTGTTGTTCATGATCCATGCCTCCGTTCTCGTGTTGAGACTTGAGGTAAAACCTGAGCTGACTGGCCCGTAAACCAGGCCTTACGATGATCGTGCAACTAACTGGCCTCATATATTTGTCCATCTGACACGAATTGCACCCCCAGAACACAAATTCCTCAAACCATTCTATGTGAAAATAATCTAATTTTGCAAAACCGAAAATCGCTGGCATTTCATCGTCCCGGTAACATGCTACTCTGTACATGTAGATAACTCTTTACTCATTCAGATCAATGACGAGATGGCCGAAGTTGACCGTCAAGTCTCCTCCCTCTTCTGATGGCCGCGCAGCATAGACGCCAACCCAGCAGTCAGTGATGCTGTCGTCTTCGAAGAACCAGGTAACTTCACGAAGAGGGGACTTCTGGATACCCTCAACCAGGTAAACCCACAGACTGTTGTCCGGTTCCCTGACGATCTCAATGGTTGCTGCCGCACCGCCAGACGGGATGGCGACCAAACTCCAATCCGCCCATCGATCCTTTGCAACAGTGCTCAGATGGGCTTTGCCGTGCGTGAGCTCAATGCCCGTCTTCACCCACTTCCGAGTCCCATCAGCGTTGTTTAAGACAAGGATAAGGCCACCCTGGTCATATTTCTGCTGCCAATTGGCGTTGAAGCAGACTCGTGCCCGTTTAAATGACTTGAGAGGCACGCTTCGGTACAGAATCGGTGCGTTAAAGCGTTCGGTGGAGGGTGGTTTCGACCAGACATCCGTGGAAGAGCCTGTCTTTATCGAGAACTGGCAAGGCAGGTGACCGTCACCAGGGACGGGCTCGGAGGAGTTGGCGAATTTGAATAGCGCTTGTGTCATTGTGACTGCTGTCTATTGGGGGGGGAGGTTCTTGTGAGGAACCGGGGGAGTGGCGACCTGATCAAGATACAGATGCGCCAGTGGACAGACGTTCAAGACGAAGGAGAAGAATAAGAGGATGCGCCAAAGAGAATGGTCTAAAGGGAGTCAGGTACTAATAAACTGCGAACAACAGCAGGAGGGAGAGGGGAAGGGGGAAACGGGGAGATTTAAAAGTGTCAGCGATGTACTCCGTAAAAGCTCCGCTGTCCCGTATTTGAACCGGCTAGACTCCATGACAAGCCACCAGCAAGTGAAAGTAGCCTTTCTTCGTACCGATTTGTGAGATTTTGGATCTCTATGACGGTATTGTCCACCTATGACGCTCCGTCACTGGTGGGGTGGCACCCTGACGTCGGACGTTCAGCGGAGAATATTTCGGCGAAATCTGGAGCTTGCCATGCTCTTGACTAGTTGGCGAACTGGGGATGTCCATGGAACAAGCATCGGGAAATATCGCCTTGCAATATGCCACTGACAGTTTTACATGATCCCTCAAAGTTCTTCACGAGTTTCTGGAACAGTTAAAAGCTGACTGGAGTCACTGGACCAACAAAAAACGCCCATGGCGTGGATCGTCTAGTGATCTCCAAGACTTCAAGCTGTTGGACGGCTGGGTCTTGGCATTGGATGCCTGAGTGCCTGAGGCTGACATAATCTGGCCCTTTTGGGTAGTTCGTGTCTTAAACTTAAGTCTCAGACCAAGTCAGGAAGATGACATGACGGTGCTTGCGATCTTCGCGCCGTCTCTCTCATTGACCAACACTGACTTGGTAACGAGGCACTTTCAGTCCTCAAGGAATGGGCTGGCCAACTGCTCGCAGCTAATGACGCCTGTCCGTCATGTCTGCCCGTTTGCTCCACCCAGATGAGTACGAGCTTGATGCTCGATCTTCAGTTGACTCCCAGGGGACTTTCAATCTAGATGAGGCCGACTTCGAATCACAGGCCCCCCCGAGGCCCAGACGACTCTTAAATAGGTCGTCTTTCCTGTCACGGCTCTTCTCGTCTACTTATACCGGCTACCGCCGTCTCAAACCTTCCCGACGCATTCTCTCCGCGTCGCGACCCAGCTGTTATCGACGTCTTCTTCTTCGCCGCTCATGCCTTTACCTGCATGTTGTCGCCGGGATAGTCTTAGCTCTCGTTGTCCTGACTTCGATATTCCGACCCTCCTACACCCGGCCGCCCTCGCATTACTCGGTTCTCAGGGATGCGGTGTCGAAATCGACCGCGTCGGGCAGAGGAAATATTCGCAACGAGAAAGTCTTCATCGCGGCGAGTCTGTACGATCGGGGAGGGCACTTAGCCGGGGGTGAATGGGGTGACAGAGTTCTGCAATTGATTGATCTCTTGGGAAAAGATAATGTGTTCTTGAGTATTTATGAGAACGATAGTGGACCAGAGGGTGATAGCGCCTTGCGGAATTTTGCGAAGCGAATCCCAAGCAAAAGCTCCATCGTAAGCGAAGAGCATCTGGAACTGGAACATCTACCCAAAGTCACAATTCCCGGCGGCGAGAAGCGTATCAAACGCATTGAGTATTTGGCCGAAGTCCGCAACCGTGCTCTAAAACCGTTGGAAGATGATCCCGCCACGCGTTATGATAAACTCCTTTACCTGAACGACGTGATTTTTGATCCAGTCGATGTTCTCCAACTCTTGTTTTCCACCAATGTTGATGAAAGCGGGGCTGCTCGGTATCGCGCAGCTTGTGCGGTCGACTTCATCAATCCGTTCAAGTTCTATGACACATACGCCACCCGTGATTTGCAGGGCTATGGAATGGGACTACCCTTCTATCCTTGGTTCTCAGCAGCTGGGCATGGCGATAGCCGAAAGGATGTCCTAGCAGGGAAAGACGCAGTGCGTGTACGCAGTTGTTGGGGCGGAATGGTCGCTTTTGATGCCAAATTCTTCCAGCATGACAAAGGGGGCAAGGATTCTGATTGTGCCCCATCCCGTTTCCGTGCATCGCATGATCTGTTCTGGGAAGCTTCTGAGTGCTGTCTGATTCATGCAGACATTCAAGAACCCCAGATGGAACCAGACAAGATCACGGATACTGGGATTTATATGAACCCATTCGTCCGCGTTGCCTATGACACGAAGACCTTTTCTTGGCTTGGGACAACACGTCGATTCGAAAAACTTTACTCCTTCATCCACAACATTGGGAATCGTCTGGTTGGATTGCCTTGGTACAATCCACGGCGGGCTGAGGTTCCTGGTCAGACTGTCCAGGAAAATGTTTGGGTCCCGGATGCCAACGCAAAGGATGGCGGGTCCTTTCAACTCATTGATCGTATTGCTGGTAATGATGGTTACTGCGGCCGCCGAGGGCTCCAAGTCATTGTTGAACATCGCAAGGGGGGCCAGGAAGGTTATGAGAATATTCCAGTGCCGTTGAGATGATTTGACTGGTCCCTGCCCTCGCCTCTTGTTCGATACCTACTTCTATCTTGTCCCAAACTTCTAATAGCGAGTACATAACTAAGAAATTTAATCTTCAGGAGTGCTTTCGCCTATCATATTGTAGACTATCTCCCATACCTGCTTTGATATTTGGATAGATTTCTCCAGGATGGCTCTATGTATGGTGCGTCATTGCAAACATCACGTTGGCGATTCATGCTTCTGATCCATTAACGGAACTCTCCGTCAACGATGTGCCTATTCTGTGGGATGCGAACAAAATAACCAGCCATCTTCACTCTTTCAGATGGGATGAGCCGGATATCTCCACCTTATGCCCCTGTTTCGTGCAGTAGACTGGGAATTTCTGTGATGCAGTCACTAGCAGTTCAATAGGCATGAAAATCCCCCAAGCTATAAGAGGCATCCACCCCCAGGTATATCCTACGTGATTCTCCATCATACCCTTTGTCATCTTCTCATTTCACTCCTCAGCAGTGCAGTGCAAGAGCCTAATCAGAACTTTCTATATGTTTTCAGTAGTGTCCTCCTTTGTTGGCCTTGTTGTGGGTAAATTTGCCAAGATGACAGACCAGATTGATATCAAGCAGGTCTCTGAGATGCTGTGTGATGCCTTTGATAATGTCATGGCGAACAAAACAGGTGGCCTCACAGAGAGTGTGCACGCACCCAAGGCAGATAGCAAAACAAGAACTACCAGGTCCGCTCAGGTTCGTCTCCCTTCCTATTGATATCTGATTTCTATCAGATCCTTCCAAGACAGAGTCGTCCATGCATCTGCCTGTGAAAATCCCTTTCCCACATAAAGCCCAGCCTCCTATGCTTTATGAGAGTGAAGTTAATCCCACAAAATCAATGTAACAGTCATACTACCTTACCCCCATCAACAAACCACCACCGACATCCTCCAGCACACACATTGACACTCCTGCCCACATTAATCCAGTGAAACCTACTCGCTCCCAGGGCAACACACCGAGTAAGGATCACCGTTCTTTCAATTCTAACACTCCATCCAAGATGGCCGAGATCTCGAAGGATTTTCCCGTTGCCAACGTGGATGATGCTGCCGGCTTCATGGCCTTTGCTCGAGCTCTTAGAGAGAAACAGGCTCTTGAGGCTGCAGCTGCGGGCAAGACTCAGACTGCGGATGGCTCTGGCCAGCAGAATGAAAACAATGATGCCTGGGGTGCCTTTTCTGGTGGTGAGCCCACTACCAACGAACCTGTGCTCGCGTCTGGCCCCAACGACGCGTGGCCCACTGGTAGGCGGACTCTTTCTTTAACGCATCTCCAGTCATTAAGAGATCAGAACTGACAGCTTGCTTTATAAAGCAGACTCCGACTCGGGTAAGAACAACGGGATTGGCGATGATTCCGAGAACAAGCATAGCCTTTCAATGCCTGGCCAGGGTGAAGGCCCCGAGACTCCCAAGTCTTCCTGCTCGGCACTGAATGGTGGTGTTTCCGAGTTTGTCCCTCGTGGCAACGCTGCCGCAGCTCCTCAGGATGCTCACGCTGCTACTGCTACTGGAGGCTCTGATAGCACCATTGTTGAAGAAGAGGAAGATCGTGAGAACCTGGCCACTTTCAAGACTTGGGGCACTCCTGTGACGCGTGGCAAACCAAGTAAGAGCCCTAAGCTTCCTCTTGTTGGAGATGTTACTGACATGTTCATGATTTGATCAGCTGCGCAGGTAAGACGTGTCATTATCAAAGGACTACCTGCTTCTTGGGCGACCCCTGCCAAAGTCTTGTCCCTGATCCACGGTGGCATGATTGAGAGCATCTCCATCAGTTCTTCCGGCAATGCTCACATTCTCTTCTGTGATCACGAGGCCTGCCAGGCTTTCTACGACAAATACCCTAATGGCATTGACCTCGACAAAGAAAAGAGGAAGACTGTCTTTGTGGAAATGGGTACGGAGGTCGACGTGATCAGCTCCCAGCTCTCCTTCAACCTTTCCATTGGAAGTACTCGAGTTGTGCGCGCGATCGGTGTCGATATGAGTATCACCATGGCACAGCTCCTCAAGCTCGCTACGAACAACAATCGCAAAGTGGAGAAGATATTGGACTCTTGTGTTCCTGGCGACGTGAGTAGACACAGGATAGCTACTGTTCGAAGGCTTGCATGCTGACAATTCCTCTAGGCTCGTAATGTCGTCTTCCGTTTCTGCACCATTGACGATGCCGTCAAATTCCGAGCTGCGATCATTCGCGACGCTGATTGGGAACACTGCAATATCCAGCACGCGGCTGACCCGTGAGTCTTCCTAGACATTGAGCAGATCACTCAGTATGGCTTTACTAACGTTTCTACTACATCAGATGTGAGCTCGCCACTGGATTCCATGCCGACTAAGCATCACAAACAAGATTCGCAGGGGCCATGTATCGTGCTGGTACTTGGGGGTTACGGAATTACAACTGGACAAGGTGTTGGGAATATCAGGTATTCAGAACGTAAAGCATATGGGATGATATGATAGGTGTTGTACTTTAGCCCAAGCTAGCAAATCTCAACATAGGGTTGATGGATGGTTGTTTACTGCCATGACTCAGTAAATGCAGGGTAAATGTCTTTCAGCACTGCCCTGCGATAGAGCCTTGTCAAGATTGCTTCGTTTTCTTGTATATCAGTGACACGTCAGAGACCAGAGGTGTGCCCATCAGCCTTGTGCATCTATCAGAAAACCGGTCGATGTTGGGGTATCATGTATCGGACCAATCCATCCTTGAGAACTACCAACATCACTTTCCCTACCAGGAACATGACTCAACGAGGCTCAATACCTTTCGTTCCATAGGCATCCCCTTTGTCGGATACAGCCTTCAGTACCGCGGCCGTCTCCCAAGCAAGTCGACGAGCATCGGACCCAACACAGCAGAGGAAAGTAAGATCTCCCTGTTCCCTAGCTACCCACGCTTTGATCCCCATCAACACCCTCGTTGGAACTGGCTGTGCTAACTACGGCTTGATATCCAGTGATACCATGTGTACATTCTCGCTCTCCGCAGCTCCTGAGAAGTCGGTTACCCAAGTCCTAGCCAGACGAAGCTGGCCGAGCCGGGTTTGTTTTTTCGCAATACAGAAATTCGATTCACACACAGCCTTGCAAAATGGGAATGTCATTTCCAAGACCAGAACGCGTCTGGAGCTACAATTCTCACCATGGATTATAGATGGATCAGCAAAGGAAGTAGCGCTGAGTCTTCCGTGTGTGTGGTCCTTGGTCAAGTTGATGCTCGCACTCGTGGCTGATGCTGCTCTCCGTGCTGTGAGTTCTGCGGTGATTCTACGCCTCGAGTAGATCCCTATTGACCATTCCCACCACTTTCCAATGCTAATTGCTTCGAATTACATCCAGTCAGTTGCCATACCTCATACCAAGACCAGTAGCGGCGCGTTACACCGAACTTGAATCACATAAGGCGCGGCCTTGCGCATACACAAGGATAACTCATCCCCCATCCCATGGGGTTCGCCGACGCCGCGATGTTGAACCCTGAACTCTTCTACCCAGTATTTGGGATATTGAGTGTGACTCAGCCATACAATAACAGCTACCAGGGATGTTCTGGGTGCCTTGGGGCGTATAGTAGGAGGAGACTGATCTCGATAGTGGAAGGTCACCATCCTTCTACTACATACCCTAAACGCAGGCAAGGATATATATTAATGCTGTGGAAGGGAAACTCAGGACTCCATTGCTCGGGTCTGATTTGCTCTGACGTTCCTGAACTGCATGGCGATATCCAACAGCAGCTTGTACTCTAGGAGCCTGATACGTCCTGAACCAGGTTTCGATCACTAACACAGTGCGGTCGATTCCACTTGATGCTTTCTGCGGCTTCGAGGACTAAGCTGTGCGTGCGTGCATACGACTGTTTACACAACACAAGGTCACTCAGCATTTCATCCATCTGTCTCTCATTATGATCGACTTAATGTGTACTGAGAAGGTCTTTACATTATTTTGGCGCATCATTTCCTACGTTCCATATCCAGTTGATACCGAACTGTTTCCCATTCTTGGGATAGGGCAAAACAGCTTGACGTGAATCAGGGCTTACTGTCAGATATCATACGGTACAGATCGGTACGATACCACGAAATACAATACCACAGCACGCGCGGGATTCCTCCGGCCTCAACATCTTCACACCAACCCACGCAATATATTATGTTTTCTGAAGGATCCGGATGGAAGGACAGCCATGCTTCCAAGATCTCATCCGCGTTCCAACGGTTGATCTGATACACATATGGCCTGATCATGACAGGGTCTTCCAAACCCAAGATAGCAAGCAGAGATAGTAGATAGATAGATAGATATCATCCCCGCCATACTCCCCCTAATGTAAACAGATACTTTTGTCCATGTCACGGGGGGGTATACTATTGCATGATAGTTTGTCAGAATACGAAGTAGCCAGCCAGGTCGATGAGGCCTGGCTCTTCCCCCCCTTGGGCTGGCTGGGACAGGAGGGGAGTCCGGCTACGCAGCCTGACTCTGATGATGTGATTCATAGCTCTGGGAGGACACGATCGCCAGAAGAATAGCCGGAGCTGTTTATTCTTTGTTCTCTGCTGGACTGATGATTAATGATTGTATAGATGGATCGATAGTGTATGGAGTAGAAGTGTAGCAGTCCATGGTCCAGGCCTTTGAAGACAACAACAGACTACTACGGAGTCCTTTGCAGTAGTCACGAACAAAGTGGGAAAAAACGGCTTCTGAGCCAAAGCCGACTGGATATGCGAAACTCGACGATCAGCCTCTATCCATCTACCGCTAGCAACCAAGATAGAGACCGAAACAAAGAAAAGCGAAGGGGGGAAACAAAGTCAAAAAAAAAAAAAAAAAAAAAAAAAAAAAACAAGTCGAAACCCCACGATGTTCGTTGTCTATGGCGGAACCTTTCCTTGGGGATTTGGGCGCTGGGATGAGGAACTGTTTACTGAGTTACTACTCCGGATGTAGACAATAGTCTGTTTATTGTCTCCATCGACAGAGACCAAACAAAATACGATGGTAGCTTGTTGAGTCGCTGAGGCCAAAAAAGTTATTATTGTGGATTAAAACGGACATCGCCGATGTAGAAGGTCCGCCAAAGAGATTGATTTGACGGGGGTTTTTTTTAATTTGGATTTGATTTTGTAAATTTGGACGATGATTTTCTAATCAATTCCGCATTTTCGTGGTGGAACAAAGAAAACAGCCTCAAGAAGAAGCCGCGGTGGAGCATCGTTCTCCAAGTACGGGAATTCGGAGTTGATGTTGACTTCTGGAGAACTGGAACCGGAATTGAGACTGGGGGAGCAACTAGCAGTCAGCAATTTCAAATAAACAAAAAACAGTAGTGGTAAGCGATATAAGCATACATACAGAGTACTGCATATCAGCAGGGATATGACACAGCACCCGGGGGATCAGAGCAGCAACAAGATAGGGGATTCGAATGATTTTGAGTCATATGAGAGAGAGAGAGATATCCTAAGTGCCTCAGGTAACTAACTTCTCTACTCCGTACCCTGTCGACAACGTACCTTGATCGAAAAAAGAGAAAAGAAAAAAAGCAGACAATGGAATAGTTCAGATGCAAGACTCAGAGTGTGACCAAACCCGATTCGCGGCCGAAATCTCCTAATTCCGAGTGCAGCAGACCTACAGCCTACAGTAAGAAGTTACTAAGTCACTAAGTTAAGTCACTATGAACTGTACTCCAAAAGGAGGCATTGTAGGTCCTTTGATCCCAGATTATTAATTACCATGTTTGATTGCGCTCCAAGCGACCGTCTGATGCCTGCATGGCCGATACTACCTACGGACCCGACACTCTGGATGAGGGTGTGATGGTCGAGCATTAGTAGCATGATAGAACAGAACCTTGTACAAGTTGGTAGCAAAGTGCTTTTTTCTCCCTCTCTCTCTCTCTCTTTTCTCTTGCTGATAATAATAGTCACACTGTCACAGGAAGCAACACTAGATAAAAGTGGTAACTTAATGCGAGTGGGGATGTGATCAGCAGAAAATGAGATCACTGATGTATGTGGAGTTATGGATATGATGAAGGTCATAATCAAATCAGATAAACAGGTAAGAGGTTATGGGAGTGTGAATAATCAGATATCTTTCTTTTTTTTTTTTTTTTTTTTATTAGTCATGTTTTTACTTTTAGCAGAAAAAAAAAAGCTAGCCAACTCCAAGGCATCTTTTAACACAGCAGAATCGAATCTCACATCGTCAAACTGTCGATCGAAACGGCTGTCCGTGAAGAGTCAAGACTCAAGAGTGCTAGTGCTAGTGGCTATATTTGTGTTACGCTCATACATGACCTGCCCACTTACCCAGGCTCAGGTCAGTAAAGTAGGTGGGTATCAATACGGTTGTCGGTTACAGAAATGTCTGGACTCGGGGTACATTTTATTATTGGTACAGATAGAGAGAGATTACAAGAATAATAGTATGACCCCCGTTATAACCCACTAATATAATCAACTGCGCCGCAATATACACAGTATAGCTGGAGCAACCAGGGGAAAGAAGATAGCAGTACTACCTTGCGCGATAATAATGATCCATGGTCTGGAACGATCTTCTGTTGGACAACTGACAAAGGTAAGGATCATTCCAAATTGCGGCACAGTCAAGCTACATATATGCGACATGGGTAGATAAATGATGGGATGAATCAAGTCGGCTCAGGTGCATAGCGCTATTACTTACTCTAACTTCGGATGCTGGAGCCTTGGTAAAAGGACTTATGGATAATGGGAGAGCTGCCCCACGTGTTGGGTGCAGGGGTCCAGCTTCAACTAATGACAAAACAGGTAAAATACACAGGTTGTTGTTTATTTACCAGTTACCACTGAGCCACTCAGGCACTGACAGGAGCAGAGATATTCGGAGTTGCTGTCGATGATAAATGGTCATGATTCATGTACATACCTTGGATAGTTACAGTAGTAAAGAACAATGGGGCGAAACGAGGGCAGAGGAATCAGCCATACTAGGAACCTTACCACTCAGAGGTCAACGGTGAATTTCTCTCACCATCCTCTGCACTTTACAAAGATGTTCAGACATTCGCACAGACTCTGAAGGAATGATATAAGGCAAATCAGCAGTGAGGGATTCCGCAGCATTTCTCATTCAGCAATAGGAGTTCATCGCATGTGTCAGAACTCAGTCCTCCACAACGCCACGATGTAAGTCCGCCCTAGAGTCCTTCCTTTTCGGGAATGCGAGCAGAATAGCACCAAGTATCCGGGGAGAGTCGTTGACTCAGTAGTCATTGCTTACGGAGTACAATAATAATGAATGACCAACAGATCAAACCTCCAAAAAGAAATCAAGT